CGAACATCACGGGCTTGGCGATGGAAATTCTGGCCCTGATTCTGGTTGTAAGCCAGGGACTACCTGCCCTTATGGCTACAAAGTTCTGTTGCTAAGTGAGACAGTTGTTAAGTGAATCTTACGACCTTTCTTGACATAGATGTTAAGTGAATCCCTGCAGTTGCTGAGTTAGTAACCTGCTTGTTATTAAGTGAATCCAGCTTCCGCATGGTCAGAAGGACACAAAACGGATCACGAGACCTTGGGACGGCTGCGACCGTCGCAATTAGGGAACTGTTGCCGAGAGTCTGAATTTTGATCGCGTGGAGACAGGGAGGCCCCTTTTTTCAGGGCCATCGGAACTTCGGTCAGTAACTGAACGGTCGTAAGTCGAGGACCGCCTGCAGCTGTCGTGCGGTGGAAGTCCGGAGCCCGGGGGAGGCTGAAGGGGTTAAAGTTGTAAGCAGCTTAGGGTTGCAGGAGGAAAAATAGCTGGAGGAGGGAGGCCAGACGTCTTGTGGGGTGGGGAGGTTTTACTGGCCAAACCAGCTCTGAACAAAGAGAAGAGACTGGGGTTTTTTTTTTTCTTCGTCTTCTTCTTCTTCTCGTAGGGGGGGGGGGGGGGGGGGGGGGGGGGGGGGGGCGCAGTTTGCAAACTTGACAGTTGTGTTGCAAGGGAGTGGAGGTGGCTGTGCGTGGTTGTGTCCTGGCCTGCTCTGAGCAGCGGGTTCACAGTCCCAGGAGGAGGAGGGAGGGGGAGGGGGCCTCCCAAGTGAATTGGGGAGGGGGGCTGGGCTGGGCTGGGTGGGGGAGGAAGGGGTAAAACCGGTCGTGTGAAAGGCAGACCCTGGCACGGAGCCCATCGGCCTCCTCTTCTCTCCCACCCAACCCCTGGGAGATGTTCCTACTAGCGTTTGCAAGGAATCCTCGGGTTATGACCATCCGTTTAGTGACCGTTCAAAGTCACAAGGGCGCTTTAAAAAGTGACTTGTGACCGTTTTTTCACACTTATGACCGTCGCAGCCTCCCCGTGGTCACGTGATCATAATTCAGACGCTTGGCCACTGACTCGCATTTATGACGGTAGCAGCGTCCCCTTTGGCGGCCTTCTGACCAGCAAACTCAATGGAGAGGCTGGATTCACTGAACGACCGTCTGACTCACTTAACGGCTGTGGCGAGAAAGGTGGCAAAAGAGGGCAAAACTCAAGACCACGCAGTTCAGGGTGGCAGGGATCTTATTTTGAGACCCAATAAATGGCTCTTTTCCCTGGCGGTCGGTCTCCGAATCTCCCTGCGGAGATTCTGTGGTTCCTCCTGCAAGTTTCCTGCCCACACGGGCCTGCCTCGCCACCAGCTGAAGGACTCTGATGCCAGGAAGGCGAGATTCGCATCTGGGCCCGCCCGGGTCTCAAACACGCCTCCTCCTCCTCCTCCTTGGCCCGAAGGAAGCCTTAATCCGTCGGAATCATCAAGTCTGCCAGGAAGGAGGGAATCTGCTGCGTCATCTTGGGTCTCTGGCAAAGCCCTGGGCATGTGATTGTGGTTGTGGTCGATTATACAACCGGCAGGCGGACGGAGGGGGCCGTGCCTCACGCTAAACCTTCAGACGTCGTTGCTTCCCTCCCTGGAATCCGCTGCTTGGATTCGGAGATCTGTGTAGCTCGCTCCAAGGGGCTCCCTTTCATTTTGGTCCCACCGACAAGCAGGCAGGCGAGGAATCGGGTGCGTCTCTCATAGCGTTCATTTTTTTAAAAAAACAACAACACCCCCCCCCCCAAGTTCCTTTTGGTTTGTAGGTTAAGTCCAAGGCAGAGCCTCGCAGGGCCCTGTTCTCCTCTGGCTTGTCTTTTTGGGGAGGGGGAGTTGGGGGCAGAAGTCTGTTTTGCAAAGAAGCACAACATTTTTTAAAAAAAATTGTTTGGTAATTTTGAACATTGACTTTTTGGGGCTTTGGCCCTTTAGGGTTATTTCCTTCTTTTCTTTCTCGCTCATCCTTCCATCTCTTCGTCCCCTCCACTTCCCTCCGTGCCTCCTTCTTTTTCCTATTATCCTTCCTTCCTTCCATTTTTCCCTCCTTCTCTCCATCCCCATCTTCTTCCCTCTTCCTTCTTTTCCCAGTTTTTTTCTTCCATCCTTCTCTCCCAATTTATCATTTTCTTTTCCTTCCTTCCTTCCTTCCTTCCTTCCTTCCTTCCTTCCTTCCTTCTTTCTTTCTTTCTTCTTTCTTTCTTTCTTTTTCTTCCTTCCTTCCTTCCTTCCCTTTCTCTTTCTTTCTCTCTCTCCTTTCCTTCCTTCCTTCCTTCCCCTGGTCTTTGCCCCATGGTGTGATTTTGGGCTCGGCTCCCGCCTTCCCTTTAATGGGGTGATGGGACAAAGGTGAATTTGCAGGTGTCTGTGTGTCTTTCATGTCGCAACCACAGCCACACCCTTGGGGAGGGCCTGTCAGTAACCAAAACAAAGGGAAATTGCCAAAGAGAAGCAGGGAGTCGGGACGGCACATTCTGGCCAAGTTGCCCGGGGCGGATTCGGCCACCAAAGAACAAACTCCAGAAGTTTCCGAAAGGCCATTTTTCCACGGGTTGCATCAGCCAGGTTAAAATTTTTCTTTTCCTGGTTTTGATTTTATTATTTTTGTTTCAGCTGTACACGGGTGGTCCTTGACTTACAACCGCAATTGAAGCCCCAATTTCTGTTGCTAAGCAAGACAGCGGTTAAATGGGACATGCTGCCCCATTTTACGACCACCCTTGCCAAGGTTGTTAAGTGATTCACTGCAGTTAAGTGAATCCGGCTTCCCCATTGACTTCGTTGGTCAGAAGGTTGAGCCCAGGACACTGCGACCGTCGTAAATATGAGCCAGTTGCCAAGTGTCTGAATTTTGATCCCATGGCCACGGGGATCCCAAGTCCCTTTTTTCAGTGCCGTCGTCACTTCAAACGGTCACTAAACAAACGGCTGTAAGTCGAGGGCTGCCTGCGGTTTGATTGTGGCTGCCGTGAGTCCGAGGGAGACTTTTTCCCTTCTAAGGCGACTTTTCCGCCTGTGTGGCGTCAACCAGGCAGCTTTTCTCGCGCAAGAGACGGAATCCAGAAATTATTTTCCCACGATCCGGGCGAAGGGTGGGACCATCTTCGAAATGCTTGCCCCGCTGTTCTGACCGGGGCCTTTTCCTTGTTTTGAAGAAAAGCTCTCCTAGGGATGTGGGGCTGCTGCTGAGAAAAACAGATTGCTTTCCCTCGTCCTTTTCAAGTTGGACCAACCGCCCAGCCCAGGGGCCGCTCCTTCCTTCTGAAGCCCTGCCAGGGTCTCCTTGGGGTTTAGGGAGGGTCTGGACGGACCCCCTTTGATGGAGGCTACGCCAGCAACCTCGGGGTGGGGCTCCTTTCTCGCATTCTTGGTCAGGGTGAGGGTGAGGGCGAGCAGGGCGAGCCGGTGTGCTGGATTGGCTGTGGGGATGATGGGTTTGTGACCACTGATGGGACATGACCCCCAACCAGTTAAGACTTCCACACCAGAGACCCGGGGTAGACGAAAAAGGTGTTGATAATGCACAGCTTGTAACGGGGATTTGAACCCTGGGCTTCTTGAGGGAGGCCTGCAGCCAGGTACGCCCCTCCGTAATGAAGCAATGCTAGTTTAAAGATGGTTTGTCGAACAAAATATTTTTAAAAAAATTGAATAAAATAATTTGTGGTTCCCAGCATAAACCGAGTCCGTTGCAAAGGGCAGCTCAAATGCTGAGTCTATAGTTCGCCCTTAGTTCTACAGATAGTCCTCGTTTATCAGTGGCCTTGTTTCGCGGCCACCGTTCGTGTTTACAACGCTGACGGAAAGGTAACCTTACAGCCAATCCTCGCAGGGACGGCCTTTGCAGGAGAATTATGTCCTTGCTGGGTTCGACTAACCTCTTGGGTGGTTCGGCCGTGCAAAGTTGCCGGTGCTTGGGACTCAAAGACAAAAAAAAGATTTTTTCAATGGTTTTGGAAAGAAAATAATGGGGAAGAAGTTTCTCCAACTTTCGTGGCCTGGTTTTTGGAGGGGGGGAGGAACCTGCTTTCCCCCTTCCCCATCCCTGGCCCCAAAGCCAGCCGGCTTGTGCCCCCCCCCCTTCCTGGAGCTGGGTGCAGGGAATTGCAAAGCAGCCTAAGACCAGGCAGCTTGCCCCAAATCCGATTCACGAGGCTGCCAGTTCAGCCTCCTCCTTCCGTCCGGCGATACCCTTTGGACCCCTCCGATGCCCGAGGGGGAGACCACAACAATGAACATTCAGAGCGTGAGAAACGGAGCGTGTTATTGGGGCCGTGAGAGCCTCCCAAAGCCGCTTAGGTCAGCTGGCGAGAATTGGATGCCCGGATTACTGGTGCGGAATTGGGCGAGGTGAAGCGGCCGGGATTGCGGTCGCCCCTCGTAACCAGACAGCCCGAACAAGCCCGCGATTGATAATTTGGTTAGGTGGGGAGGGGGTGGCGGCTCAGAAATTGGAAAATTGGCAGAAAAAGGCTGGCTTGCGTTTGAACATAAATTGGCTTGCGTAACTTCAGGGAGTGTAACTTGGTTTTTCAGAAGCCGTTTTTTTAATTGTGTCTGTCAAATCCTAAATTAGGGGCAGCCAAGGCAGGGCAATGTACAGGTAGTCCTCCATTTACAACAGTTCATTTACTGACCGTTGAAATAACACTGAAAAAAAGTGACTTTAATCTTGCAAGTCTGATGATGCTGTTGCACTCCCCCCCCCTTTTACCTATGTGAAATGGGGGGGGGGTTGTCTACCTGAACCGCTTCTGAATGTCATCCTGTAGTTCTGGACTTAATAAAATGCTCTGGACCCCAATTTTGTCTCGCTTACGATCACTCTTGGTGGCCTGACTTCACTAAACGGTGCCAAAGTTGTGTCCTTAGCCACGCCGGTTAGTATGGGGGCCGGGTGGCCTACCCCACTTTCACCAGTTGCTGCCCTGTTCTTTGCTTAAGTTTCCCCAGTTCGACTAACTCGGGTTCGCTCTTTCTTCCTCTCCACAGATGACTGCCCATTTGTTGCTGGCCGTTGGGGGTGCTGTGTTGGGGTCACTGCAGTTCGGGTACAACACCGGAGTGATCAACGCACCGCAGAGGGTAAGAGCTGAGTAAACCTTTCTTCCTCACAGAGGTTTGTGTGAATCAGCCATCCATCGGCCAAGAGCTTCTGGAACCAAGCGACAAATAGAAAAATAACAGAATAAGAGATTTGGAAGGGACCTCGGAGGTCTTCGGGTCCAACCCCCTGTTCAAGCAGGAAACCGTACACCATTTCAGACAAAAGGCTGTCCACCCTCTTCTTAAAAACAATCCACAACTTCTGGTGGCGAGCCGTTCCACTGGTTAATTCTTCTCACTGTCAGGAAATTCCTCCTTAATTCCAGGTTGCTTCCCTCCTTGATAAGTTTCCATCCGTTGCTTCTTGTTCTGGTGCCTTGGAGAATAGCCTGAGGCCCCCCCCCTCTTCTTTGGGGCAGCCCTTCAAATATTGGAATGCTGCTATCCTGTCACCCCGAGTCCCTCTTTTCGTAAAAAGGCTTCTTCCTTCCAAACAACCCCGGCAAGTGAACAGCCTGTGGATTGAGTTTAAAAGGGAAGGTCAGGAAAAGAAGATCGGAAACTCCACGAAAAACAGAAGAACGAAACCTCGGAAAACAACGATGACACAACAGTGGAACAAGCAGGTCACGGGTTCGATTCCTTGCTTTCATCTGGGAAGAACGGAGCCCCACTGAAGGTGCCTCTTCCGTCCCCTTTGACCGGGAGTCCGCCTGCCCTCCGGCCAAGGACAGGAGACCGAAGTCCACGGCTTGAGTGGTTGCATCATCCTCTGGCAGCCTCTTGGCCAGACTCCTTCCCCCTGCGGGCAAGCGATAGGGAGGTCTGGGGAGACCTTGGAAGAGCTGCCTAATCTGGGCAAGATCATTCAAGGGGGAGGCCTGCTCCCTGCCTGCCCCAGGGCCGAGGGGAAAGATGCCGGCCATCTCGGCTTGGCCTTGACATCTCCAAAGGCTTGGAGAATACGCTGATTCGACCCCATGTTCGAATCGGGGAGGACAAGCCAAGGACGCAGGCTGAGTTTCTCCCCCTGCATCCAAACCGATTTGACGTGTGGCGTCTTCCTGGGCGAATTGTGCTTTTGTTCATCAAACCATGGTTTCTTTCAGAAGCGGTTTTACGTTTTGGAGTCCGGAAAGCAGCTGGAACATTTTGTTCCGTTAATAGCGGGGTTGTTGTCGTTTCCCTTTGCAAAGACAGGCGCACGTGGCGTTGTGTCTGTGTGTCTTTCAAGGAGAACATTGTTAAGTAGGGCAGGATTGGGTCCGACCACCGGAGTCTGGAGGAGCTTCAAAGAACGGCCGCCCTTCGCTGGGAGAGGAAACCTGAGCTGCCTTGGCCACCCGCACCCGTATCTGTGGAATGCGGCTTCCACCCTGATCCCCAGCACCCATCCTCTTTGGTGTGTTTACACATACACACGCACACACCCAAAAGGACACCCTGCTGGAAAAGAAAGCAGGAGAAAGAGAGGTGAGCCTACAACAACAGACTGTATGGGCCCACTTCCCAGGAGGAGGAGAAGAAAGAGGAGGAGGAGAAGGGGAAGAAGGTGAAGGAGAAGGAGAGAACGTTTATGGTGAAGGAGAAGAGGAGGAGGAGAGAAAGGAGGTGGTTAAGTGAAGATGAAGGAGGAGAAGGAAGAGCTGCTGCTTAGGAGGAGAAGTCCACTTCACCCCACCGTCCCTTTCTTCCCATTTCAGCACTTCCCTCGTGACTCAGCAGCCACCTGACCTCCCAGAAGCTTCCTCCCTGCACCTGAGCTCTTATTTCCTTCTAGGTCACTCTAACCTGCTTGGCCAGGTGCCCATCCTTCGCAGTCACTTTGCTGCAACGTAGTGGTCACCTGGATTGTTATGCTCCTTTGTGTTGATAACGTAGTCTGGATTTCGTGGCCGAGATCTTCCAGCCCTGCTGGAGATGCCCGATGACAAACCTTCTTCTGCATGCATGTGGCACACTTCCCTGCAGTCTCCCTGACTCAGAACAACTCCGGGAGGTGTTGCCCCTAAGCCATAAATGAATTCCTGAGGCTGAATCATGCAACAGTTAGCCATGAAAACCTCACGGCTGGCTGGTGACACGATGTCTGGATGTTTAAGCTAATGGGGAAGAGAGAGTGTCTAAGGTTCATTACCATGATGGGCGCTAACCACACTAACGGAAAGCACGCGTGATCTCAGGAGGCTTCCTGGAACATTAGATGACTTCTGGGGAAAGAAGATCCTCCGAGGCCATCTTTGGCCAGGTTGTGTGTCAACAGAAGCCCTCTTGAGGAGGTCTGACTGGTTGGAAGCGTCTTGTGTGGAGCAGAAATCTTCTTGTTTCCATCTAGTAGAGTCCTTCTTCTCCTCTCTGCAGGTGATAGAAGAATTTTACAACAAAACATGGTTCAATCGATACGAGACGTCCATCACCCCGGGAATGCTGACTACCCTCTGGTCCCTCTCGGTGTCCATCTTCTCAGTCGGTGGGATGTTTGGGTCATTCTCAGTCGGGCTCTTTGTCAACCGCTTTGGACGGTAAGTCAGAGTAACAGAGTTGGAAGGGACCCTGGAGGTCTTCTAGTCCAACCCCCCGCTCACGCAGGAGACCCCAGCAAAGCTCAACCTTCTCCTTTCCTTTGACCCTGACTGTTGCGTTGACCATTGTTCTCCTTCCTCTTCCTCTTCCCAGGAGGAATTCCATGCTGATGTCCAACTCTCTCGCTTTCCTTTCGGCCATCCTCATGGGCTTCTCCAAGATGGCCGGCTCCTTTGAGATGTTGATCCTCGGGCGTTTCATCGTGGGCGTTTACTCGGGCCTCACCACCGGCTTCGTGCCCATGTACGTGGGTGAGGTGTCCCCCACATCTCTGAGGGGGGCGTTAGGAACCCTCCACCAGCTTGGAGTCGTGGTGGGAATCCTGATTGCACAGGTGAGAGGCTCTCGGGGGGGGGGATATGTGTGTTTGTTCAGAAGGAAGGATGGACCCTGAAGGTCTGTGTTGGGTCTCCTGCAGATCTTGACCCAACGCTCAAGAAGTATAACTTCAAAATGGCTGGATTGAAACAGTCACAACTCAAGTGCCTGCCAAAATCCCAGAGGATTTCAAATTCCAAGAAGGTTTTCCAACTAGGAGGGTGGTTGAGGGTTCAAGAGGCCGTTTCCCAACTAGAAACAGGGCCTTTGAAGCTTGTGGGGTTTCAAGATGGAAATATTTTGCCCATCATGCTTAGTTCTACCAGATACAACCACCCTGTTTCTTGGGCTTATCTGGAGGAATCCAGGAATGGGCTGTAGTCTTTGTTGCACAAGTAAGCACACACCACAGAAAACACAATGGAGGAGAAGAGCTGTGTGATAACCTATGGTAGCTAAACTTCAGAAAGGGGAAATCCAGAAGATCATCTCCCTCCATCCCAATTTAAACCCTAGTCTAACCAGGCATGTGACGAACTGAGCAGAACCTCTCAAGAGAACCGTTGTCTTAATCTAGGAAAACGTGTGGATTTATTCCTCCTGGTTTTCTGAGAAACAGGCGTGTCAGGGATCTTCACGCTTTCTAGACTTCAATGCTCACCTTCCCAACTGTGCCTTTTTCACAGATTTTCGGTATTGACCTCATCATGGGGAACGAAAGCCTCTGGCCCCTGCTGTTGGGGTTCACCTTCATCCCCTCCTTGGCCCAGTGCATCCTGCTGCCTTTGGCTCCCGAGAGCCCCCGTTTCCTTCTCATTAACCGCAACGAGGAGAACAAAGCTAAGAGTGGTAAGTTGCCACCAGTAGCTGAGATGGGCAGGTTAAGTCTTTCGGATTTCTGGGTGGCCATGGTCTTCATTTCTCCACGGTAGACCTCTCTCTTGGTCTACAAAATCAAGTCCCTCTCCAGATTTTCCAGGTCTCCTGATCCTGGGCAGACCAGATCACCTTGAAATGTTCTCATGTAGTCCTCAAGGGTTCATTTAAGGCTAGCATGTCCTGATGTAAGTCAACCCTGAAGGAAGTCCCACTGAAACCAGAGGAATTGCTGGCATTGTCTTTCGTTCTCTTGCCTCTTATCCTTTAAAAATAATCCCAAAGCAGAGGGAGGTACCTGGGACGCTTGTCTGACTTTTATCAGCAAGTGCTACCTGGAGGTCTTCTTAACTCCAGAATAACAGAAGCGACCTTGGAGGTCTTCTAGTCCAACCCTCTGCTCAAGCAGGAAACCCTCTACCATTTCAGATAAATGGTTGTCCAATCTCTTCTTAAAAAAACCCAATGTTGGGGCAGCCACAACCTCTGAAGTCCATATGAAGCCGAGTCAGAAATAGAGAAAGACTAGAAACATAGTTGAGAGAACTTCTCTGAGTCCCACCAGGTAGACCAAATTAGGAAATCAGTTTCAGCAGAAAGGTTAAAAGTGATTTAATTGAGATTAGCCACAATGACCCAAATGTGTAAGTCTGATTGTGTTTCCCCTCCTTCCCCTCCAGTGAATTAGGCAGGTGTCTGTCTGAGCTAATTCTGAACATTATTTGGCTGTCCTGGTCTTCAAAAATGCTCCAGCCCCTTTGGGTTCCTGTGCATCTCCATCGAGGCCGTCTTCCTTAGTCTGGATCCCACCCACCACTCCCCGGGGAGAGTGAGGAAGCCACATGTTGAGGACCAGGGGCCCAACAGTTGAGTTGCAAGTCTGGTTTACGAACCTTCTGTTTTTCTCTCCAGTCCTAAAGAAGCTCCGTGGGACAACCGATGTCGGCCAAGACCTCCAGGAGATGAAAGAGGAGAGCCGGCAGATGCTTCAGGAGAAGAAGGTCACCATCTTCGAACTCTTCCGTTCGCCTATCTACCGCCAGCCTCTTTTGGTTGCCATCATACTGCAGCTCTCTCAACAACTTTCGGGGATCAACGCGGTAAATGTGGGGCTGGAACGAGAAATTGCGGTGAAATGTAGGGTTGGTTTTGAGGTCCTACCAACCCCGTTGAGTAGGACAGTATCCTCCTCATTGCATCTAAACAGCATCGCTTCTCTACCAACAGCCCAACAATGCCACCGAGGGCTCTTAGAGCCCAATTGCGTTGACGTCCTTCTTCTTCTCTCCCTTCTCCAAGGTGTTCTACTACTCCACAGATATCTTTGAAAGAGCCGGAGTGCAGCAACCTGTCTATGCCACTATTGGGGCGGGAGTTGTCAACACAGCCTTCACGGTCGTCTCGGTGAGTAGGGAGATTTCTTGCTAAGAAAGCAGACCTGGAGCGAGGACAAGGGAGAGGACTTGGAAACAGGAGGGAGGGGCTACAGCGATAGATGTTATAATAGGTGTTCCTAAACAGCCATGGGGGACCACTCTCTTGGGAGCACCTGAAGTTCATTTGGAGCAGGGAGTGTGGCAATCTTCAGAACCAACATGAGATAGTTCAGGTGGTCCATGTCAATGGAAGGTCTCAGTCAACCAGTCGATGGTTGTCCCAAAGGTGCTTTTTCAAAAGGCAACTGGACTTTATTTTTCCCTGAAGATGTTTGGCTTCTCGTCCAAGAAGCTTCTTCAGTCAGAACCTTTCAGATGGTCCAGATGTTCTGGAGATGGGTGCTAGTTCCACAGAATATAATTGGGCAGATGATTAAATGTCAACCTGAATCAACAGCCACTTCCTCAAAGTTGATTCGTACATGGCAAGGTCAACAACTCACCTAGGGTCATAACCTCTAACTCAGAAGTCTTCAAACTTGGCAGCTTTAAGACTTGTGGACTTCAACTCCCAGAATTCTCCAGCCAGCTGGCTGGCTGGAGAATTCTGGGAGTTGAAGTCCACAAGTCTTAAAGCTGCCAAGTTTGAAGACCTCTGCTCTAATTCCTTTGCATAGTCTCCCCAAAGTTCTTTGATGATTTTGAAGACGACCTTCCACGGTTTCCATGCTGATGTATCTACCTTGTTCTCTCTCTCTGAAGCTGTTTGTGGTAGAACGGGCCGGCCGAAGGACGCTGCACCTCATTGGACTCATGGGGATGGCCATATGTGCAGTTCTCATGACCATCGCCCTGGCACTACTGGTGAGTAGCAAATATGGATCCATCAGAGGTCCCATGATGGTAAATGAGGAGGACCCTGATGTTTTCACTAACCATTTCATATGTCTGATTCTTAGCACAGGAATTGATCCTTTCCCAGGAAATTATGGGAAGGATAGTCCAACACACCAGGAGAACTCAAGATGTTCTCCTCAACAGGAGTACGTACTGTGGGTTTTGAGTCTAACATTCTGCTGATTTTTCTCCAAGTGTTCGTATTCAATTGAATTACTACGATTCTTAAAAAGAAGAATGGAAGAAAATAGAATAGAATAGAATAGAATAGAATAGAATAGAATAGAATAGAATAGAATAGAATAGAATAGAATAGAGAATAGGAAGAGGAGAGGAGAGAATTGCTTTATTGGCCAAGTGTGATTAGACACACAAGGAATTTGTCTCCAAGGAAGCTAAGAACTGAGAAAAAACCCCTTCAAGAATGCCACCAAAAGTGATGGGAAATACAATTATAAGTTGTTTCCCTGATTCTATTTTGTTTTTTCTTCCTCTGCTAGACTCAAGTGCCATGGATGTCTTATCTCAGCATCGTCGCCATCCTGGGCTTCGTGGCGTTTTTCGAAATTGGCCCCGGACCCATTCCTTGGTTCATTGTGGCAGAGTTGTTCAGCCAAGGCCCACGTCCTGCTGCCATCGCCGTTGCCGGACTGTCCAACTGGACCGCCAACTTCATCGTAGGGATGGGCTTTCAGTATGTGGCGGTGAGTGTGGAGCTCCGAAGAGCATCCGAGAGGGACGTCATGTATGTGATTAATTTCCAGGGGTCGATCTGCGGCAAAGCAACCAAGAAGCAGGAGATGCTTTGAGAAGCTTCTGTTTCTCATTAAAAGGAGACCTGGCTTCGGATCGTCTCAAATTTACATGTTCCCTCTATGTTACTCCATCCTTCTTGCAACCAAGGTTGCCTGGGTAGACCTGCTCCTTCGGCATAGCTCTAGCTACCCAACTACCATCTCTACTTTCTTGAGCAGAGGTCTTCAAACTTGGCAGCTTTAAGACTTTGTGGACTTCAACTCCCAGAATTCTCCAGCCAGCTATGTTCTTGAGGAACTCAATGGCTGCTTTTACATCTGGGAGAATAATAGAATAAGGGAAGGGACTTTGGAGGTCTTCTAGTCCAACCCCTTGCTCAAGCAGGAAGCCCTATGCCTTTTCAAACAAATGGCTGTCCAATCTCTCCTTAAAAACCTCCTCCAGTGATGAAACACCTACAACTTCTGGAGGCAAGTTGTTCCACTGGTTAATTGTTCTAACTGTCAGGAAATGTCTCTTCTCTCCTTGATTAGCTTCCATCTGTTGCTTCTTATCCTGCCTTCAGGTCCTTTGGAGAATAAGAAGAGTCTGCTGGGGATGGAGAACTGATCAGAGAAGGGTGAGGGTGGGGTACGATGAAATGAGGGCCTCACATGAGGAGATACCTTTCACCCCAAGTGAGACTCCCCATTGAGTGCCAGGTTGTGGCAATGAAAGGCTTCATGCTTCCTTCCCAAGTATCAAAATAGAGATTTCCATACTGCCCGGATATTTAGAAGGTTCTGAAAATTAAGTTTTCACCTCTTTCAAGATAAGTATTGTGGAAGCCAGCAGAGTTCTGAGGGTGGACACACTAGAAGGTTCTCCAGAAAAGATGGCTACTTTTAATGGGACTGATCAAGGAATCCGGGACTTCTTGCTTGAAAGAGAACCTCTCTTTCAAGAGAATCTCTTGAGAACCACCTCTCAAGAGAAGACTGTCCACCCAACCTTCTTGACTTAGCGGTGGTGGGTTGAGTCATCATTAGTTAAGCTCCCTCTGGCTGCACCTCTGACTCTACACTAAACAGAGCCACGATGACCCTTCCTCTCCTTCTCTTACAGGACCTCTGTGGTGCCTACGTCTTCATCATCTTCACCATCTTGCTGGTCCTCTTCTTCATCTTCACCTACTTCAAGGTGCCTGAGACCAAGGGCCGAACCTTCGACGAGATCGCCTCCGAGTTCCGCCAAGGGGGTGCCTCCCATGGAGACAAGAGCCAAGATGAGTTCCACAGCTTGGGTGCCGACTCCCAAGTCTAAAGTTCAGGAGGTGGGCAGGCATCTCCTCCGCTTCACTCTTCTCCTCCTGCCCTTCCTCTCCACATGCTTGTTACGACGCCAGGCCCAAGGCGAAGAAGAAGTATTTGGGCCCCGATTCCAGCCCCCACGGCCTGGTCTCTGGGCGACGAACCCGTCTCGTAGCTCCTTAGGAAGGACCCTTAGCGGCTGGTCTTGGGTCCAGGATTTCAACGTTGTCAAAAGCGTTCAGAGGTATCGATTCCTCTTGAGAAGATAGCACTTCCTACCCCACCCTTCCCAGTCCTTACTCTGTTCTTTTTTCCTCTTTGTTTTATAAAGGAGAAAAAGCATCTCCCCTTTGCCCCCCAACCCCCCCCCTTGTGTTGCCAGAGACAAAACACTGAATACCATTAAACGCTGGTTAAATACAAGACAAGGGGGGGGGGGAAACTGAAGAGCGGAACTGCTGAAAGGAACTCGGATGGGATTTGGAGGGTCAAGCGGTGGGGTTTTGGAGGCCGGAGTTTTGAAAAGTTGGGGAGAAGAACTGAGTGGACACAGGGACGTCCTTTGAGAAGTGGCCATCACATTCCTCAGAGGGACAGTCATCCTCCAGAGCAAGGGGATCCTGGGCTCGGTGGTCCAAGGGAGGTGATGAAAGAACGGAGATGGTTTGGGAAGGGAAGGCGATCTACCCCGAGGCACCTCTGGCAGAGTGGGGAGGGTTTTTTTCCACAGTTTGGGGGTAACAACTGCAGGCTGTTAACCTTTGGGGGGAGTGACAGCTGTCCCTGATCTAGAAGGGGGGGGCAGGTTTTGGCATTTTTCTGATGAGACAAGACCCCCCCCCCCAGTTCAAGGGTCTGAAGGCAAGAGGGTGCCAAGGCTGCCCCTCGGCTGGTTCAAAAGCTTGAGAGGAGCCAGCGATGGCTGCCCCAGTAGTTGTGAAGACCACCCTGGGTGACCCCCCCACACACACACCTGGCCCACCCTTGCTAGAGGTGGACGGGTCAGACCGTGGCCCAAAGGCTTCCTCCTTGCTCGAAATTCTCTGGATGGGGAGGAAAAGAGAGAGAGACAGAAAGATGAAAGGAAGAATGAGAGGATGAGAGAGAAAGAGCAAATGAGAGAGAGAAAAATTCCTTCCTTTTCAGGAATACTTTCCCTCAGATTCCTGCCCAGGGTGAGGTTGGTCTGACTTCAGACTCCGCCGGGTACAGGGCGTGCGGTCCTGGGTTCAAAAAAAGAACATTTCCCCAGCTTGGCCGAAGATGGTCCCAACGGACTGCCTCTGAAGAGAAAGTAGAGCTTTCTGCCCTGGAAATTGACTTAATTCCCGCCCCCCCCAAAAGCCAACAAAAAACTCCAGAAGTCATACACTGCGCCAAGACTGACCCACCCACCCATATCCTTTTCCAGATCCCCATTAACTGCCTTGCCCCCCCCCCCCCCCCCGCCCTGCAAGGGAGCTCAGACAGACGCAGTTCTATTGTGTCTTCGGCAACTGAACTCGCTCAACACCCCATTCTCTCCCCCTCACCCCCCACCCCAAAATGAGAATAGCTGCACCCGTTTTCCTAGCTTTCCTAGACTGGAAAATATTTATATTATTATGTATATATATTTCTTTTTTTGTTCCTGTTTCATGCGGACAGTGCGCTCAGTTATAAGCATTGTTCCCCATATTCCCAGTATTTCCTGCGAATACTGTATTCTTGAATAGTTCTAGTTTCTCTAGCTGTCGTTAAAGAGCTGCGTTTGACTGCGATAAACTTATTTTTTTATATAGAGTATCTCACCTGCACTGTAGCAGAACCCGTTGCACTGATAATGTTAGGTTTCTCTTTAGTCTAGTCAGCCAACCTGGTTTTAAAAAAAAGAAGAAAAAAAGAGAAAAAAAGGCCTTTCCTGTTTTGTGTTTGCTAGTCCTCCACAGGTTTGCAAAAAGAAAGAAGAATCCTGAAGCGAGACAATTAAACGCGCCTATTTAATAATATATGTATATTTTATTTATTTGTCTGTTTGTAAACCGAAGGCATACACACAACCGCACTTGAATAAAAGAATTACATTTCTAGGGTATTTTTTTTAAAACGTTAACTTTTGTGTTTTGCTGTGTTACTGTGTGAGGTCGAGGGGGTAGGGGACGGGGAGGGATCCTTTCTGAAGTGCCAACGGGAAGGGAGAGAAGGAAAGCCAGAAAGGACACATTTGTATGGATCAAATAAAACGAAACAAAAGCTGGGACTGTGTGTCCTGCAAAGTTGCTTCAGTTGGGGGAGGGGGGTGTGTGTGGAGAGAATTTGCAAAAAAAAATAAATAAATTCTCTACTCGCCTTGTGAAACCTGCTCGAGTCTGGGCACCTGGCAGAGGCAAACTTCAACTCCCAGAATTCCTCAGCCGGCAGCAGCCTCAGGTGGGGATTCTGGGAAGTGATTGCCGCATAACCCAATCCGGACGGTCATTCAGGATGTTTGGGGAGAGGTGAAGTCATCAAGAACACCACAAATGGAGCAGCGAAGCCCCCAGAAGAGGGAAAGGAGTGGTTTTCCTGCTGCTTAACAGGAAATTTAGAAAACCGGCAATGTCTATAAGACTTGGGGAAGGAGGGATTTCCTGGTGGTGACTTTTCCCCGGGTCTTTTAGAGGATGCTGGTTGTCTAAATTTCTTTTTAAGCAGCAGGATGGTGGTTAGGGGACAAGTGCCCACTGGAGGACCTTAGCTTGGTTCTTCAAACTTCTCGGCTGGGTCTTAGCCTCCCTCCTCCTCCTGAGATGGAAAAAACCCCCAGAGACCCAGCACAGACACCCCACCCCACCCCGAGAGACAGCACGCTTCTCCTGATCAACAGGACCAGAAAGCCTGCACCCGCGCACACACACACCCACACACACCAGCTGCATCAAACCATCTGAGAAACGCCAGAGGCCCAATATCCATCTGGGTCAGTTTGAAACGACATGGACAATAAGAGGGTGGATTTAAGGAACCACCAGAGGAAAGAGACCTTCCCTGTGGCTGAACAGTCCATTAAAGGGAGTCTTTGGATGGTGTCTGTGAACAACCCCCCCCCACAACACCTCCCCATATAGATGGGTCCATCCATGTCTTTGACGGCTCTCTGGGAACTCTCATCCCGGCCTCAAACCAAAACCAAAATAAATTTTAAGTCCTGCTACTGGGATGATGGCAAATAATTGCCTTTTGGGGGGCTGTCTCCAGAAATGGCTTCCATGTTCCCCCCCCCCCCCCTTATTCTCCTTTTCTCAAGGTGGCTTCGATTCTCCTTCAGAGGGCTCCCGTTTCTATCAACGTTTTTCTCGGTTCCAGGTTTACTCAAGCACCTTTAAAGGATAAGGCCAAGGAATCAAGGAGAGAGAGATGAAAAGAAATAAAGAGATAAATTTAAAAAAAAAAAATTACCTCTTAGGCTTTGACAATTGAGCACTTTTGTTCAGATGTAAAGACCCTGGCTTATGATGTACTGTGCGACTACGGCCAGCGGTGCCTCTTCAACAAACTCGGGCTAAACAGACCAGGGTTCTGCAGGATGTGTGAACCAAGAAGCTAGCCACCCCTTGGGACATACAGGTGTTCCTTGGCTTATGACCCCAACTGAGCCCCAAATTTATGAAACATTTGCTAAGTGGGCTTTGCCCCAGTTTACGATTTTTCTTGCCACTTTTGTTAAGCGAACAGTTGCTGTTGTTAAAAGTTAGGGACACAGTTGTTAAGCGAATCTGGCTTCCCCGCTGACATTGATCGCGTGATCCCACCGTCATAAATACGAGTCAGTTGCCAAGCGCCTGGGCTTTGATCACGTGACCGTGGGAAAACTGCAACGGACGTGTAAAAAAACAACCCTACGTCCCTTTTTCCAGTGCCCTCATAACTTGGAACGGTCGCTAAATGAGCTGTTGTAAGTCGGGGACTACCTGTACCTGCTCCCCCCGCAGGTGACACGTATGTTGTTGTGACCTGGATCTTGCCTCCCGATACTGTTGTGCAAAAACCTTCTGGGCTTTTGCCATCCCACAAAGACGCGAGACTGACTCTTTTCGTTAAAATCGGAAAGACGCGCAAGCCAAAGGACGAGCGGCGGCTGGCGACTGTTTACCTTGAGGGAGTCGGGAAGAGCTATTTCGCCTGCTCCTCTTTGGATTTGATCAGCTTGACCAAGCGGTAAAGCAATTCGTTCGGCTCACGTTTGGGCAGGGACTGTGCGGTTTGTAGAAATCTCATCACAAATTCATCCGCCTGGAACGAGGCACGCCGGGAAGGGGAAAAGAGAAGGAAAAAAAAAAAGCAGGGTAAATAAAGTTTAAGCCCTTCGCAGAAAGAGAGGAAAACAAAGCAAAACCACAACTGGTTGTTTCTGGGGGGGTTTTTTTTTCTTGCAAGTTCAAAATATGCTGTTGACTTTGTGTGAACTAGGGAAGGGCGTACATAAGATCTTTTCCTGGGTTCCTGGGTATGTCTGGTCTAGAAAAAAAAAAGGATTAAGGGGGGGACATGATAGCAGTCTTCCAATATTTTGAGGGGCTGCCACGAAGAAGAGGGGGCCCCACCTGTTCCCCGAAGCACCCGAAGGCAGGACAAGGCAGGTCCTTCTTGGTTTCTTCCCCAGTTACCTTTGCCAGATCATGGACCAAGAAATGAAACATGGCCAAGGCGTGCAGCACTTTGGCCTCCTTCTCTAGCTGCGGCCTGAGAGACGCGTTTCGGAAATCCAAGATGGAGTTCAGCATCTGCGACGCTTCAGCCTGCTCCTTGTCATCTGGGAGAAGAGGAAGGAGGGTCCCAACAGTGGGAAAGGGTGTGGGGGAATCCCCCCCAGAGACTCCGGGGAATGGTGGGGGTGGGGGGAAAGACGATATGAATCCTTACAGGCAGTACACAATCTACGACCACAATGGAGCCCAGAACTTCCGTTGCTAAGCGTGACGCTTGTTAAGGGAAGTTTGCTCCATCTTACGTCCTTTACTGCCACAGCTGTTAAGTGAATCACGGCAGTTGTTAGGTTAGCAACATGGTTGTTAAGTGAATCTGGCTTCCCCATTGACTTTGTTGGTCAGAAGGTTGCAAAAGGGGATCACCTGACCCCCTTTTTGATCAAGCGACCATCGAGAAGTTGCACTGGTCGTAAGTCTGAAAAATGGTCATAAGTCCCTTTTTCCGTTGTAACTTTGAACGGTCCCTAAATGAATGGTTGTAAGTGGAGGACGACCTGCAATGGACAAAGGTTCATTTAACAACCGTGTGACTAACTTAACGACTGCAGTGATTCCCTTAACAACTCTGGCACGAAAAGTCATAAAATGGAGCAAAGTTTGCTGAACAAATGTTTCATTTAGCAACAAAAGCTTTGGGCTCCATTGTGGTCGTAAGTCAAGGACTCCCCTGTACAGCTAGAATTGCTTAACCCTTCATGGGTTTCCCTCCACGTTGTGACTTTACAGATCCCAAAGGGGAAAACTCCCTTTTCCGTAGGAGAGCAGGGTAGAAATGCTTCAAATCAATGCAGAGCGTGGCCTTCTCCATTGGGGGGGGGGGGGGGGGGGGCCCCAAAGGGGGGGGCCCGGCCCCCCCGGGGGGGGGGGGGAAGGTGGGCCTCCTTACCCAGTACGTCCACCTCTGTCTTGTCTTCCACAGACAGCAGGTCAATCTCTGTGGGAGTGATGAGTTTTTGGTACTGGATTTCAACGAAGTGGCTGAAGTGATCGTACCAGAGATCTACCACCTGGGGGGAGAAACATGGAAGCTCCAATAACAACAATAAGGAGGGTTATTTTAATTTAATCAAGGGGGGCGGGTAGCATGAGCCTAACATGAGCCACAGTGACGCAGTGGTTAGAGTGCAGTACTGCAGGCTACTTCTGCTGATCACCGGCTGCCAGCAGTTTGGCAGATCGAATCTTACCAGGTTCAAGGTTGACTCAGCCTTCCATCCTTCCGAGGTGGATAAAATGAGGACCCTGATTGTTGGGGGGGCAATATGCTGATTCTGTAAACCGCTTAGAGAGGGCTGTAAAGCACTATGAAGCGGTATATAAGTCTGTGCTACTGCTACTGCTATTTTAGGGTGGCGCAAATCCTAAATCTTTTTTTTTTTTTAACTGCCTGAGAATTCATTCTCACTTGCATCTAAACTCCCAGCCGGGTCGTGTGTGTGTGTGTGTGTGTGGGTGTGTGTGTGTGTGTCCACTGACCTCACAATACAAGGAATCCACAATGTCCATCTTATTCTGGTGGGAGAAGACGTTGGCCATGTGGAAGTAGCCTCCGGAGACGGCCACGTTCCTCGTCGTCCCAAAAGCGCAACACGCGAAGTATACCTGTGGTGGAATCCATTGGGGTGGAATTGAGAGGGACACACAATGAGGCCCCTTGTTGAAAGCTGATGGGAAAGGCGGGGGGGGGGGGGGGACGGGGAGGGGGGGGGGGGGGGATACTTTGGTAGTGAAACGTCTGCAAGAAAACCACCAAGCTCAGAGAGCACCAAGGACCCCAGTGTCTTTCTCCTCCTCCCCCTCTGCAAACCCCACTCCCTTCTAGCACTGATAAGGTTACCTAGTTGGGTCATGAAACATCTGTGAGGAAACCTCCAAGCTCAGAGAGCACCAACGACCCCACAGTTTCACCCTGAGCTACCAATGTTCTCTTCTCTCGAGACTCCCTTTTCTGTTTAGGATGGTGCTCTCAGATTGTGTACAGTCCCTGGACTTAAACCCAAGTTCCCATCTGATTCCAATCAAGTTGGGAAGGCAGGAAGTCCTTAATAACTTCTCCATGTTACGCAAACCCGCTTTGTGGTTGATTCAGGGCTCAGCCGGGCCCTCGCAAGCATGGAAGGGTTTTCATGGCCGTGAAGGATTTCAGTCCCTCAGAATCTGGTTTTAATTAATCAAGAAACGACTTTGCCTTTTTGGCTCCCCCTTGCTCAGGCTGTGACCCCCCTCCTCTCTCCTGGGGTGGCTGCTCCTTCTGAAGCGCCCCTCTCAAGGAAAGAGGGAAAGACCCACGATTGCATCTGCCCACTGAGCCTTACGTCGTTGGCCAGGTGGTACAAAGACTCGTCCAAGTTCCCTTTGGCGGCATGCAGGAGCCCCAGGTTGCGATACAGCTTGGACTGAACGTGGTAGCTGCAGTGGGTGTTCTTGAGGACGATCCACTGGGCTTGGGAGAGGTACTCTTCGCCTTGCGAGAGGTGACCCAGGCCTGGGAAACCAGCAAGATGCAGCCACGTTATGCAAGGAACAGGAAACCAGCAAGGAATCTTGGCTTGGGCAGAGACAGAATGCCTGAATGCACAAACCCTCCAACCCAGATAGATAGATAGATAGATAGATAGATAGATAGATAGATAGATAGATATAGGCAGCAATTTAATATGTGCATGGATGGGTAGATATGACAGATATGACAGGAAAGAGAGAGAGAGAAAGAGAGGAAGAGAGAGATTGGAAGAGAGACAGGAAGAGAAACAGACAGACAAGCAGACAGACAAGCACCCATATTGCAATCATACAACTACAGGGCTGGTGCAACAATCGTAACTTTGAAGATGAGTCATAAGCTACTTTTTCTGAGTCGGTTGTGAACTTCAAGTTGTTATTCAACAACCGGTCAGTCATAAGTCAAGGCCTTCCCCTCCTGGCCCCTCTTCCCCCCTGTGGCTCACCCAAGCTGGTCTCGGCTAAGATGAGGTAGGGAGGAACCAGCTCCACCGCACTGGAACCATAGATGCTGATGCTGAATTTCAGGGATTGCAGGGCGGCTGGGATGGCATCTTCGTAGTGGCCTTCGATGAGAAAATTCTGGGCCGTCTCGTAGGTCACTTCAGCCAGGAAGATCTGTGGGGGCAAAAATTAAAGGGTTAGATGGGGGTTTTTTTCTTCCAGTAAATTTTGAAAGGTTGTAAAATGGGGCAAAGCTCACTTAAGAACTGTATTGCTTAACAAATTTTGGGCTCAATTGTGGTCGTAAGCCGAGGACTGCCTGCGATTGATGGCGCTGACCGCCTGGCCTACCTCTCGGTTCCGCCTCTGCTCCTCCCCGAGTTTCCTTTCCTTCTCCGAGGTGTAGAAGGGGGGAGCCGCCCGCAGAGGGATGAGCAGCTGGCAGATCTTGGCATGGACGCTGACCCAGTCGGCATTCTGGTGGTCCACATCACTGGTGAAAGGCATGGGGGAGGGGGAGTGAATAAAATTGGGCATGGCTCGCCTAACGTCCACCTTGCTTAGCAACGGGAATTCTGGTCCCGACTGTGGCCAAAGTCGAGGACCGCCCCTATTACTAGGTAAGAAAATGAAAATGCAGATACAAATGCATGCAGAATTAACACGTTTCAGCGTCAATGAAAAGAGCGATTGGCTGAACCATTGTGTTGAGAAGCGTCATAAACTGGGGCACAATTCACTTAGCAACTGTCTCATTTAGCAATGGAGATTTTTGGCATAAAGCTGGGTATTACATGCACTTTGGGGCATCTCTTCCTGTCTATGTTATTATATAAAATCTATTTTATGTATTTTTACACCTGTTACATTTTTATGACCTATTTTATATCTATTTTATTTGCTCACTATTGAGTGTTACACACGTGTACATGTATGTATATGTGCATGAATGTTTTATACATACATATATGTATGTATATGTATACATGCATGTATCGTATGTTTTTTACCTGTTACCTTCTTCTGACCTATTTTATACCCATATCTGAGTGTTGAATACGCCCAGCTGAGGGTTGATTGCCTGCAACTTGGAAAGGAGATTTACACCTGCAAACAGTCCGTTGCAACGGGCGCTTCACCGGGCGGAGCCCCGCCTGCGGGCCACTCACCAGTAGTAGGTGACCAAGCAGGCGGCGCAGCGGACGTTGGCGGGGCCGAGGCAGAGCTCGCAGCGCCGCTTCTTCTGCCGGGGCTGAGCCAGGGGCACCAGCCACTCCGTCTGCATGGCCATCTTCTCCCGCCGCCGTTGCTAGGGCGCCGTTGCTAAGGGGGAGGCGGGGCTTCCGGCGGCCGCCATCATGCTCGAGAAAGAGCCATGTTATACGCCACGTCCGGTTATGATTTCCGGAACAGCGCTCCGGCTGGGAGGGGCGTGGCGCGCAGGCGCAATAAGCAGCGGCCGTCATGCCATGAAGCGCTCGGCTAGAAAGACCAAACCTTCAGGCTCCACTTCCGATTGTTTCCCGGAAAGGCGCTCTGTCTTGGCTGAGTGTAAGAGGCGGGACTTTCCGCGGCGGCCATGGTGACATGAAGATTTGGCCGGAAAGACCCACCTTTTCCGGCTCTGCTTCCCGGAAGACCGTTCTGACTAGGCCCCGGAACGACAGTTGTGCGCAGGTGCGGGAGGCGGGGTTTCCGGCCGAGGCGTGAGCAATGGCGGCTGCGGGGACGATGGCGGCGTCCTGGGAGCGGGAGGCGGCGGCTGAGGCGGAGGGTCGCGTCCGGGCCTGGGCGGAGGCGCAGCGGGCTGGCGGGCGCCGCGTGGCGCTGGTGACGTCCGGAGGGACGCAGGTGCCGCTGGAGGCCCGCGCGGTCCGCTTCCTGGAGAACTTCAGCAGCGGGCGGCGCGGGGCGGCCTCGGCGGAGCGACTGGCGGCGGCCGGCTACTCCGTCTGCTTCCTGCACCGGGCGCGCTCGGCCTTCCCCTGGGCGCGCGTCCTGCCGCCGCCCGGCCCGGCTCTGCTGGACCTGCTGCGCGTGCACGAGGAGGACGGGGAGGTGCGCGTGCGGGACGGGGCGCTCCCTACCCTCCTGCCCGCCCTGCGCGCCTACGGCCGTGCCCGGGACGACGGAGCCTTCCTGTCCTTGGAATTCGCCGGCCTGGCCGAGTACCTGGCCCTGCTGCGCGCCGCCGCCCGCGCCCTCGCCCCGCTCGGTGAGGTCCCTCTGGGTGCCTGGGGGAGAGGGAGACGTGCCAAGGCCTTTACATAAAATGCAGGGAAAGGCAGGACGGGAAAGTAGCGAATGCAAGCCAGGCATGCGAAAACACGCTGGCACATGCAAAAATTTGTTATTAGAATAGTTGCAAGTACAGCTGATGCAATGCATGCAAACACTACGTGGAAGCGTACTATGACTAAGTTCTATCACATAGGTCCAAATATACCCAATACAATCCGTACAAACACTACACGCAAACAAGCTATGACAGTAACTGAAGTACAGTAGCTGCAAACGGAGCCAATACAATGCATGCAAGCAGTATTTAACAGTATGACAGTAAGAGGAAATACAGTACATGGAAATGCACTATATGCGACTGGAACTTGGGAATTCTAGGCCTCTGTTAGGCACTGGATGACTTTGGGCCAGTCCCTCTTTCTCAACCCAACTTACCACATAGTCTTGTTCTGGGAAAAATAGGAAGAAGGAGGAACATTATGTATGTTTTGCCACTTTGAATCAATCAATCTCTCTTTCTCGGTAGAAATCTAATAATAGCTTGCCGTATCAATTCAAAGTCGTACAGTTGTTATTAAAGTTTAGAATTGCCAGCAGGCAACATAGCTTTGCTTTTATAGTTTTATTTTGGAAGGACGGAGCAGCTGGGTTTCCTTTCATCCCTGTGTTTTTCACACTCTCTGCCCCATCAGGTTCCAATGCCATGTTCTACTTGGCAGCGGCTGTGTCGGATTTCTACATCCCTCCATCAGAGATGCCCGAACATAAAATCCAGTCTTCTGATGGGCCCCTCCAGGTAAGAGGAAATGATGTGGGACGCCCTTTCATAAGGATGGCAGCTGTGAGACACACAAGTGGGAGAATTTGGAGAGGAGAAAGGGGGGGGGCTGAGAGAGCTAGAAAGAAGAGCCAAAGGTGACAACTGAATAACAGAGTTGGACAGGACCTTGGAGGTCTTCTAGTCCAACCTCCTGCTCAAGCAGGAGACCCTATAGTATAGGGCCTATACCATTTCAGACAAATGACTGTCCAGTCTCCTCTTAAAAGCTCCCAGTGTTGGAGCACCCACACCGTCTGAAGGCAAGCACTTCCATTGTCCTCACTGTCAGGAAATTGTTCCTTAGTTCTAGGTTGCTTCTCTATTTCATTAGTTTCCATCCGTTGTTTCTTGTCCTGCCTTCTGCTGCTTTGGAGAAGAAACCCATTAGGAGGCCATTAGTAGCAATCGTTGCTATTTCTTCTCTGGATTGAAAATGTGTTCCTGCCTTTCGCTAAATTCTCTCTGCTTCCCTTGTTGCAGATAACCATGAAGATGGTACCCAAAATGCTGTCTCCGCTGGTTAAGGAATGGGCCCCTGAAGCGTTCGTGATCTCCTTCAAGTTGGAAACCGATCCTTCAATCCTGGTTGAGAAAGCCAGGCAGGCCCTGGCCAAATACAACCACCAGGTGGTCATTGCCAATGCCTTGGACACTCGAAGGACCGCGGTGATCGTGGTCACTAAGTATTCGGAAACCCCGTTGTCCATTTCGGAGGAGGAAATCGCCCAAGGCATAGAGATTGAGGACAAGATTGTTGGCCACCTAGTATCCCAGCACAGAGCCTTTATGGAAAAATGATTCCCTGGTGGATAAATGTGAACTTTTCCAAGTTCTCAGCTATAAATTTAAGAACCGCTAGGAGCTGGTGATAGTGAAACTGGTGACACTGGAACACTTCTATTTCCTGTGAACAGAGATCTCTTAATGGGGGTCAAGGAGGCGAAATCTGACAGAGCTTCCTGGTTTCTTTGCACATCTCCAGGCCTGTTTGCTGCTCATTGGTGGGAAAGTTTAAAGGACAGGAACATTCCAAATGACAACTCGCTCTGGTGTGTGATTGGTACAATCACACGGGTTGGCGTTTTGGAGACCAGACAGACAGCAACTTCTCTGTGTGTGTTTTTTTTTTTTTTTTTGCTGCCTTGGTAAAAATCACTCAGGAAAAGTTGAAAAGCATTCTAGTCAATTTCTGAATGTTATTCCATCTTGAATTAAGCCAGTTTGCACAAAATAATAGTTTCTGGGCCAGTATGTGGATTGTTGACATCTGGTATCCCAAAATTATTAATTGATCAAATAATAGATCCATTGGAGTTTGGTGGACCAGTAATGTTCCAATGTTGTCTTTTTCTTCCAAAATGTCTCCATTCGACCTTTTCTGGAGTTAATGTATACTTCTTCTCCTGCAAGAAAAAAAATCAAATGGCTAAAATCTTCCATCACTTTGATGCCTTAGGAAAGGTGAATTTTATACAGGTAGTCCTTAACTTACGACCGTTCGTTTAATGACTGTTCCATGCTGAAAATGCTGAAAAAAGTGAATTTCAACTGGTCCTTGCACTTACAAACAGTTGCAGCATCCCCACGGTTACTGGATCAAAATGTGGGCGCTTGACAACCAGCATCCCAGGATCATGTGATCACCACTCTCAGTTTTCCCAGGAAGCTTTTGACAAGCAAAATCAATGGAAGAGGCTGATTTGCTTAACGACCATAGCAAAAAAGGTCATAAAATCAGGCGCAACTCACTTAATGATTGCATTGCTTACTGATACCTCTGATGGTCGTAAGTCAAGGGATTCCTGTACTATGTTCACACAACCTGCTCAGTTCTGCTTTGCTTAAAATGGTTTGCTGGCTATGCTTTCATGACACACCCCAGGTTAATCAAGCCACGTTAACGGTTTATTTGTTACGAGGACCCAATGGTAAAATCAGTTTCCTTGTGTTTGCAAACTCTATTAACTGTCAAGGTTTTTGGATCGTGTTTTAAAAACTGACCGGAAAAAGGAATGTGATACTTGAGGAAGGCTGAGAGAAAGGAAGACAATAATAATAATAAAAAATTGGAAACTAGACTTAAAAAATTGTATGCGTTGTTCTTGCTTGCCTTGTGCGTCTCTGGCTTAGCATGCGCTAGGCAAAACATGGGGTTTTTTGACATGTGTACCCTATATTCATGGTGTGTTTTGTAAACCACGGTTAAAGCAGCTGGTTTCCTTGGTGCAATACTATTCAGGTGAGCTCTGAGTTCATTTATAACACAGGGTGTGTCACTGGCCCTTGGTGCTGCTTCTTGGGGAGAAATTATCAGTAGAAAAACATTTTTTCAATTGGAGTGGCTTTTAAGATGTGCGGACTTCCGTTCCCAGCTTGCTTGCTGGGGAATTCTGGGAGTTGGAAGTCCACAGATACTGAAAGTGGCCAAGATTGAGAAACCCTGCTGAAGAGCATCCTAGCACGATGGGACGTCCCTGGGATGATGCTGGAGCCTGAAACCTGGCTTGCATCCTTAAGACAAGCATTGCACGGGATCCAACGTCGTTTTAGGTCAAGGTTGCATGTTGCTTTCGCACATGTATGCGTTCAGACGTTCCTTGTACCATATTTATAAACCAGGGCTTATCTTCTGTCTTGTCTCCATTTTCAGGTGTGGGTCATGGCAGGGTGGGCTTCCTCCAGTAGAAGAGCGTCCCCCTTCTCATTTGGGGGCAATCTCATTCCCACCACTTGCTAACCCCCCACCCCCGTTATCCTGAGCCCAGCAAAGACACGGTTGGCTTAAGTGCGAAAGAAATGGGAAGCGGTTTCTTTAAGGGGGCGTGGCCAGTTTCCAGGGCTCCCCACGGCGTCTCCGCGCGCCTAGGCCGCGCGTTGCCATGGTTTCGCGGCCTGCTTTGACGGCTACGGTCCCGCCCGGCCCCGCCGGTGCCGCGGCGCCCTCATGGAGGGAGGCCGGCCGGTGAGTCAGCCTGGGGGCCAGGAAGGGCGGCGGCGGGCGAGGCCTGCATGCAGCCATTCTGGAGGCGGAGGGCGCAGGGGAGGGTAGACTGCTCCTGCCCGGGGGGGCTCCACTCAAGGCGCTGCGGTTGAAGAACGGACTCGCCATCGGGTTTTTTTTTTCTTTTTTCCCCTCTAAATACGGCTATAAATATATTGACTGATTTTATTCCAGTTATATGCACTCCCACCTTGCAGAAATGGGCAAGGATATAACACACGCGTAATTTCCCTCTATATTTATGCATAAATGTATGTATATTATGCATATATACACACGCCCACATACACCGAACCCCGGAAGACCTATATTAAAAAGCAAAAATGTGGAAGGCATGCAAAATTTATTAAATTTATAAGCCACTGATATCACCTTGCAAGTGGGATGGCTAAATAAATAAAATAAAAATCATATATATACATATATATATATATCTATATGCATGTGTATATATATGTATATATACATACATGTGTGTGTATAAAGTACACATGCATGAATACATAGGTGGATGGACTTCTCAGTGCATTGGATTACAACTTCCATGCTCCCCAGCCTTGGACAGTGGTGGGGGGGGACGATGGGGATCTATTTGCTTAGAATTTACTTAGATTCGATTTCTGTCGCTGCTTCCAGAGTGGCAAGCTAGAGTTGGTTCAAACCATGGTTTGCCCTGGTATAAGCCGTGTTATGCCAAGGCTTGTTGCCCAGCTGTTCAGCCATGCTGGCATCCTTGTAGAAGGGAAGTGACTTGGGCTTCTGATGCTATTCTCTCTTCCAGCAGCCGGGGGAGGCCGAAGGAGGAGGAGACGCTGCCACCACCACCACCACCACCCCCTCGGAGACCCAGCTAGCCCACACGTGGCCCTGGTTCCTGCGTGGCCCGGAGGAGCTGCATTTCGCCTCTGGGGCATTGCTCCGTCAGCAGCTGGAGGAAGAGATGAGAGAGGTGGGGGCCCTCTTTGCATCGAGAGGAACTCCTCTGGAACGGTTAGGCAGCCCCAAGCCTTGAGGGGCACCCCCAGTTTCCAGGCACGGGTGGAAACTTGAGGAAATACCTAATTGCTCTCCTAAAATGTGTGCGGTTCATTAGTGGGGTAGATGCCCCACTATGGGTAGTCCTCGGCTTACAACATCCCCTTGAAGCCAGAATTTCCGTTGTTAAGCGAACAGGTGTGAAATGATTTCCCCCCCCATTTTATAACCTTTCTTGCCACTATTGTTAAGTGAATCGCTGCAGTTAAGTTAGTCACAGGGTTGTTAGTTGTCCCGTTACTTTTTCACCACCCTGGTAACTGGGAATTGGCTGTGAATCCTTTCAAGCCACCTTCAAGTTTAACCAGAGTGAGCGTTGGCTTCTAAATCAGATTTTTTGCTTCGCCTCTGGCGAAGTGGACTTCTTGGGAAGTGGAATGTAATTAGAATCACAGGGACCCTGGAGATCATGTAGTCCAACCCCCTCCTCGAGCAGGAGACCTTATACCATTTTAGACAAACGGCTGTTTCCTGAGAACCTGAGTGATGGAGCGCCCACAACTTCCAGGGCTTGATTGTTGGAGAAGCTGACAAGGGGGTCAGCCGTGGGTTAGGCCATTGGGAGTGGCCGATGCCCCAGTTCGGCCTCTCGGACTGGTCTCCGGTTGTCCTTTAAGCCTCTCCAGAGACCGACGCAAACCTGGCCGTGTCTTTTTTGTTCTACATCCTGCTTTTCTTGGACCCGAGAGAGCCCATTCTTTGGGGCTTCTGGCTTTCCTGGCATTTTAGCCTCTTGGGTGTGTGTTCAGTGTCGGATGCCCGCAGGGGACCTTCCTGTGCAAAATCCCTTGAAGAACGCGACCTCCGCAGAGCAGCGCTTCCTGCCTTCTTACGCCCGTCTGATCTGGGGGTAGGAAAGAGCCCTGGGTGGGTTTCTTCCCTCTTTGTGGCCTTCAAAGCGGCGACTTAAGACAATAAGAGCCGCAGGTTTCTTGCAGGCCACGCCAAGCATCGCTTCCCTGGCTTGGCCGATGATCCGTTTCCTTTCCCCGCTGTCGTCATCTTGACAGGGGGGAAACCAGCCCTTGCCACCTGGCTGGGCGACCCACCGCTGCCCACCCTCCGGTTTGCAAAAACCTCCCTTTTCCTCCCGCTGAGAAGGAAGGGCAGGCCACGTCAGCCATCTCGGTCTTGCTTGACGATATCTGGGGACAGTTCGTTTCTTCTCGGACTTCGGGTCAAGGAAAGGGGAGAAGGATCAGAACGGAATTTAGGGGCGGGTGGCCTGCTCCAAGACAAAAGGGTAAAAATAGTATAGCTTGGTTGGTTGCAAAGGTTTGTTTTCGGGGCCGTGAACCGTCGGGTGAGTTGGGTCACTCTTCTTTGGCCCTGATCCCCCGTTGTGAGTTGTTGTCGTTCGGATAATGAAATCCGCAAACAGCCCCCCTTCTGTGACTGAAGGCCATGAATTAGGGGGGCAACTTTGTTCAAGTATATATGCTCTGAAGCAGTCAACAGAATAACAGAGTTTGGAGGGACCTCGGAGGTCTCCTATTCCAACCCTCTGCTCAAGCAGGAGACCCTGCGCCCTGCCAGACAAATGGCTGCCCAGACTCCCTAAAGCTTTCTCTTCTGGAGCAGGAGATCCCGGTAGCTCTGTTAAATTCCTCTCTTTGAAATAAGTCACCACTAACCCATTGGAAAATAAACCAGATCCCAACTCTTGTCGGTGGTGTGTGTAGGGAGTGTACGGAGCCGCCGCCCCACCCCCCGTGGCGTTCCAGCCACTGACCAGCCAATGAGTCCCGTGGAGGGAGGGAGGCGGCTTGAATTTCTGATTATGCAGATTTCTGATCCGTGGAGGAGGAACTAAAGGGGTGGGGGAGTTCCTTGAGCAGAGCCAGAGTGCCACCTGGTGACCATCAGGATCTGGAAAGTTGGGTTTTTTTCAAGGTTGCTGTGGGCTGGGGAATTCTAGGAGTCGAAGTCCACCCATCTTCAAGCTGCCGGAGGTTGTGAAGTGCTGCCCTGAACGCTGGCAAGGAGGCTGAGAGATGAGCCTGTTGCTCAGCTGATAAAAAAAACAGCGTCCCTCTCTCTAGAGTTTGGGAACTCTGTTTCTGGACCCTCCTCCTCCTTTTCAGGTGCAGAATTACGTCGATCATGTCCGGGCCTTGACAGAAGCGAGGGATGCTTTGGCAGCAGAATACGAACGGGAAAACGAAGAGCTGAGGACGAAGTTCGCCCAGCTGCAGTTGGAACACGGTACTACCCGCCCTCGGCTGCTTTCCAAAATTTTCCAGGCCGGAGGGGAACTTCCTTGCAAGAGAGGCTGTGCCTCCTTTGGGCTACTGCAACGCAACCTCTCACCCGTCCCATTCGTGCAGATAGAATAGAATAGAATAGAATAGAACTTTTTTATTGGCCAAGTGTGATTGGACACACAAGGAATTTGCCTTGGTGCGTACGCTCTCAGTGTACATAAAAGACAAAGATACGCTCATCAAGGTCGTATTGTAATGCAAGTCCACAAGGTAGACATCACAAGGCTGTGATGCCACAGTGCGTGGCTAGAGAGGACCCTCTCTCCTTCCTCTGCCCCTTCCTCTCTTTCTCCGCCGGCCCATCACATCCACGTCTAGAGCTGACCGCTTGAGTGACAGTCGAGTCAAAGCCCTTTCAAGCCGACACACTGAAGCGGAAGGGATGCAGCTCAAGCTTTTACTCTGCTTATCCTTCAAAACATGGCTTCATCCAGATGCATTTTATTATTTTTTGAAATAATAGGCTGCTTTTCCTTTAGGAGCAAAAAGTGGCATACAATTCTCCCTCCTCTCCAGGGAGGGAGGGAAGAGAGGTAGAGCAACAGAGGAGGTTCTCCCACCCACCCCCGCCCCCTTTGCTAAGATAGTGGTCTACTACCTTGTGTTTCTCCCCAGAGTCTCAGCATAAGGAGGTGGCCGAGTTGCTGGCGCTGGAGGGCTTGGCCAGCATCGTCCACAGCAGCCCCAGTGAGCAGGTTGCCTACTTGCTGGTAGAGAGGAGCACTCTGCTGGAGCGGATGGAGGCGCTGGAGCAGGAGCTGGGAGCCCCCCACTGCCTGGGGAGACCCTGCGCAGCTCCCCTACAAGTGCAGGTCTTTCCTGTTCTGTTGGGGGGGGGGTTTCACCGAGGAGAGAAAGCTTTAAATGCAGACACCATCCCCCCCTCCCTCCCAGGGCAGCTGAGATGGCACAGATTTCCCCGCTGCCTGCTTTCTTTGTCCGAAAGGCCAGCTGTTCAGTCATTAAGTGTTGCTTCCTTGGGCAGGGCCCACGGTTGAAATCCAGCAGGTTCTGACAGGTTCTGAGGAACTGGTAGTAGAAATTTTGAGCAGTTCGGAAAACCGGCAAATACCACCTCTGGCTGGCCCCAGAGTGGCTTTGGGAATGGAGATTTTGCAATATCCTTCCCCTACCATGCCCACCAAGTCACACCCACAGAATCGGATTGGATTTCACCACTGGCAAGCCCCTAAGCGCCTGATAAGCTGGTGGTAAATCAGCGCTTAACTGACAAGAGTCCCATTTCCCAGTCTTCAGTTGCTTCTCTGGCTATTTTTGTCTCTGCTTGGCCAACAACCTTAGTAGCTGTGAAATTGAATGCATGTCCTCGTTCGTTGCACTGGGAGGCTACCAAAGAGTTCGGGTCTTCAGTCTGGTCACACCAGCATTCCCGTTGCTAAATCGAGTGATGGTTAAGTCAGTTGCTAAAACCTTTAAAAAAAAAAAAAAACCTTCTCTTTTGCTTTTCCCTCCCTGAAGGATGAATGGCATCTCTTCCATCCGAGGCTAGAGGAGGGACTGCACCAACCACAACAATCCCTGCCCCACATCCAGGGGACGGTGAGCAAAGAAAAATAATAAAATAAAAAAATGTTGAGAAAAATATGGAAAAAAGGCATCAGTCCAGTCAGAGAGTGGAGCTGTGATATATATATATATATATATATATATATATATATATATATATTTAAAAGATAATTCCTTAAAACAAATGGAGTTGGAACACGGGTTGCAACTCCAACAAAGAGCATACAGCTAGTCCTCAGCTTACAGCCATTTGGTTTGGTGACCATTCAAAGTTACGATGGCAAAAGGGATTTAGGGCCGTTTTTAATCCCGTTTTAATCCCGTTTGGGATTAATATTTGGATGCTTGGCAACTGACTCATATTTATGACGGTTGCAGGGTCCCGGGGTCACTTATTCCTTTTTGCGACCTTTGGTCAAGCAGAGCCAATGGGGAAGCCAGACTCTCTTAATGACCATGTTCCTAACTGAACAACTGCAGTGATTCACTTCACAGCTGTGTCAAGAAAAATCGTAAACCAAACCAAATCGTAAATCAAAACTTACTTAATAAATGTAAGCAGAAATTTTGGAGCCCATCTTGGACGTGAGTTGAGGACTACCTGTGTTTATTTAGGAGGTTCCTTCCAAGTCGCCTTTCCCCCAAGAACTGAAGGCGGGCCCTTCCTTTGTCTCAAGAGAGGCCGTCAGGAGGCAGCCCTCCTATGTGGGGAGAGGCCCCCTGTTGCGTCTCTGGATGAGCCTCCTTGCTCCTAGTCTGCATTGTGAAGACCTTTAGTCCTGGGTCATCTCCAACCTTGGCAACTTTAAGCTTCGCTGGCTGAGGAATCCTGGGAGTTGAAGTCCACAAGCCTTAAAGTTGCCATGGTTGGAGGCCTCTAGAACAACGACAACAACAACGACAGGATGTTATGCGCCCCTGGCCGTCCTTTCTGCCCCTCTGGCTGAGAGAGGGCTGATCTGTCCCCCAGCTTCCCTCGCCAGAAGAGCCGGCCGGAGGGCACCCCGTCTGGGAAGAGGCCGAGCGAGGTTTGGAGGGAGCCCCAGGCCGGCTCCGGAGCGCCCAGGGTGGGATCCCGGCGTTGAAGGAGGACCCGGACGCAGCCGAGGGAGAGCGAGGGAAGCTGCCTGACTCGCCTGGTAGGTCCTTCATTCCTTCTCCTCCTTTCGCTCTTCACCTTCTGGTCTTCTTGGAAGGCGACTCGGCTGGGGAATCCTGGGAGCTGAAGTCCCCCAATGGGCTGGGCTGGGCCGGGACTACAATTCCCCAAACTTCCCTTGTCGGTGGGGGAACTCCGGGCACAGGGAGTCCTCCAGTTACAATGGATCACTTAGTGACCGATGTTAACAATGGCACTGAAAAAAAACGACTGCTTTTCACACTTGACGGCCGTCGCGGCCATCCCCCGTGGTCACGTGATCATAACTCAGGCACTTGGCAACTGACTCTTACGACGGTCGCCGTGTCCCGGGTTCACGTGATCCTCTCTGGCGATCTTCTGACAAGCAGAGTCAATGCGGAAGACCAATTCACTTAACGACCGAGTTACTAGCTTCACAACGGCACTTAACAACTAGGGCAAGAATGGTCGTAAAATGAGGGCAAAACTCACTTAGTTGCCTGTTGCTTAGCAACAGAACCTTTGGGCTGAATAGTGGTGGTAAGTCAAGGACTGGCTGCATATTTTTTTGAAAAGAAATCTCTCTGGCCAGGAGCTGAGATCTGGCCAGGAACGTTGGGCAAGGAGGAAGAGAAGGCCCAGCAGCCGGTTGAACCTTTGGCGAAATCTTCACTCCCCAGAGAACCCTTCTCGGCCCTGGCCCCTGATTCCGGCAGTAAGCAGAGAGGCCCGGCTGGCAGGGGAACATGGGAGGTGGAATCCTCACCGCTTCAAGCTGCCACGGCCGAGAAGCCCCAGACTGAACTCAGCCTCCCCAAGTGACCTTCCGATTCCTTCTAGCTGCGTCCGAGCTGTGGAAGGCCAGAGAGCAGAACCTCTTGACAGATAGACTGCTGCTGCGCGACCGGCTTTGCTTTCCGGAGGTAGAGAGACAGGCCTCTCTGGGGGGCTCAGTAGCCGGCAGAGAGGCAGCCAGCGACCTCGGAGGCTGCTTTAAGCATGTAGGTCACATCTCTTCTGTCTGTCGCTCCCCCCCCCCGCCTTCCGATTCTCCCGGGAGGCTCTGCACATTCCCAATGGGTGCCTCCCGTTTGGATCCTTCCAGCAGCCCTTGGAGGGGAGCCCTGCATCGGTTGACCTTAAGGGTAGTCCTTGAGGGGTCCTTGGTGGTCTCTGAGCCTGGCCGTTTTCTTGCAGACGTTTCATGGCCCAACTGGGTTACATCATCAGTGCTAGGCAGCCTGTTCTTCACTAATCCCTGTTGTGTTCGGATGAATTTCTTCTCCTTCCATTTCCTCCTCCATTGAACCTGCAGGAGCTGCACAGCTACAAGTCAGAACTTCTTCGTCTCTACGGTGAGCTGCAGGTGTTGCAGGGAGCCGCAGAAGAGAGGGATTTTCTGCACCTGACTCACGAGAAGCTGCTGCACAAGAACGGGCGCCTTGAAGCCAAGGTGAGCTCCGTAGCCGACCCGGCCAGGTGCGGATCATGTGCCCAGAACAAAGTTTTGTTCAGGAGATTCTGCATTTTGTTACGACAAAACTCGAAAGGGGTTGAGTGTTCTTCCATAGAAGATGGTGCAAACTCAAAAAGGAGGTAAGGCACAACTACGATTGTGCCCAATGTTTCTGTTACCAAGTGAGACCGTTGTTAAGTGAAGCTTGCCCCATTTAAACACCTTTTTTGCCACAGTTGTGAAGGGAACCACGGCAGTCGTTAAGTTAGTAACACTGTGGTTAAGTGAATCTGGCTTCCCCCTTGACTTTGCTGGTCAGACAGTCGCAAAACGGGATCACATGACCCCAGGACACTGCGACCGTCATAAATGTGAGTCAGTTGCCAAGCGCCTGGTCATGTGCAAAGTTGAAAAATTGTCATGTCACTTTTTTCAGCGCTGTTGTAACTTTGAATGGTCACTAAATGAAAGGTTTTAAGTCAGGGTCTACCTCTAAAGTAGTAATCCAGACTCAGTGCTACCAGCCACCAAATTTTATGAAAGACTGATCAAAAGGATGATTTTGTGCAGATAAATACAAACATTTTAGTGCTCATTTTGGAATGCAAGACTTCCCTTTGGCGCAAAAATGTAAAATTGGGCATGACTCATTTATGGCCACCTCACTTAGCGACAGATGTTGTGGTCGTAAGTTGAGAATCACCTGTACATTGAACCCGAGACAAATGTGTCGCGCTTTTCCGATGAAAACACAGGCGATGTAATTCAGCTCAACACACTTTGTGTTTGCTTAAATCTAAATTTAATAAATTTATTTGAAGAATGATCGACTTAATAGGTTGTTAATAATTTATTAAATACACTTATTTAATAAGTTTAAGAAATCAATCCATTAAAAATAAAATCCGCAGGTGTTGGAGCTCTCCCACGAATGCGAGCGGCTGAACCAGCGTATCCTGAGGGAGAGGAAGGAGGAGGAGGAGGAGGGAGTTTTGGCAGGCAGACTCTCGTGCCCCGAATTTCCAGCCAGGGGGCAGGTTTATGAAGATCAGATCCCGAACCAGGGAGGAGATGGAGAGCCAATGTGGTAATTCGAACCCTCGACAGCCGGGGTTGTTTTGAGATTGGAACCTTCGAATACTTTAAAAGAAATCGTTTCGAATGAAGATTCCCAGAGCTAAATCAGAAGGAAATAATTACACTTCTCACCAGCATAAACGTTCGTCTTAGGACAGGGCTGGTCCAACCTTGGCAACTTTTAAGATTTGGGGACTGGCCGGCTGGGGAATTCTGGGAGTTGCAAGTCCACAAGTCATAGGAACTTGATTGATACGCCTGTTTCGCACAGGCCTTAAAGACTGAATTTTTAATCACAATTTTTCATCCGCCCCATACCTGAAAAGGCTCCCAAGTGTCAAGAGATCTTACCTGGGCGCTGAGTTCAAAAGACACGACATGCAAGGAAGAGAGGGGTCGGAGGGAGAAGGAAAAAATACCCCCAGGCACCAACTTAACATCTGAAAAAAAGGTTCAGGAAGCTGCCGGACCTTTCGGGTTCTCTGAAGGGCTGCTGGGGGTCAGGGAGAGCAGGGCTGGGGGTTTTCTGAGAGAGGAGAGAAGGAACTAAGGCCCCCCTGCCCTCATTTTGTGAATTTCAGAAGCCTGAGCTGGAGGAGGTGGGGAGGGGACCCTTCCCCTTTCTGATGTCACCCACTGACATGGTGTCTGGCCTGGTGGGTCCAGGAGGTGCCACTCGCCCCAAACAGCAGGGTTGCTGCAGGCACCCCTCTTCCTCCGTCCTCACGAAAGAGACCCCAAGAAGGAGGATCAAGGCACGGACTGCTCCTAAGAGCTCGGGCTCTCTGTGGGGAGAGCCTGGCCTTCTGGCGGGAGGGGGGCGGTATAGCACCTTTCCCCCTTTTCTCCCTCTGCAAAGCTTCTCCTGCCACAAAGAGGAAGGCGGGATTTTGAAACCTGCCTCCATATTTGTTGCTGCCGCTGGGACTACAGTTCCCAGGATTCCAGGCAGCATCGTCCCCGTCCCGTCCCCCCCGCCCCCGGCGTTAACCCACCTTAGCCCATTATATGGCCACCCATTCACTCTCAGCCACTCTGGGCGGCTTTTTTTTAAAAAAAAAAACAGGATAAAAAGACTAAATTAATACCCCCCCCTTCCTGGTGTCAGCAATCTATCAATCAAATCAATCAGTCAGTCAATCAATCGAGCCACTCGATGGGCTCCATCCCAGACTGGGATGCTCAGGCCTGCTGGCAAAACCAGTTCTTGTGGAAGAGAGTCAAAAAAAAGAGGGCCTGTTTTAACCTCCCACAGGGAGGGAGCCACCGCGGAGAAGGCCCTTCTTCTGGTCCCCACCAGGTGGCCCTCCTTAAGAGAGGGGACCCATAACCTCTCCTGTCTGGGGGGGTCGGGAGACGTTGCTGGGGAGGGTCCTTCCGATAACCCTAGCCATGTAAGGGCTTGAAAGGTGACAACCGGCACCTGGAACTGTCCCCGGAAGCCGCGGGGATCATCCTTGTGATTTAGCAGCCGACCATACGGTGCTAAATGCCCCCTTTCTCTTTGTTCCCCCACCCCACCCCACCCTCTGACCCACAGCCTTCGTTTGTCCGAAGCCAGCCAGATGGGAGAGCTGGGGAAGCCGAGCCAGGCCAAGCAGGAAGAGGAGGGTCCCTCCTTCCTGAAGGAGATTCTGGCCGTGCAGCATCAGCTGAGCGCCCACCGAGAGAGGCACAGCGCTCCGGATCAGCCCTGCCCACCCCGGCCTGCCCTGGGAAGCGCCGGGGGGGACACAGAGCAGGTGCAGAGGGGGGGGGCACCCTGTGGGGAAGGGGCTTCCGCAACGAGAGCCCCGTGCTGTCCTTTCTTTACCACCTCCCCTCTGCACGCAGGGACCCCCCCACAAGGGAGCCCTGCAGCCGCAGGAAGAGCCCCCGGGGCCGCTTTGGGGCCCCCGGCAGGCGCCGAGCTCCGTCGGCTCCACCAAGAAGCAGCTGAGGCTGGAACAGGAGAGGTGCTTGGAACTCCGGCTACAGAATCTGCAGCTGCAGCAGGAAAACATTAAGGTGGGCTGCTGGGGGGTGGGCCTGGCGGAGGAGGGGTGGGAAGGCTCCCTTGCAGGTTTCTGTGGTCACTCCGCCAGGGAGAAGCCACTGAGCACGCCCAGCACCATTAGGACGGTTCAGTTCGGGTGGAGGACTGATGATGTTCCCTAGTTGGGTCATGAAAGGTCTTCAAAGAAAGAGCCCAGCTCAAGAGAGATCAGGCTTCAGGAGCCCCTCCAGCCGCCTCTCCTGGGGGGACCCTCCGAGGGCCTCTCCCCCTCCACCCCACGGGCGCCCCTCTCTCTTCAGATCCAGGCCGAGCTGAGGCAAGCCCAGGTGAAGGTGCTGGAGACCTCCAAGGCCTGCGGGGCTCTGGCCTCGCAGGGGGAGCTCAGCCAGCAGAAGGCGAAGGAACTCGAGCTGCAGCTCCTCCAGCAGTCCCAGGCCGCCAAGCAGCAGAGCCGCCTGCGGGAGCAGCTGACCCAGGAGAGCCGGCGAGCTGCCCAGGCCGAGAAAAGGGTCAGTGGCCCCAGCGCACTTCGGCCCTTAAACCCATGGTCGTAAGTCGAGGATTGCCTGCACCGATGCCTTTGCCCGCTAGGGACACTTCTCCTTCTTAAAAACGGGCCCATGTTGCTGCAGGAATGAGACCCGGCCCCATTGGGGGGGGGGCATCTCCCCTAAAGTCAGGGCTTCGGCGTCTCTGTGTCCTCCCCAGGTGCAGGAATTGGAGCAGATGCTGCAGGAGAGCCAGCAGCTGTCGGAGACCCAGGCCGCCCTGGGCAGGAGGCAGCTGGAGGAGGAGGCCAGGGAGGCCAGAGCCAAGGAGGCCGAAGCCCAGCACTCCCTGCAGGAGGAACAGAAGATGCGGTAGGAGAACACCCCACACCCCCCGGCCAGGGTTTTCTTTTTTCTTTGCCCCCTTTTGGGGCTCCAGCTGGGAAAAGAGTCGACTTGCCTCTCACGGCAAAATACAAGAGACAGGAGGGGCTGGAGGTTGGGAGGAAGGAGACCGGGATGGATGGATGGATGGATGGATGGATGGAAGGAAGGAAAGGAAGGAAGGAAGTCTGATTGTGGAGCAGGGTGGGCAATGCTTCCCCTGAGTAGACCCCCCCACCCACCCCTGGCCTCTTGCAGGAAGCGGCTGGAGCAGCAGTGGGAAGAGCAGCAGCAACAGCAGCGGAGACTCTGGCGGGAGAAGGAGGCCCAGCTGCTCCAGGCCTTGGCTGACCGGCAGGCCCAGTCCCAACAGCAGGAGGGGCAGCTGCGGGCCCTGGAGGACGAGAGGAGGGCCCTCGCCAAGGAGGTCAGCGGCCTTGAAAGGTGGAGGAGAGAAGTCCCCCTCCCCCTCCTTCCCTCTCTTCTTCCTTCCTTCCTTCCTTCCTTCCTTCCTTCCTTCCTTCCTTCCTTCCTTCCTTCCCTCCCTCCCACGAACCCCGACTGAACCCCTGCACCCCCAACCCTTTCTCTGCAGCACCTGCAATCCCGGAGCCACAGCCAGAGGCTCTCGGAGCAGCTCTCCGCCCTGCAGCAGGAGAAAGAGGCTCTCTGTGAGGAGCAGAGGCAGATCCTGAAGCAGGTGGACGTCTCCCTCAGGTGAGCCTCCGCTTGCCCTGGGTGGGTGGGCTGCCTGGTTCCTCCAGGGCCGAGGCCCCCTAAGCCCTCCCCCCCCCCCCCCCCCCGCCTTGCCTCCCCAGGAAACAGAGCGAGCGGCGCCTCCGGCACAAAGCCCGGCTGCGGCAGGCGAAGGAGACGCTGCTCGGCGAGGTGAAGCTGCGCGAGACTCGCATCCGGCACTTGGAGAACGAGGTGCGGCTCTCCAAGACCCAGGCCGAAAAGGTAGAGCAGCCCCACGGGGGCCCTCCCTCCGGGGGGGAGGGAGGGGAACCTTCCATTTGCGCTGAGCTAGGCAGACCCTCAGTCCCCTCCTGGAAAGGTCCCCAGGCCAGATGGGCCACCTTAAGCCTCACCTGCCGGAGCCCCTCCCCCACCTCCCCCCCCCCCAGGGGGAGCCCCTCTCTGCAGGGCGGCCTGTTGAGCGCAGCGGGGGATGCCGGCTTTTGCACCCAGGACCAGCTGCTGATCCGGCGGGTGACGGGTGAGAACGAGAGCCTGTTCCGAGAGAAGCGGAAGAGCCTGGAGCAGCTGCACAGCCTGGAGGAGGCCAAGCAGAGCGACGGCCAGGCCCTCTGCAGCCTCCAGAGCAGGTGGGAGACCCCCCCCGGGGGGAGGGCAGGCAGGGCTGGTGCTGCAGAAGCCAGATAGGCCCCCTTCTTCCTCCAGAGGGACCCAGGGACAGGCAGCCTCTGCTCTGGGGGCCGAAAGGGCAGCAGACTGGATGAGAGGAAGTGAACAGAAGGGAAGGGATAGGAAAGAATAAGAAGAAGGAAGGAAGGAAGGAAGGAAGGAAGAAAAAGGGAGGGAGGGAGGAGTGAACAGGAAAGAAGGTTGGTTGGATGGATGGAAGGAAGGAAAAGGAGGGAGGGAGGAGCAGGAAAGTAGGTAGGAAGAGGAAAGAAGAAGGGAAAGGAAGGAATGGAGAAGGAAAGGAAGGAAGGAAGGAAGAAAATGACCAAAGGGAGGGAGTTTTTGGGGGGCCCCCACCCCAAGCCCCTTCCCTCCCTCGTTCCCAGAGTCCAGCTTTTGGAGGGGGAGAACCAGCAGCTGCAGGACCGGACCCTCCAGCTGAGCCTGCAGGTGGGGATCCTGGAACGGGCCCTGCGCACCATCCACGTCCACAGCTTGCAGGTAAGCTGGCCCGGCCCCCCCCCGCCCCCCAATCGTCTCCGCGGCCCCTGTGGTTACCCCTCTCCGAAGCTCAGCAGGTCCAGACCCGGCTGGTCCCGGGATGGGAGACCACAAAGAGGTCTCCCGAGAGCAGAGGGCTTGCGGTCTGCGTCTGCCCGGAGATTGGAAGAGCCCGAACGTCTCACGGGTGGATCAGGCCCCCTTTGCGGGACTTAAAGTGACCGCCTTCGGGGTGCGGTTGTGGGTGTTTTGTGTTCAATCTCTCCGCAGGAGCTCAAAAGCCTCGGCTTCCCCGAATGCCCACTGCAGAGGAAGCTCCTGCCCTTCCCCGGCTTCAGGTACCGCCCCAGGCAGCTGTGTCCGTGAAGCGGCAGGGACAGCCGGGACGGGACGGGACACCGACGCCATGCGCTCCCTCCCCCCGCAGCAGCAGCCGGGATGGCATGGCCGGCCCTCCTTGGCAAACCCCCCTCCCCTCCCCTGAAGCCTCAGTTTCCCCCTGGAGGTTCTTATCATTTCAGGCTCCTGCCTTTGGGCCACGCGAGGCAGGGGAGCAGAAAAATAAAAGCAGACCCCTAAAATCCGACCCAGGGAGAGTCAGTCATTGTGGAGGTTGGCAGAAGGGGAGTCGGCACTCTGTGGGGAGGGGCCCGAGAAACTGAAGGCGGTCACTTCAGGCCATCCGGGCCCCCAGGACCCTCAAAGCATGCCTGGCAAACGGGGGCAAGGGGGGGAGGTCTCTCGGTGGGGGCACCAGGTGCTTCTGAAATCCTCTTTCATTGGGATCGAGTCTGGATGCTCCATTGGAGCAGTTTGAATGGGGGGGGAGCTACCCGGACCGCGACGCTCCAAGGGGACCCAGCAAGCTAAGCGGAGCCTCCCTGGCTAGGAGCAGTCTACCTCCGAAGAGCAGTTAGAACTGCCTTTGGGCCTCTCTTTATGGCTGCTTCTAATCTATTGTCTCTAAAGCCAAGATGGAGCTGAAGTCGGGCCTTTCCCTTTCAGCTTCTCCGTCACCAGGCTTTCGGACCCCGGCGGCCATCGCCAAGCCCTGAAAGACGGGCAGCCGGTGGAGCCCGGGCAAAAGGCCCTGCTCTCCCCTCTGGCCTTCCAGAGCTCCGGCATCGGCTACCTGAACGTCTCTGTCCCCAGAAAGCCGGCCGACTTCTGCGAAGACCAGCCCAGCCACCCCGTCGGCTGAAGGGCCCTGGCCGGCCGAGAGCAAGCGCCTGGAAGCCTCTCCCCGTCCGCGGCTGGCCGCTTTTTCACCGTACACCGGGGTGCCTTCTGAGATGGACTGGCTTTGGGGGGGGGGGGATGTCAAGTGTATTTTTTAAATAATAATTATTTGTTTCTACAACTGTGGCCCTCCGAGTCCAGTTTGTGCCCTGGAGTGATAGGGAGGGAGGGAGGGAGGGAGGGAGGAAGAAGGGAAGGAAAGGAGGAAGGAAGAAGGAAAGGGAGGAAAAAGGGAAAGGAGGAACGGAGGAAGAACAGAAGGAAGAAAAGGGAGGAAGAACGGAAGGAAAGGAAGGAGAGGAGGAAGAAGGGAAGACGAGGAAGAAAAGGGAGGGAGGGAGAAGGGAAGGAAAGGAAGAAAAGGGAGGGAGGAAGGAAGGAAAGAGGAGGAAGAAGAGGGAGGGAGGAAGAAAGGGAAGGAAAGAACGGAGGAAGGGAAGGAAGAAGAGGGAGGGAGGAAGGAAAGAAAAGGGAGGGAGGAGGAAAAGAAGCAAATGTCCAGAGACCATATCCGTTCTTGAGTGAGGCTTAAAACCTAAGCCTTATTGGGGAAATCGTGGCCGTCGACGCCTTTTTTTCCTCTCTCAATATTTGGAAATAACATTTTTGCACGAGGAAGCCGCCTGCACCATGTCCGTGAGACCCAGCCGAACCAGCAGGCGAATTAACTTCAGGCTGTAAATCGACATTCTCGCTGGAGGAGCTGCGCATGCGTCCTAGCGAAGCGGCCCTTCGGCGCGCCTTTCCGCTTCCGGGTCAGAGGGGGTCGCCATGGCGGTGCTGGCTTCTAACCCCAACAACCCCGTGGTCTTCTTCGATGTCACCATCGGCGGGCAGGTAGGCCTCGGGCGAAGGCAGCGGGGCCGGGAGGGAGAGCCAGGCTTCGGCCCCTGACGCCTTTGTCCCTCCGCAGGAGGTGGGCCGCATGAAGGTGGAGCTCTTCGGCGACGTGGTGCCCAAGACGGCTGAGAACTTCAGGTGAGGGAGCCGGCGGGAAGGCGGGTGCCATAGAGAAGGGAGGCCAGAGCGGCAGCACGCCACAGAGCAGCCCGTCCTAGAGCGCCACTCCTTTAACAGCTGGCTGGGGATGATGGGCGCCGGGAGATAAAGACAAAGTTCTCTGTGGAAAGGGATTCCCAAGCCTTTTCCTGGTGGTAGAGGGAGCAGCCCACCCCACACCCTGCTCCGAGCTCAGAGGCGTCCCTATCCTGCAGAACTCCCCACCACTTGGTTGCCCATTGTCTTGATGACATATATAGCTAGTCCTCGACTTACAACTGTTTGTTTAATGACCGATACTGAAAAAAAAGACGTGACTGTCTTTCACCCCTACAACTGTTGCACATCTCCCTGATCACGTGATCCAAATTCAGATGCATGGCCAGTGACTCACATTTATGATGGTCGCAACGTCCCGGGGCCACTTGATCCCCTCTTGCAACCTCCTGACAAGCAAAGTCAATGGGAGAAGCCGGATTCGCTTAATGACCGTACGATTCATTTAACAACTGCGACAAGGAAGGTCATAAAGTGGGGGGCAAAACTTACTCACCAACATACAATTTTGGGCTCAGTTGTGAGCGTAAAATTGAGGACTCCCTGTATGGAAAGCCCTATTAAGAGCTGCCTATCCTCTCTTTCCCAATGACCCAAGGAGTTCCTTTGCTGAATTTAACTCTCTCCCTCTGGATAAGCAGCCTCTCTGTGTCCCAGTTTAACCTGCAGCCTTTTCTTTTTCCTTTTTCTTTCCAGGCAATTTTGCACGGGGGAATTCAGGTAGGTCAATTCTTTTGATCTTTCAATTAAAAAAACTGACTGATTTAATCGAGCTGGAAGACTGTCAGCACAGGATGAGAAGAAGGACAATACCTCACTTTGTATTTTATACTTTGTGTATTTATTTAGCCAAGTTGGTTTCGACACACAAGGAATTTGTCTCAGGCACAGAAGCACTCAGTGTACTTGCAAAACAACAGAATATAATTATAACAACAACACGAAAGTATACAGCCAATAAAAGGTGGAAGTAAACAATAAAGGGATCACTAAAAATAATAATAATAGGCTTGTGAAGAGCTAGAATTGCTGCCCTTCTCTGTCCTTTTGTCCTTGGACCACATTTTCACCTGAGGAAATTAGCCAATTTTAAAGAGCTCAAAGTGATGACTTGACACTGTGATTTCAGAACAAAACAGTGAGAAATGACAGGTGGTGAGTTGGGGTGTTGTCTCTTTGGGCCCAGAGTAATCTTGGTCACTGGCTATTTATTTATTTATTTATTTATTTATTTATTTATTATCAAATTTATATACCAATTGTGGCATCTCCCAATTTCTGACTGTTTGTTTTTTTTCTCCTGCAGGAAAGATGGTGTTCCCATCGGTTACAAAGGCAGCACTTTTCACAGGTATGTTGGCCTTTGTGCTCTGGAAGGCTAGTTTTTTTTCACACACACCCTTCCCCCAGGCCCCCACATCTGGGGCTGAAGGAGTCCAGCATTTAGAGAGGGTGCTTCAAATGAGTTTGAATTACTTTCTAAACCCGTCAGCCACCCCAAACGTGGGTGGCCTTTAAGCTAAACTGTGCAGTGTTTAAAACCAAGCCCCTTGAGGTGTTATTCTATAAGCCATCCAGAATTGCATCCACGGGCATATAAGCTTAATATATAAAATAACATAAATAAGTGTTCAGCGGAGGAGTGTTGTGCTGTCTTCCCCAGGACTGGAACTACAATTCCCAAAATGGCCCAATTGGTTGGGGTTTCTGAGCATTAGGATCTCCATAAAGGAACCTGTTTTAGAGGCGCTAAGAATCAATTCAGCATCCCCGCTGAGTTGTTCATCGTTTTGCTGGTTTTCCTGCTCATTACTGAGCAATGGAGCTGGTCCTTTGAGGGCAACTCTGATTTTCTAATCCTTCTTACAGTGCATTAAAAATGCAAGAAGCCCACCAGTTTACCACTAATGAATGAAACTTGGGAGGGGTCCTCTAAACCCTGGATTTGTTTATCTCGGTGGCTGTAATGCCTCCAAGGTCCCTTCCAACTCGGTTATTCTGTTATCTTGAGGTGCTTCACTGAAGTGGAAAAGAATCCTGTTCCAGGGTTTAACAGCCCATTTGTGAACTTCCCAAGCTGGTATTTTCAGCGTAGCTGTGGGAATCCCTCGACCTCATAATATTTCTCTTTTCCTTTCCAAGGGTTATAAAGGACTTCATGATCCAAGGAGGCGATTTTGTAAACGTAAGTACTTCAAAGCTCTTTCACGGAAGGGAAAGTGGGCATTTGACTTAGAACTGGAGTTTTGCAACTTGAATACAAATTTGCCAAACTCACTTATGCAGATGAGATTGGAAGTTACCCCACCAAAGGAGCTGGATTTGCACACTGGCACCCTCCTTCAGAAACCCCGAGCTAAATTTCTCAGGAAAACTTAAATGTTCAGGCTAAACCAGGAAGTGGTTGTTCTAAACTTCTCCTTTCCTTGATTCTGTTTAACTTCCACATCCCGGAAGTGGAGGCAGTTGCAAACTGAACTCCTTCACTCTGATGTTTTGCTTCCAAGATCAAAAACTTGCAGGGAGGGAAATGCCTTGCGGTGTGTGTGCTAATTTGTAATGCAGCATATCAAAGGAATAAGGAAGGAGGGATTGCAGAGGTGTAGGTGTCCTTGCAAATCGTACTGGTGCAGTTAGAATGTCATTTTTTAAAAAAGGTCATTAGACCAGGCTCATTCCAGATAAGTGGTTTTATATCTGTTTGCCAAGGGAACTGTTCCATAGTTCATGAGGTCTCCCTTCCCCCTCTCTCCCTTCTTTCCTTCCCTTTCCCTTTCTTTCTTCACCACCCTTCCCTCACTTCCTCCCTCCCTCCGTCTTTTCCCTCAATAGGGAGATGGCACTGGAGTGGCCAGCATCTATCGGGGACCCTTTGCCGACGAGAACTTCAAGCTGAAACACTCGGCGCCCGGCTTGCTCTCCATGGTAAAGAACAGCCTGAAGTTGGCTCTGAGCCTTCCTCCCGGATCCCTTCAGTGGCTCACAGCCGGAATACAGATTCGTATTGGGGAATGCTTAGGAGAGCCCAGTGGGAGAGCCACTGGGGTGGATGCCACCTGGCTGTGCATCAGGAAAGGCAGGGATCGAGAGCACTCCCCTTCCTCCTGGGCTTCTACCCAGCCCCAAAGTTGAGGGTTCATCTGGATTGGTGCCTGGGAGGAAAGGGTTAACCCCAGCCTCTCCCCCCTCCTCCCCGTGGCTATTTATAGGCCTTGCTCAGTTTTGGCAGACAAACGGGGCCCAAACTCAGGAGGGCTAGCTCGGGCTGCAGGAAGACCATCAACCCACCAACGCCCAGGTCTTGCGTAGTACCCAGGGCAGTGTTGAACTGGAGACCCTCCAAATGAAGAAACTTTTGAGTTCTCTCCCCCACCCTGGGGGAAGAGCCTGGAATGGCCGGGGAAGAGGTCATCCTCCTCACCTGCCCCTTTCCTCTTTCCCTGCAGGCCAACAGTGGTCCCAGCACCAATGGCTGCCAGTTCTTCATCACCTGCTCCAAGTGCGATTGGCTGGATGGGAAGCACGTGGTTTTCGGTGAGTCCCTGCTGGCTGAGTGAAGGCCAGGGACCCTGCTGCACCCCACCCCCATTAGCTTGGGTGTGCCTACTCTGATGATCTTTACCCCCGCCCCAAATTCGCAGCAGATCTGCCCTGGAAAACTCCCATTTTCTGGGCTTCCCAAAATGCTTGTCCCTGGGTCCGTCCGTCCCCCTTGCTGCCTCAGGACCCCCAATAGGTTGAGAGAGCAGCATGGGGAATTCTGGGAGTCGAAGCCCACAAATCTTAAAAGTTGCCAAGGCTGAAACCCAATCCCCCCCCCGCCCTAGCCTCTCTGCTTCCTTCTCATTCTCCCCTTCAAAGGTTAAAGAGCACACCAGCATAGCTCTTCCTTGCCTAAGGAATTCAGAAATGCTTGCTCTTTTCTTCTCACCTGGCAGGTAAAATAATTGACGGGCTTCTAGTCATGAGGAAAATTGAGGTAAGTCGTGCTTGTCTCTGGGCTTGGGATGAAACTCTGCCATCCAAGAAACCACATAAAAATTAGGCGGTTTTGCTTTCTAGAGGAAACACTATTTTAATTTGCTCTTCCGGCCCGAAGCTTCTCAGACTCTCCCATCCTGCCCTTCGGGATTCAAATCCTGCCCAGGCAGCTCAGAAGAGCAACAGGTGGTGTAGAGCCCCTGGTGATGTCCATGCCCCAAAAAGGTGTCATCTGGCAGCCTTTCTCTCTCCTGGCTGTTTCTGTCCGAGAAAGTGAGAGAACCTGAATGTTAGGGTCCCGAGTGCTCTCTGAGCTTGGTGGTTTCCTTGCAGACATTTCATGACCCAACTAGGGAACATCATCAATGCTAGAAGGCAGGGGAAGGGGGTTGGGGAGGAGGACCTCGGGGTCCTTGATGCTCTCGTTTTCTTGCAGACGTTTCATGACCCAACTAGGGAACATGATCAGTACTAGTAAGGAATGGGATTTGCTCTCTGTTTATTTAGCTGGGTCCTGAAACTTCTGCAAGAAAACCACCGAGGTTACAGAGCACCAGGGATTCCACAGTTCAACCCCAAGCTACAAATATTCTCCTTTATGTGTACCAAATATAAGTTCTGAGCAGGCTGCAAGAGAGCCTCTTTACACAGGTAACGGCTATCTGGGCCAGTATGCTGCTCTTTCTCCTTTCTGGATAGCTGCTCACCCACTTTGTGCTTCCTGCAGAACGTGCCCACCGGGCCGAATAACAAACCGAAACTCCCTGTGGTGATTGCCCAGTGTGGAGAAATGTAGGTAGGTGTTACCATAGTTTCTGCAACTGAAGTAGCCTCTAAAATGCTCCTTGGGAAGGTGGGGGAAGGGGATCCCTGAGCAAGATGGGAGGGTCTATGCCTGGGATGTCCGATCTTGGCAACTTTAAGACCTGTGGACTTCAACTCCCAGAATTCCCCAGCCAGCATGGTTGTTTTCTTGCAGGCGTTTCTTGACCCAACTAGGTAACATCATCAGTGTTAATGGCTGGCTGGGGAATTCTGGGAACTCAAAGTCCGCAGGTCTTAAAACTTGCCAAGGTTGGACCACCCTGGTCTACACATAGCATTTCTAAGTGTCTGCGGTGCAGGTCAAAACTGTAGCCATGTTTCTTGCCCCTGGCGTGGAGGATTGGCAGTTTATGTGGCCTCTCAGCTGCAGGGAGCTGCTGAAAGAGGATTCGAACACAGAACCACGCTTACGGAGCAAAGCATGCAAGTTTCCTTATGGTCTAGCTTGGCACAAAGTTCTTGCTCTCTAGAAGGCAGGAGACCGTGACGGAAGCTGCTCTGTGTCTGGGACCTTCCTTCTCCACACCGAGTGGGTCACCACTTAGAGGAGGCAGCCAATGCCAGCCCTGCCCCAGATTCTGCATCAGCTTCAAATCTGGAGAAAATTTAGTACTGGGGACTAATTGTTCGCCTTTTCCTGATTTCAGGTTGGTTTTTTTTTCCTCATCCGGGGATGCCAAGCAGTTCCTGACCGCTCATCCATCATCCCACATTCCATGTGTGTCTGTCGTCCCCCCCCCTTTTGTAAATAAAGAGATTTTCTTAAAATGTTTGTCCATCATCATGCCTCAAGGAAGGGCCACACAGGTCTGAGGTCCTGGAAACGGAGGGTGCATTTTACAGGAAGGCGGGGATGCGGGTAGCCGTTATGGCCCTGCTCTTTATGCCTTTTTTCTCTCACCGCTGCCTTCCCTCTTTCTCCTCCTGAGCCTTCCAGATCTCCCTGCTGGGTTCAGCCCTGGTTTGCGGCTCCCAGGAACCAAGTAACGGTGAGCCACAGGCGGCATCTCTGACTAAATGCTGCTGCAGGGCAGAAAGATTGCAACTGAGTCAGCCTGGATGCCAAGCTCCTAAAATAGGGCTTATCCATGTGTCCCCCACCTCCCACGGAGGGCCAGTCCATCATCGTCTTCCAGCAGGCAGACCTTAAGAGATTGACAGATGCCTATTAGGGGTTCCAGGAAGAGGCGTGGGGGGGGGGGAAATAAAACTTTACACACACTCCACGCCGTTGTGCATGTCAAAGCTGCTGGTCCAAGCAAATGGGAGCGCAGGCCGTTTGCCCAGGAGCCTCTTGGCCAAGGGCGCCGGTGGGCGACCGCTGAGGGTGGCAGGCAGGTGCCCGGCTTCCCGAGGATCGACGTGGAAGGAGAGCGGCCGAGGGCTGCCCAAATGACCTTGAGGCGGCCCGCTTTCGAAGGACCGAAGTTGCTCCAGCCAGGCTTGAGCCGGGCAGAGCGGGCGATGGGAGAAGAGAGGGACGATCCCGGCCAGCGTGGCGAACGGTAGCGCCGGCTGGGGGTCGCAACGGTTGCGGTCCCTCGGGGGCCCGGCTTGCAGTACGGCTGCCCCGCTCACTGGAGGCTGCAGCGGGGTGCTCCGGGGGGGGGAGGAAATCCCGGGGCCGCCCCGCGCGGCTCCCCGACCACGTGCGCCTCGGACGGGCCAGCCCGGGAAGGGAACTTCCTGGCCCCGCTACTCTCAGGGGGGCGGGGCGCCCGGGCGCCGGGCCAATCAGGAGCCCCGGGAGGGGGCAAGCCCGCATGGAGGGACACGCCCTTTCTGCGGGAGGAGGGACACGTCGAAGGAGCCAACCAATAGGAGAGCGTGGATTCTGACGGGCGGCGGACCCGAGCCAACGAAGCGCCAGTGATCACCTCGGGCCGCCGTTGAGGCTCAATTAGGCCGCGCGGCGCCTGACGGGCAGTGCGTGGTGGCCAATGAGCGCCGGGCGGGGGGCGGCGCTTGAGGGGTGGCTAGTGAGTGCGCGCCGCCATTGTGGCCAGTTCGATCGGTATCGGGAGCGGAGAGCGGAGCCCAGCGAGCCCGGAGCAAGGGAGCAGCCCCCCCCGCCCACGGCCGGCCCCCGAGTCACCATCAACACCGCGCGGGAGGCGGCGCTGCTGCTGCGAAAGCCAGTCACCACCACCGTCCACCGACAGCCAGCGACGCCATGAGCAGCGAGGCCGAGACCCAGGCGCCCCCCTCCGCCGCCACTCTGGCGGCCCCGGCGGCTGCCCCGCCCGCGGCGGCCCCGTTGGCGTCGCCCACGAGCCCCTCCCCGGCCGTCGCGGATGCCAAGCCCAGCAACGGCGGCAACAGCAGCGGCGGAGGCGGCGGCGGCAACGGAACCAACGGCGGCCTGGGCTTGGCGGCGCCCCCCGCCGGCGGGGACAAGAAGGTCATCGGTGAGGGAAAAATGGGGGGGGGAGAGAAAGGCGCGTGCGCGTGACGGGAGGGTGGGCGGGCCCTCGGGCGGCGCGTGCCGTCCTCCCTCAGTTTTCCCCTCTCCCTTCCCTCTCGCGCACGTCCCGCCGTCCCGCCCGCTGATTGGCCGCTCTCGCCCTCCCTCGCTTTCCCGATTGGCTCGCCCACTTCTCCCTTCTATTCCCATTCCTCACTCCCCCCCCCCCCAACCCAACCCGCTTTAGGCGCGCGCCGCGGCCGTTTTGAGGCGGTTCGCGCTCCTCAGCGCGCTTGCGCCTAGTGTGGCGGGAGGGGCGTGAGGGGAAAAAGCGCGTGGGAGGGGGCGGGGCCGAGGCTGCCCAAGATGTCCGCCGCGCGCGGAATCTTTTTTTTTTTTTTGCGCGTGCGCGGCTCTTGGCCCGGCTCAAACGTGGTCAGTTCGGGGTTCGGGTCGTCAAGCGGGAGTGGCGGGCGGGGGGCGAGCGCAGAAGCCCCTCCCGGCCCTGCCGCCTGCTCTCCACGGCCAGAGGCGCCGGTTCCCACCTCCTTCCTTTGTCTGCTTACTGACATGCGCGCTGGGGGCCTGCCTGGGGAAAGGGGGGGGGCTTTGCAATGGCCCCCCCTTGGCTGGTCTGCTGGGGAAGGGGCCTTGGGCGGGCTGCTGCTGCTGGCAAAGGAAGGCGTCAGCTGTTGGCTGTGCGGAGCAGATGGCTGCCAGGGAGGGGGAGATGGGCAGGTTTCCCTTGCTTGCCTTGGCAGAGCCTGCCTGCAGGAGCTGAGCCCCCGTTTGGCCCCCAGGAATCCTTCCCTCCCCACTCAGGCTGGGGTTTTGGGCGGAGCAAAGGTGCTAGGGTGCCCCCCTGTAGCATAAGAAGGCTTTAAAATTCAACATATAGTTAATATCCCCTTAATATTTACCATTTACAATACAGGGAGTCCTTGACTTAACACTTCACTTAGTGACCGTTTCAAGTTACAGTGGCACTGAAAAAAGTGACTTAGAACCGGTTTTCACATGACGGTTGCAGCATCCCCATGGTCACCTCAAAACACTCTGGGCAGCTGGTTCGTATTTATGACGGTTGCTGTGTTCCAAAGTCACATGATCCCCTTTTGCAACCTTTTGACAAGCAAAATCAATGGGGGAGCCAGATTCACTTTAACTGTGAACTGTGTTAGCCTGTTACTAACTTACCAACTGCAGTGATTCACTTAACAATTGTGGCAAGAAAGGTCGTAAAATGAGGCAAAACTCTGTTAAACGTCTCACACAACAACAGAAATTTTGGGTTTGATTGTGGTCGCAAGTCGAGGACCACCTGTACATACAAGCAACAAAGTAACGTAAGATACCAATAGGAGAAGGTAGTAGGAAAGATGAGGATACAGCTAATGTACCAGTAATTATATATATATATATTTCTCTGCGGTTTTGGCCAGGAACAAAATCCCAGCACCTTGGAGGGGCTAAATGCCTCTGGAGCTTCTCAATCATCCAGGTCCTGGTTGTCCAAAAAGTGCTTCCCCCACCCCCAAAAAAGGCAGCTGGACTTTCTTGGTGCTTTCTTTGGGAATGTTCTGAACTGAAGAAGCTTCTTGGATGAGAAGTGAAATGTTTTGAAAGAAAGCATCAAGAAAGTCCAGCTGCCTTTTTTGGGGGTGTGGGGGAGAGCACCTTTGGGACACTGGAGGTGCTGGTTCATTATGACCTGTATTGGAAAGCTTTCAGGCTTCCTGTGATTTTTCTCTACAGTTCTAGCAGCAGCTTCTCCTTGTAAGTCAGGAGAGTTCTTTGTCTGGGGCTTTGGGATGAAATTCCTCTGGCTGCCAGTATGAAAACAAGCCTTTGAATCTAAGATAGGGAAATCTCTGCTAGATAAATGCCTATTATACAGTGGGGCTTTTAGGTGGGAAGTCCAAATCAAGAGGGACGGAGGTCTTGAGCTGGGCTTGTTCTTAACCTGTCTTGCACCTTTTCTCTTTTGCAGCAACGAAGGTTTTGGGGACAGTGAAATGGTTCAACGTAAGGAATGGCTATGGCTTCATCAACAGGTGAGGTGACCAGGGCTGTGTGTGTCTTGTTACAACTGCTTGGGAGTGAAGTCAGAGTTACTACTTTCAGTTTGTAGCTATCGTCTATTGATTTAGACACGCACATGATGTCCCACCAGGTGTGTTGGACTGTTAGTTCCCACCCTCCCTGACCAGATGACCTGTCGGGCACCTGGGTGGCAGCTGGTCCAGTCTAGAAGCTGACAATAAGTATGCATCCCCATTCTTAGGGTTACAAATGGTGAGACTTTCTTGCATGGAAGGGAGCAGATGGCCCTTCCAATAACCAGAGAGAGGCTTGCAACAGTTGTCCACACAAAAGGTGGTTCCAGTTACTTGATTCAAATTTCTCTTGAAATCCCTTTTGTGCCCACTCTGACGACTGCATTCAAGTTCTGCATCCAGTTAATCATGCATTCTTTGGATTCTGAGTCATACTTTACCAGCACTCTACAAATAATGCCCAATAAATGTTCTGGAATGTAACATTTTAACATTCAGTCAAGTTCTGGGCGTTTCCCTTATTTTTATAGTCCTCTCAAAACTACACTACGTATTTTAAGGTGCTGAGAAGGTCCTTCACCTTTGCACGGCTGGACCGCCCTTCCCTGTGGAAATCATTCTCCCTGGGCAGGAGGTTTAAATTGTGTGTCCCAACTGTGGCACTTCCCACGTGGAGGTGCACCACCTGGCAAAATGTTTCGCTGGAAAGGTTGATGTTTCCTACCTGATTGCAGCTGTTGACCTTGCTCTTGTGCCAAGTGGTATGATTCATCTGGGCTGGGCTCGTGAAGACTTTGGGTCCTTTCAGGCAGAGGAATCCCCACTGCTTTTATTCTGTCCTATGTAAACATCAGCCTGAAAGGAGAAATTGTATTTAGAAAGTAATCCACACACATGCACGCCCCAGCTCAAACGCACATCTCTTTTCTTATTGTACGGCCTTTGCATTCCTGAGAGTTGCTTTGCATCAAAAATCCATGAAACTGCCTCTGCAGAAGAGAGCTGTCACATAGTCAACAATACGCCTGGCCTACCTTTCCAGCCTTGGCCCTTGGTTAATTGCAGGAGTTTGCAAACAAGAAATCTGAAACGTCAAGTTAATCACCGCCTCCTGTATTTTTAGCTCAAGAAAGCGGAGGGCGTAGACTGGGGACGATCTCACTCTCTCCTTGGCAGGGCCCAGCCTTGGATTGGCCTCCATCCAAGTGTTGTACCACTCCTTGCCAGAGAATGCCGGTCCTTTTGTGTCAAATGTTTTCTGAAATGGATACTCCTTGTTTTGCAGGAATGACACCAAGGAAGATGTGTTTGTCCACCAGGTGAGATTTGTTTGTTTATGCAGCCGGATTTGCTAGCTTTTGAGGAAACGGTAGCATTTTCTGCCTTGCTCTGAAACAGAGAGAAGTGGGTTGGAGGGAGAAAGTCTGCTGGCTCAGAACAAAAGGAACTTTTTGAGTTTTTTCGAGTTTTTTCTTTTAATGGGAGATTTCAGTTAATGCATGATTAAACTATAATTCTGAGAGCCTACGCATGTCCACAGAAGTGCAGATTTCTTTCTAGTTACTTATTTCTTAAACCTTCCTTTAGTATTATTTGTCTGCCACGGGCTCTGCTAAGTGAACGTTGCATCGTGTGAGCTTGTTGGTCCTTGTCCTGGCCTTCCCACCTTCCATGTGCTTTTGTCCCTGGAAACAGACTTTTGTCTGCTTTGCTTGAGGCATCAGTTAGGAACAAATTAATGGCATTGTGGTGTGTATGACAGAAAAAACCTACAGGTTTAGGAGAGGAAACAGAAGAATAGTGCCAGTTTCTCTGTCCTTAAAAGCCTAGTAGTCAGATTCCTGGTCTTGTCCGCCCCAGCCACGAGAGAGGCCTTGACTTTGGAGAAGCACACAACCATTTGACAGAAATGGTCTTAAGGTCCCCTACTTGAACACGGGGCTGGACAAGAAGGCCTCCAAGGTCCCTTCCAACTCTGTATCTTCTGTATCCCACAATTGCTTCTCATATATTTCTTGCTGACCTTTCGGTTGCATTGCTCTCCACTCCACCTTCTTCTCAAACATAGACTTTCACCAGAACATTTCCAATCCGTTTCCGTCTTATCTCTAACACCTTCCTCCTTTCCTCCTCAGACTGCTATCAAGAAGAATAACCCCAGGAAATACCTTCGCAGTGTAGGAGATGGAGAAACTGTGGAGTTTGATGTGGTTGAAGGCGAAAAGGTGGGTGAGGAGCCTTTGGGGCAGCCCCAAAGGGAGGGGGCTGATGCTTACTGACCACAATGGGGGGACTTTCTTTTTTAGGGAGCAGAGGCAGCCAATGTTACAGGTCCTGGCGGTGTTCCCGTGCAAGGCAGCAAATACGCAGCAGACCGTAACCAGTACAGACGATACCCTCGGCGCAGAGGCCCTCCGCGCAACTACCCACAAAATTACCAAAACAGCGAGAGTGGGGAAAAGAATGAGGGGTCAGAGAACTTGCCGGAAGGGCAGTCCCAACAGCGCCGCCCCTACCGCAGGAGGCGGTACCCCCCTTACTACATGCGTCGGCCCTACGGCCGGCGGCCACAGTACTCCAATGCCCCTGTGCAAGGAGACCTAGTGGAGGTAACTTACTGATTGCTCTTCTGTTTGCTTGCTTGCTTGCTTGTTTTGAGGGGAGGTGAGGGAGGTTGGGGGGCTGCTGAAGGAAAATTGTTCCCGGGTGTGTGGAAATCGGAAGTAGGGTTGCATGACCTTAATCGGTGCTAGTGGTGCATCTGCTGGGAACAGAACGAGCTGGCTCAGAACAAAAGCAACTTTTGAATTTATTTTTTTTTAAATTTTTTTAAATGGGAGGCCTTAGTTAATGCATGATGGCCAGAGTATAATTCTGAGTCTGCATATGTCCGTAGAAGTTGGCTTTCATGGGCCGGCTTCAGCACGTCCCTCCTCCATCCCACAGGGCACCGACAACCAGGGTGCAGGGGAACAAGGCAGGCCTGTCAGACAGAACCTCTATCGGGGTTACAGACCACGCTATCGCAGGTGAGTCCCTGCAGGCCGTGCCGTTGGCCCTGCAGCATCCAGAGTGGGCCCGGCCGTAAAAGCCAAGGTGAAATGTCTCAAGCGTGACCGGGTTTTTCAGGGGTCCTCCTCGCCAGCGACAGCCCCGGGAGGAAGGCAACGAAGAGGACAAGGAGAACCAAGCAGATGAGGTCCAGGGTCAGCAGCCACCTCAGCGTCGGTACCGTCGCAACTTCAACTACCGACGCAGACGCCCAGAGAACCCTAAACCACAAGATGGCAAAGAGACCAAGGCAGCCGAACCATCAGCTGAGAACACGTCCGCTCCCGAGGCCGAGCAGGGCGGGGCTGAGTAAATGCCGGCTTACCATCTCTACCATCATCCGGGTGAGTGGCTGAGAGAGAGGAGAGCCAGAGTCTCAGTTAGCAATGGAAATTTTGGGCTCAATTTTGGGGGCTTGCCTGTATTATGCAAAGCAGGCACTCCAGTTAATGCAGAATAGACATTGTTTGGGCATCAGACACCCCCACATAACTGCGCTTGCTTAGAACAGTCTGCATTATGGATCTCTGTATGTAGCCCATTGTTTCCTTTTGGGGGGAGCCCTTTTCCCCTGCGAGTCCTGCGGTCGATTTTCTGCTGCGGTGAACTCGGAAGTGGCTCTTTGGCCCAGTTCTCAAAGAAGAGGCTTCAGGCCTCACCTGAAGAGAGAAAAAAACAAAAGGAACAAAGGAACAAAATAGGACTGCACAATTGCCTGTTTTGTCTGCCTGCTTTTAGGATGTGATCTGAACCTGCCAACTTTGGGTTCAATTGCTTTTGATGGATAAGGGATGGTGGGAACCTTGAGCCGGGACCCACCGTGGATTTTGGCAGGGTGCGTGGGAGGTGGGGGGACAAGGTCCTATTACTTGTGGCTTTCTTTCTATTTCCAGTTTAGTCATCAAAGAAGAGAGAGAGTCTGAAATAAAGCAGAATCTGAAATTCCAGCAATAAGAAATATGAACGGAAGAATTGGAACGGAAGACCTTAAGTGCTTGCTTTTTGCTGTTGACCAGATAACTCCTCGAACTCTCTGCATTATCTATGCAGCACGGGATTTCTATTATTTTTACCTATAAAGCTGTCTCCTCCTTTTGGGAGCGACAAACATGTTTTTTAAAGGCCTGTTTTTTCTCAATACACCTTTAAAGGTTTTTAAATTGTTTCATATATCTGGTCAAGTTGGGATTTTTAAGAACCTCATTTTTAATTTGTATGAATACACCTGATTTTTTCACGTCAAACTGCAAGCATCTCTTAAATAAAGGTCTTAAGAATTGCTCAGTGTGGTCTGGCTGTGATTCTGATTCCATGCTGGCCAGTCCGGCCCAGTCTGGGGCAGTGCTGATGGATGAGATATTGTAAACAGAGAAATTTCTGGATTATTACAGGAAAACCCTGGGAAATCCCTGGACTGAACTTCTTTGTACAACAGGCAACTGACTTTTGGGGTGAGGAGATGACCCTCCCAGGGAGAAGCTGCTCAAGGGGACTTGAAAGTCAGGCCAGTGTCCCCAGGAAAGAGCAAACGGCAGAGGGATTTTGCAGAAGTCTTTGGTCAACCCTTCTCGACTACCAGCAGGTCCCGTGCTTCTAGGTGTTCTTCTCAAATTTAGGCGTGTTCCGTTGTGTTTTGCCATTTGATATATTTTAGGGCTCGAACTGGGGATGTTGAGTATTTGGCCGCTCAGAATGGCAGAAAACAGTATTTGCATTTTCAGCCATTGGTCAGGAACAGCGTGTGTGTTCAGATGGCACATCCTCCTCTTAACAAACAACTAGATTTGTAACACTTGCACTCGGCTTGTAAACAAGTTTTGTTGAATTCCACCTGGAGTTTAATACTCTCGGCTAGGAACGTTGTGCTTCCTGCAGGTGGCTTTAGGGTGGCAGTTGAGGGCTTAGAAGTAAGAATTCTCCAGTTCATCAGAGCAAGCTGCCGTCTTTAGATAAATTCAGAGGCTTTAGATGTGAAGGTTTCATTTGTAGCTGGGATCTGGTGCTTGAGATAAAAGTGTTGACACTCCGATGGAAGCATTTAGACTATCTTCCCAGAGCAGGCTTCCCTGCGTTTGCGGATTATACTTGGAATTTCAGAAAAGCTGAGGACTAGGAAGTTGAGTTGAATGGAAGCGGGAACGTCCTCCCTGTAGAGGAAATGAGCAAATGGTGTGGCCAGAGAAATCGTGTCTACTAAGGCAGACAAAAAGAGTTCGTCTTTCCTTTTCCTAGAAGAAAACAATATTTGGTACGTAACTCCGGCCTCCTTTCTCCTAAGCAGGTGATGGGAGAGCCTCATTCACTGGGGCCAGGAACTCAAGAGCTGCCCGCTGTGAAATTCAAGAAAATATACTTTTTCTGCTTAGCAGACTTGGGAGAATCTGAAACGCATAAGGTGCTCTCTCTCCTCCCCCCCTGCCCCATTTGATAAGCCCAAATAGCTGGGATGCTCCGATGTTTTCTTTATGGGAAGATCTTGGGGAGAAACCTGCAAAAAAAAAAAAAAAATAGATGGTCATCCGTGGACAGACAGCCTTGGGGGAAGTTGGTTTTGTGAGTGGGGGTCCCAAGCGGGCGAGAGAGTGGATGTGTTGTGTTTTTCATTGCGCACCAAATTGATGCTCTTCAAGAGGGAGTCTTACCGGGATTTTCAGGATTTCTACACAAAAGCATTGAACCAATAGCCTAGAATGCCCCACGTGGCCATCCTTTGACTGACAGATATCCATAAGTTCATTTTTCATGTAAATAAAAAAAAGGGAAGGAATAATCTGATTTCTTCAAGATGGTCATCTCCAGAAAAAATGGAGACCGAAACCTCAGAAGTCCCAATTTCTCAGCAGGCTGCGGAAGATGGCTTCAAAGTTTTGAAAAGCGGCTTGAAACTGAAAGCTCGTCTCTCAAACCCCTTCGAGTTCTTTTACCAAGCTGGTTTCAGTTAAGAAAAGGAATATGACTCAGCCGGAGCCCTGAGTGTACCATGGCCATATTTGGTGGCAATCGTCTCTGAGCAGAGGGCCTCCTGCATTGCTAGGAGATCAGGTTGACAGGCTTGGGACGATGCCCTGGACCGGCAGGAGGAGGTCTGGGCTGCAGGTCACCGGAGGACAGGTTGGAGCAGCCAAGTAGACTTCACCAACTCAAGTATGAGATGGTTTGTTTGCCACCTGAAAATGGGTGTGTTCCTCTGAGACCTTGGTCAACACACCTTAAGGGCCTTTCCAAAGCACAAGAATTCTCAGAAAAACGCTTGAAGTTAAGTGTTGAGGAAGAGAGAACGTTCTGCCTCGGTTGCTTCCACAGAGGGCGCGAAAGACTAGTGTGATCCCATTCACTTGAGAAGCCATCCCGCCAGGGGACCATAAGGTAGATGGATCTACCTAGACCATGAAATGGTCTATAGAGTTTCCTGCATGAGGGGACGTGGGCTGGACTAGAAGACCTCCAAGGTCCCTTCCAACTCTGGTATTCTGTTACTGTAGCAGTAGGTCAACCTGGACGTATTTTGTTTGCTAAAAAAAAATTAAAATACATCGTCAAGTTCCATTTGGATACAGTGATTAAAGAAATTCTCATCTCTGGCCTGTCTGTCTCTAGTTCCGGGAAAGGTTAGATGAGGTGAAGGGTGCATCCATTCTGAAAAAAAGATTATCTTTAAACCAAACATGGTAACAGCCAACGGGATTGAGCGAAACGGGTTAAAAGTGGCATAAACGTGCTTGAGTCAACAAATAGTGATCCCTGACGAACTGAGCAGGGTCGCCCTTCACCGGCTGCTCAGTTACTGATTAACCCCCGCTGCCCTTTCCATGGGGTAGCCATGGCTGAAAACCAACTCCTGATAACCAACAAAACACCACAACGCCTTCTAGAAAGAGCAGCTGCTCCTGCCGTTAGGACAGATCTCTGCCCGGGAAGCCATCTGCCAACCAGCTATTCCTGCAAGGGAGGACTGGAGAGGGGCAGACCCTCGCGAGGAACTTTCGTGGAAATGGAGCAAGCGAGGGTCTTGGAAAAGCATTGTGGGGGGGGGGGAGAACCCAGGCTGTGTGAGATGCGAGGGCTACAGCTCAGGTTTGGAGCATTCAACGGATCCAGGACTCCCTCGATAACCACACAGGTTTATTTATTGGCAGAAACTTGCTCTGGAGACCACCAGGCTGATAAAATGCATCCCGAGGAGACAACCCGATGGCTGCAGTGGCTTTAATTCAGCTGCTGTGAAGTGGCCCTTCTCTGGAAAGGACCAGGGGGCTAGTAAAAGAAAAAACAAGGCCAATAAATAATGGGCAGAGGTCAGGGTGATAAATTAACGGAACATGCCTTCGCTTTCCCCTTGGCCGCTTGAGGTTGAGCGACCTACGAGGCCTGCCAAGACTCCGGGCTGATCCACTTTCAAGACTCTTCGGGTTGTGCAATTGTTTGAAGAGCCTGAAAGTTGAAAGGGACCTCGGAGGTCTTCTAGTCCAACCCCTGCCCAAGCAGGAGACCTTGTACCATTCTGGACAAACGGCTGTCCAATCTCCTCTCGAAGGCCTCCAAGGATGGAGCACCCACGACTTCTGGAGGCAAACGCATCCCACGGACGGTCAGGAAATTTCCCCCTATTCCTAGGATCATCCACCTCCACTTTGGATTCCTTTATGCATCCGTGGTTTGGATGACAGAGTTGATCCTGAGCGTCTAGTTGTGGTTGTTTTTTGTGATGTATTTTTATCCTAAGCCACCTACAGACCCCTAGTAAAGGTGAGATGAGCAGCTGTAAAACTTGAGTAAGTAAAGAAGTGTGCAGAACAATCCCAATTGAAGGGGGTGCTGCAAGACACCAGCCTTTAAACCAGCCAATTCTATTCCGGTTTAATAAGAATTAAGTCACTTCAAGATTTTGCTTACAGTAAAGGGGGGGAGAAAAAGGTCGAAAACTCTCTTTAGGCTCTTTTTCTGCCCTGGGCGGAGAGAAATGAGAAGAAAAGCCAGAGCCATCCACCAGGTGTAATTCCAGTCCTCCACCACGTGGGCTCCCACTTTTACCGCCTGATTCCCTCTCCGCTCTGGCACTCCCCTCTATAGGCTCCCACGTCCGTCGCAAGGCAGCGCAGGCGTAGTGACGAAGGCCGCACCGACAGCAGCGGCGGCGGCGGCGATGTCCCGCAAGCAGGCGGCGCGGGCGCGGCCCGGGAAGGCGGAGGTGGAGCGGAAGCGGGACGAGCGGGCGGCCCGGAGAGCGCTGGCCCGCGAGAGGCGCAACCGGGCCCAGGGCGAGGGCGAACACGACGGCGGCGGTCTCAACGAGCAGCTGAGAGCGCTCGGACTGCGCCTGCGCGAAGTGCCGGGCGACGGGTAAGGAAGCCACGCCCCTCGCCCACGACGGCTACGTGGCGCGGCTCTGACGTCATTGTGGGCGACCAGCCTGATTCGTCTTGGGGGGGCTTCCCTGCTGTAGTTCTCCCCCCCCCACACACACACACAACGACCCTGTCAGGTGGGCTGGGCTGGTGAGGGGGACCCGGCCCAGATCCGCGTAGGTCTCCTTCGACTCTGGGCCACGCCCTCTTTGTGGCCTGGTCTCCCTTCTGCTCTGCTCCTCACTGAGGACTAGAGCCTTTTTATTTTATTTTGATTTATAAATTATATGCCGCCCATCTCGCAGGCACGAGTCAAGTCGATCCAATCCAATAGTGGCCAGAGAGCAACCTTAAAAAGTGAGCGAATATAAATACAGGTGAAGTTTTTATGCCGCCCAGAGTCACCTTGTAGGGGAGAATGAGCAGCAGAAAAAACGTAATAAATAAAATAAAAGTAAAGTGTTATTTGTAAAAATAATAAAGGCAGGAGATAAGTAAGTACTGTAATAAATAAAAACAAATATAAGATCCGCATCAAGGAATGAGAGCAAAAGGTAGAATACATAAATCCAATAATAATTGGAATAAAGTCAGGTAAAACACCGGTCAGTCCCTGAGCCAGACTCTTGAAAGGTGGAGCCCATCAGTGCTGGGACCGATCCATCCTTCTGGCCGTCTTCCACCTCCCGGTTCTCTCTCTCTCTCTTCCCCCCACCAGGAACTGCCTGTTCAGGGCCCTCGGGGACCAGCTGGAGGGCCACTCGCGGAACCACCTCAAGCACCGGCAGGACACCGTGGCCTACATGATCCAACAGCGGGCAGATTTTGAGCCCTTCGTGGAGGACGACGTCCCCTTCGAGAAGCACAGTGAGTGTCCCCGGCGGCTCCCTCCGAGCGGCTCCCTCGGCCAGCTTGCTCTTCCTTTCATCCTTCAATCTCGATGGTGTCTTTTTCACCAACCGCCCCCCTTGCGCCACTCTTTCCTGAAGAGCAGCCCAGGAGCCAACTTGGTTTTCTTTCCTTTCCAGGGACCTCTAAGGAATTGGGGTGCCTTAGTGGCCCTTCCTTCCTTCCTTCCTTCCACCCACCCACCTATCTATCTATCTATCTATCTCAGTCACCTCTCTCTCGCTTGTTCCCTCCCTTCCTTCTTGGGTGGGGGGGCTTGGGTTGCTCTTTCTCCTGGGCCTGCATGCTCTCACCCTTGAATTTTCCTTTCCTTTTTATCTTTCCCAGTTGCCAATTTGGCCCAGCCGGGTACATTTGCTGGCAACGACGCCATCGTAGCCTTTGCGAGGAACAACCAAGTGAACATCGTCATTCACCAGCAAAACGCCCCCCTCTGGCAGGTGGGTCTCCCAAGAAAAGCAGCAGCCCCACTGGAAGGCCCACCCCTTCGCGTTGCCATCGGGGGGGGGGGGGGGGGGGGGGGGGGGCTTTTCAACCCCCCCCCCCCAACTCAGGAAAGGCTTGGAGGCCTCTTAAGGAGGTTTCGGGGACCTTTGCCAGTGGCTCTTGTGCTGTAACATTTAATAGGATCAAAAGAGGGAAATGTTAAATGTCTGGCAGGCCTTGTCAGCACTGGAAGTTAAACTCTATCCAGTTGGTTTTCAGCCACATCTGCCTCCTAGTTCTACTTGTTTGTTCCCCCCTCCCTCCCTCCCTCCCTCCCCCCCTTCCTTCCTTCCTTCCTTTTCCTTCCTTCCTTCCTTCCATGTTGAAAACTTATTTTATTACCTCATCTCACCCCCGAAGCAAAGTTCCCTCCCCCCGCCCCGTCTGACGCCTCCCTTTTCCTTTCGCAGATTCACGGGACAGACAAGAGCAACGCCCGAGAGCTGCATATCGCGTATCGCTACGGCGAGCACTACGACAGCGTCCGAAAGATCAACGATAACTCGGCGGCTCCCGCTTGGCTGCAGACAGAGGTTGGCTGGCTGGCTGGCTGCCCACCCAGTGGGCTTGGGGGCAAAAGGGTGGGTGGGTGTGGGGCTTACAGCTTTCCTCGGGGTTTCCCAAGCCTCCAAGCTCAGCCAGTGGGACCCCTCTCTTTCCACTCACACACGTCCTCCCCTTCCTCTTGCCCAGATGCTCTGCCAAAATGAGTCCCCAAACAAGGAGGCGCCCCAGGCGAAGGGGGAGAGGCAGCAGCCGGAAGAAGGAACTCGGGAGGAAATGGACGACGCTCTCCAGAAAGTCCACAACGCCACCGGATGCTCGGTGAGGGTTTTGTACAGGAAGGATTTGGGGAGGTCTGTTACCACCACAACTCAGGCCATTAAAATTTATTCAGGGTGTCTCATTTTATTTACCTTGTCAGGACGTTGGTTTAATTGCCCAAGTCCTGGAGGCAGAAGGTTCCAGCATTGAGTCCGCCATCTTTGCCGTTTTCCAGATGAAAGAGTTGGAAAAACTTCGTAAGTCCCGTCTTTCCCCTTCCTTCCTTCCTTCCTTCCTTCCTTCCTTCCTTCCTTCCTTCCTTCCTTCCAGCAGGGATAAGGATCATAAATACAAAATTATAGAAAAATATAATACAGGCAGTCCTCGACTTACAACGGTTCATTTAGAGACTCTTCAAAGTTAGCACTGCACTGAAAAAAGCGACTTATGACCATTTTTCACACTTACAACCATTGCAGTATCTCCACAGTCGCATGATCTAAACTCAGAGTACTTGGCAACTGGTTCATATTTATGACGGTCGCCGTATCCCGGGGTCGCTTGATCCCCTTTTGCCTTGATCACCTTCCGACAAGCAAAGTCAAATGGAGAGCCAGATTTCCTTAACAACCTAACAACTGCAATGATTCACTTAACAACTGTGGCAATTCATAAAATGGAGCAAAACTCACTTAAATGTCTCAGTTAACGACAGAAATTTTGGACTCGATTGTGTTTGTAAGTCAAGGACTATCTGTACAATTATTATAGAAAAATAAAATATTGTAGAAAAAGCAGTAAAAAAGAAAAACTACAACAATTGAGAGTGCATTTTTAAATGCAGAAGGAGAAACAGAGATTTTAAACATTTGAGCCCCGGGAAACTTTTGCTGAAGCCGAGTAATTTTCCAGGGAAAACTCTGCTACAAAGACTTCTACTGATTGCAAAGTATTCTTACGGTGAAAAAGCATCAGTTACTTGCTTGAAAAGCTGGTGTCGTTTGTGGGTTTGTGTGCAGGTGTGTTTGCAAACAGGCGTTCGCCTCAGTGAGAAGGAAGGCTTCGCGGCGTCTTAAATTCATCTTAAATCTCCTTAATTCAGGCAAAGGGACTTCTTTAACCTTTTGGCCAGCCCTTCCTCCAGAAAAATCTCTCACCAAACGTAACCCAAGAAGAGAAAAACCGAAACGGGCATAAATTCACCCACAAGGACCAAAACGTCGCTGTTTGTGCCAACGCAACTCTTTTTTTAGAGAAGTAGAAATATCCCCAACTTGGTGCCAAAGACGCCGTTTTCTTTGGAAATCCTGTCCAGAGGCAGTTTAATGTCCGTACCAGATTCACAGCTTGATTCTTAACACGGCACTGGAATCTCTGCCTCGGTTTTTGATACTTCTGCAGATATTTTCCACAAATCACTTAAATTGCATCGGCCATTTGCCAGGCGGCTTCCCACGCGAAGGAGGGCCACTTTCCTGGGCTTGTCATAGAATAACAGAGTCAGAAGGGACCTCGCAGGACATCTAGTCCAACCCCCCCGCCAAAGCAGGAGACCCATTTCTGACAGAGGGCAGTCCAGTCTCTTCTTGAAAGCTTCCAGTGCCCAGGAGGCCAGGCTGACAGCGGACTCCCGCGGCTGAGCACTGCCCTTCTCTTTGCAGACGCAGAGGAAGACCAGGCCAACAGGCCAAACCCGCAGCCCAGGCCGGCCCCATGGGACAAGAAGGGAAGCCTAGGCAGGACTTTGGGCCGCCAGGAAGTCGAAAACAATAATAACCCTCGTGGGAATCTCGTGGAAAGGAACCGCCCAGGTCAGAAGGTAACTAAAACCAGAGAACTTGAGCTTCTGCCTCCCGGCCCTGCTTGCTCTTCATCACCCCAGCCCGGGGGTCCGATGCCGCCATCTCTCGCCCCCTCCCGCTTCGTTCCCCTTCTCATTTCCCCCTCCGCGGCCCTCCTGCTGAGGTCTGATCCCGTTGTCCAGTCTTGCTCTGCTCCTTTGGCATTTTCCCCCTCGGGTAGAAGAATCACAGAGTTGGAAGGGGCTTCGGAGGTCTTCCAGTCCAGCAGGAGAAACCCTTTACCAGCTTCCCTTCTGCCCTCCTCATCCTCATCTTTGGGCCTCGGCAGCCTCTGCCTCCACCAGCAAGAATCTGGAGGTTCATCCTTCACTGCTTTTTATCCACTTTGCATTGCATCCTGCTATTCCCGTCTGTCGTGACCGGGCCTCCTTGCGTCTTTTGAACACAGTCCCTCAGGCAGCAAGCGAGAGAGTGCCATCTCTCTCTGAACGCACAAACCCGGTCAGAGAGACCCACGGGCACCCACAGGCACTGACTCAGGTGCTTCCTGCCAGCCTTCCCGCCTGCCAGGACAGCCACTCCCAACCACTCCAGGCACCTGATCCCCAGATCTCTGGGAGGAGGGAGTCTGGCTCCAGAAGGTCCCGGGTGGAGGCTACCCTGGGTCGGTCTATCCCCCTCATCCTACCCACCCCTCTCCTCCTCTGGCAGGCATCCACCAAACAGAAGAAGGAGCTTCAGCGGTTGGAGAAGAAGAAACGTCAGGAGGACAGGCACCGGCAGAAAGTCCTGGCCGGCAAGGGTGGCCCCTCGGACAATAACACGGTCGCCAGGGACCCCCAGGCGCAGGTCACTCTGGTCAAGACATTTGCCACCCTTAGTATTTGACTCGGCCGCGCTGGACGGCGTTCGCCTCTTCCAGAAAGGGGGAAGCCCCAAGGCACACAAATACACACCTTGGTGGGTGCCAATTGGGGCAGGATGATGGGGGCTTTTTGGCCCATTTGGGGGGCGTCCTTCCCCTGCTCCAAATCCCCCTCCTCACGTTCCTGGCACGTTCCTTTCTTCCATCAACATAAGGAAGAATCGCTGGCCAAAAGTTTTGCTCTCGTTTTTTTCTTTTGATTGCCGTGGAGTTCAGCGTAAGAGGTTTAAGGGGGCTGGCGAGGGCGGAGGGGTGCCTTCCGGTGAGTGGGGGGAGGGGGTCCGGCTTCACAAGGGGGGTGCTCTTTTGGGAAGGCTGTCTTGGCAGGGCAATGCTGGGGCTTCCAAAAGCCATTTGGGGGTGGAAGACAATATTTGCCGGAGTTTTCCCCCCAGAAATATCTGTTCCTCGGTTGGTTCAGGCGTCAGATGTTGGGGGGCGAAAGGGCTCAGAGAGAGAGGCAGAGAGGGGGGGCTTTTATGTGCCCCAAACATCCCCCCACCCTCCAAGTGGGCAGCTCTTCTGCAAAGCCACCAGCATCTCAACTTTCGCCTTTTGGTTCAATTTGTAATTTTATCTATGTTGATGAAATAGCCGTTTTCCCTTAAAAAAAAAGTCCGTTTTTCCTCCAGAGACACTTTCTGCGTTTCTTTCTCTCCAACCCCTTCTAAAATATGCATCGGGGATCCATTGATAAGTGGGTCTCCTCCCTTGGGGGGCTGCCCTGCCATGAAAATGCCTCTGACTAGTTTGGGAAGGGAAGACGTCAGGCTCCTGGGATGCCAGAGCCAAACCCCCCCCCCCCCCCCCCCCGTCTTGTCACCCCCCCCCTCTTTCATAACTTGTGGCTTTATTGCACAAGAAGACCACAGTTTGGCGACTGGCAAAGAGAAGGCGGTTCAGGGACGGGTGGAGGTTTCGTGGCCCCCGCCGGCATCTCGAGCTCAGAAGGGCCGGCCTCAGCCCCTCTTTGTGTGGGTGGAGTGGTGGCCGATGCCCTGGCAGGGCGGGGTGGGTCCTTGGCACAAGATATTTGGGTAGGTGATGTATTGGTCCTGAAACACTGAGCGGCGGAAACAGAGGGCTGCTGCTTTGTCACACTCGCAGGTTTGCCGCCGGCATTCGGTTTCCCCACCTGGGAAGAAAAAAGGGGAGCTGAGAGGGGTCCACGGGGGTCTTTCCTCGCCTGGGTTTGATCTGTGTCCCTCCAAAACTGGGAGCCCATATTTGCCAGCTGGGCAGTTCTTAAATGGCACCCCTGGGAGAAATGCTTCATCGAAAAGAAATTAGGGGAGAAAAACGTTCTACAGGTGGTGCTCGCTTAACGACCGGTTGCTTAGTGACGGTTTGAAGCTACGATGTAACCCCACCCCCACCCCCCGAAAAGAAAGAGACTGACGGAGCCAGAGTCAAAATCCCGATGCCTGCCCGGCTGCTAACATTTTACCCCCACAGTGAAATGAGTGGCAAAAAGATTTCAGAAATACATTTTGGCTGTTCAGCAACCGATCTGCGTTTACGGCTGTTGTGCAAGCCTCCTGCAGACCTGTGGCCTCAATTTGTGACTTCTTTTTTTTTGCTCAAAATCGTATTATTTTTAGGCAAAAAAAAAAAAAGCTCATTGTGGACAATGAGTTCACTTAAGGACAGCTACGTTTGCTTAAAATCTACTCGGTCGTGACCCGTCGTAACTGCCTATTATGCGATCCCAGTGCTGCGCGTTGCAAAGGGCCGGACCGGACCAGACCACCCTCCTGGCCCCCTCCGGCCCAGCATCCCCAGCCAGTCTGGCTTTTTTGCGGGGTGGGGGGGGGACCCTGGGAACTTTCCCCTCCGTGCCAACGTGGTTTGTGCTCTCACGTACCACACGTGACGGTGTCTTTTCCGACGGAGTAGGAATATTTCTCCATTTTGGGTTTGCAGTGACGGAGCGACAGGGCCTGGTAGCAGCAGTCGTGAACTCGGCAACACCTGGAAGCAAAAAACAGACCCACAATTGTGCGGCCGAGGTGCCACTTGCCAAATCCCACAAGAGAACAACGTCAGTGTGTCCCTTTCGGCCTCCAGTGGCTGTTGGGCGCCTGCCTGCGTCAATATTTACTAAGCAAACTCTGAGAATGTGAGTTGCATTGTCATTTCACAGGTAATCCTTTGTCTAAGGTCACTCTCAGGACCCAGGGCTCTTCCACCTGGGTTATTATTATTATTATTATTAATTTTGGGGACATTCTTCCCTTTAAAAACCATTTGACCGGCAGACACACCAGCTTAAGACACAAAACTCCCATCTCTTGATTCATATTATTCATAAGTTATCTTATTGATGTATTTATTTTCATTGTCATTTCCTTTGTCATCCTTCATTTCATTGTTCTATTACAGGCATTGTTCTATTACAACCACAACAGCCCAAAATTTATGTTGCTAAGTGAGACAGTTATTAAGTGACTTTTGCCCCATTGGTTATGTGACTCACTGCAGCTGTTAAGTTAGCAACACGGTTGTTAAGTGAGTTTGACTGTCTTTGCGAGAAGGTCACAAAAGGGGATCACGTGACCCCGGGACACTGAGACCGTCATAAATATGAGTCAATTGCCCAACATCTGAATTTTGATCACATAACTTTGGACGGTCACTAAATGGACTGTTCTAAACCGAGGATGCTTGCAATCCAGCTAGCACCCACCCGATGGGGGGAAACATAGCCAAGCTGAGTGGAGGTGCCAGCTTGCTTTCTGTCTTCTGAGAAATGAGTGGGGGGGGGCTCAGGAGAAGTTAGGACCCCTCCCAGGTCACCCCGTAAACGCCACCCCCCTTACCAGTCAGTAGCGTCCACCGGCTGCCGGGAGCCCCCCCATCCGCAGTAGCAGCCGTAGCCGTTGTAGATGAGGGCGTGTCTTCCGGTCAAGTGTTCGATGATCCGTCCAAACTGGATCAAATTGGCACTGGCGAAGACCAGAACTGGAAGCAAGAGCGGGAGAGTCATTGTCGCCACACCCGAGCAGCCCCTCACGGGCGGTACCCGCACGGAGTCACCCACACCGCCCTGTCCCCGTCAGAGGACCTGGCATTCTTTGACACTGCCATTCTGACCCCCCCCAGCCCCCCAAGGCTGAATAACAGAATGTCAGAGCTGGAAAGGCCCTCTAATCCAGGGGTTGCCAACCTTTGGGACCACTAAATTCATAATTTTAAATCCCACGGACCACTAATACAAATTTTTTAAAAAAGATAAATAGCATTTAGTGCAATATAAAAAAAACACAAATAATTTTTCTGCAGACCACCAACATTTTCTCACGGATCACCAGTTGGTGACCTTTGCTCCAGCCCACCCCCCCCCCCCACCCCCCCTGTTCAAGGCAGGAGACCCTCAGCCGTTCCAGACAAATGGCTGTCCAGTCTCTTCTTGGAAGATCTCCCGCGATGGAGCACCCACAACTCTGCTCTCTCTCTCTCTCTCTCCGTTTTGGATAAATGTTTCTCTCTTCCCCCCCAGGAATTAATTCACTTTCAGTCCAGGGTGTGAAATGGCACGGTGTGTTTTCAGAAAATGGTGGTTTTTGGCCCCCACCAATGAGACCGGGGGGGGGGGGGTTCACAGGCGGGATATTCCTCCTCCCTCAGTTTGTTCTCAAAGGAAGTGAGCTCTGCGTCAGCCGGAACAAAACTGCGCAGCTCTTGGGGCCGCCTTGAGCCGTAGAAGGGGGTCCTTGGCGCTCTCCGAGCTTGGTGGTTTTGTTGCAGGTGTTTCATTACCCAACTAGGTAGCATTACTGATGAGGTTACCTAGTTGGGTCATGAAACGTCTGCAAGGAAACCTCCAAGCTCGGAGAGCACCAGGCACCCCACTGTCCTCCTCCTCCTCCCTGCAAACTCCACTCCCTTCTAGCACTGATGACGTTACCTGGTTGGGTCATGAAACGACTACAAGGAAGCCACCCAGCTCAGAGAGAGCACCCAGGACCCCTCATTTCAACCCCGAGCTACAAATATTCCTTTACTGAGCTGTAAACTTGTTTCTTTTGGGCGATTCTCCCTAATCTGCGGTGTTGGAATAATATTCCCGGAACAACCGATGGATCTTGAAAATGCTGCTGGGTCCTGCCTCATCCTTTGCTTCGTCCACCCCTTCCCTCCCTCCCTCCCTCCCCCCCTCCCCGCCGTCTTTCAGGCAAGGACTCACCACAGAGGAGAAGGACTGGGCTGCTGCCACAGAGCGGACGGGCCATCCTGGAAGGAGCAGCACACCAGGCAGGAAACTCTACAATCCTTGGGTTGGGAGGGACCTCAGAGGTCTTCTAGTCCAGCCCCCTCCGGCTGGTTAACTCCACTCCCCGGAACCCCCGAGGAAGCCCAACCGGTGGATGCTTCCAGGGCAACGGAGTCTCAGTCCACACCGGCTTGGGGTGGCTCTGAATTGAATGTCGGGAGCATCACGAGTCGACCAAGAGTTGTTTTCTTTGCCATGACAGCTAGAGAGGTTCAACCTTCGTCAGAGCAACCCTGGATCTGTCAGCCTTGGATCAAAGGACACCACTCACCTGGCAGTGCCTGCGGGCATCAGCCAAGTGTTCTCAGAGGGTGTGTGCAAAACCAGGATGGATGGACAACCGGGTCCATCTTCTCCCCGGTCCTTCCATAAAGCTCCTAGGCAAGGCCTCCCTACGCAAGGCCTCCCAAGTCAGCAACCCCGGAAAAGGTCACATGCTTTTCTTGCTGAGTTTGTGGTGGACTTGGGAGTGGCAGATTGGATTTGTGGGGGACTTTTGAGGGAGTAAAGGCAGCTGCTGTCCCTGGTCCTGAAGTTTAACCTTCTTGAGACCTGTCCATGTTGCGGTTCGGGAATTATGCAGCCCAGCAAACCCTGTTTCGAAAGGACCACAAAGCCCATCTCTGCAACAAACCCACCAGACCCGGCTGCAGCTTTTCACAGTGTGGTCCGAGACCGTTGTAACTTCGAATGGTCCCTAATCGAATGATTGTAAATCGAGGACTTCCTGTATTTAATCCTGCTAATTGCAACTTAGATCTGAATTTTTTTTTAATCCAGATTTGGATTAATCCAAATTTAATCCTTGTGGATGTGGAATATAACTTCCTGAACGTCTTGGCTTGTTGGTTTCTTTTCTGGTATCTAAAAACCACCGTCTTGCTTTCCCTCAGTTCTCCTCTTCTTCTGCACTTTAAACATCTCCATTCCTCCAGCCGGTTTTTCTAAATCCTTCCCTCCGATCTCGGAGCCATCTGTTTCCTTCCTCTGAATCGGTATTAATCTGCCCGTATTCGGCTAGAAATGGGGTGCCCAGAACCACCCAGGGCTTCAGTTGTGGTCTTCCCAGTGCAGAGGACACGGAAATAAGTCCACCACACCGGTGATGCCTGACAGAACGTTCCTTCTGATCTGATCCAGAAGTTCATGAGCAGCCATCTCACACTCCAGATAAGATCCCAGAAGCTCTGGGATCTTCTAGCATCATCCATCTGTAGTTGTGCTTTGGCCCAAGGATGGCAGAAGGACACCCTAAGACATCTGAGGTCTCCATCTTCCTTTCTTCTCCGTTGCCCACACGGCTTCCTGAGTTCTTGACCACGGGGAGCCCATGAAAGCCTCAAGACCTTGAAGGGCTTGGACAGCATCCAATGCCCAACCCACAAGTCAGCGGGGAGAAAGTTTAAAGGAAGCACTCGAAGGAGGAACTGAGAAGATAAGGAGAAGTTTGCTCGGTCCTTATCCTTAAAGGATCTTTGATGGCTTTTCAACCCCTGGCAAAATTCCAACCTGGTGGAACTGGGGAAACTGGTCCTTGGCTCCAGTCTGACCTCGGGTGGAGCTGCAGGTGAGGCCGTCCCACCAGGCCTCTCCTGAAGGCCATGAAAACGTTGGCAGCTGGATGCGAATTTACGCCTGGGTTAATCTCAGTGCTACGATGGCATCGTCTCCCCTTCGGTGTCTCTACCTCTTTCTCTGGGCATTTAGGGGGTGCATTATTGGTGTCCCTAAAAGTGAGCCTAGCAAAGAGTCCTTTACATTCTTTTTTTAAAAATTATTTTGTGGAATCTTTTAAAATATGGGCAGCTTCCAGGCGACTTCCTGTTTCTCTTTTGGCAAGCGTGCGTGTTCGTAGCTTCTCCGCCATGCTTTAATTGCATAGGGGGGTGGGGGTGGTCCTCGGCTTGAGCCCAAGATAGTTGTCATGGGACTTTTGCCCCATTTTACGTCCTCTCTTGCCACTGCTCTTAAGTGAATCCTTGCAGTTATATTGTTAGTATCACGGTCGATGAGTGAGTCCGGCTTCCCCGTTGACCTTGTTGTTCAGAAGGTCGCAAAAGACACCGCAATGGATGTAAGTGTGAAAAACGGTCATGCGTCACTCTTTTTCAGTATCATTGTAGCTTCCAATGGTCACTAAATGAACTGTTGTAAGTCTACCTGTATTTGGTTTCCAAAACAAGCAAAATCAGCCGTCCGGCTTCCCATCCTTCTCCCAGCCAGAGTCAGGAATGAGCTCACGAAGCCCACGTGGGGGTGTCCCGTGCCCACACCCCGGGAAGCTGTTTTAAGCAGCCAAGGAAAAGCAAACACAAAGCTCTTTGCGTGTGTGATGCCGGCTGTGCCAACAATTCCTTGTGAGTGTGTTTATTTTGGGCATCCCTAATTAAGCGTGGAATCAGCCTGGAACAAAAACACAAAGGGGGGAAAAAATGCCAGGGTCGGTTGTAAAAACCACAATATAAACAAAGGATTCCTCTTGGCAGGAAGGTTGGTAATGGGGAGTAAGAGGTTTTCTGACGCAGAGATCCACCCCCCTGCCCATCAGCCACTCCTGCTCTCCGGGCAGTGACATGAAAAGAGATCCAGGCCTCCCTCTCTCCCAGTAAAATCTTCCTCCCACACCACTGCAAAAAAATTTTTTTTGTGGAAGCGGAAATGTGTCGCTGCACAAAGGGGTTTCCTGTGGACTAAAATCTTAAATGGGTTGTTTTAAGCTGCTCTGGGGCAGAGCCTCTCCGCGTCTCCTGTTTCGGTCCCCAGGTTTTGAACTTCTTTCTGTATCCTGGCTCGGTGGAAGGAATCCTCTCTAATTCCTTTATTCAGGACCTTGAGGACTAGAATTGGCTGAAGCTCCCAAACTGGCAACAAGGGGATCAGAAAATCTTTGATTGGGCAACAGGCCGGACAGGTTTCCTATCTTCTGTGTGCACTTTACACAAAGATGCGTAATAACAGAGTCCACAAGCCGATCACTTATGCAAAGCTGGCGCCGGTTTATTAACCAGTGTTGCACTCAGAAAAACAGGGTAACACAACTACGATTGTGTAATTTGAGTGGGGGGGTTGTCCTGGCTTGCGGAGACTTTGCATTTCTTTGGACCCTCCTTGCAATTGGAGTCCCTGTAAAACTGGTAGTCTTTGTTGTAGGTGTCCAGACTGTCACGGAGGCAGATTGCCGCGGCCTTGTCGCACTCACAAATCTGCTCCTTGCACCAGGTGCCCCCTCCTGCAAAGAGAACAAAGCCCTGCTTAATCCTGCCCACCCTTTCCCAGGGCTCAGCCTGTGTTCTCATGAGGCTGCCAATCCTGGCCTGGCCACCAGAGGGCAGCCAGAGATGCAGAGAATCCCGATTGCAAGCCCCCTAGTGGACAACCTGAGTTTTGCACCCAGCTTGGTTCTGGCTCAGAAAACATTTGAACCCCGGGGCAGCCCACTCACCGCAGAGGATGACCCCGCTCTTCCGGCTGTAATGGTAGGGGTCTGTTTTGGTGTGGCAGTCGGTCAGATTCTCGTAACAGCAGTCGTGCATCAAGCAGCAGCTGGAGGGAGGGAGGGAAAAGGCGGGAGGGAGTTAGCCGAAAGAGGGTCCCCTGTCCAGCAATGGGGGCGATGAGACCCCTGCACCCTAAGATTGGGAAACGTTCTGGGGTCACCGCCACCAGTCCAGCAGAGGGGGCCCTGAGCACCAAGAGCCTGTCTGAGATCAGACGCGAAGGAGATATTTTGCAGAGGCCAAAGTGATCTATCTGTGTGTTTGTTGTGTATTTGTGTACACAAGCTTTCCAACCTCTGGAGCTCCGAATCTCCCTGGATGGGCGATTGGGGGGACGAAGGGAAATATTATGGGGAGTGAAGGGCAGATCAAGGATCTCTTACAAATACAGGGGGTCCTTGACTTACAGCCACATTGGTGCCCCAAAACCTCCATTGCTAAATGAGACATTTGTTAAGTAGAGTTTTGCCCCATTTTACGACTTTTCTTGCCACAGTTGTTAAGTGCGTCACCGCAGTTCTTCAATTAGCAATGTAGTTGTGGGGCGAATCCAGCTTCCCCCTTGATTTTGCTTGACCGGAGGTCGCAAAAAGGGGATCGCATGACACTCCCCCAGGCAGTGCGGCCGTCATAAATATGAGTCAGTTGCCGAGTGTCCCAATTTCTTTCAGCCCCCTCCCCCGCTGCCCCCCATTGAAGGGAAGAAGGTTTCCTCTGCAGCCCAAGACCTGGAGGGGCTTCCGTGTTCATGGGGGGGGGGGAGGAAACGGTCATGGACATTAGGAGCTTACCGGTCAGTGGCGTCCCGTGGCCGGCCTTGGCCCCCCAGGCCACAGTAGCATCCGTAGAAGGTGTAGAAGGGGAAGGCGGTTTTCCCCGTCTCTTCCTTGATCATCCTCCCGAATTCCAACAGGCTCCCCTCGGCTTGAAAAAGACAGAGAAGCCTCAGCCCCCGAGGAGAAAGGACGCCTTCTCCGCTTCTCTGAACGGTTAATGGCAGATACCGCTACTCCTCGCTTAACGACCAAGGCAAAAAAACCAGATTGTAAGGTCAGGTGTGGTCACAGGATGCCTCGCTTAACGGTGGATTTTCTTGCCCTGATGTTGGTCGTTAGGCAAGCTTTAACCCACCCGTTTGCCTTCTGCGAAGAAGGCAGAATTATCTGCACCATCTTCCTGTATTATTTCCCACCCACCCCTCTGGTTCACTCACCGCTGACCAGCAACATGGCCAGCACCATCCAAAAAGTCTTCATCCTCTGGAATCCGGACCTGGAAACAAGCAGGCCGTGTTAATGTCCTTCGTTTTGGTTTACGACCTCGAAACGTTTGGGTCTCAATTTATTCTGGCCAATATTTAAGGCCAGAAGGGTGGCATCCAATTCAGGGAGGGAGGGAGGGAGAGAGGAGAGCTTTGGGGCTGTTTCTGTCTCTCTCACACACACACAAAATCTGATGCCCCTCGAACATTAAATATTGGCCAAAATAATTGGAGGAATGAAAAATGGGCGGCAGAGATAAAAGGGCTTAATTTTAGGATCATGGAATCCTAAGGCTGGAAGGGACCTTGGAGGTCATCTAGTCCAACCCAGTGCCCAAGGCAGGAGAACTTAGACCATCCCAATCAAATGGCTGGCCACTCTTGTTTTGAAACCTAGTCATGGTAGAAAAATTCATTTTTAAAAATTTATTAGATTTGTTCTTGCTGGTGTGAACTTTTCTGGCAATGGAGAAGCTGGGCTCATCTTCAACAGATTGCTTGAGGTTCCCCTAATCCTAAAAAATGGAGGGAGGCTGGGACCTCGAAGAGGGGATCGAAGAGACCCTGCCTGGGGGGTGTGTGTGTAAAAGGGTAATCCTCAGTTTACAACCACAACTGAGCCCAAAATTTCTGTTGCTAAGTGAGACATTTGATAAGTGAGGGGTTTTTTACCACTTTACGACCTTCCTTGCCACAGTTGTTAAGTGAACCATGCAGTTGTTGAGTTGGATGGCCAAAATCAAAACCGCCGGGAGGTCTTGCAGTGACTCAGTTTCCCCAAAGGAAGCCATTAAGAGTCCATTCCATGTGGCCCAGTGAACAAGAAGCTTGACCTGCGAAGAAGTGAACTGATTTTGACCCCAGTTCTGCATCTTGACGTTAGTTTGTTCTTTGCTCTTCTTTTGTTTTTAATCCAGATTATCTCATTTGCTCCCCCGAATTTATCCTGCTAATTGTTTTAATCTAGAACGATGTTTTGTCAGCTGCCCGGGGTGGGCGGACACATTACATTTAATAAATGGAATGTATAAAAAATAAACTTCTCCTGGGGTCCAAGAAGACGCAACCTGCTTTCAGAAGACCAGAGAGAGTCACAACAAGGGTGGCCGCAGAACAGGGGGATAATTTTACTGTCTGGACAGGCCACTTAAAAACCAAACAAAGCTTCCTTTTTGTCTCCTTTTCCAGGAAAAAAATATTTCGGGTGGGTGTTACCGGAGCCAAACCTAAGCAAGGCCGGCCGGGCTTCTTGAAAAGTTTTAAGTAGTTTTTAAAAGTTGGGTGCGACCGAACGCTTGAAACCCACTAAAATGAGGGGGGGGGTTGCTCTTCTCCTGACTGTGCACAAATGCTGGATTTATTTTATGACTCCTCCGGATCTTTTGCTTCCAGAAGTTTTGCTTCCAAAACTAAATTCCAGAATTTAGTTCCAGCAAGAGGAATAATCCACACCATCCCTCTTCACAACTGTGTGGCTAAGATAACAGCTGCAGTGATCCACTTAACAACCGTGGCAAGAAAGGTGGTAAAATGGGGCAAGACAGGCTTCATGACTGTCTCGCTTAAGAACAGAAATTTTGGACATTGCAACCGTCATAAGTATATGCCAGTTGCCAAGCCTCCGAATTTGGATCGCGTCGCAGAGGGGATGCTGCAACGGTCATACGTGTGAAAAACGGTCATAAGTCCCTTCTTTCGGTGCTGCTGTAACTTCAACTGGTCACTAAACGAATGGTTGTAAGTTGAGGAAGTCCCTGTATAAGGATAGCCAAAGAGAAGAGAGGCTGGGAAAAGAGCAAAGGTGTGGATACTTACACCTGGCAGCCTTTGTGTCAGCGTTGGGGGGTCTGGAAGCTCCCCGTCTTCTCCCCCCGAGCTCCCTCTGCTTCTCTGGCCCCTGAAGACGCGGCTGGCACATTTTATGGGCAGGGGAGGGGCGGGAGGGAGGGAGGGAGGGAGGGCACCTGCTTCCCCATTCCTCCGAGCAGGTGATCCTCACTCTCATCTGGAGGGCCATCTTCAGAAACCTCTCCACCGATTTCCCTTCCTTTCTCCAAGCAAGAAATCTGACATTTATTTATTTATTTATTTATTTATTTATTTATTTATTTATTTATTTATTTATTTATTAAATTTATATCCCGCCCTTCTCCTCGAAGGGACTCAGGGCAGTGAACAGCCGAGAATTAAAATAACATACAATATAAAAGTTAAAATAATTAAAAAATAAATTAAATTAAACGGCCGCCCCAATTTAAAACCCCTGGCAATACAATTAAAAAACCCCTAAAACCTATTCAGGCCAGGCCGGCTTTGCCACTTGGGTGGCAAAGGTCAGCAGCTGGCCCCCCCGCAGGCATCTTTCATCACCCGGCTCTTTCCTGTTACGGGTTTGGTTCCGGAAATGGGCAAGGAAGACGGAGGGATGGAAAATTTTGTTTTGCAAAGAGCGTCTGTTTTGCAAGCCTCTCTGGAGCCAGGTTTCAGGCAGGGGGTGTCTGGGGCAAAATATCAGCCCTCCCACCATACAGGAAAAACATCTCCTCGGCCGAAGAGGTTGTAGAAAAAATGCTTTTAAAAGTAAAACAAACAAACCCTCTGATGATTGCGTGGCTCAGCTGGGATCGTCAGAGCCTTTTAAAAGCATTTTTTCTTCGGCTGATGAGGTCGATCAGATCACTGATGAAAAGTTTTGGAAACCTTGAAAGGGGGCCTGTCCTGTTAAGCCTCCTGTATTCAGATTAATCCTTTAGAAGGAAATCCTGCAATTTAATGCAGTGGTCCTTGACAAGGACCCCATAGTCGTCGTCGTCCTTCTCCTCCTCCTTTTTCTCCAACCTCCCTCGCTTCTAGCACTGATGAGGTTACCTAGTTGGCTCATGAAACATCTGCAAGGAAACCGCCAGGCTCAGAGAGCACCAAGGAGCCCACCAGCCTTACTCTGGTGTAAGTGCGGAAGGATTCGCCCATCAGATGCAAAAACACCCTCCCAACCGCCCCCTCCCCCCAAACTTTCCCTTTCAGCCTCAAACTTCAGGGCCCTGAGTCGCCTTCCCTTTTGGTGTGAAAATGGTGTGGCTGGGATGTGTCAGCCCAGAGGCTTCCCACACAAGGACCAGAGAGTTTAAGGAGGGTTTTTATTTCTGGTTTTCTGGTTTGACACGCTTGGCAACCTGCCAGGCAAGACCCTCCAGTCACAATGAGCAGGAGGGAGACGGTCCCCAGCACAGGAAGTTCGGGTAGAAGGTGTATTTCGTCTGGTACCGGCCTGCGTTTTGCTTCAAGCACAGCGACAACGCCCAGTCGCAGCTGCAGGTCTCCTCTTGGCACCAGTTGGCATCGCTGCCTGCAAGAGGAAGAGAGGGGACCCCGGGGGTCTTGGTGGAGGAAGGAGCCCCAAGGAGGAGGTTTGGCACAAGGCCGTGAGACCGAAGCACCCTTCGGATTGGGGGTCTTTGGTAAAGGTGCCCACCCTGGCACTGGCACCAGCTTCCCTTCACAGCCCCCCTCAATCTCACCCCTTCACCTTTGGGGTGCCGCAGCCCTATCGGGAGTGAAAGGCAGGGGAGGGGCTTGGACAGAGGTTCGGCTGTCAATTATTATTAAGTTAAAATTATTTGCCACTCATCTCCCCATGGGCAGTTTCACAAAGAAACGAAAAGGAATTTTAAACACAGTGAAAAGTCAAATAATAGAACAATAAAATAAAAGAATAGAACAATGAAATAATTATGGGTAAGTCCTTGACGGTAATGGTCATGGTCGTAACTCGTGATGGTCGTTAATCAGGTCGCTCGCCTGGCCAGCCTGATTTTACAATCTTTCTTGCATGAGGGTCAGTGAGGGAAGCCGGATTCGTTTAACGACCGTGTGATTCATTTAGCAACTGCAGTGATACGCGTTAACAACTGTGGCAAAAAAAAAAAAAAAACCCTGTAAAATCAGGCGTGACTCACCTTAACTAGCGACAGAAAACCTGGTCTCCCCACTGTGGGGGTGGGCTAGCTGTGCCCATGAACAGAAGTTGTGTGTTTGTGCGTGTGTGTGTGTGTGTGCCCCAAAAAAACTCCTGCAAGCACCCAAGGCAACTCACCACACAGGATGTGCCCCCAGTAGTAACGGTAGCTGTAGTGGATGGTTTTGGGACAGCACCCCCACTTCTCCAGCCGGCCGTAGCAGCAGTCGTGCCTCTGGCAACACCTGGGGGAGCAGGAAAAGGGGGGGTGTCTCCCGGGAAGCATCCTGCCCCTCCTCTCTTTCCCCTTTGGCTTCCGCAGGGGGTCTTTCAAACATTTCTCAGAGGGAATTCTGGGATTTGGAGTCCCAGCACATCTGGAGGCTCACCAGCTTCGCAGAGAGGGGGACATGGCGGTGGGTCACCCCCTTACCTGTCCGTGCCATCCTTGGGCCTCCCTCTGCCCCCCAGGCCGCAGTAGCACCCATAGGTAGAATAATACGGGATGGCCGCCTTGCCGGTGACTTGGGTGACCATGCGGTAAAGTTGCACCAAGCCTCCGTGGGCCGTGGTCAGCCCTGGGAAAACAATGGTGGTTGAAATCCCAGGAATTGAGAAGTATCCCAGACTAGATTTGTGGGTTTGTTCTGGTCTAGTGTGAACCAGGACTTCGTGGCTTGGCCCTTAAACCAAGGGGTCTCCAAAAGTGGCCACTTTAAGATTTGTGGACTTCAACTCCCAGAATTCCTCAGTCAGCCACGCTGGGAGTTGAAGTCCACAAGCCTTAAAGTGGCCAAGTTTGGAGAAGCCTGCTTTAAACCATGATGAAACTTAATTTATTTAGTGATGTCCTGTGGTTGATACAGGAATCGAGGACCAGAATTGTCGTTTTTGTCCCCACATACCAAAGTGAATGCATGGAGGGATTACAGAGAGTCCTTGTTTTATGACCTCAATTGGATCGACCACAATTTGGCCATTAAATGAGTCAGGTCCAATATCATTTGCCACAGTCATGGGGAAAAAAACCTCAGCTCCCCTCATTGTTTTGCCGCTGTCCCTGGTCCTGAAAGTTAACATCCATCTCAGAGCACCCGTTGCCAAAGCCTGGTTTGTAAGTTAGGCTTAGTGCGTTATGCAGTCCAGCCCCAAACTCTGGCTTATGCCCTGATACATTACGTGAATCCTGTTAATGGTAGCTTGTTCAGCAAACCATGGTTAAAATAAAAGGCGGCTTGGATCGGTGAACTCCGTCGGATGCCTGCAAGATCTGCCTTCTGAAGGGGTCTGGGCTGAGCCACCCAGTCGTAGAACTGTGGAGTTGGAAGGGGCCCTAAGGATCATCTAGTCCACCCCTCTGCAGGGTGCAGGAAAGGCAGCGCAACCCTCCTTGAGAGGCAGCTGTCCAGCTGTTCCTCAGAAAGGGAGAACCCACCACCTCCGCGGGGAGACCCTTTGGCCCTTACCAGAAGTCAGCAGAAGCAGAAGCAGCAGCAGGACGGAGGGGCCCATCTTCAGCTACAAAGGTGGTAACACTGAAAAATGGTCACAAGTCACCTTTTTTTTTTTTAATGCCGTTGTAACTTCGAAAGGACACTAAATGAATGGTTGTAAGTTGAGGACTACCTTTACAGGCGAGGGGTGACTTTCCTGCATCTGGTGAAACGCTTCGTGTGAAGGAGGAATTAGATAACTTTACTGCCTGGAGTAATTTGTAAAAATAATAAAGGCAGGGTCCCAAAAAAATCCAAAATCTAATCTAATCCATGGACCCCCCCTCAGATTATCCCAGAATAAACCTGAGAAGCCTCGGCTTCTGTTTTCCAGAGCATGGGAGGCCTGAAGGGAAAAACGGAGCTGTACTCTGCACTTCATTTTAATTTATGCCCGCCTTGACGGAGGAAGAGAATTGGAAGACACTGCTGGGGTGTGTGAAGGCTCCTTCCCCCCCCCCCTCCGTCCCCCTCCCCTTACCTGTTCCTGCAGTGCAACAGAGAGGATTCTGGGCTGCAGAAGTCGAACGTGGCTCCCTGGAGGGGTTTATAGAGGGCTCCAGAGGGGCCTCCCCCCCCAACCTTCGGGAATTCAGCCCCGGAAATTCTACTTCACTTTCAGTCTCTTTTGTGCTTCTTGGAACACCCCACCCTCCCATAAACAGGAAGCCAGAAGGGAATTTTTGACTGCAGCATTTTGGGCATCCCCATTTCCCTGCATAGTTCAACAAAGATGAAAAAGCAAATATAGGAGAACTCGCTCAGCGCAAAAAAGAAATCTGTTTGCGTGGAAGGAAGTCCCAGGTTATCATGCTGACTTTCCATTAGTCATCTTATATCTGTTTCACGACGACCCTGTGAGGCTGGACAGCTTTTCTGAAGCACCTGCAGGCAGGACAAAAAGTAACATCAAAGAGAGATTCAACCTAGAACTAAGAAAATATTTCCTGGCACTGAGAACAATTACTCAGTGGATCGGCTTTCTTTTGGAAGTTGTGGGCGATCCATCATTTGATGCCTTTAAAGAAGAGACTGGACAGCCACTTGCCCAGAATTGCTTAGGGCCTCCTGCTTGAGCAGGGGCTTGGACTGCTAGATGTTCTCCAAGGTCCCTTCCAAATGTATTCTGAGATCCGTACTCAAAATAAGGAGGAATTTCCTGACAGTGAGAACAATTTATCAGCGGAACAACTTGCCACCAGAAGTTGCGGGTGCTCATCAATGGAGGTTTTCAGGAAGAGCTCCATTTGTGTGAAGTAGTATTGGGTCTCCTGCTTGAACAGAGCGTTGGACTGGAAGATCCAGTCAGAGGCCCCGTCAGAGAAATGTCAGCTGTCCAGGTCTTCTCATGCCATGCCTCCTCCCACCCCAAGCATTCCAAAGTTCGTTGCATCACAATCAGGTCGCCTTCCAGAACAAAATGCAGTGGTTCCATCCAGTGGCGGAGAGTCACACAGCTTCGGTTTTGGACAAACCAATCTGTGGGTTTTGAGTTTTCCCAGGGGGTCCCCATGGAGCCTTCTGGAGCAGAGGAAAGAGCTGGGAGGTGACCAGCCGAGAGAGGTTCCCTGTTATACCTGGGACAAGGTGTATAGCCCAGTTGAGCCATTGCAGGGCTAAAATTGCAAGTTCCACTCGTCCGACTTCTGCTTCCTGCCTCTCTTGGTGTGGGTTTCCACTCCAGACTCTTTTTGCAAGGCGGGGAGGGGGTAAGAAAAGGAGAAACCCCCTTAGGTGAAAGTCCCTTTGTACCCTCTGTCAATCAGCAGCTTCCTCCTTGCCCTGCCTGCTGGATTTTGCAGACTGCCAGGGTTTAAACTCTTTAAATGTTTAATACTAGCCCTTCCTGGTTTCCAAAATGATGGGTGTCTTTGAGAGAGATTTTTCTCGTGTGTTTTTTTTTCTTCCCTCCCCTGATTTGGGAAACGCAGCTTGGTTGCAATTAACAAGCAAAAGAAAAGAAAAAAACAGAGAGGGAAATTATATTTAAGCAGACCCCCACGCAAAAAGAGTAAGGAAGATGCTAGAAGGCATGAAATTAACCAGGGATTCTGAGGGGATAAAGATAATCTAATCTAGGAGAGATCCAACCTAGAATTGAGGAGAAATTTCCTGATAATAAGAACAATTAATCAGTGGAACGGTTTTCTTTCAGAAGGTGTTCCATCACTGGAGGTCTTCAAGAAGAGACTGGACGGTCACTTGTCCAGAATGGCCTAGACTAGAGTCTCCTGCTTGAGCAGGGGGTTGGACTAGAAGACCTCCAAGGTCCCTTTCAGCTCCGTTATGAGTTATTTGTAGAAATGATAATGGCGGCCATCTGTTTCTCCTCCTCCTCCTCCTCCTCCAGGCACTCCCAGAGATGAGGCTGTTTCACGTAGCCATGGTGCTGGGGGCGAGCGGTAAGTGCTGGTAGGTTCCGGGGTCTCTCACCCTCCTCTTCATCACAGACACCCCCCTGAAAAGAGGGAGAGAGAGCTGCTTTCCCTAAATGTCTACGGAGGCTCTCAGTCATGCTGGTCCCAAAGGCTCTTTTTCAAGAGGCAATTGAACTTTCTCGGAAGAGATTCCAGTTGCCTTTTCAAAAAGCACCTTTCAGACGATCTGCTTGCTTTCCCTGATTCTCCCTTTTCTCTTTTATTCTCCAATGTTTGCTTCCTTCTCCTTCTGTTTTATTTTTTCCTCTTTTTCGGTTTGGGACTTTTGCTCGCATTCAGCTCCACCTTTTTCTCTGCCTGCCTTCCCTTTAAAAAAACAAAAGCAGAAGCATTATGTTTTAGGGTTCATTTTAAAAAGAAATGGACTGACTGACTGGCTGAATTCCGGAAGTTGGAGTCCACCCATGCTGGTTTGCATGTCCTTCCTGTTGACCTCTTGAGGACTAGCCTCTTTCACCTCTCTTTGCAGTGTTTGCCATCACCACCAGCAGCCTGCTCAACTTCAAGCTGATGATCCAACGGATCACGCAGAAGAACGCGCTCATCTACTTCAACGGCTACGGGTGCTACTGTGGGAAGGGTGGGCGAGGGAAGCCGAAGGACCCCACAGACATGTGAGTGCGGCCCCCTCCTCACTGCCTCCAACGACACCCCCCCCCCCCGGCCTCTTTTGAACCTGGCTCCCAGCATGACCGCCCTTCTGCGGCCCCCAAACCCCCACCCGCATAAACCCCTCTGGCTGTGGGGCAAGGCGCGAAGGAGAGCAACAGCCTTCTGCAGCACAGCTGGTCCTTGACCTACGACGACAATTGAGCCCAACATTTCCCTTGCCAAGCAAGACAGTTGTTAGATGAGTCTTGCCCCCTTTTAGGACCTTCCTTGCCACAGCTGTTGTGCAGTTGTTGTGCACAAAACTGTGCAATGCAATCACTGCAGTTGTTGAGTTAGTGACATGGTTGTTGAGTAAATCTGGCTTCCCCACTGAGTCAGAAAAGGGGATCTCGGGACACTGCAACGGTCATAAATATGAGTCAGTTGCCAAGCGTCTAAATTTTGATCATGTGACCATGGGGAGGCTGCAACGGAAGGGGCAGGTTTCAAAACCCTTCGCTACTGGTTTGCTTGTGGGCGTGCGCAGAAGCATCCGGGCAGGTGGGCGGAGCCTCCCGATCCAGGGCGAACCGGTAGCACTGTGTAACGGTCGTAAGTGTGAAAAAATGGTCACTTTTTTCAGTGCCATTGTAACTTCGGTCAATAAATGAATGGTTGCAAGTCAAGAACTATTGGTACTCCTCTCTTTCTTGCCCAGGGAGCTCAATTGGGCTGCCAGCTTTAATACCCACTCTGGCTGAGGATCTTGAAAGGATGGGAAAAATAACAATGAAAACACATTTCAGCTTTAAAAGATTCCCGTCCGATTCAGAGTGGAAAGGAAAAGGACTTTAAAAGAGTTTCTGTGCCAGAAGGAAACTTTTTGTGTTGTTGTGTCTTTTCTCTCTCTCTCTCTCTCTCTCTCTCCCTCTCTCTCTCTCTCTCTCTCTCCCCCCCCCCCCCCCCGCCTCTCTGATCCAGGTGTTGCTATAACCACGATTGCTGCTACGAAAATTTGCATCACCAAGGTTGCCACCCGTATATTGACCACTACAGATACCTGATTATCAACAACAGGGTGCTGTGTAGTGAGTTCTCCCAGGTTTTGTGGTATTCACAATTTTGCAGGGAGGGGGGAAGTTGGGAAGGGTCTGAGACGCCCCCCGCCCACCCCTGGGCTGACTCTCTCTTCTCCGGCCCGCAGAGTATAGGAACAGAACGGTATGTGCCACCTTGGCATGCGAGTGCGACAAACACGCCAGCTTGTGCTTCAAACAAGAAGCCCCAACCTACAACCGCAAACTGCGACATTATCCCGCAGTTATGTGCAAAGAGGTGACCCCCAAGTGTTTTCCCGGCCCCGAGTTTTGAGAGGGGTGGACTCTGATGGCTGCCAGATGGACGGCATTCAGCCTGGCCAGCGTTCCTCCACCTCTTCCCAGAGCCTCGGCCTTTTGGGGGCTTGTAAATAGAGACTTGTGTGCGGGTTCTCCCAAACCTCAACCAAGGATTGGAAGCCTTTGTGTGTGGTGTAAGCGTGTATAATAAACATTTATTTTTCTTTTAAATCTTTCAGTTGACATTTGGGGAAGGAACCTTCTAAACTGAGTGTGAGGGAAAATGTGGGCGGAAATTTAGAGCAGGGGAACAAATAGGGTGGCGAGTCCGAAAAAAGTGGTTGAATTCGAATTGCATCATTTAAGAAGCTGAGATTGAGCAGGGCTGTGGGCGGAGGGGGCTCCTAAATTTACACAGAGAAGTCTGCACAGTTCCTTTGAATTAAAGTCAGCTGCAAGGCATCATGCAGATCTCTTGGAAAGAGCCTGGAAGAAGTTTGACCTTTTGCAGGATGTTTGTTTTCATCCAGTTTACAACCCCTTAGCTCACCTAGTGGCCTCCCATCCTAATGCTAATGAATTCCTGCTCTTCGGGCTTCCCTGCAATACTTAGAGACCGCTGCCTTCCCCGATCCAGCACCATCCTCCGGGACTTCAGTTCCCATAGTCCCCTGCCCGCATGGCATCAGCTGGGGATGGTGAGAATTGGAGTCCCATACACCAGGGACCATTAGGGAAGGATGCTTTTCTCGTGGACTTTTATGCCGAGTTGCTCGACGGAGCTTTCTGCTGCTGCTGGAGGTCCTGGGTGCGAAACACGCAGGTGGGGCTTTATTTTGCCCCATCCCCACCCCACTTCCACTCGGATTTCAATCTGCATAAAAATGGAGATTTAAGGGTGGGGGTTGAAGATGCAAAAGCCCACAGGTGCAAATCTGGGTGTGAGCAAAAAGAAAAGGATGCCAGTTTTCCAAGGTAGGCCAAGAAGGCAGGAGCCCTATCTAGAGGAGAGGAATGGCCACCATTAGCTTGCAATGCAAAGTGGGAGGACCAAGTAGCTGGCATGAAGCCCTTGCTAGTTAGCTTCAGGCCCCCATGTTACCATGAAAAACTTCAGAAAAACGAAAGTTACAACAGCATTGCAAGATAGGCCAGGTAGGCGGCAAAAATGGGTTTAAAAGAAGCTTTTTCAAAGAAAGAGTCACCTCTACCCTTTTCCAAAGTCTATGTGCCCGCCGTGACCATATCTGACCTCAGAGTCACACTTCCGGGTTCTTCTAGCCCCGTGTTTACGTGCTCTATGGCAAAAGCCACAGCGCGCGGCCTTTTGACGTCATCAAGCGACGCTCCTTCCCGGAAGTGCCTTGCAGGAGCGCTCGGACCTAGGTAGTCGGCCTCCCCGTCGGTTGCCATGGGAACGGGGGGCCTCTCTCAGCGCGCCGTTGGGCCTTTTCTGGGGCGCCCCGAAAGTGTCTGGCGGGCGGGGAGGTCGCGGGACCTCTTGGGCGTCCGCCTGCGGAATTCCCTGCCACAGGAGCGGGCCAGTTCCCTCCCGGGCACCCCCAAAACCCTCTCTCCCTCCTGTTTTCCCCACAACAACAACCCTGTGAGGTGGGCTCGACAGAGAATGAGGGGACTGAGCCAAAGACACCCAGCTCGCGATAGTTGTGGGGTTGCTTGTGTGTTGTGATTGTACCCTGGCTACTGACTAAGGAAGATAAGACAATCACAATTGTTAAGTGAGACATTTGTTAAGTGAGTTTTTCCCCATTTAACGACCTTTCTTGCCACCGTTGTTAACTGAATCACTACAGTTTTTGGTTAGTAGCACGGTTGTTAAGTGAATCCGGTTTCCCCATTGACTTTCCTTGTCAGAAGGGCGCCAAAGGGGATCACGTGACCCTGCTGGGACACTGCAGGCGTCATAAATACGAGTCAGTTGCCAAGCATCTGAATTTTGATGATGTCACCATGGCAATGCTACAACGGCCATAAGTGGGGAAACGGTCCTAAATTTTTCAGTGCTGTTGTAACTTTGAACGGTCACTAAATGAGTGGTTGTAAGTATATGGGCAATTTGAAGAACAAGGAAAGCAGAACTGATACTTCTCTCTTTTCCTATCACAGGGAAGCCACCCTCGAGCGATAACCATGGACTCCGCCGGTCACCCTTCGACGGGTGAAATTATCCTCCTGGCAACCAGTTCGGCCGTCACCGCCATCCTCTATGCCGTTTACAGGCACAAGTCAAAAGTTGCAGACAGTCTGAAGGTGAGTGGCTATTTGGATCCTGGCTTAACGTGGCTTTTTAAAATCACTGTGCTTGTTTTTGTAACATCTTCCCTACTGGCTTGATTCCAACTACAGCTACAGGAACTGTTTAAAATGAGACTTATGGTAGGTTAACACTGTATATTTGGGAATCTTCAAAATAACCAAGTTCCCCGAAAGAAAAAAGAGGCCAGATTGAAGATTTTAAACACCTGGAGTCAAGCTCAGAAAAGTCACTCAGCAAAGCACAATCTTCTGGCATTCATTTGTACGTACGATGACACAAATGAGTTTAAAGGAAGCCCGCATCGACCACTTTGGATATTTTGTTCATGCTCAGAAGTTGTATTGGCAAATGCAGTGAGGTGGATGTATCTAAAGAGAGGAGGAGGCCCTCTCCGTGGTGGGGATCTATTTTGACTTGACCTCCGATATTTATAATTTCACTACCAGTTTGTTTTCTTCAGGTTCGCAATTTGCCAGAGTAGTATGCTTGCAGAATGTCTGAAAACTCAGGCAATCTCTTTGCTGTGATTCAGAGGATATTGTTGTGAAGTCTGTTTCACTCCTTCCTTCCCCCAGAGTGCTAAAAAAGTCACTCTGGATCAGGATTTAAAGAACCTGCTGATTGAAGCCCCGGGAAAATGCGTCCCCTATGCAGTGATAGAAGGTATGTCCTTCCTGTGGGGAAATTGTGTAAGTGTAATTGTGTGTATTTCCACCTTCGGAGCACATCTGTGGCATCTTTCATGAGGGATCCCACGGTAAGCATTCACCAAATGGATCTACAGATGGTTGACCATTGGGGAGGTTGCTGGCCATTCGCCCTCCTGGGTGCTCTCCTCCAGTTGGGCGGGGGGGGGGGTTTAATTTTTTTTGCCCCCCCCCCCCCCAATGTCCCTGGAAGCTGCTCCTCCCATCCGGAGGGCCGTTAGACTGCTCTAAACAATTGGCCTGCCATCCATCCATCCACAGTGGGTGTCTCCCTCCTTCCGGTCACTGACCACTGCCCGGTCTCTCCTGCCCAATCAGGTGTGGTGCGCTCCGTCAAGGAAAGCCTCAACAGCCAGTTTGTGGAGAGTTGCAAGGGGGTGGTCCAGAGGCTGACCCTTCAGGAGCACAAGATGGTGTGGAACCGGACCACCCACTTCTGGTAAGTCCACTCATGCCTCGTTTTGGAAATAGGGACTTGCTAAGGGGCCGGTGTGCTTACCACAACCTCAGTGTGATTATTGCAGCCTGAAGTCTTGTAAGCTACCACATGAGAACACCAAGATTTTGAGAAAGGCGGTTGTTTTACTTCTGAGGTAAAGTTTTGGGGGTTCACAGATGTTATTTCCAGATGCTGTGGGAACGTTTCATGATTTCTCTGAGGTTAATTTATTTACGGTCATAAGAACTATAAAAATATTCAGTTTCTTCATATATGGAAATGATCAAAATGTTCAGCTTCCTTGCTTAAGTTGTAGGTGTTCTGGACTAACCTAGACATTGAAACATCTCAGTGTTTTTCTTTTTATCAGTTCCCTGTTATGAATTTAATATACATTTTACTGGTTTTTTACATGTATTGGTGTTTGGCTGCATTCTGAATTATAATTATCGTTGTCATTATACCTCTGTCTTGCTATAACTAATGAAATAGATTTCAGATCTCTGCCACACTGAATTTTGTCAATTTTAAAAAGCTGCCTGGCCTGAAACTTAGGATCCAGGCTGGGAAACAATGCAGCTTCCTCGAGGCCACTCAGTGCAGATCAGGGGTGTCTGCCCCACTTTGCATGACATCCCTACTTTAAGCAATCACGCCAGACATTCAGAGAAGATGGGAGCTGTAGTCCAGCAGCAAATATTTCTAGAGGCTTTTGACAAAGAACTCGCCTTAAAGTTTCTCAGTTTTCTACTGCATGTTCATAGTGGGATACGATAGAAAAGGAGAGAAGGGAGAGGCTCTTAAAAATTGTGCTGCGATGGTGTTTTTCATTCTGGATGAAATTTCCCCAGGAACAATTATGAAAAGATCATCCACCAGAGAACAAATACAGTCCCTTTCGATCTGGTGGCCCCGGGGAGCGAGGACCCCCCCGTGGCCGTGAGGGTCCTGAAGCCCCTCAGTGCTGCGGAACTGAGCCTGGAGACCGTCTACGAGAGATTCCACCCCTCGGTGCAGTCCTTGACTGACGCCATCGGCCACTACATCAGCGGAGAGCGGCCCAAGGGCATCAAGGAGACTGAAGAGATGCTGACTGTCGGGGCAGCCCTCACTGGGGTCGGCGAGCTCGTCCTGGACAGCAGCACCATCAAGCTGCAGCCCCCCAAGCAGGGCCTGCGCTACTGCCTGAGCAGCCTGGGGTTCAAGACGCTGCTTGAGCGGCAGGAGTCGAGCGTCCGGTTCTGGAAGGTCCTGACGACCCTCTGCGGGCTGGCCAGCTGCGCTCTCCTCATCTTCGTCCTGCACAAACAGTACCGGCGTCAGCGGGAGAAGCGGCGGCTGCGTCAGATGCTGGAGGGCATCGCCGCCGGAGGGGACGCCACCAACACCTGCGTGGTCTGCCTGGGCAACAGCCGGGCCTGCGTTTTCCTCGAGTGCGGGCACGTGTGCTCCTGCCTCAAATGTTACGAGGCCCTGCCCAGGCCCCCCCGCTGCCCCATCTGCAGGCAGCTGATCGCCAGGGTGGTGCCTTTGTACAACAGCTGAGGGGCGATGCCTCCTCCCCCCTCAGGCTACTCTAGGAACTGGTTTGAACATTGCTGCGTAAAATGGGGAGCGGGTTTCGTGGGTGGGTGGGTGGGCTTAGCAGTAGCTCTTTGCGCAGATCGACAGAGCCAAGCGATGTTGCTCCCACACTTCATCTGGAATTGAACTGCCTGCTGTGGCTTTGGTAAAAATGCCAAAACGAAGGTTCTTCTTCTCTCTTTGTGTGTGTGAATAAATCGCCTTTAGATGTTGCTTCTTGGAGAACTCCCAGGATCATGTTTCTGGAGCCGTGTGGGGTTCACACACCTTTTTGATTCATTAGCGCTTTGTGTGTTTCGCCCTGAATGTTATTTTTTAGTCCCATTTCCCTGCCTTCTCAGGTCCCAGAATAAAACGAGGTTGCCTTGCCTTTGCTTCAGGGGCAACTTTGGCTATTTTTGCCTCCAAAGGATCTTATAAAGAGATGGAGGGGGGGAAATGTATTTAAGGAGGAGAGAAAACCATGGCTGTGTTGGAAATTACTGGATAGCCGAGCAAAGCCTCCTTGGAGTTTCAAACCCGGAACCGAGCCTCCTTCAAACAGCCTACACACCCTAACTTGGATAGCTCAAGCACGCAATCACGCTCAGAGGGGTGTCCACGCAGAATGGGTATCCTGAGAGTCAGAAAAGAAGGAAAATAAAATTGATTAAATGCTGTGAATGTGCCTCCCGCCTGATCAATCTTTAACCCTTTTCACGTAACTAAAAACTCTGGTTGCAGTTTCTGAGCAAGCAGGTTGCCGCATGCGTAAGAACGGAGGTGGCAACCGAGATGCTTTTTTGGGGAACTCAGGTGTTGATCTGAAATCTGCTTCTTGTCTCTTCTGGAGACCGTTAGGGGGCAGTCTCATTCTTCTGGTCTCCTTTGCTGTCTCGGCGCACCACTTTCCATTGGTGCGGGCACCTTGGCAAAGCCAAGCAACCAGGAAGCTGGCCAGCCCGCTTAATTTCTCCGCCCGCCTCACCCGCGGCATGGCATCTGTTGCCAAGTAAACAGAATTTCCTTGGTGCACCTGCACGCTGGCAGTGGCGGCCCCAGGGCCTCCAGCACACAAGAATCGGGGCTGCATCCAGCTTAGAGATTTAGAAATAACTTTATTGTCACTTTGAATGTACACTAACCGAAATTTCGTTGCATATAGCTGATCAGCAAGGATCCATACCCAAGAATTGGGAATGTCTAGTTTAATAAAAAGAAGGACCGGGGATGACCTGATAGTCTTCCAATATTTGAGGGGCTGCCCCAAAGAAGAGGGGGGGTCCACCTCTTCTCCAAAGCCCCTGAAGGCAGGACAGGAAGCAACGGAGGGAAACTCATCAAGGAGAGAAGCAACCTGGAAGTAAGGAAGTAACTGAGGACAATTAACCAGTGGAACAACTTGCCACCAGAAGTTGTAGGTGATCCAACACTGGAGGTCTTCAAGAGGAGACTGGGCAGCCATTTGTTGGGAATGGTGGAGGGTCTCCTGCTCCACCAGAACACCTCCAAGGTCTGATTTCTCTTAGAGCACATCAATCTCTCATCACCCCCCACGGCCACGGGATCAAAATTAGGACGCTTGGCAAATGACTCCTACTTACGACGGTCGCAATGTCCCGGGGTCACATGTTCCCCCCCTTTTGCGGCCTTCTGACAAGCAGAAGTCAAGGGGGGAAGCCGGATTCGCTTAACGACCGTGTTGCTCACTGAACAAACGGCATGGATTTGCTTGACCCTCATGCCAAGAAAGGTGGTGAAACGGGGGAGGGGGGGCAAAACTCACCCAACAGCGGTCATGCTTAGCAGGGGAAATGGGGGGGGGGAGCCCCTTAGTGGTGGTCGGAAGTCGAGGAGCCCCTGCGCTCGATCCTAGCGATCCCGGGGTCGGCGGGCAGGAGTGGCTGCTGCAAACCTTCCCGACATGGGAAGAGGCGCTTGGTGGAAACCAGGCAGGAGGCTCCGCTCCCTCTGGGCGTCTGGGGGTCTATTCTCCCCAGTCAATGAGTCAGTCTGTTTGTCTGCCTGCCTGCGTGTGCGTGTGTGGGGTTGTGTGTGGTGCGCGCGTCCCTGTGCGCGCCTGGCACTTGCAGCCGAGGCTGGTTCGGGCGTCCATCCCACTTTCCTTCCTTCCTTCCTTCCTTCTTTCTGGACCGGGCTGCGCGGAAGGAGCGAAGGGGGAGAGCGGCAGAAGGAGAGGCCCACGCGTGGGAAGAGAGAGCCCCGTGGGAGCGGAGGGCGAGGGAGGCTCCGCGGGGGCTGCCAAACCTTCCCTCCCCAAATCGCCCGCGGGGCGCCGCTGAGCGAGGAGCGCTCCTGCGCGGCTGCTTGGCTCGCTCCTTCTGCCGCCGCTCCGCTCCGCTCGGCCAAGGCAGCCGCGATGTCGGAGGTGCAGCTGAGCCCCCGCGGGGAGGCGGGCGAGGGAGCGCCGCTGGGCTTCGCCTGCCGCCTGCAGGACACCAGCAGCTTCGGGCCGGGGGGCGCCGGCAAGCGCGCCCCCAAACTGGCCCAGATCGGACGCAGCAAGTGCGGTAAGAGCAAGTGCGGAGGGAGGGAGGGGGGGAGGGAGGAGACACCCCCCCAACAGCCCCTCTGCAACTTTGCCAGCAGGGCGGGGGGGCTTGAGACTGCCCCCCTCTCCTCCTGAACCCCAGATGGGGGTCTTGGGGTGAACTTTCCCCCTGGTGGGCTGCTCACCCGCCCAACCCAGCCTGGGTGAGGCGTGCAGAGAGCGCAAAGCCCATCATCCCCTCCTCCTCCTCCTCCTCCTGGCTGGTGATGAAGGCGGTTGGGGTCTGCGCGCAGGTCGAGTTTCGCTCTTCAAGTGGGACGCCGGACCCTACTGGATTGGGGGGGGGGGGTTGAGTCGTGGGTGGGGGGCAGCACGCTTTATTCTCCCCCGTCCCTTGAAAAAGGAGGCAAAAGGCAGCCCTTTGGAAGGATGGGTGGGGAGGAAGGTTGTGAAAAAGGGGTGCTGTCCCTGGGGGTTTGCATGCATCACTAGCCCCCACCCTCAAAAGGTGGGCACTCACCCTTAGGAGCAGTTGGGCCCGTAAGCCCTCTGGAGGAAAGGATCCAGGGAAGCCCCCAGCCCAGCATCAAGGGGAGGGAGGTCAGCCCTTCTGCTCAGCTGGGTGGGGTCTGCTCCCCCATATTTGGCTGAGTCAGCAGAATCGGTCCAGTGGGGAGCTCCCCAGGGTGGAGGGTGTCTCAGCTGGTCTCCGACCATTAAGGAGGGCCTCGTGCGGACAGTCTCCAAGGGCAGGCAGATGGATGGAAGTCAAGATGGAGCAGAGTGGTTCCACCCCTCCCAAGACGGGACAAGAGCGATCACAGACTTTGGAGGCCGGTGTGTTATGGAAGGGAGGGAAACAACAACACAAGGGTGCTATTATATATCTCGTTGTATCCTCCGTTTGTGGCTGTCTGGTGATTCCGGAGAGAAACCAATTGGGAGGTTTCTGGGTCAACCCAACGTTGACCGGAAGGACCAAGGCTGGCTTAAAAACAGTGGCAGCCTTTGAGACAAAATTTTGTGTTCACAAACAACAACAAAAGTGTGTGTGCACTCCCAAATGTGTGTCTCTAGTCTTTCTTCTATCCATTTACACAGATCCTGCCTTTAATTAAGGGCTGCACAAACATCCTTTTTGTGGTGGTTTCAGAAAACTCTTCTGGTGCCACTGAGTCGGTCTTGTGATCCTGCTTGTTGTGTCTGTGTCTTCATTTTTGTTGACCTTGAAAATGCCTGTTTAAGAATCTGAAGGGAATGCTATCAAATTCTCGACCATGCTATAATCTGCTTCTCAAAATAGCAATCAAACTTACCTGGTTTTGTACCCAAGCAATGTTTCCTGAGCAACAGGATTGTGTTGTGTACCAGGTGTATCTGTGTGTGTGTGTATGTGTGTAAACCTTGTGCAATGCATGCACGTTCGTGAAGAACCTCACCACCTTCTGTGCTACAGAGACAAAGAGTGTTTAACCCCCTTAAACTGGATCCCCACAACTCATTAGACCAGATTCTCCGGTGAGTGAGTGGGTATTTGTGTCTCCAGGTGAGATAGGACCCAGCCCCATCTTCACAAATTGTGTGAACCAACCTGTCTGTTTTCTTACTTGGCCTGATCAGCAAATTCCAGATGTAGATACAGGTACCCTCAAATTACGACCATAGTTAAGCACGGCGATTGCAAAGCGAACAACAAAGAAATAAAATAAATAAATTAAAAGACAACAATGGAGGTGTTTACTCATCTTTCTTTCTCCTTTCCTTTTTTTCTCCTGCTTCCAGTTGTTATTGAGGATGATCGAATTGATGACGTACTGAAAAACATTTCAGAAAAGCCACCTCCGGGTGTCTAAATATATATATATATATATATATATATATTCATGTCTCGCCCAGAGACAGTGTTAAAAAAATGAGGGGCGCAAAAATAATTCACCTTTCAGCACAAGAACAGGCAAAATTGTTCATTTAAAAAAAAATGAAGAAAGGAAGAACTTTTTTGGGCGAAAGAGGCAGAAAGCGATGCTGTTTTTTGGAGTTCTTCAGCGCCACGTTGGGATCCAACTGAAGACGCCTTTTAAGGAGCCTCCGAGAGGCTGAATTGAAGCCTTTTATTCCTGCCTCCCCCCCTCCAGAAAGTACCGTTTTCAAGTTGGACTTTTAGAAAGTCTTCTGAAGAGAGAAATAATTGGGGTGGTAGGCAGAGAGGGTCTCGGAGGTATTGTTTACATGATGACACCTTGCAAAAAATATTCCGTCAGCTTGCACGTAACATGGTCTGTACTTTCTATTTATATATTTTATATATATATTTGGATTTTGCGAAGGTAAAAGAGGGACGAAAAGATGGTTTGTAATCACACGCACCAACACATACTGTATGTGATTCTGGTTACCTTTTGAAGTCTCTGGAATGTAAGGAACTTTTTAAAGAGAAAGTTGGAACCAGGAAGAAGGTTATCCTTACTTCCCCAAAACTGGATTATAATTCTAGTATTTGACATTTGGGGCAATGCTCAAGTCACTCAGGTGCAAATAGAGAAACGTAATTTTATATGGAAATGGAAGACATGTTTTTTTTAAAAGTACTTGTGTGCTTTTTCTAAATGTTCCCTAGCAAACGAAAGCTTGTGTCAAACCAACTGTCAAGTTTCCGAAAGATGCCCTAATTAATTCATGCTTTTTAAAAATACTTTAGTGTAAAGTCAATTCTCTTTGTTACTGTGCAATGAAATAAACAAATAAAATGCGTGTGCATACACAAACCGTAATCCTGAAAGAAGAGTGCCAAATATTTTCCAAAATGCGAAATATTTACTTATCTCTGTTTCCGCTGTAGGGATTTTGTGTGTATGCGAAGTTGCTTTTTTTGTACTTAAGGAATTCTTGCCTCTCTAAGGACTTTTTTTTAACCGAACTGCTTGATCTGTGCAGAAAGAATTTTCTCTCGATGCCGTCCTTGGTTTTCCTTCAGTTCTCCTTTTTTACTGATTCAAGTTGACCGTTTTAAAAACAATCGCATGACACGCAGAGAATTAAAAAGGGCTGCCTTGCTTTCAGTCGCTTTATCCTCCTCTTTGGCTGCATTTTGCAATGATGTCCTAAAATGGTTCTTTGCGTCTTTTCCTAAAAGTTTTGTGTATCCTGCACAAGAGTGTTTCTGCAATGGATAATAAACGATTATGACTTAATCGGTGGCTTCTGTTCGTTTCTTGTACACCCGGCCTCTCTCTAGCTTTACCTGGACAGCCAGGAGCTGCACTCGCCCACTGCCTTTTTTTGCCATAGATGTTAAGTGAACCATATGGTCGTTAAATGAATCTGTCCAGATAATTTCTCCTTAGTTCTAGGTTGGTCCTCTCCTCGATTGTTTTCATCCCTTGTGTCTTGCCTTGCCTTCTGAGGCTTTGGAAAATAGGTTGAACCCCCCCCCCCTTCTCTGTGGCAGCCCCTCAAATACTGGAAGACTGCTATCATGTCCCGTTCCCCCCCACCCTTTGTCCTTCTCTTCAGATGGAAACTAATCAAAGAGAGAAGCAACCTAGAAATTTGCTGACAGTGAGAACAGTGAATCGGTGGGACAGATTCCCTCCAGAAGTTGTGGGTGCTCCACCACTGAAGGCTGTTAAGAAGAGATTGGACAAGCCTTTGTCTGAAACGGTTAGTGTTTCCTGCCAGAGCAGGGGGTTGGACTAGAAGGCCTCCAAGCTCCCTTCCAACTCTTTGTTATTCTGTTATTCTGCGTCCCAACCAGGCATTAGGCATTCCAAGGGAGGCTAGTCTTGAGGACGCCATCATTATTCATTAACGACTTTTTCAGCAGCTCACTTGCTCGTAAGACACGGATCACCGAGCTTCTGATGGCTGCTTTTCTCCTCCCAAACCGCATCCTGATTTCTCCGGTGGCTTTTGAAAGGACCTAAAGCTCCCTTCTCATTTGCCCGGCGATGCGCAGAGAAGCTTTCTATTATTCATGCAGGGTTCAGCAATCTGAGAGAGAGCCAGGGTACAAAAGGCCTCTCAGCACATCTCTTGTGAATGCCGGACGTGCCTCTGGCTTGTGAGCAGTGCATTGTGGCTCCACCGCTCCGCCAATATTCTATTTTCAATTCTCCAGCGGAAGACCAAGGAAAGGGTCCTGCTGGAAAAAGCTGGTGGGGGGCACACATGATAGCATCTTCCAATATTTGAGGGGCTGTCACAGACGGAGGGGTGGGGGTGGGGGTGCACCTAGTCTCCAAAGCACCTGAAGGCAGGACAAGAAGCAACGAATGGAAACCAATCGAGGAGAGAAGCAACCTGGGACTAAGGAGGAATTTCCTGACAGTGGGAACAATAAACCAGTGGAATTGCTCCCCTCCAGAAGTTGCAAGTGCTCCAACACTGGAGACTTTTTAAGAAGAGAGCGGACAGCCATTTGTCTGGAATGGTCTAGACTAGAGTCTCCTGCTTGAGCAGGGGGTTGGACTAGAAGACCTCCCAGGGCCCTTCCAACTCTGTTATTCTATTTTCAGACTTTAAGGACCTCAGTGTTGTGAGAGAACCAAGTGAGAGAACTTCTGGGGAGGGCCTGTCTTTACCCACTACCTCCACAAAACGGTTCTCAAGGTTTGGCGGCCTCCGGGGACCCCATCACAAAGCCAGCCCCGTTGGAAAAGGCAGCTTCTTTATGAAGTCGTGCTTTTTGTCTTCTGAATGGCCTCCTGCTTGGAAGGTCAGAAGATAGCTGGGATCTTTGTGACTACATGCGGAGAAGCGGGCTATGGAGACTGCAGGAGACTCCCCCACTGGGAAAAGAGAAAGAAAGAAAGAAAGAAGCTACACTGTGGTCCTGGAGCCTCGGCTGAAGCTGGGCTGGATGCTCCGTTGCTATAGCAACCGCATCCCCCAAACCCTGGGCTTGCCTGTTCTGATGGGCAGCTGCTAGGCAAAGATAGAGTCACAGGGCTGGAAGAGACCTCAGAGGTCTTCTACTCCAACCCCCTGCCCAAGCCAGGAGACTTCGTACCACCCCGATCCAATGGCTGTCCGGTCTTTTCTACAAAACCTCCAGGGATGGAGCAGACTTCCCAGGTGGGAAGACTGTGGCTGCAGGTCCACTGAAATTCTGGTTTGTTCAACTTCCTTTTCACCCGAATTTGCAGCGGTTCGCGATTTAAGACAGAAAATTAAGATTTCTTTCCTTTGTTGTCTCAATTCTCTGCTGCATCACTCAGAACTAAGAGGCGGGGTCTGCTCTGGTAGAAGCCCCTAAAATGTGTTCAACAAGGCAACTTGATGGACCAAGAGCAGCGTCCTCCTTGACTCCTAGAGGTGGTCTCCACTCCAAGAGGCAACGTGATGGCTTGGTGACCATCAGCCTACGAATGCAGGACTTCGGTAGTGAACTTTGGAATGGGATTTGGAACTCCTGGACAGAATTTTGCACACTCTGAATGTGCAAACCTTCCTCCCTGGTTTCAGAGGGTCTTTATTACGCTGTGTGAGAAAGGCCTTGAGGTGCAGGCTGGAAATGGAATAGAGATAACTAGTCCAGATTCGAAACCAGCCCTTACCACCGAAGGTTCTTTCAAGTGCCAAATGAGCCACGTTGGACGTGTAGCTTCTCAAGAGCCTGAGATATGCAGCGAACTTTCCACACAGCTCAACAACACCTGCCCCCGAAACACAGAAATAACTTGGATTAACTTCTTCAAAACCGATGGCACTTGCAGGTTGTCATGGAAACAAGGGCATCTCTGTTGTGTGATGGGAACTTGTGGGGTGGGGGGAGAAAAACAGAACTTAAGAAATTACATTGCATCGGTCCTCGCAGGCAGACCAGGTCTTCTGCAAAGTTTCCAACCAGGGTTGTACGTCCAGGAGGGACCAATTCAAAAATCCACAAAGGATCTGGGTGTGGGATGGCTGCAGGCAGCTTTGGGATGTTTCCCAAATAAAGAAGGTTCAAGGTTGATCCTCCCCACCTCCCAGATTGGGTGGGGAAGGGGATTGTGACCCTTGGCGAGATCCGGGGTGGAAGCCCTGCATCCATTCCAATCCAATCCAATGTTTATTACAGTCACAGACTGAAGGCAATTTCATGGGGTCCTTATTTTGGGAAGTTCCCTGAAATTCTGCCCCCATCTCTCCTCCCTCTCTCTTGGCCAATGTTTGACAACCTTATTCATTAATTGAGGGTTTATCGGAGTTTGCTTTGGGATTTTATTTCCGTAAACCCCGAGTTGGGCAGCCATATAAATTTCCTAAAGAAATAAATATAAATTTTAAAAAGCCGCTGCAAAAAAGAATATCTTAATGCCTTTTTTTAAAAACTGCCTTGGGATTTGTGTGTGTATAGGGAGTATTTTACTGACCTGTGGCGTGTATATTTCCTATTTATTAGCAAAACTTTCCAGAGAAAGCAACCATACTTAGAATCTCATCCAAAGGAAAGTATTTTGTTTTGCTTAGTTTGGGGCAAAGGGCAATGGGTCGATGAGGAAGTTAAGAAGAGACTGGATGGTCAGTTGTCCTGAATGGCATAGGATCTCCTGCTTGAGCAGGGGGCTGGACTAGAAGACCTCCAGCTCTGTTACTCTGCTTATAGGGAGTTTTTAAGGTGGGCGAAAGGTTTCTCTTTGCACCTGGGCTGAGCTGCTGTTTCTAAGCCCTTTATTCGTTTTTTTCTCTCTTCTCTTTCTGCACCGTCTCTCCCTCTCTCTCTCTCTCTCTCTCTCTCTCTCTCTCTCTCCGATTAAAAGGCCTTTGGGGAGACCCGGCCTGTTGCTGTGTCCACTCCTAACCATAGCTTCTTCTGCTCCAGTTTCAGCCAGTGTGCAACTCTTGAGAAGGCTACAGAAAGGAGCCGTGAAGTTACCCAGCTGAGTTAAAAACAGGTCAGTGTGTTGTCTTGCAAAGTGGGGTCTCCTAAGCATCTTCCTTACACAGTTTGAGCTTCGACACGCACACACAAAACAAAGACAAACAGGTGAATTATTCACAACTGCTCTCTCAGAGCTGATTTTTCTCACTCAGATGAAGCGAAGCCTGAAATATATACATAAATATTCATATATTTTCATAAGCAATTCCTCCCCTCTCCTCTGTCCAAGTAGGACATGTTAAATCAGGTCAGCATTTTACCGTGAAATAGTTATGAAACCGGGGTGTATGTGTGTGTTGGGGGGGGGAATTGAGGAAGGGGAAGAGAGAGGGATTATTATTTGCAAACAGCCCCAGAGCAAACAGCTGAAGCAGCCTAAATCGAGATTGGTGTGCATTAAGTTGTGATGTGCTTAAGCACAGTTCACTAAATAAACCACCATTGAATGGATTCACACCACACATTCCACCATAAGCCTTGGTTTGTTCTTTCATTTAAAAGATTAACAGAGTTGGAAGGGATCTTATAGGTCATCTAGTCCAACCCCCTGCTCAAACAGGAGACCCTACACCATTTCTGACAAATGGCAGTCTAATCTTTTCTTGAAAGTCTCAAGTGATGAAGCTCCCACAACTTCCGAAGGCAACTTCTGTTCCATTGGTTGATTGTTCTTACTGTCAGAAAAATTATCCTTGTTTGTAGGTTGAATCTTTCCTTGGTCAGTTTCCATCCATTATTCCTTGTCTGGCCTAGACAAGGTGCTTTGGAAAATGGCTTAACCCCCTCCTCTCTGTGGCAGCCCCTCAAGTATTGGAAGACTGCTATCAGGTCTCCCCTGGTCCTTCTCTTCACTAGACTATCCATGCCCAGTTCCTGCAACCGTTCATTGTATGTTTTAGCTTCCAGTCCCCTAATCATCCTGGTTGCTCTCCTCTGCACTTTTTCTAGAGTCTCAATATCTTTTTTATAGTGTGGTGACCAAAACTGGATGCAGAATTCTAGGTGTGGTCTTACTAGGGCTTTATAGAGTGGTATTAGTACCTCCCTTGATCTTGATTGCATCCCTCCGTTCATGCAACTTAGGGTTGCATTGTCTTTTTTTAGCTGCCGCTGCACTCTGCTAGCTCATATTTAGCTGATTGTCCGACCCACAATTGTTAACCCATGTGCTTGCGCTGTTGTGCAGAGGTCAGTAACGCAAGGCTCCGGACAGACAGACACAGACAAACAAACAGACACGCACATCTCTGAAGTTGTGAGTTATTTTCCTACTTTTGAGTTCCAGTGTTTTTTCCTCCGCTCCTTGTTGTTTTTTAAACGCACGCCCCCTGGTGGCACAGTTGTCCACCGCCCGTCCCACTCACCATCTGTAGCCTCGCTGTCACGTCGGCTGCTTCTCCCCCAGGCCCCCGTTTGGGGCAGCACGCCTCTGGGGGGGGCATTGAACCCCACTCCCCCGCTCGTATGCCTGCCACCAAGTGACACGCGTGTGAGTTGGTGTGCGCAGAGAAGCGTTGCGTTGCTGCATTGTTGCAGGACGTTGGTAAGGAATGGCAACGGGCACTTTTAGAAGTTTCTACCTCTCTTCAACCTTTTCTGCAGGGAAAGGTTTCCTAAGGGAAGGTGTGGATGCCTAAATTTTTCCCAGCCTTGTGGAGCTTCTGTCCAACTGGCTTTGTAGATGGGAAAGACAGAAGTTCTCTGCCTAGTCCTTCTCCTCCTCCTCCTCCTTTCTGCCAACCCTCCTCCCTTCTAGCACTGATGATGTTACCTAGTTGGGCCATGAAATGTCTGCAAGGAGAGGTCAAGCTCAGAGAGCACCAAGAACACTGGAGTCCTTTTCTTCTTCTTCTTCTTCTTACTCCTCCTCTCCCTTGTGGTTTCCCCAAACATTATGCATTTTGCAAAAGATTTCTCATCCAGGTATTCATTGGAGGGAAAAAGTTTCCCCAACAGACATTTTTTATATAGACAAACCAGCCCTGCAAAATTCAGAGCCCTGGGCAGAACTGCCGAAGGTGCTTTTTCCAAAAGGCCACCGGATTTTCTTGAGTTTTTTTTTTTTTCTCCTTGAAAAAATTTTGCTTCTCCCCCAAGCAGCTTCTTCAGTTCTGACTGAATGGTGGGCAATGTAACCTGTGGCCTTTTTGGGGACAAGCAGGACGTCTGGGTGATTGAGCATCTCCAGAAACGTTTCCCACCAGGTTGATTGTGGATCCAAGGGGGGCGGGAGGGATGGGGAAGAGCAGTAAAGGGTAGAGCATCATTGGCTCAGCGCAGAGCTGCTCCCTGGTTGCCTGAGCAACGGAAAAGAAGCCCCCCCCCCAAATCAGGAACCAAACTGGAGCCCAGCAGTGCCTCCCGGTGGCTTTGCCAGCAATGCAGAGAGAGAAAAATAGACACACTTTTCCAACAGTTCTCAGTTTATTAAGTCACTGAAGCAGCCACAAATGAAAAAATAATAACTTAAGAAACCAGCAAAGAGAGAGAGAGAGAGAAAGAAAGAAACTGAAGAAAATCCTCACTGCTAATTTTCTTAGATTTTTCACTCAGGGGAGGGTCTTTCCTTCACATCATAGGCTGCCTTTTTCCTCGATGCCCACCCGGTGCATGACTGAAGCTAGAGATGCAAACATCGGCGGAGGAATTTCGTCCCTTTTTTTTCTTTTTCCTTTTCATTCTTGCAGAATAAACAATGTTCTTGAGAGCCATAATAATGTTGAATTTGACAAGCAGATGCTGTCATTAAGGTTTAGGAAACATTCCAGAATAACAGGGTTGGAAGGGACCTTGGAGGTCTTCTAGTCCAACCCTCTGGTCAAGCAGGAGACCCTATATAGACCTTTTCAGACAAACGGCTGTCCAGTCTCTTCTTTAAAAACTCCAGGGATGGATCACTCACAACTTCTGGAATTAAACCACTGTTTAATTCTCCTAAAACTGATAAAATTGATAAAATCCTTCCATTGATAAATTGTTCTAATTCCAGTTGGGTAATCCTTGGATATCTAAAAGCCAAAATCCCATTTAAAAAACAAACAAACTCTGAAAGCCTCGATGGAGAAATTAGCAGCTTGGCTCCAGGTGAAAGTCAGACAGGGCGGGGGGGGAGGGGGGTCGATTCTGAGCGAAGGCAAAATCGCAAGATCACAACTGCATCTCACACAGCAGGGCCAGCAAAGCTTGTGGTGGCTGCAGAGCGTCTGCAAAGAAGGTTTTCCGCTCGGGGAGGAGGGACTAGATTCCTCTCCCTCGCCCCCCCACCCCAGCCTTTCGGGGTCTGAATAATTAGGCCTGGACCCCCAGCAGGGAGCCTGGTGAAGGAGGGCCTCCAGGGAGCAATCCAGGGCTCATTGCAGGATCGATGCAATGCAAAGGTGGGGGGATTCGAACACACCGCTGGCAGCAAAGCATGTGGACGAGCAGCTGAGGGACGCGGGGCCCTTTCGGGCAACTGGGCTGAGGTGAAGGGCTCCCTGGGGTGTGTGTGAGGGGGGGGGGGCAATCCAGATTGGGTGGGGAGATAGCCTGAGAGGGCGAGGTTGGAAGTCTGGGCAAGTTTCCAGAGACCATCTGCAGCCAAGCCAATCCTTTTGTGTTCTGTCCCAGAGGCCTGGCACCCACCTCCCAAGGTAAACTTTGCACGGTCCCCCTAACTTTCCTACGCCTCCCCCTTGCCACTCGGGGCCCCGGGGAACAGCCCTCTCTGAAATCTGGGGTGCCTCTTTCCATCTGTGTCAACCAATGGAGCAGCTCCACAAGGGTCACCTCCCACCCTGCCAGCATCTCCAGGAAAAACCTTTGGGGAAACATTTTCCTGGAACCCTGAGGTCCAGCTTGGAGGGGTCCATATATCTGGTGATCTCCCTCCCAGGTGGAGCGAAGGGCAACTACAGGAGGGAAGGCAGCCACTGCTCAGAAGCACAATAGGGAAGGATGCACAATGGCCATACCTGAATCACAGGGCATGAGAAAGATCGGAGGGAGGGCAAGGCTGGGAAGGTGGCAGGGCCATCACCCACCCCTCCCAGGCAACGTGCTCCAACCTTCCCCAACTGGTGCCCTCCGGATGCGTCAGAAGCCAGCTCCATGCAACCCAGCCCAAGACGGGAGCTGCAGTCCACCAGGGTCCAGAGGCACCCCTGGCATCAACCAGATGGCCGCCAGCCTGGCTGAAGTTGGATGGAGCTGGGGCCCTGAGCGGCCTCCCTGCCTCTGCTCGCCCTCTTCCCTCCCCCACTTCCTAGACATCCTTCGGGTTGTAACACAGCAAGTTGAACTGGAGGTTTTCGTTCCAGTGCCGGAGCAGCACAAAAAGCTGTTGAGCAGCCGTCTTGAGGGCCGGCAGGTTTCGCCCTTCCGGGATGTCCTGCTCTCCAAGCCACCGGCTGGCCTTGGCGGCCACCAGCTCCCACTCGATGAAGTAGGAGGCCGAGCTGTGCTCCAGCCACGCCAAGGCCACCGCCGTGGCCCAGAGCATCCCCTCTGGCTCGGTTCGCTGCTGGAGCTCCACGTCGAAGAGCCACGCCTGGAGTTCGGAGGTCTCGGTCTCCGAGCCTCGGCCGCTATCCGGCGGTGATGGGGCGTTCTCTGGGGTAGAGAAGCTCTGGATGGTGATCGAGGGAGGGGACAGGCTGGTCTCGGCCTTGGGGACTCGGGAGGAGCTTTCTGCTGGGCCTCCAGAAGGATGTCCATGCAGGGCAGTCTCCTCCTCCTCAGCCTCTTGGTGGAGAAGTTTCCCTGGAACATCAGCAACACTTGCGCTCTTGGCTTGTCCTGGATCTTCCACTTTCCTGGAGCTGGTGGAAGGGCTGAGGTCCATGCGGTGGCAAGCAAAAGGTGAGGTCCACCTGAGCTTCTCCAGGGGGATGTTGATGGCCTCAGAGAAGGCCTTGTTCAAGAGGAAGGCGCCACAGGCCAACTGGAGAGACACCTGAGGAGAAAGGCGGAAGAGAGGACCTCAATGAAAGAGTTCTTTCATCTCTTAAGATGTTACGAACTTCTCAAAAGCACAGGACAAAAAAAAAGCTGAGAAGGGCTGACCCCTCAAGTCCAGTTCAATCTTCGTAGCCAGGTTTTCCTCAGCCAGCCCAGCTAGAAGGTCTCAAAGCATTCGTCTGTTCTCTCCCCACGTCCAGCAGGAACATCAGAACCTTCTGACCTTCTCTTGGGACGTGGAGAAGCTACCTTTGGAGGCATATCTCAGATTTGGAGAAGTGGTATGGATTCTCTTCTGAAAGGACTCGCCTGATGACCGAGGCCAGCCCCCAACAGCAGAAGCTCGAAGGCAAATTAAGGTTGCTCAAGTCCCCCAACCGAGACCTGATGGAGAACCAGGTTTCTACAAACCTAGGATGGAAGTTTGGTTAAAACCACACAGCCCAGCATTGGGCATCGGACTTTGGATAAGATAGGGCAGTGAAATGGTCCATCTGCAAGGCATTTTTGCCTGCATTATTAAGGGCAGGGGTCTCCAAACTCAGCCACTTTAAGACTTGTGGACTTCAACTCCCAGAATTCCTCAGCCAGCCTTTCTGGGAGTTGAAGTCCACAAGTCTTAAAGTGGCCGAGTTTGGAGACCCCAGCATTAAGGGGTGGAACTGCTGTATCCGATTTGAACCTGGTTTGTAGCTTGTTTTGGTTCAGACCTGGCTGCTCCTTGGCGTGCAACAGAAATAAATTTCCTCCCCCTTCCTGTTTAGATAGATAGATAGATAGATAGATAGATAGATAGATAGATAGATAGGAAAGGAACATCTCTTTCAACTTCCTCAAAGCTAAATTTTCTCAGGCAGCCCCCGTGCCCCACCCAGGATGCTCACCAGTGGCAGATAATCGACATTTTCGTTTTCATTTTCCGAACTGAGTTCGTTGCTCTTGGCAGGAAACTTCCCCATGAAGCCTCGGGCAGCCTTGGTCAGGAGTCTGGTCTTGTTAAACGTCAGCCTGGATGAAGAAGAAACCGAGCCAGAAAAGAAGCAATTGCACATCCAGACCCTTTTCCCCCTTATGGCCTCTTTTCTTTTTAAAATCAAAATGTCCCACATTCTAACAACAAAACTCAAAACTCAAAACTGGTTCATTGTTCTCTAATTGATAGGAAATTTCTCCTTTGTTCTAGGTTGGATCTTCCCTTGATTCGTTTCCATTCATTCGTTGCTTGACTTGAGTTCCAATTGTGGCTATCGCAGAATGTGCAAAATATTTTAAGCTTTAGCTCATCAAAACACGGGAAATGTAATCTTTAGAAGACTCAGAGAGGGTGATAAACCCCGTTTATTGCTAGGAAACTAGTAACACTTAATACCAAATTTTAAGAAGAATTCCTGACAAATTTTCTAAAAAGTTTGCCTATTTTCTTCTGTTCTTATGTGAGTAAACAGCAACCACTGTTGGGGACAAAAAACAAATTTTACCTGGCACCAAAGAAGTTTTCAATGGACTTTTGAGAGGAAACGGATGGGCTCCGTAGCGACCCTGTAAAGACAGGTGAACGTTAGCAATGATGTAGGGTATAAATTGGAGTAGGGGGCCTCCAAACTTGGCAACTTTAAGGCTTGTTGACCCCCCTTCATAGGAAACAGCTGCCAATCAAAGAGAATGGCCCTGAAGCTGGGCAGACCGAAGGAATAAATGTTTTTTTTTATCTCCTACCGTCTGGAAAACTCTGGCGATTCCCTCCGGAGGAAGAAAGTGAGCCAGAAGGAGACAAAATATTCTCTTCTGCGTCTGGAATGGAAAAAAAGCAGCCCCGAATCAGAAGCTCCTGAAGCTTTCTGAGCAGTAAATTTTGTTCAGGCACGTAAATGTTGGTGCGCAGCATAACTCGGAATAAAATTGGTGCTGCGATCCTGATCTTTGGCCCCCGGAGCTAAATTGTAAGTTCGAAACCCTTTTTTTCAACTGGTTTGTCGCAGGAGGAGAATTAAGGAGCGTAAAGAAGGGAAGCTCCCGCCGGGTTTTTCCACTCGGGTGGAAATTGAGGAGAAAAGCTAAAGCATGGATGGTTTGATCTGGCAGCCACGCCATGGAGGGATTGCTGAGCAACGGGCCTGTTGCCCTCTCAGAGTAAATAAATAAATAAATAAATAAGCAGGAGCCCGGATGAACTTCCATGGCTGGTGCGCAGTGCTCGCCTCTGTTTAAGGACAAGGGGATCTAAAGGCTGCTTGTTAGGACCTCAGAGTTGTACAGGTAGTCCTTGACTTACGACTGCAATTGGGCAGGATAAAAAGAGAGCTTACTTGCGTTGGGCAGCCCACCGTCTGCGCTGTCGTGAATCCGCCCCCAACTAGCCGAGAGTCCTCGGTGCCGTCGGCCCTCGAACCCGGAACTCCGTTGGCTGGAGGGCTTCATCAGCACACCTCAACAAAAGACGGGGGGGGGGGGGGGGGGGAGGAGAAAGTCCGTCTTAAAAGGGCTCAGAGGACCAAGGGCTGCTCTAATTCAAGGAAATATTTCGGAGCGAATCTGGCCCAACCAAAAAAAAAAAAATAGACCTGGGTCTTTGACTTACAACCAGAATTTCCAGGTGGTTGTTAAGTGAGCCACACCTGACTTTGCGATCTTTGATGGGCCACGCTGGCTGGGGAATTCTGGGAGTTGAAGTCCATGCATCTTTAAATGCTCAGGGTTGAGAAACACTATCTGGGTTTTGAATGCCAGCGCAGCATCTTCACAAGAGCTTTGAGCCTCACCTGTGTTGGGATATTTAACAATGGTTGTCAAATAGTTGTTGCTGCTCAGGTCGACTGGCACAAACGCTGTGAATTTGCTGATCACGTTGCAAGATTTGCTGGTGTGCACAGCGTTGGCTTGGTACCGCCGCCCGGACCCTGTAGACAGAGAGACCAAAAACCTCAGATAAATTGCATATTAGCTGGACTCAGGATATTCTCACAGCTTTCGGTCTCCCATCATTTGTGCTGCTCAAAAGGTTCTGCAAACATTGGAAATGCCATCAAATACCAGGATCTATTATCATCTATTATCATGCCCAGACGCTAGAGACTATTGGAGCAGAACAAAGACATGGTTAGAAGAAATGATCCAACAAGGCACTGATTTAAAACCTGAGCTGTTCCTATTGGGCATAGTACCAGAGAAAATTAGTAAAGAAACTATATACTTGATTATACATATAATAACTGCAGCGAGGATAGCATTTGCGCAAAGATGGAAAGCAGAGAAAATCCCTTTGGAAGGGGAAGTAATTAAAAAAAAAATCTTAGATTGTGCAGAAATGATCAGATTAACTTTGATGATTAAAGAGAGGATATGGACTATTATAAGATATGGGGGAAATTTTATGATTGGTTAAAAAAGAGATATAGATAAAGATTGTGATAATTAAATAAGGAGAATGTTGTATTAAATGTATTGTAATTTGGGGGGAATATCACATCAGAGAAATAGAAATTATCAAGGAGAAATGAAGATAGGAGGACTAATAAAAAGAAGTAGTGGTCACGGAAGAAACACTGAGAAGACACACAGAAGGATTGGTGCATTATGTGTTTGTTTGTTTTTTTTAAAAAAACTTTTTTAAAAATTCTGCAAACATCAGGTGGAAAATGCATGTTTTTTTTTTTTATCATTTTCCGTTCCATCACAGCTGGGGAACTTAGGAGCCCCAGACCCATTTACAGAACTGGAGTTCCCTGCTTTGCATTAAAACGGCCAGGCATGAATTTAAGAGCCGTGTGGAATTTGCCTTGTGGATGTTCAGTGACCAATTTAGCCTTGTTCCAATTCTGGGCAAGAAAGAAATCTGCCTTTTTCAGGAGAAAATAACCTAATCTGTCAGAAAAATATATTTAGGGCAATTCCAACACTTCACACAGAGAAGGTCTCCCCAGAGAAAGGGGCAGCTGAAAAACCACCTAAAGAAGGCCAGAATTTAATCCAGGGGTGCCCAAATACCATGCTCGATCTCAAACTCCCTCTCGGCCAGCTGCTCAAAGTCCTGGACGATGGACTTGGCAGCCAGGTGGTGGAAAGTCTCGTTCCAGATGTCTTCTTCTTCCTCCTCCTCCTCCTCCTGGCCCTTGTCTTCTCTGCTTTGGAAGAGGGGGCCGAGGTCGAAGGTTATCTCCCACTTGACCGGTTCGCCATTCTGGAGCCCCTTCACCAGGGCCTTGCAGAGCGACCTTCGAGACCCCCTCCAGCCACCACCGGCTGAGGAACCCGGTTCCAGATCAGGAAGGTCCCAGTCCGAGGTGGACTCAGTTTCAAAGTTGAAGGAAGGATGTTGGGCAGACTCTGCAAGACATGTCAAAGAGATGATCACCTGTGGTGGGAATCCATAAGCCATGTGGGGATATCTAACCTGCTTTCTGCGCAGGGGGTCCTTGTCCCACTCCCGAGAGCCTTACAAGAGGAAGCAAGACATTCCCTAAACCAGCCCCAGGTGGCTCTGGTCCTTCACCCCGCCCCCATCCCCCCCCCCCTACAAATTCTCTTCTCCTCTGCAAGGAATCTGGAAGGCAATTTTGCAGAATGAGAACTTGAAGGAAATCTGCAGGAGTTGTCGTGCGCAACACGAAGAATAACTCAACTTGCGGGATGCTCTCTTTGCCAAGGGCTCCGTTCACTACATCTGTGTGTGGGGTGTGGATGCGTAGACTCCCAAAGCCACCGGACACAAGAGGCCTTGTGGGTTGCCTTGTTGGGTCATCAACAAGGGGTCTACAAGCTCCGAGAGCATCCTAGAGTCAATGCAAGCCACCGTTGCAGCTTACCCTGTTCTCCAGGGCTTCGACCATCCGAATAGGTGTATCCCAAAAGGGAGCTGGTGTCTTGGGACCCGGATCCCGTCCCTGCCACTGTCTGCGTGGGGCCCCTGTGCATCTGTCGCAGGTCCTGGAGCAGAGATGGCCGCCGGGCTCCGGCTCCTCGGATCTTCTTTGCGGTTGGGGTGGGGCTGGCTCTGAGAGGCTGCTCAGAGGGAGACACATGAGGGGGGGAGAAGGAGGAGGAAGGGTCACACTGCCCCCCCCAACACACACACACACGCGTGACTCAGTAAAAGTGTTCCTGAGATACAGCAATCAGAACCAGTGCCCCTCTTGTACAGGTAGTCCTCCACTTACAACAGTTCGTTTAGTGACCGCTCGGAGTTACAAGGGACTCAGGAGCGTTTTTCACCCTTACGACCGTTGCAGCAACATGACCAGGGTCACCTGATCAAAATCCAGGCGCTTGGCAAACTGGTTCGTACTTATGACGTTTGTGGTGTCCTGGGGTCACGTGATCCCCTTTCGTGACCTCCTGACCAGCAAAGTCAATGGGGAAGCCAGATTCACTTAACGACCATCTTACTAATTTCACAAGGGAAGCAATTCCAGGGTAAACCTAGTGTGAGAAAGGAACAACAACGCCAGCATACGCACAAGCCTGCCACGGCCGCCCTTGGGGTGTGACAAGCGAAGATTGGGCACCCCTAAAACTCAGAGCCGAAGGGATCTGGGGGTTTTGCTTCTTGCAATGAAGAACCGATGCGGAGATTTGCTGTCGGACAGAATTTAAGTCACAAATCATCTTCTACGGGGGAGGGGGAGGGGGGAGAAAGCTAGTTTTGCGTCACCTCCGAATTCTACCGATTTGTTGTCTGTCCAGGCCAGGAAGTCACGGCCAGCTTTGACAGGCGTTGATGGACGCTTCTCGGAAGGCAAAAGAATGGGTGGGCCTGAGCCCCCGAGAGCCAGCCAGGCACAGAAGCAAAGGAAGGAGGTTTTGACTCAAGCCACTGTTTTAATTACTGCACGGAGGGGGAGAGAAATGGGAGATTCCCCGATTCCGGTTGCCTGGTAACCACCAGCGGCACGCAGGGACCCTTTTCGGGGTGGTTGTGGTAGGTGTGTGCTGAAAAGGCCACGCGTGGAAGCTTGGACACGGGAGAAGAGAAGCCACGGAGGTCTTTGGCAGGGATGAAAAAAGTACATTTTTCCCCACGCAAATGGTCCTCGAGTTACGACCACAACTGAGCCCAAAATTCCCATTGCTAAGCAAGACAGTTGTTAAGTGAGACTTGCCCCATTATACGACCTTTCTTGCTACAATTGTTAAGTGAGCCCCTGTTAAGTCAGGAACCGGGTCGTTAAGTGAATCTGGCTTCTCCATGGACTTTGCTCGTCAGAAGGTCGCAAAAGGGGCTCACACGATCCTGGGACATTGTGACCGTCATAAATATGAGTCGGTTGCCAAGCGTACAAATTTTGATCGCGTTGCCACGGCGATGCTTCGACGTGGCCCTAAGTCACTTTTTTCAGTGCCGTGTTGTAACTTCGAACGGTCACTAAACGAACGGTCATAAGTCGACTACCTGTATCCTCAACTTAGGACCATTTCTGCAAAGGAGTCCCGTTGGGTCGCAAGTAAGAGGCCTTCCTTTCCTCTGTGGGGCTGCCTTGGACCCAGAACGGAAGACGGAAGGGAAGGATAGAGGGACTCCTGCTTGGGAAGGGGGCTGGACTAGAAGACCTCCAAGGCCCCTTCCTTGGATGGCTTCCTCCGGGGGGCCTCGACAGAGCCGGCTCTTGTGCCTCGGTTGTCTCGGCTGGAGTGCAACAGGCTGGCAGCGGGCTTTGCGCTGCGAAGATGGTGCGGCATTCACAAGCAGCTTTAAATTCCTTGAAGGTCTGTTTGTGGCCCGTAGGGATGGCCGTGATTTCATGAGACGATGGCCCTAAATCAGAGGCGGAGGAGCCAGCCTTTGCGGAAGCCAGCATCGATCTAACCATCATCCGCTCGAAGCCCTTAAATCTCCCCTGTCTCCTGCCAATCTCGCCCCGTGGAGCTCCGGGTGTTTGCTTTGAGGCTCCTGCACAATCCACCTTGGGTTGCTATGGAAACCTTTGCGCTCACAGACCGGTCTTGCTCCCTGGAACCAGTGGAGGCAGCTGGGTTGCAAGCGGGGGGGGGGGGCACTGCAGCCTGCCAACCCTAGAGACAGCATCGATCCCCCCTCACCCTGGCACATCTAAGGAGGCCCAGAAGTGGCACCGTTCTTCCTTTGCTTTCTCTGGGAATTCCCTCGGGGCTGCTTGGTTTTTCTGCTGCTCTCTGGGTCTCTGGCTGCAGCCTTCCAAGTCCCCGGGGCTGTTTTCCCCCGTGTTGGGAAACACGGGGATCATTGTCCTATCAAACACACCACATCGCAGGCACAGTCTACGCACACCCACCCTGTTGCTGCTTCCTCCTGCAGAAGAATTGCACCAACATTTGTGCGTCCACAAAAAGAACAATGGAATAACAGAGTTGGAAGGGACCTTGGAGGTCTTCTAGTCCAACCCCCCTGAGCAACCACCTGAAAGCTTTTGGTCGAAGCATCCGGGATCCTCACCTGAAGCTCCACCTGCCAGGGCTGAGCGTCTGAAGCGATCCAGCTGAGGTCCTGCAGGTGGACTTTCCGGAGAGGATTTGACTCCTGGACGAAGCCGGAATCGCTGGCCGTGGGGACCTTCTGCGGGGGCTCCTGGTCGGCAATCTGATTGGTGCTGTAGGCCCTTCGCTGGGATGTCGTTATGGGGTCAATGCCTGAGAAAACACAAGGCCTCCATCAGTGGACGCAGCTCAATAACAAGCATCAAATAACTGAGCATCCTGGGTAGGAAAACTGGTTGGGTTTGGGAGTCCTTGAAGAGCAGGAAGTCTAGCATGTCAAGAAAATAAAATCTGCATTCCTGATGTTTATACCAACATACTCCTCTTTTCCTTAAAAATTGCACAAATTATCCACGTTCTTTATCTTTCCATTAGTTCAATGTTCTCCAGTTTACTAAAAAAAAAATTCTGCAAAGCAAAGGAACAAATGGATATAAATATTGGCAGATATTGTAGAATACGATCCATGGCTGAATCCGTCCAAACCCACCTGAATCTACGTCTGATTCGCTTCCCATCTCCCCACTGCTCCTCTCTGAAGGAAATCCACTTTCAGGGTCCTTGGTAATCTCCCAGTTCTCCAGCCCTCCTCCTCCTCCTCCTCCTCCTCCTCCCCCTTCTTCTTGGGAGTGGAAGAAAACAGAACTTCCCGATTCTTGCGAATGCAGCATCCTGTACCGGCGCCTCTTGTCCTGGGGAGAGAGAAGATCAGGTTGGCATGCATTCGTGGCTTCAGTGGGAGAGTGCCAGGTCTCTGTGTAACACTTTGGGAAGCTGACTGAGTCACTGGAAACCATGGTAGGACAACTACCATGATGGATGCTGATAAACCAGGATTGGTGGGTGGAGCTACCTATGAGAAAACCCAAGCCTTGACCTCTTCTCCCCCAGAAGACCCGTGATGGGTCTTTATTGGTCAGTGATCTCATATCAAAGATCTTTGGGTTTTGGCTTGAATACAGGAAGTCCTTGACTTACAACGGTTCGTTTAGTGACTGTCCGAAGTCACAGCGGCACCGAAAGAAGTGACACGACCGTTCAGTGCAGCTTCGTTCATGGGTTGTGTGTCAAGGAACCATGGACCTGAAGCTCCATCAACCACAGATGACTGAGCACGGACATCAAGGCTAGCAGGGGTCAGCCGGTTGCGTCCACTCACCAGCCGGGGGTTAGAGACATACAGGGACGTGTCACACACAATGCTGTAGGCCACCAGACGGTCTCCTGGGAAAAGGCAGCTGGCATTGACTGGCGAAATCAAGGCTTCCGTCGTCTCAGGAAACACCCAGTCTACGGAGACATCGCTCACCACTGGCGCCATGGCCTTCTTCAGAGACCTGATCATCTAAAACCCGGAGGAAAAAGAGATTTTCAGATCAGGTGTTGGTCGCCTTGGTCGCTGCCCTTAAAACACGGAGTCCTGATCGCACTAACCCCCCAATCCAAGTAAACCCCAAACAAAATCCATCTGCTTTGACTTTCCATCTGCAGGGAAGACCATTAAATAACACCTTGATAAGACCAGGTCCTGAAGAGGAAACTCAAATCCTTTGGCCACCTAATGAGAAGGAAGGACTCCCTGGAGAAGAGCCTGATGGTGGGAACGAGGGAGGGCAAAAGAAGAAGAAGGGGACGATGGCAGAGAAGGAGGTGGCTGGATGGAGTCACTGAAGCTTCAATGGACTCCAGGGGAGGGTAGAGGACAGGAAGGCCCGGAGGAACGTTGTCCATGGGGTCGCGATGGGTCGGACACAAGTTCGCAACTAACGACAGCAACCACAAGACCACACTTGGAATACGGCATCCAGTTTTGGTCTCCACAATATAAAAAAGATGTTGAGGCTCCGGAAAGAGTGCAGGGAAGAGCAACAAAGAGGATGAGGGGGCTGGAGGATAAAACAGAAGAAGAACGGTTGCAGAATTGGGGATGTCTAGAGAGAAGAAGCACTAGGGGTGACGTGACAGCATCTTCCAATATTTGAGGGGCTGCCCCCAAGAAGAAGAGGGGGTCCACCTCTTCTACCAAAGCCCCCGAGGGCCGGACAAGAAGCAACGGATGGAAACTCCCCAAGGGGAGAAGCAACCTAGAAATAAGGAGGGATTTCCTGACAGTGAACGACTTGCCTCCAGAAATTGCAGGTGGAGGTTTTTAAGAAGAGTCTGGGCAGCCATTTGTCCAGGGTGGCATAAGGTCTCCTGCTTGAGCAGGGGGCTGGACTAGAAGACCTCCAAGGTCCCTTCCAACTCTGTGATTCTGTGGTATTATTTTTATTCTAATGGTGCAAGCAGTAGAATTCTGCCGGCCGCATTCTCCCCTCCTTTATCACCTTCCTGAGGACGAGGGGAGGGAGGGAGGGAGGGAGAGTTAAAGGCCTTTAGAGGTTTCTGACGTCTGACTGCCTTTGTGGCAGGTCTCCTGCGAACACGGAGCTCTTCTTGGAAAGAGCCGCTTTTCTAATCCCCTCCTTCCTGCCTTTGGTACTTCTGAGCCGCTGCTGTCTTCCAGCTATGCATTTTTGCCCTCCTCATTGGCCAACGATGTTTCTGACAAATCTCATAAACACCTTCTGCCGCAAGCAGCTGGCATTTTCTGACCTTCAACCATGCCAAGAGGTCAATTGATGCCCTCTCTCTCCCCCTCTTTCTCTCTCTTTCTCTTTCTCTCCCTCTCTCTTTCTCTCTCTCTCCCTCTTTTCTCTCTCTCTCTCTCCCTCTTTTCTCTCTTTCTCTCTCTCTCTCTCTGTCTCTCTCTCTCTGCTGATACCCATCCTTTATCTCACAGATTCGGGAGCTGAGCAAGAACCATATATCATTATTGGGGGGGGCTTTCATTCTCCCACCCCCTCCTTTTGCAGAAGGGGAAATGGAAACGCTCAGGGTTCGTAGCGAGAGAGACTCTTGGAGACCATCTCTGAGAGTCCTTGGGGGCGGTTAGATTTTTACCCGGCAAGCTTTTCAGCTCACTCTGATTGATCCAAGTAATCTACTGCGGAGTAATCCCAGGAGCTCGCTCGTTTCTCTTTCTTAGCCCAGGCCATCTCACGGGGTTCTTGTGGTGGGGATACAGAGGAGGAGAAATCCTTCCGTTTGCTGCGTTGGGGGCCATCGAGATCAGGCAGGTTATGAAACAAAGGAATAAACAGAAATGCCCTTGCCTTCTGTTGCTTTGGAGAAATGCGTCCACTGCCCTCTTCTCTGTGGCAGCCCTTCAAATATTGGACGATGCCATCCTGTCAACCCTGGTCCTTCTCTCCATTAGATTAACCTTACCCAATTCCTGCCACTGTTCTTCACACGTTCTAGCCTCCAGTCTCCTAATCATCTTTCTTTCTTTCTTTCTTTTTCTTTCTTTCTTTCTTCTTTCCTTCCTTCTTTCCTTTCTTTTTCTTTCTTTCTTTCTTTCTTTTTCTTTCCTTCCTTTCCTTCCTTTCTTTTTTTCCCTCTCTCTCTCTCTCTCTCTCCCTCTCCTTTTTCCCTCCTCTTCTTCCTCCTCATCCTGTTTGATAGGAACTGCATGAAATTAACCTTCATCCTTGGGGTTAAATGAGAAAGCCGTTCCTTTAAAAAAGAAGTGAGATGGGAGGAGAATGATTTTTTAAAAAAACGTGGGTGGGACCTTTTTTTCCCTGTACGGCCTCAACTGCAGCAGTCCGAGGGGCCCCCACCTTTGGCTGCACCCGCTCCCCTTCGGCCAGGAATTCGGCGCTTCCTTTGGCTACGGCGGCCAGGCCCTTCAGCAGCCTCCGGCAGGCGTTCTTACCGATGCCGAAAGTGTAGCACCTGCAGCAGGAAGGGAGGAGAGGAGAGGAGAGGAGCAGGTGGGCAAGGAGAACCAGCCTGCAGCCCCCAAGGATTAAGGGAGACTGGAAGGCCACTTGTCAGCGATGCCACCGTGGGAAACTCAGGCTGGTTTTTTCTGCAAACTTTGCCCACAGATTTAACAGGAGAATCTTCGCTGAAAAAACGAAGCTCAGCAAACCGGCAACTTTGCCAAAACTCCAGTGCTTTGTTGTCTTTATGGGCTGGCAAGTCAACCCTGATTTCCTTTCTCGGGAAGGGGTTTGCCCTGGCTGCTTCCTTGCAAGGGCAGAGAGGGAGGGACTGCCCACACACCCACCCACCCTCGGCTGGTTTCGCGCCCTCCTCCAACACCCGGGTTGGCCCCTCTTGTGGCCCAAATCTCCCCTGGCCCACCTGGTGGAGGAGGCGTGGCTTCGTAGGAGCTCCAGGACTTTGCCCGTGTTCCCCCCCACCCCCTCCGTCAGCAGGAAAAGCAGGCGGGGGTGACCCCGGTGGATCGGCTGCCGGATGACCCACTTCAGAGGCGACAGGATGTTGGTGCTGCCCATGTCCGCCCGGATCTTCTTGATGCTCTCGCAGGCCCCCGCCAGGTTCTCCTGCAGGAGGAGCAGAGAAGGGGCTCTGGACACACCCAGGAAGGGGCATTGGGCCAACCGGTTGACATCTGGCCAAACCTCCCCCTTCCCCCCCCCCCACACACCCGGACTGGCGAGGATGGAAGGAGGGAAGAAGGACCGACTGGACCTTGATGGAGGCGGCTAGAACAGAGTTAGGTTCCTCCTCACCAGAAGGAAAAAATACAGGTAGGCCTCAAATTGCAACAGCTCATTTAGTGACCGTTTGAATTTTCAACCGCCCTGAAAAAAGGTGACTTAGGACCGTTTTCCACCCTTATGACCGTTGCAGCATCCTATGGTCGCCTGATCAAAATTCAGAGGCTTAGCAATTGGCTCGTATTTATGATGGTTGCAATGTCACGTGATCCCCTTTTGCAACCCGGTCAATGAGGAAGCCAGATTCACTTAACAGCCGTGTGACTGACTTAGCAACTGTGGCAAGTAAGGTCATAAAATGGATCAAAACTCGCTGAACAACTGTCTTGCTTAGCCACAGAAACTTTGGGCTTAATGGTGGTCATAAGTCAAGGACTTCCTGCATTTCAAAAGGGAGCAGAGTCTTCCCCAAACTTAGCTCTGACGTATGGCCTGAGGCTCTGTTCACACAACAGGCTGGCTCTGATCCCCGAATTAACCCGTTTTGAGGCCGGCATCGGTTGACCCAGAAACCGCCATTCCCACCACCTTGGTTAACCAGCAGAGGTTAGGAGGAGCCAACCAGGTGAAAGCAGCCCTTGCGTCAGCCAGCACGGGTGTTAGAAGGGAAGCATCCAGGGTGGGCTGCAAAAATGCCTCCCTTTACCTCCGAGTAGACCTGGCTGGCAGGGAAGACGGCCTTGAAGGTGGATCCGAAGCCAATGATGTTGAAGAGGCAACCCGGCACGAGGCTCTTCAGGATGACCACCAGGGCGTCCTGCCAAAGCAACAGAGATGCTCAGGGGTCAGAGATCCGAAGCTTTCGTGCTCCAGGAAACGGAGGCCCAAGAGATGCCCAGTTCCAGCAGGGAGTCCTCGGTGAAGGAGAGAGTGAAAATGCACTCTGCTCACCGAGGGCACTGATGACGTTCCCTAGTTGGGTCATGAAACGTCTGCAAGGAAACAGCCAAGCTCGGAGAGCACCAATCACCCCACAGCTCCTCCTTCTCCTCTCCACAAACTCCTCTAGCACTGATGATGTTCTCTATTTGGGCTATGAAACGTCTGCAAGGAAACCACCAAGCTTAGAGAGCACCAAGGACCCCATAATAGTCCTCCTCCTTCTTCTCCTCCTCCTCCTCCTCCTCCTCCTCCCACAGCCTTTGGCATCCGTGACTTTCAAAGATGGATTAATGAATGGTGAGTCACCACTTGAGAAACGCTGCAAGGTTTTGGTGCAGGCAGCCTCCAAGCTCAGGGAAGGCAGTCCTGGCAGGGAAGAGAAACACCAAACCTGTCCATTTCTTCCTGCCAGTGTCACGCAGCGTTGGGCGCTTTGCATTCCAGGCATGCCATGAAATCATGTTGTTTCGAGGGTTGGTAGTTGCTGGTTTTTTTCGTTTGTTTCCTATCCCTGTTGTGCAGTCTGCACACCAGAAAGCTTGTGTGTGTGTGTGTCTAACTCTCCTTTCGACTGCAGTGCAGAGTTACGTTGCAGAACTTCAGCAGCTTGAAGATGGGTGGACTTCAACTCATACAATTCCCCAGCCATAATCCCTTTCTCTCCAATCTCTCCACTCTGGAGAGCGGGATGGGAGGGGAAATAAAACGAGCATGGCTGGCTGGGGAATTCTGGGAGTTGAAGTCCACCCATCTTCAAGCTTTTGAGGTTGTGCAGCAGTGCTTCTAAAGGGTGTTTTGTACCCCAATTTGTGTTGCAGGAAGCTTTCTCATTCCATGAGAATTTGATAAAATGGGACCTGAACCCAGCCGGACCCCTCTTTCTCTCTCTCTGCCTCCAAGCCCTCCTTCACGGCCCTCCCCCCCAACCAGCCCCCCCCCCCCCCCCACAGCGTAGCCATCCTACCTTCACCCGAGCGATGTTTGTGCCAGCCATACTTCGGCTGCGGTCCACCAGGAAGATGAATTCTCCATGGGTCATCCGGAGGTTTGGCTGCACCGTTTTCAGATCCGGGCAGAAGTTCAACATGATCACCGGGTGGTGAGGGATGTCCTTGTGAAGCCTCTTGCGGATAATTTCGGTCTGAAAGGACCAAGGAAGAGAAATTAAAAGACATTTTTAAAACTCTTCTGGCTGCCGGCCCATCTGGGGAAATTCGTGGAGGGAGAACTTTCCCTGGGGCTGATTAGAGGGTGGGACAAAGACGGACGGATGGATGGACAGGCAGATAAGAGAGCCAGAGGGCAGCAGAAGGGGAGGGCTGGCCAGAATCGGACAATTGCAAACAGGTGGGGACGCAGAGACGTTCCCAGGCTGCCCAGATCTAAAACAAAGTCCCAGAGGTGCCTTTTTTTTTGGAGAGGCAACTGGACTTTCTTGTTTTTCTTTGAAGACGTTTCGCTTCTCATCCAAGAAGCTTCTTCAGTTCCATAGACTTTCAGTCCTAATTGTGGTTGAAGGTCAAGGATTGGGTGTCCAAGTTGCATGTCTGAATGGATGGCCCCGCTTTAAGTAGGGGGGGGGGAAGAGCTGTGGACTTCAGGCAGAATCTGGGGGGGGGAGGGGGGTTAAAGGAATAGAAAGGGGGTCTTTGCCCCACATGTCCCTCCTTTGGCAAAACCCCACACCCCTCCCCCCGCTCACCTTTTTCTCAGGGCTGGGGTCCTTCTTCGTGCCTTTGATGAAATCGCTCCGCCCCCTCAGGTGCTGCTCGTACTGGGCAGGGGCCATGTCCCCCTCCTCCATCAGGACGTGGGGCATGTGAGGCTCTGGGAAACAAGGGGGAGGGGAGGAAACAACCGGATAATCAATGGAGGGACAGGTAGAACTCTCCGGAACCACCGATTCCTTTTGAAGGGCAAAGCTTCGCCCCTTTTAAAGTAAGTAAGCCACGATTTTTGGCTCTCATTTGGACAGCTGCGATTTGCAACAAGCCCAACAATCACACACACACACACACACACAGAGAGAGAGAGAGAAAGAGAGAGAGAGAGAGAGAGAGAGAGAGAGATCAAATGCAAACAGGGATTGGCAGGGACGGGTCTCAGAAAACGGAAAGCCTGCTTATCACATGGAAGGGACCCCGGAGGTCTTCTAGTCCAACCAAAGCGGAAGAGCTTCCACCATCCCAGTCAAATGGCTGTCCATTTTTTCTTCTTGAAAACTGATGGGAGCAGCCACAACTTGAAGCCTGCCATGTTTCTCTTCTTCCCCAACAAGGGAAAGACCCCTCACCCACCCACCAACCCACCCACCCTCTGGGCTAAGGAACCAAAGAGGCTTCCCACCTACCGCTCGGGTGGATCAGGACCTCCACTGGACGGTCGAAGGTGTGCTTGTTGGCCAGGGTGATGGTGATGCTCCTGGCTGATCTGGCCGAAGGGTCGGCGTCCGCTCGGATCTCGTGCGTGGGGCTTTCCACTCCTGTTTTGTGGAAAGGGGGAATGTAGAGAGAGGGTCTTAGAGATCATCTAGATCTGTGAGGAAATAATTTTGCGGCTGCCTAAACCTTCAAGATGGCCACTCAGCCTCCACTTTGACTGGCTCGTATTTATGACCGTCACAATGTCCCAGGGTCACACGACCCCCGTTTGCGACCTTATGGCAAGCAAAATTCAATGGGGAAGCTGGATTCGCTTACTGACTTAACAACTGCAATGATTCACTTAACAACTATAGCAAGAACGGTCGTAAAATGGGGCAAAATTCACTTAGCGATCGTCTCGCTTAGCCACAGAAATGTTGGACTGAATTGTGGTCATAAGTCAAGGTCCACCCATCCATATATTTTTATTCCCTCACTAAAATACCATGTTAAAAGGTCATTTCTGCGATCGAGAGGCAGTATATGGGATTTTGACTCGATCTCAGGATGAATCAGTTTCCATTAGATGCATTTAGCAAAAATGGAGGGGAGATTTGATTAGCATCTCCCGCCTCTAATGTGCAAATTAACGGCAGCCTCAGCTTCTCCTTTGTGCCCTTGAGAGCAAACTCTGAAAACTTCTCTGGAGGATTGGCTGTAAATATCATATTGCATCTCTTCGGGAGGCTTCGACAGTGTTTTTAATTATATTTATTCTGATCACTTTGATTCATGTGGCCGCGTGGGCTCTAAGCCCGGCCCTGCCCTCATTTCCTTGCTCAGCCTTCCAGTTGCCAAGCCAAGCGTCCAAATTATGATCACGTGACCATGGGGTGGTTGCCATAATTAAGTGTGAAAAATGGTTATAAGTCCCTTTTTTCAGTGCCATTGTAACTCCGAATGGTCACTGTTGTAATTCACGGGCTCCCAGTATGAGGTCTGGCCATATCAGCACCTTGGAGAGCTCCCTGGATCCTTCAGTGGGGATCTGAATGCAGGTCTTAACTTTGAGGGCAGTGGGCCCTCTGAAGGCCACCTTCTGGGACACTAGTTGGTTGACCACAGGGTGGACAGGCTGCTGGATGAGAGGAGCCAGGGAGCTCCCATCCACCAGCCATGGCTTAGGTTCTTAAGAGAGGCCTTTCCGTGGCCAACTGACCAGCCCAAATAATAAGTGAATCTGGCTTCAAGCAGGACCAGAGATCTGGGTGCCCAGAAGATGGTTTTCCTGCCTCTTATCTCCACCTCCTCCTTTCCTTTGATACCCCAGCTGACCTGCCAATAAACACGGTCCTCGGATCTCCAGGGAGAAGCTGAACTCGTACTCCGCAGGGTTGGTGGTCTCGGCTTCCAGGAGATGCGCCAGGCAAAATTTCCCTGCTTGTTCTGGAGAGAGCGTCCCACTGCAGTGCCTGTCCCTGCTGAGGAGAAGGCAATTGGTCAGAATATGTCTGTATGAGGAGGAGGAGGAGGAGGAGGACTGTGGGGTCCTGGGTGCTCTCTGAGCTGGGTGATTTCCTTGTAGACGTTTCATGACCCAACTAGGGAACATCATCAGTGCTAGCAGGGAGTGGGGACAGAGAGCAAACCCCACTACCCTCCTAGCACTGATGACGTTCCCTAGTTGGGTCATGAAATGTCTACAAGGAAACCACCCAGCTCCAAGGGCTCCACAATCAAAGCGAGCTTTGGAGCCAGGCATAAACCCCAAGTGAAAAAAGGACGTTCAAAGCTGAACCCACCAATTTTTCAACCCTTCCAAGATGCCCTTCTTTAAAAGTCGATACCCTAATAACTTGGCTTTTTTTTTTTTTCTATTCTGCTGCTGCTAGCGCATTAAAAAAGTTCTCCGTTTTGTTTTATTTCCACAAACAAAGGCCCGGCATTTGGGATTTCACCGCCTGTCTTTTTTATTTAACACACACTTTCCCCATCATGAAAGCCTCCCACAAGTGGTTTTGATGAACTGCTGCTTATCCAAGATTATTTTCCCGCTCGGAGCATTATTAGATTTTTTTTTTTTTTTTTAGGAAAAGGTCAGCCGCAACAGCAATCTGACTCAAAAAAGGACTTTTTTCTTGGCTTTTCTCCTTGTCTTTTCCTGCCTTAACCCAGGAGACTAAAATCCGTGAGGATCTCAACTCAGATCTCTCCTTTCAAAGCAAACTCTGGCAGAAGAGACTCCCACCGGGCCGGGGGCTGCTTACAAGGGGAGGTGGTGTCCAGAGAGGCTGCTGGTCAGATCGGAGGCTTTCTGGGGCACTCTGGGGGCACAGACGTCCGGAAGGAGGACCCTGACGGCCCCGGTTGGGAGAGTCTGGAGCTCAGAGGAAGTGCTGATGCAGATGGACACATCCACTTGAGGGGGAACGATGCCCACGCTGGCCACAAAGACGATCCTCTCCAGGTCTTCATCCAGAACTACATGGCCTACAGGAAAGGAAGTTCAGATGACCCGTGTCTGCTTAGCAGGCCTCGTCTACGTTTCATTGAAGGCTTTCAAGGATCTTTCTTTCTAAGGCAGACGTGTGGACTTCAACTCCCAGAATTCCCCAGCCAGCATGGAATTCTGGGAGTTGAAGTCCACAAGCCTTAAAAGTTGCCAAGTTTGAAGGCCCCTCTTCTAAGCCTGTATATTACCTGGGTTTACCACTTTGCCCCCTCCCCTCCTCCTCTCTCACCCTCCTCATCTGGGGGTCTTCCGTTGCTGAAGCAGCTCTCCTCGATTCTCGCCTTGTCTTTGATCTGCACCGTTACCACCCGCTCAGAGATCACCGCTTCGAAACCCACCACGGTTGTGTATTCGTCCAGGGGGTAGACAAACAAGCCTGGGAAGGGAAGGCAGTTTCTCATCCCCTCGTAATGCAGGAAAAAAATAGAAGAATGAGACTCGGGGAAAGGCAGTCGTACTGACCTTCGAAAGGATGGTTCTCAGAGTTGCGGTAGGACAGACAGGCGGTCATTCCAAAGGCGTAGCCACTGACACACGAGGTGACCTCCGAGGCAGCCAGAGGGAGGACGGTGCTGGTCGTCCAGTTGACCAAGCCCGGCATCCTGGCGGCCGTCTTAGGATCAGAGCAGAAAAGGACCCAGGACTCCGTGTCTCTCCTCTGAAATAGAAATATCACATCAGCCCTAAAATGGCCACAAGCGTAACCGTCCGCCAGGCCACTGCAAGGACTGGTTGGTGGGCATAGAAAAAGTCTGGGGTGGAAAATCAGAGGCTCTTTGACATTTGGGCGATTCCCAGACGAAGCGGCTGTTCAGCCCCCCATGAATCTGCTCTGCAGTTTTCACTCCCCCCCCCCAAGAGTTTGAGAATCTGTTTCGGAGATCTCCTTCAGAGTGTTTTGCCAGTGGATGGGGGGACATTTGACCAATGGGTTGGGATTGGCTTCTCTAGGGATCAAATCCTTAATCTGGCGATGGTGAATATTTTCCTTCCTCCTCCTTGGGAACCTCATGGCGGGAACCTGCCGCTGTTTGTGGGGCATTTTCTGCTGCTGAAACTTTGCAACACAACTCTTGGGGCGGGGGGGGGGGGGCTGAGACAGATGCAGCTGCAGAGGGGCTGTCCTTGGATAGAAAGCAGAGGTGGGCTCTGGCCATGATGGGCTGGATTTGTGCACCCCCTGCCTCAAATTTTGTGGCCCTGCCTGCCTTTATGCTCCGGAGCACTAATAAACAGCCAAGGGGGAGGCTTGGAGATCCAGACGGATCCCAAGAGCAACCATTGGCCCTGTGGTAGCTCAAGGGCAGCTCTAGACAGATGCGCCAAGGGATCCGTCCCACTCTCTTTATGTTCGATTTCCTTTTGGTGAGGACGAGTGATTCATTGCCGAACAGTGTCTCTCCCTCGCAGGGTAATAAATCAAGGGTTTAGTCTTCCCAGTTGGGAGGGAGGGGGGAGGGAGGGGGGGTCGCAGACAGGCTCAGCGTCAGCAGGAAGGGAGGAGGAGAGAAAGCGAAGGCGGGGGGGGAGTTTGCACACATTCCCAAGGTGTGCCAAAGAGAACCCACCTCCAAGGGAACTGGTTTTCTCACTTCCTTGGGTTCTAGGATCTCTGAATGGCTCCCTTGCCATTCAGAGGCTGAGTTGTCAAATGCACTGAAGCTTCCTTCAAATTGGGCTATTTTCCCACATGGTGTCTCTGGGGGTGACCCTCGAGGCTGACCTCCACGTTTGGGGTAGAGAAACAGATGAGGGTTGGGCTCCTTCCTTCCTTCCTTCCTTCCTTCCTTCCTTCCTTCCTTCCTTCCTTCCTTCCTTCCTTCCTTCCTTCCTTTTCTGTCCCTGTCTGGGAAAGTGGACCAACGGATCATTTAATTTGGAATTCAGTTTAAGAAAACTGAAGCAATGGAGGGAGGAGCTAAATGGAGCCTCCCCTTTCAGGGACTGTCTACCACCAAAAGCTTAAACTGAATGAAGAGCCGTTCCTGGGACCTAATGTTGGAAACAACCCGATGCAGAGATAGTTTTGGTCAGTGATGATGGCTCAGTTGGCATTCAGTCTTTGCAGCCGTCTCTCGCCAATTGCCCTTCTCTCTCGGTTAAGCCCTGGGCGGAAGCTGTGCCCCCCAGAAGAGGTCCGGCCAGCCCAGCTGTGCCTGCTGAGTCTGCCTAGTATTGGGCTCATTAATTCAGATTAAGCACAGCTGCAAGATTCGATTAGCTACTGAATCACAGGACCAGGGTTTTTACGTAGCGGCTGCGACCGCAGCGAGGTTGACCGAAAGCAGGGAGGGAGGGAGGGAGGCGTAAATGTCCCAGGAGGAAAAGCTCCCATGTTTTCTCTTTGAGGGCCTTAAACGTCTCTCACTGGCAATCTTCACCCCCCCACCCCGGATTTTAAGGGGGGCTTCAGACAACCATGTTCGCCATTTCCCTCAAAACCAGGGGCTTTTCCGGGCACAAATACCTGAACCGCTTAGTACAGGTAGTCATCGACTTACAACAGTTTCATTTAATGACCGTTCAAAGTTACACCACCACAGAAAAAAAGTGACTTATGACCAGTTTTCATACTTCCGACCAGGGTAGCATCCCCACCGTCATATGATCAAAATTCTTAGCAATGGACTCGTATCGATGACGGTCGCAGGGTCCCAGGGTCCCCTTTTGCGACCGTCTGGCCAGCAGAGTCCCTGGGGGGAGCCGGGTCCACTTCACAACCTTAACGATGGCGGCGATTCGCTTAACAGCTGTGGCCCGAAGGGTGGCGAAATGGGGCAAAATTCATTTAATGAACGCCTCACTTAGCAGCAGAACCTTTGGGCTCCGCTGTGGTCGTAAGTCAAGGACTACCTGCCCTCCAAGCGAAGTGACGTTTTGCAGAAGATGCCAGTGTGGTGCACTAATTGTGCCTGGCGTTGTGTGCTCTGACTAGGAATCCACGATTCCTCTTCTGATAACGGAGTAAGAGGCAATCTTATTTATTCATCAAGTGGATGACATTTATAGGCCACGCTAGCAGCAATTGGAGGTGAGATACTGTGAGCGCACGGACAGAATACCGGAGCAATTGCGACATGTTGCTCACTCTGTGGTAAAGACGCATTTGCTTCCCAAAGCCCCCCAGAACAGAGGGCCCCACAGAGGGGAGAAGCGACACAATTCCAGCAGGAGAACCCCAGAGAGTTGCTTTCCAAAGGGGTTCCCGAAGGAAGGGGCGGGGGAGCAAAGACCAAAGGCCACGTCCAGGCTGGCCACGATCCTGCAGCACCCCCCTGGCAGCAGAAGCCCCCACCCTCCGCAAAGGGGATCTTGAACGGATCAGGGCAGGCAACAGGTTATAAGATGCCAGTGGAAAAGTGTGAAGGCAGGAACCCCCCCCAACTCTGGGGGGGCTTCGGGTGAAAACGGGACTCAGGTGCAAAAGACAAGGGGGAGCCACTCTCTTGGGGAGGGTAGACCCCCCCCCCACCTGTCCCCCGTCACTCAAGGGTTCACGGGAGAAGAGGGGCTGCTGGGTTCATCCCAAGGGCCCCCCCAATTCTTCTCTATGGAGATGAGGAGGGGGCCGATCTTCAGGTCCCTCGCAGCCTCCCTGGTGCAGCCCTTGTTTCCCCCCCATCCCACCCCTTCCCACGGGACAGCAGCTGTCCAAAGGAAGCCGAATTGGGTCCCTTTGCTCCGAGGCTGCAGCTGTCGTTCGTTTGCAAACACCCTTTACGCACGCAGAGCCACAACTGTAGCTGCGGGGAGGGGGGGGATGTTGTGTCTGAAAGCAGCTGGAGACCTGGAGCTAAACAAGGGGGGGGGCGCAGGTGGCGCTCTCTCTTCCTCCCTCCCTCTTTTTTCTCTTTCTCTTTCTCTCCCCTTTAGATCAAGGCTTTCTCTCCCCCCCCCCCCCGCCTTGTCCCAGACTCAGCATTGGGCGTCAGAAAAAAAGCGGAGACTTTTGGGGGGCAGGAGAAAGTCCCCGCACAGAAGCGGTCGGGGGGCTGGACGGAAAAACAAACCGGGAGCGAAAGTCGCGAGGGCTTTTTTGGGGGGGGGGGGGGGTGGAGTGGGCTGCTCTTACCTGGCCGGAGGGGCCGATCGGGGGTCCCGGGACGGCTGCCCGCCGGGAACACGGCCGTCCCTGCCGGTTCTCCTGAAAGCAGCTGGCGGAGGCAACAGGTGAGCCGGCCGGCTCTGGCGTGGGGCTGGCCGGGGGGCTCCGCTGGCGAGTCTCTCCACCTGCTTGCAGCTCCTCTTCCACTTGGCGGAGAGAGCGCGGGGGCTCGGCTGGCCGTCGGGAAGGACAGGCGCGCACGCACACGCAGGCAGGACAGGCGGCGGGCGCAAAGCGAGTCGCAGCCGCGGGAGGACGACTCCCCCGCACCGACCTCCGCGCGGCTCGGGCAGCGTCCAACACGGCGTCTCCGCAGCCCCCCAGTATCAGCCAGGAGAACCCGCCCGAGCCCTTCTCCTCTCCTCTCCTCCGTTTCGGGGCCAACAGGTGGGACGGCTCCTCTTCCTGGAATAGCCCTAGCGCTTCGACTTAGGCACTTAGCCTTCGCAGGGCTTCCCAGCCCCCTCTAATCGGTTTACGGAGTCGGCCTATGCCCCCCCCCCCCCAGCATTCTGGGTCCCCATTTTACCGATTTCTCCGGAGGGTGGAAGGCTGAGTCAACCTTGAACTCCTGGCTGTGGGCAAAGTTTGCCTGCAATACTGCATTCTGCCACCAGGGCTCCTTCTGGTGAGGGGCGGTTGGACCGTTGGGGTGTTCAGGTGCCCATCCTCAAGAGTCCAGGTTCAGGTCCAAGGGGGCCCCAGCTGAGAAGCACTGGACAGGAATCCAACGGAGGATTCTTAATGGCCTTTGAAATTCTTTCTGGGGAGAAGGGGCTGGAAAGGGGCACCCCAGGTGGATGAGGGGGCTCCCCCGTCTTTCTGGCTTCTTGGTTGTTTTTTAATAACCTTTAATAGCCTCCTGGTCAAGCGTCAGATGGACACTTGCCTGTCCGTCAGCCTTCGCATTTGAGGGGAACAACCTCCCCCATCAAAGTCCTCTCTAGTCAGCGGGAAGGTCTCCTGAGACAGGAAGGGTCGTTCTTGCGATTGAAGGACGACAGATGAAAGACGGAGACATTGGACAGGATGTGGATGTCCTTGGCACTCAGCCAGGCTCCTGCTCACTCAGGGAGATCACGCTTGTAGATGACACCAACAAGGGGAAACTTTGGTGTCACCGCTCCTTCCCGTCGCCTTCAAGGCTGGACTCCTGCTCCCATCATCCCCAACCCTGCTGATAATTTGCCACGGTGGTGGGAGAGAATGGGACCTGGAGTCTCCTTTCTCAGGGGGACACCCGGGTGGGTGAACTGTAGGTTGGCCCTGTTGGATTCTATCATTAAAAGAACACTCGTTTAACAGAATATAAACTTTCATTTAGTTTTTCAAGCAGTCTAGAAAGGACGGGTTTTACGACAAAAGTTTGAACTTTGTAAACCACAGTTTAGTTTCTTATTCTTTTTCTGTAGGGCCCTTTTTCTCAGCCTTGAGCACGATGGGTGGAATTCAACTCCCAGAATTCCCCAGCCAGCTGTTGGCCAGAAGGGGCCTCGCTAGCTTCTCAGCTCCAGTGTTTGGAGGTTCCAACGGTCGTTCTAACTTCCGCAATTCTTCTGATAACAGAGGAACACTAGAGCTTGGCTCATCAACGGCCAAACGTCATTAAAAAACGGGCGGTCTGGGTGGTGTGAGGGGCGTACATAACCCAGCTGAGCAAGAGCTGCTTGAAGTAGCCATCGGCTGGGTCCCCACAAGGTTGGCTTAGTTGCCGCTTGCCAGATAACGGTGGCTTTCTCTGCCCTCTGCATTGAGAGCGAAGCATAAACAGCCTCATCAATCAGGCTGAGGGTGTTTGGAAGACAGTCGCCCTGTTCTTCGTTCTTTCAGTGGAAACATAATGAGGTTCTCATTATTATCCCCATCTATTTCTCCGGCCATCTGGCGGTCCTCCTCCGGGGCAACCGCAGGAGAAGGAAGGCACCTCCCAGATTTAAATGCCAGAAAAGAAGGTTATCTGAAGAATAATCTCACCCCAGAAGGAGAAAAAGCAGCTATTTTTCAGCCTTGGCAACTTTTAAGAGGGTTGGACTTCAACACCCAGAATGCTGAGCAAGGCCCCAACTGAGAACCCTTGAGGGTCCCGGGTGCCCTCTGAGCTTGGTGGTTTCCTTGTAGACTTTTCATGATCCAAACCAGATGACATCATCAGTGCTAGTGATAATGTTACCTGGTGTGGGTAAGGAAACATCTGCAAGGCAACCGCCAAGCCCAGAGAGCACCTAGCGCCCCTCGTGTCAACCCTGAGCTACAAATATTCTCCTTTACTGGAACCTAGTTCAGGGTTTGAGGACAGACTCCTGGGTTAGTTTTTCAGTGGCTGGGCTGGCCAACTCCGAAACCCACATCCAGATTAACAGTACCTCGTCCACATGATGCCCAGCGCCTAAATTTCTGCCTGCTTCACACCACGTGCCAAGATCCCGGCTGGAACTTTAGCAAGATATGGACCCATAAATCCCTCAAACCATTTGACCTATCTACACAATTCAAGTGGTTTTAACGTTTGGCCGGAGGAATTGAGCAAACGCAGGAAACGGTGTGAATGAAGTGGGGTCCAGATGGTTGTGGGAAAACAAGCAAGCAGGTCTCCCGGCAATTGAGCAAGGACCCTGTTCAAGGGGCATCTCAGCAGATATCCCATTTTCCCTTTGCCCGCTCTGATTCGGCTTGCCGCAGCTGCTTCCCCGGCGCCTGTGTGTGGCTCAGCACCCACACCGACTCGGCTGCCCGTTGCCATGGCAAAGGCTGTGATGTCACCCTGGGAAATCGAGACGATGATGAGACGGCAGGACCCCAAAGTTGACCCTGGCACGAAGGGGTCAGGATGGGAGAACGGGGCAGATGAGAGGGAAGTGGGGGGCAATGGCTGAGCCCGAGGGAGGAAGGGGCAGTGAGGCAATGCAGAGCAGCCATCCCATCCCATCCTTCCGAGAAGCAAATTCCCGTAATTAGAGATGCTAACAGCGTCATCCAGGCTGGCAGGAGGGACAGAGGGGTTATGACCAGGAGGAAAATGCCTTTTGCATGATGATGCCCGCTGGGCTCAGCCATGGAAAGGGGGAAACCCAGAGGATTTGCTGAGTACACCCACCCAGCCATGGTTCACCCAGCATCCCCTCACCAAGGAAGCCCTGGCTTGCTGCGGTGCTTCTCAAACCTGGACAGACCACTGCAAATGGGATTTTTTTTCCCTTGAGGAACGACTCAGGAGCCCATACCTGGTTTTGCAGAGCAAGTAGTGGAGCCAAGATCAAGCCCTCATCCGTGCAAAAAGTTCTTCGAAGAAAAGACCTTTAGAGATCTTCTGGTTCACGGTTCATATGTTCTGATGTAAATACGTTGGTTTATTTATGTATTAAATTGATATGCTGCCCATCTCGCTGTCTGTTGAGTGACTCTGTACTGGTAGTCCTTGTCTTAGAACCATTGGATTTGTGGCCATTCAAAGTTGCAACAGCACTGAAAAAAGTGACTTATGCCCATTTTTCACACTTATGACCATTTCAGCATCCCTGTGGTCACATGATCAAAACTCGGGTACTTGGCAACGGATTCATATTTATGATGGTCGTAATCCCCTTCTGTGACCTTCTGACAAGGGGGAAGCATGATTCACTTAACAACCATGTTATTAACTGAACAACTGCAGGGGTTCGCTTAACGTGGCAAGCAAGCAAGGTGGCAGAATGGGGCAAAACTCACTTAACTAATGTCTCCCTTCGCAACAGAAATGTTGGGCTCAGTCGTGGTGGTCGAGGACTACCTGAAGTGCCGATAATTGCCCACACAGGTGAATTCCAGCCTGCCCTCCCACCCATCCCTCGGGTGTTCTGAGTTCAGGTCTTCCCAGATGGTGGCAGCCCTGCTCAAGGATGGGTGGCAATTGCGTGCCAGCCCACCACCTCTTTATGCAGCCCCATAATTGCAGAGCCAACATTGTGGGGGGGGGGGTGTTTCAGCTGCAGCCAGCAGGGGCTCTGGGTCTTCCTTGCAAAGGAGCCTTGCAGGCGGACGGAGATGAAGACCTTCAGCCCCCCGGCTGGACATTGCAACGGCGGGCGGGGCAGCAGCCCCACCCAGGAAAAATAGGGGGTCTCCTTCGAGGAGCGGCACGGAGAAACGCATTACTTTTTTGCGGGAATCGCGCATGCGCGCTCGCCCCGCCAGCGGAACGTTGGAAACGAGAAGGGGGTGGGGAAAAAAGAAAGAAAGGGGGCGGGGCGGATCTAGCGGTTTCCGGAACGTCCGTCGTGCCGCCGCAGCGTCCCGCCCGGAATCCTTTCTGCGGTGCACACGGAGCGCCCCCCCCCGCCTGCGGCGCCTGCGCAGAGCCGTCGGCCTCCCGGGGGCTGCAGCGTGAGGCCGAGCGGGCTCTCCGTCTCCGGGGAGAGGATGGCGACCGACTCGTGGGCGCTGGCGGTGGACGAGCAGGAGGCGGCCGCCACGGCCTCGGTGAGAAAGGCCCAGCGGAAGGACACGCCTGTGCACGTGGGAACAGTGGGCCGCTGTGGGGGGGGGGAGCAGGAAACTGAGCAGGAAACCCCTCCCCCCCTCCATGGCCTTGAAGCGAAGGGGGCGTCCAGACCCCCCAACCCCTCAAGGGCCCCTGGGCGGCCGCGCGAAGTTGTGGTTGTAGCCCTGAGTGGGGGAGGGGCAACTCACCTGACGCCTGTGGGCGAATTTGGTACCAAGTGGATTTTGTGATGTGATTTTGAAGGGATTTTTGTAGGAAGCTCTCTCCTGCTGCTTGTGTGGGATGTGTGTGTGTGTATAATACATATTTTATATCTATATATTTATCATCTACCTCAATATCTATCTATCCATCTATCCATCCATCTATAATTATTTTGATCTTAAATGGACTCCAGAGGATGGTAGAGGACAGGAAATCCTGGAGGAACATTGTCCATGGAGTCGCAATGGGTCGGACACAACTTCACAACTAACAACAACAAAATAAAATTATATATATATATATATGCTTCTGTGGAATGTGTGTGTATATATACATACCTGGAACTCGTATTTTTAGAATAGTTTGTTATATATATATATATATATATACACATACCCATAAGTATATATATACATAATATACATGTACATACACACTACACATATACACACAATATGTATGTATACTGCATATATTCTTCATAATATATATGTATGTATAATTATAATACAAATATTTCTATGTATATAAGCCTAAGCAACAGAATGATTGATATATGCAATATAAACGGTTTGTGTGTGTTCTGTCCATTGGACTTGGGCTATGTTTTTCTCCTCTTGGTAACAGATTTCCATCAAGCTCACCTTCCTTACTCTCTGCAGTTGGTATTAGTACTTAAGGGACCTTCCGAAGGAGACTAAAAGAACTCTCCAGGCCACGAAGTGGCTTTCACAGCAGCCGAACAGTTGTCCATCCTCAAAGGTGCCGTTTGTGCTTCGGATCAGGCGTCCCAAATGGCTGTCATGACCACCAGACCTTTGTCACTTTCTCATTTTCAAGAAAGGGAAGCTTATTTAAGTGCTTCTCGACCTTGGCAACTTGGAAGATGGGGGACACCACAATTAGGTTTAATATGATAGACTTTGCAGGGCCAGCACAACATGCAACATGTTCATACCAATGTAATATAATATGTTACATACGTATAATGTGTGTTAGTTATTGCTTCTTTGGGTTAGGGATTCTATTTCAGTTATTGAGTTATTGAGATGTATTTTGTATTCCGGGAGGAGGGAGCTGCACCAAGGGAGGCTCATTCAATTTCATTGTATACATGTGCATTGACAATAATGGTTTGATTTGACTTCAACTCCCAGAATCCTCCAGCCAGGCTGGCAACGTCCAAGTGTGGGGAAAGAGTGATAGCTCATCCTTTCCTTTCAGGAGAATCAATGTGGGAAGGAAGCTATGGTTCTCATAGGTTCTTTTCTTCCTTTCAGCTGAGCAACTTGCACCTGAAGGAGGAGAATCTCAAGCCAGATGCCAACGGTGGGTGCAGCCATGGTTCCCGAGGCGGATCCATTTCCCGTAACTGTCACACACACCTCCGAGTCTTTTTCCTGCTCTTTGTTCTTGCCAGTTGCGCCCCCACGCAAAGACAATTTTCCTCCTGCTTTTACGAGCAAAATTACATCCTCATTCCTAGGAGCCCAACCTGTTGGAACACAGCCTAAGGCTCTAAGCACCAAGGAATTTATTTTAGGCTTAAGGTTGAGTCAATCAGAGCTTTGCTCGGCGGTAATAAATCTGCGAGCTTCATTGGCAAACATATACAGGCGGTCCTCGACTTACAAGTTCATTTAGTGACCGTTCAAAGTTACAACGGCGCTGAAAATGTGACTTAGGGTTGTTTTTCACACTTACAACCATTACAGCATTCTGGAGGTCACACGATCAACATTTGGACACTTGACAACTGGCTCATATTTATGACAGTTGCAGTGTCCTGGGGTCATGTGACACCCCCCCACCCCCTTTTGTAACTTTCTAACGAGCAAAGTCCGTGGGGAAACCAGATTCACTTCACAATTGTATTATTAGCTTAATAACTGCTGCGATTCACTTAATGTTCTCAAGAGGGGCCATAAAACAGTAGCAGAATTCCATTAACAACTGTCTCTTTTAGTAACAGAAATTTTGGGCTCAATTGTAGTCGTAAGTCGAGGACTACCTGTATAACACTTGTGGCTCTGTCAGCAGTGGGAGGTTCTAACTGGATAATTCAGATGGTGATGATTTACTAGCCGTCCACGAGAGGCGCTTATCCGAGCCCTTCTGGAGTAACAGCACAGAATCACTTTCTGGCCAACCCATCTTGATGGTCCTACAAAGGATGGTTTGTCCCAACAGGTGCCGTTGTCAAGACAAGCAACAATGCCGAGAAGACAGAAGAGGAGGAAAAGGGTAAGTTCAAGTGGCTCGGGACATGGAAAACCTGGCATTGGGTGGGGGGGAAAACCCCAGGCCCCGGCCTAGTCTGCCTTTCCAAGAAGGGCTCTTTGGGGTGGGGTGGGGGGCAATTAAGACCCTCCTTTTCTTGGCAGGGCTGGGCAGGTGAGTGCCCAGCTCTGTAATGTCCGGAGGTAAAGCCAAACCCACTCAGCGTTCTGTCTTCGGTGCCAGCTGTTTGCCGTCAGCTGGTTCTATCCTCAAGCGCTGGGACACCCGGTCTTCAACCAGAGACCCTCTAGGGGTGGTGGGTTTGGTATGTGGGGCAGGACGGTGGAGAGGCCGTAGTTTTAGCACGGGGAGTGCCAGCAACGGAGAACAATAGCCTGCCTTGTGGGCATCTCGACGGTCTGTTTTTCGTGCTAAGAAGACACCTTGGCAGAAGCAACCGTGACTGTCACAGGTGTGTCCTGCCAAGAGATTGTGGCTGAAATCTCTCAAATCTCCAGAGCCCAGGGGACGCAGCAGTTAAAAGGCAGGATGGCAGCCTAACTGCCCACTGCCACCAGTTTTATCCTGACCGGCTCAAGGTCGACTCGGCCTTCCGTCCTTCTGAGGTCGGTAAAATGAGGACCCAGATTGCTGGGGGCAAGAGGCTGGCCTTTGTAAACCTCAGAGCCCTGTGAAGCGGCATAGAAGTCTCCGTGCTCTTCATGCTTCTCCTCTGTCCCCTCTTCCCTGTTTGCCCACAGAGGATCGGGCCGCCCAGTCGTTGCTGAACAAGCTCATCCGTAGCAATTTGGTGGACAACACGAACCAGGTGGAGGTGCTGCAGAGGGACCCCACCTCCCCCCTCTACTCGGTCAAGTCTTTCGAAGAGCTGCGCTTGTAAGTGCAGCCCGCTTGGCTCTTTGGGAGCCCGTGGTCCCTAGAGGGGAGGGGCATCCCCCAGAGTAGGGGGGCATTGGTGCCTTGGGAGAGAGAGGGAGGCCGATCCGAAGCCGCCTTCGTGCTGTGTAGGCGTCTTCTTGGGCTTCCCAGCTCCCAGGCCGGCACGGTGCCTTCTCCCCTCTGCTCAAAGGAGCCCTTGATCAACGGGAAATTCAGCATGCCCTCAATCCGTTGTCAGTGCCGTTGTAACTTCGAACGGTCAGTAAATGAACTGTTGTAAGTCGAGGATTACCTGCGTAGGAAATACAGCAAGGAGGCTGGAACCAGTAACGGTAAATGCAACATAAATTCACAGTGACAAGTGTGGTAAATACAAGAAATTTATTTATTTATTTAATTTATTTTATAAAATTTGTACGCCACCCTATCTCCGAGGACTCAGGGCGGCTCACAACGACAATCGACCAAGCGATTGTTAAAACCAACAAATACACATAAAAAATATCAAAGTATTTTAAAAAATTAAAAAATACTACCCCATCAGTCCAGGCCAGGGGACATAAATAGTAAATATTTATTATTTACTAAATGGCAAATATTCTAAACTCCCTCTTTGTCTTTCAACTCTGAGGCCCTGACCTCCTTCAGTAACCCTGCTGCGCTTTGCTTCTCCATCAGGAAGCCCCAGCTGCTGCAGGGGGTGTACGCCATGGGGTTCAACAGGCCCTCCAAGATCCAGGAGAACGCCCTGCCCATGATGCTTGCGGAGCCGTAAGTTCTTGGCCCTGGGCGGCGGCGGGGGGAGGGGCGGAAGATGTGACGGGGTCCCCTAACAACCCTTTGCTGGGGGTCCACCAAGGGGAGCCATTTCCTCTGAGACGCTCAGGGCCCTCCTCTCTCCTGCTCACGGGGTCAACCTGCCTGCAGCCCACAGAACCTGATTGCCCAGTCCCAGTCCGGCACCGGGAAGACGGCAGCCTTCGTCTTGGCCATGCTCAGCCGGGTGGAGCCAGACCACAGATATCCCCAGGTAGCCACCGTGACCAGCCCTGATTAGGGGCAGGGGATGGAGCGTGGTGTGATCATAGGGTTGCCAAGAGTGATTTCGGCAGGCAAGGGTTGGCCTTCTCCCCTGAGGCTGGGGACTTTCTCTCCAAAGACTGGTTCTGACCACTGGGAAGAGACAGGGCAGGGGGGGATGTGCCAGTTGCTGGGCCCTGGTACTGGAAAGGGAGACACTGGACAGATTTTTTTTTCCGTTCTTCTGACTTTCTTCGTTCTTCTCCCCTCCTCTAGTGCCTCTGCCTTTCCCCCACCTACGAGTTGGCCCTCCAGACAGGGAAGGTCATCGAACAGATGGGCCGCTTCTACCCTGCGCTGAAGCTGGCCTACGCCGTCCGGGGCAACAAGCGTGAGTGCCCAGCTTGGTTCTCTCCCTTTCCTGGCATCTGGCAAGGCCAGAGCCTTTCTGCTTTCTGCCATCCGTGAGGGTCCCTCCGTTGCGAGAGCCGGGTGGGGTCTGTAGGGCCGGCAGGACAGGCTTTCCCAGTGGGAAGCTTCCCAAGGGGTCACTTTCCCTCCTCCTCCTCCTCCTGTCCAATAGTGGAGCGTGGCCAGAAGATCGCCGAGCAGATCGTCATCGGCACACCGGGCACCGTCTTGGACTGGTGTTCGAAGCTCAAATTCATCGACCCCAAGAAGATCCGGGTGTTTGTTCTGGATGAGGCCGATGTCATGATTGCCACCCAGGGGCACCAGGACCAGAGCATCCGCATCCAGAGGTGAGGGCACGAGGGGCTGCCCTTCGTCAGCTGGCACCGCCCGTTAAGTGGGCACAGTTTTCATCAGGAGGAAAACATTTTTTTCCCCACTTCGAACTCTCCCCCCTCTCCCCCTCCCCCCATCTGCATTCAGGATGCTTCCCCGGGATTGCCAGATGCTGCTCTTCTCAGCCACCTTCGAGGACTCGGTGTGGAAGTTTGCCCAGAAGGTGGTTCCCGACCCCAACATCATCAAGCTGAAGAGGGAGGAGGAGACGCTGGACACCATCAAGCAGTATTACGTCCTCTGCAGCAGCCGGGAGGAGAAGTTCCACGCCCTCTGCAACATCTACGGGGCCATCACCATCGCCCAGGCCATGATCTTCTGCCATGTGAGTGCTGGGCTGGGCAACACCCCCCCTTCTAGCCCCGCCCCTTCCGGAGGACCCTCCCTCCCTGACCCTTCCCCTCTGCAGACTCGCAAGACGGCCGGCTGGCTGGCGGGGGAGCTGTCCAAAGAAGGCCACCAGGTTGCCCTCCTGAGCGGGGAGATGATGGTGGAGCAGCGGGCGGCCGTGATTGAGCGCTTCAGGGAGGGCAAGGAGAAGGTCTTGGTCACCACCAACGTCTGCGCCCGAGGTGAGTCCAGAATCACAGGGGACCCGGGAGGCCTTCTAGTCCAAGCAGACAAATGGTGCTCCGGTCTCTTCTTAAAAGGGCTCCAGTGTTGCAGCCCTCGGAGGTTCCCGTCTTCCTCCCCATTTAGTCCTGGACGGTTACAGACAGTCCTTGTTTAAGGGACGTTTGTTTAGCGACCGTTCAAAGGTCCAGTGGCCCAGAAAAAAGTAACTGAGGGCTGGCGCTTGCAGTTAACGTCCGTACCGCGTCCTTGGGATTGGGATGTGGGTGCTTGGCCCCTGTCCTGTAGTTATGACGGTTGCAGCATCCCACGGTCATCTGGCCGCAATTTGCAGCCGGCTTCCAGCAAAGTCAAGAAGGAAGCTTGCAACGTTGCGGTTATCGCAACGTCTTTGTGTGGGGAGGCCCCTGCACCCCCCCCCAAGCTGTTGAACGTCAGATTGTCTCAGATATTCCTCCTCAGATCAAATTATAATTAAAAATATATATGATTGTGTGGAAATGGGCAGACTGTCCATGGAAATGAAGGAGAGGGAGGAAACCGAGTAGTATCAAATTTGGAACAGATGGTATTCCTGGCTTGAGAGGAGATGAAAAAAATAAGGGATAATCTGCTAAATATAATACGTAGAAAGTAAAATTGTTGAAGAAATATAGGATATGAAATTGAATTATGAATAGAGGTAATCATAATCTAAGTAAGGATGTAATTTAAGATAGAGATATATAGACTTTTGTAAATACGTTTGTTATGATAGAGAGACCAATATAGAAAAGCTGTTATTGATGATAAACTTCCTCTCTAGGCATAGACGTGGAGCAAGTCTCTGTGGTCATCAACTTTGACCTTCCGGTGGACAAAGACGGGAACCCGGACAACGAGACCTACCTGCACCGCATCGGCCGCACGGGGCGCTTCGGCAAGCGAGGTCTGGCCGTCAACATGGTGGACAGCAAGCACAGCATGAACATCCTCAGCCGCATCCAGGAACATTTCAGTGAGTCCCTCCCCACAACCGCCTCAGGGGGGGGGGGCGTGGGGGGCTTCAGGGCTCAGCTTTGCCCCTCTGCCTTGGAGCCGTGTGCCTCTCTCGCCTGCTTGTGCCCCACAGCACCTCTTGGCCTTCCGGTAGGGCCAAGGAAACGTAATCGTACCTTAGGCCCCAAGCCCAGCTGGAGGACGTGGGGCCGGTCCCTCTCTCTCCGCCCCAGCCAAGGAGGAGGCCAAGAAAACGGCAGGGATTTGTCCAGGCGGTTGCCAGGGATTAGGATAATTTCAAAGGCACCCTTTCCAAAAACAACCCCCTCCCCCACCAAATATTATGACTCCAGGTCAGGGGTCTCCAAACGTGGCCCCTTTAAGACTTCAGCTCCTGGAATTCCCCCAGCCAGCAGGGATTCTGGGAGTTGAAGTCTTAAGAAATGGCCAAGTTTGGAGACCCCCTGCTGCCATCCATTACATAATTTAATCCAGAATATTAACATATATTCAGTGACATGGGAAGAGGGTTCCGGGGGCTTTTTAAGGGTCATCAGCAACTCCGGCCTCTCCGTTGGGGCTTTTGTGAGTTTTCAGAAACTTAATGTCTTTTTTGGGCCACGCATCACTGGAGATCCAAAGTGGGCTCCCAGTTTTACAGATTTCTGAATCTTTTCTGACACTTTTTTTTTTTTGGCTTCGCTTCCTTCTGTGCAGACAAGAAGATCCATAAATTGGATACAGATGATTTGGATGAGATTGAGAAAATTGCTAACTGAAGGGGTGGCTGAGGGGATCGGGGGTGCCCGCCTTCCACTCTGTGGCTGTCCCACCCAGAATGGACACGCCATCCCAACAGGCACGTCTCTTCACCAGCCACATGAGAAGTGGGGTGTCATTTCCCCCCTCCCCACCTCCCGAGATCACAGAAGTTACCTCATCTTCTTCAACCAACAACGATGCGGCTGGACTTTTAATTTCCAAATTAGCGCAAACTGGAGAACGGAAGACACATTTCGCAAAGAAATGTTTACAGTAACTTTTTTTCTTTTTTTTCTTTTAGTTTAGCCTTAAGAGTGGGGGAAGCTCTTCAATTATGAAAACGATGCCAAAAAAACCCCAAAACATAGCCAATAATTAGAAGGGATTTTAATGCCTGTTTTATGGAGAGGGACAGTACTAAGATTGAACAGACAAATATCTATAGATTGTGATTTTTTTTTTCTTTTACACTTCAAAGAGAGCAAATGTCCCAGGGCTCGTTTTGTGGTGGGTATGTGTGAAGTGGGCAAAGATTGCTATTTTTACTCATGGAAAATCGCCCTGCTCCTTTTCTGGTTCCCCTCCCACCCCCAGTTGATGGCATGACGGTCTGCCGTTTCATTCTTATCCTTTTTCTGCTCCCCAAGAAACTTCGGGGAGTTGCAATCCCAGGTGGGGAATCTCGAGACGTTGGCTGGCTTTTCAGGGGTGGCCGGGGAAGGGAAGCCAAAAGTTGTTGGCAGGTTCGCAGGACCTCACCTGCAGGTAAATAGGCAGGTAAAATTAAAAGATGTTTGAGCAGAAATGAGGGACAGCTCAGCAGGGGAAGTATTTGTGAGAACTTTTAATGCTGAGCTAAAGCTAAATCCAGAGGAAGGAAGGAAGGATAGGCAGGAAGAGGGGTTTTCAGCTTCACCTATGGGCAGCTGTCTGTTGGAAGGGCTGAGGAGCCCCCTCCCCTTTTAACGGAGCCATGCTGAGAATTGCATCTTTATTCCCCGAGTCCCAGCAGGTCCTTTTCCCGTCCATCGTTGGTGGGGCATCAAGCCAGTGGTTTGCATTTTGTGTGCGTGCGTGCGCGAGTGTGGTTGGTTGCTATCAAATTGATCTGGCCCCAATTTGGCTTTTTTGGGGTGGGGGGGGTGAGGAGAGAGAGATCATGCCTACAATTGCAGTGACCCCAAATGACGTTTGGTCCGGCGGTGGCAGGAAGGGGCATCTCTGGCCGAAGAGGCTCATCAAATGCAACTTTTTTCCCCCTCTGGGTTCAGTTTGGATTCTCCGATTGCGCCGTGGCAGGCACAGCAAGGGTTGGATCCGGTCGCTTTCTCTCTCTCCCCCTTTGTGGCACAGTAGAATTGAAAGTATTTTTATTCACGCTTGGGGGGGGGGGGGGGGGGGGTGGGGGGGGCAAAGAGCTCCTGGCTTCCCGCTTGATACGGGACCCTTTTCTAAAATGATTAATTGTGAATTCTTGAGTTTTAAAGGAAGCCTGGGGCTGGGACTGAGGTGGGGATTCTTTCCATGAAAAATACGATATATGCGCCCTGCTCGTTTTAGAAATTTACCTAAATTTTTAGGATGTTTGTGCACAGCCTCTTCTTCGGTTTCTGTCCATGGCTTTACGGGGTCTTCGGGGGAGGTTTAAAAAAACATAGCTGTACACAGATTTAGTATGCTGGGGCATACTTATTTTTATTCCACAGGAGATAACAGGCAGACGTGGGCTGTATGTGGCAGGGAGCCTTCAATCCGCTCTGGCCACACCAAGTGACCACGCGAGCCGGGCACACAGTGGCAGCCAGGGCTGCTTTCCGATGTAACTTCTCAGCTAGAATAAAGACCGCACGAGATTTGACACCCGGCCTCGGCTGCCTTCCATGCAGTGGGTAGCAATGGGTCTTCTGGGGGATGAAGGTGCTCTTTCCCCTCCTCCTGCCAAGCCTGAGGGGATTTTTAAATTGAGGAGGGTCCCTCCTGGCATTTTCAGGTGAGAGCTCGGCCCTCCTTAAAGACTATGTTTGTGGTCATGGCACTTTCATTGAAATAAAATGAACACAGCTGATGCCTGCTAGGTGTTCCTTCTGCCAGCTTGGGAGATGAATCTTGGGGGGGGGGGGTCCCAGGTTGAGCTGCTGAGGGGTGCACGTTGCACACTGGGGTTCTGCCTGGGAGTGCTGAGGGACTCGCTTCATGTAGGCTTCTTTATTAATTTTTTTTTTTTAATTTGATTTATATGCCGCCCTTCTCCGAAGACTCAGGGCAGCTTACAGTGCGTTAAGCAATAGCCTTCATCCTTTTGTATATTTATACAAAGTCAGCTTATTGCCCCCACAAACTGGGTCCTCATTTCACCTACCTTAGAAAGGATGAAAGGCTGAGTCAACCTTGAGCCTTGGCGAGATTCGAACCCTGCAGTAATTGCAGGCAGCTGGTCTTAATAAGCTTAATAACAGGGTGCCTTAAACCCCTGTACTACCAAGGCTCTTTTATTCCACCCATCTTCCTGTTCTCACTCCATTTCCTAGAAGGGTGACGGAAATGAGCATCAAAGCTGAAGCCCAAATATTTAGGGTTAAATTCACCTGCCGGCGTTTTTAAGTGTATATTCTCCCTCAGAATACCTTGCGTGGGGTTACGGTCCCCAACCGCGTGCAGAAAAAGCCATTATCCCCCTCCTATATAGTAATGGGTCTACCCCCTCCCCCTTTTCCCCTAGGAATTCCAGGGGGGGAGGAGGGGTTTGCCCAGGCGGTTTTCAAATTGTTCCATCCTGTCTGGGCCAGAGCCAGGAAGGCATAAAACCAGCACCTGATCGTGTGGGAACCTCTCTCTCTCTCTCTCCCCCCTCCCCAAGTCAAAGAAATGCATGGGGCTGTTTCTGTCGCCTTCACTCAACTAGGCGGCCTTCGGGTGACTACAGTTCCCAGCTGCCCACTTTGACTGAGCAATGCCCGATGCCAGGTCGCCTCACCTACTCTCCTTCCCCCAACACCTCGAAGCAGACCAGGCCAAGGCAAGCTGCCCACTTCCCAGCACTGACCTTCCACGTTGGGTGTCCCAGACTCTCTGTGGGCCCTAGGGGGAGAAAACGGGCCCTGCTGTTGATAGGTCAGAGCAGCCCCTGCCCACAGCTGAATTGAGCCCCCAGGCCAGCTGGATGGTGGCCGGACGCCAGCACAGCTCAAAGCTTCCAGGCCCTGGGAAATTCCCTTCCTGCCTCCCAGCGTCCTTTGGCCTGTCTGGGCTAAGAAATCAACACTCGGAAGACAAAAAGTGTTTTTTGGCAAGCTGTCCACTCTGTTAGCGTGTCTCATTGTGCGGAATACTGAGAGTTCAAACTCTGCCTGCGGACAGAGAAACCTTTTTCTTTAAAACATTCAAATACAGTTTAAGGAGAAAAAAAAAATGGCATTTTGATAACACCAACAGGCCACTCTTAATCAAAGCAAGTTGATTTGTTCGTTCAAAACACAGCAGCAGCCCTTCGGGAAAAGCCGCCCCCCCCCCCCCCCCCAGGCAGAACTCAAGGCCACCATGCGAAACGCGAACACACTTCCACGTTGGCACTCAAATGGCCGAGGGCCCTGAACTGATTGCCAGAAAGAACACTGAATTTCAAATTTACACTGAAGAGAAAGCCCATTTGGGGAGGATCCTTCCAGACTTAATTTGTGCCATAATCTTGTAAAATAAATTTGATTAAAAATGCAGTAGCAGACCTTGAGAAGGCTGAGCAAGTTCAAGAGTTTATCTAGCCCCCCACCCTCACGAGAATGGAGTAGAAGCCTTGAAATAGAGCGTCAGGGCCCTGGCCTTCCCTCAGGCAAGGCCAGTCTTCGTATCTTGTGCAAAAGCTTTCACACACCCCCTCCACCCCCACCCCAAAAAAGGATTATCTGCACTTTCCCTGTTGCGCAAGAGAGAATTTGGAGCAAAAGGCACACTGTGGGGAGCTCCTGCTGGCCCTGCGCCGATTGTGAGTGGTTTCCTTGCCACTCTTCTAGATTCAAACCAAATTGAATCGGGGAAGGAAGGAAGGAAGGAAGGAAAGATTGATCTGAGCTACGGGAGGAAACTCCCCTGAGCATAAACGCTCCCTGCCTACCTGGCGGAATGCAGATGGGGGGGATGGGCCCTCAAAGGGACCGACGGGTGCCTGAAAGCCAAGGCTGCACCCCTTTTGGCTGAGCAGGCAGACCTGGGCGAGTTAGGGTCCCGGGAGGGGCAGCGGCTGGGTCTAAAGGAGCAGACAAAGGCTGGGAAGGGGCCGAGTTTCTTCCGGGGGCGGGGGGTTTAATGTGAGGCTGCTCAAAGCTCCCCCTGCTGCTCATCCAGCAGGATGCACAGCACGGACTTGTGGTGGATGGCGCAGTCCTGCAAAGACCGGCTGAGGTCCGAGAAGGTCCTGCGGGGCACTTCCACCGTCCTGATGCTGCAGCGCCGGTAGGTGGCTGCGTTCTTCTGCTCGGCCACGGCAACTACCGTCCCCAGGTTGTCCGTGGGTCGGAAGTAGCGTTCGAACCTTTCCCCCGAAGGCGAGCGGATGGCCAGCAGCAACCGGGGCTCCTCACAGGGCTCCTCCAGGTTGAGGGCCAGCGTGGTGGGAGAAAGTCCTTCCCTCTTTTTATTCAGCTGAGGCCTCTCCAAGGGAGTAAAGGGGGGCTGGGGGTACTCTCCGCCTCCCCCTTTGTGCTCCAGCAGGAGAGAGGTGGACCCCTTCGGCAGAGGAGGCTCTTGGGGACCCTCCTCTTCCTCGTCAGCGCTGGCTGGGAGCTGGCCAGCCTGCTCAAACATCACTTCAGCAGTGCCCATCCTCCGTTCCTTCCTGCTGATGGACGGCAGCACCCGGTACTTGTTGAGGGAAGACGAGGTCCTGGTGGGCACTTGCTGGAGGAGGTCCGGCACTTCGGCCGGGAATGCCTGGATGGGCTGGGAGGAGGCTGCCCTCCGGCCACTGACCGCTTCCTCCCCGGGGGTGGCGACCGGCTGGGGGGACGATGGCACTTGGTAGGAGTAGGTCCCCAGGCTCTGGGAATAGCTCAGGTTGGACCGGGTGCGCCCCTTGGCGGATTTTGGCCGGGTGACATGCATGGTGACGCTGGGGAGTGGCGGCCAGCGGGGAGACTTTGCGATGCCGAAGGGGACTTTCCGTTCAGAGGGTGAGATGGTCAGGGGTGAGGCAGCGGCCATTGCTTTTCAGGAGGCCTGGGAAGGAAGGGAGAGAAATAGCAGGCACGGGTCAGCCTCTCCAGCACGGCATTTTGCACCTCCCCTCGCCAGGTAACAAACCCCGGTTTCCAAAACCTGCTTTGGAGCCCACAGGCAGCCAACCCACCCTGGGCTTGGCCCTGCCACCATTTTAACCTCTCACCGGGCGGATTTAAAAGCCCAGAACTTTTAAAGTATCCCCTCCAAGCACGAGGCTCCCTGCTGTCGGCCGCAAAGGCCTGGGAGGAAGGAAGCCAGGAGGGCAGCCCACCTGCTGAAGATGCTCCATGGGCTCCGGGTGACTGGCGGCTCTGGGCATCAGGAAGGCCGTCAGTCCAGCAGGGTCTCCGGGGAGTCGCTGGTTTTGCAGCCTGGAAAAGGAGGAAGAGACGTTGACCCCGGGGGAGGGAGGGGGGGGAGGGAGGGAAGGGCTTTTGTGGGGGAGGGTCTTTGGAGGGAGGCGGGGGGGCGAGAAATGCCCACCAGGGGACCCCCCCCCAGGGTCAGAGAGCCGGCCACTCGCCCCCCCCCTTTCCTCTCCCAACAGCCCTGCGAGGTAGGCCAACCCAGGAGGGTGGGTTTCCCCCTTCCCACCCGCCACCCAGAGCCTGTCCCGTGACTCCAGGCCCCATCGGTCCCAGCCTGGCCCGCCCATCATCCCCCGCCGGCCTATTTCCCCCGACCGCCGTTCCCATCGCCCCCAGCTTTCCTCCTATGGTCCTAGCCATCCGGAAAACCACCGTTCCCATCATCCCCAGCCCGGCGTCGTCGGCTGCGCCGGAGTTTCAACGCCCGTCGTCACAGCGAGCTCGGTTCGATCGGGTCCCCCGCGGTTCTCTGCCGTGGTTGGGGACGATGGGGATTGTAGTCCAGCGGGGGAGGCCCGGTTCCCGCCTCACCTGGCCGCGGCTCCATCCAGCAGCCCTGCGCGCAGGCGGCCCGTTCTCGGTGGTAAACAGCGCCGCGTTTCCACGGCAACGGCCGCCGCCAGCCGACTTCCGGTCTTGACCGGAACAAGACGCGAGGGAGAGAGAGAGAGAGAGAGAGAGAGAGACCCCCCCCGCCTCGCCATAGACGACAACCGGGCTCCGTTCCTGCGCGCATGCGCGAGCCGGCGTCGCTCTGGCCGTCGCCCTGAGGGAATTTGGAGGGCAAAGAATAAGAAAAGAGGCGACATCGGTTCACGAGACTAAAGGGGGGGGGGAGGTCGGAGTGGAAGTCCCCCCCCCGTGGAAAAAGCACCCCCTCGCTTCCCAACAGCCCTGCTGGGTAGGCCAGGCTGGGGGAGGGTCTTTCCCGCCCAGGGGCGCCCATTGGCCTCTGTCTCAGCTTCAGTGGGGGGTGATTTCATGAACTATAGAGTATAATTATAAGTGTGTGTACCTATATCTATTTTTCTATCTATCTTCCTGTCATCTCTGTATCAATCATCTATATCTATATCATCTATTATAATAATATAATATTTTACTATTTTAATGGGTTGTTATTAGAGTTTTCGGCCAATTTATTTAATTGTTTTAAATTGCTTTTGATTTTTATATTGTCATGGTTTTATTTCTGGCTGTATACCGCCCTGAGTCCTTCGGGAGAAGGGCGGTATAGAAATTTAATAAAATAAATAAATAAATATTATCAATCTCATCTCTCATCTCTCATCTATATCATCTCATTTATATCATCTATCTATCTCAACTATCTCATCTATATCTATCATCTATATCTATCTACCTATCAATCATCTATTCATCCATCCATCTTCTATCTATCATCTATATCATCTCGATATAATTTATATCTCATCTATATCATCTCAACTATATCATCTATCATGTATATCTATCTATATATCATCTATCCTCTAAATCATCTATCATCTATATCATCTATTATCTATCTATATATTATCTATCTATCATCTATATCATCTATATCATCTATCATCTATATCTCATCTCTATATCATCTCATCTATATCATCTAAACTATCAACTATATCATCTATCATGTACATGTATCATGTATATCATGTATCCTCTATATTATCTATCTGTCTGTCTGTCTATTTATCCATCCACCCACCCATCCATCTGCCTATCCATCCCACCTTTATTATGATAAGTAACCCAAGGTGGTGAACGTCATCTAATCCTCCTCCTCTTTTCCTCATCGCAACAACCCTGCGAAGTTGCTGTGGGAAGTGTAACCTTCCCCCCGTCCCTTGCCCATGGTGGTGGTGTTTCAGGTATGGAGAGAGTTCAAGGGTCCCTTCGGCGTCTTGAACAAGCACCTCCATGTCGCTTAGAGACTTGGGGAGGGAAAGGTGAGGGAGGGAGAAGAGTCCCACTGTCCGTCTCACGTGCAAAGCAAGGAAGAATCATCCTTGAGATGCCAGTCACGTTGGGGGACCCTGACTGGCCTCTAGGGGCCAAACCCACCCCTCTCCACCCAATGCTGCTGGAGGGGGGGGGCTCTGGCTTCTACACTGTGTTTGCATCACTCCAAAGCCCCTTGGGGGACCTGGAAAGGGGGCAGCCCCCAAATCGCAGAATTATATCCTCAACAAGCTATGAAAGGAAAGGCTTTAGGTTTGCATGATGTAGTTACACCAATAAAAGAGAGTATTTGTAGCTGAGGGTTGAAATGAGGGGTCTTTGGTGCTCTCTGGGCTTGCTGGTTTTCTTGCAGACCTTTCATGACCCAACTAGGTGGTGACAGAGAGCAAACCCTTCTAGCACTGTTGATGTTAGCTAATTGGGTAATGAAACATCTGCAAGAAAAGAGAGCACCAAGGACCACCACAGTCCTTCCCCCCTCCCCCCCTTCTAGCATTGATGATGTCATCTATTTTGGATCACGAAACATTGGAGAGAAAAGCACTAAGCTCAGAGAACACCAAGGACCCCTTGCAGCCGTCCTGGCCCTCCCAGCATCCGGAAATGTCAGCACCGTAAAGCGATTCTGGGTGACCCCCAGCCAGTAAATGGGATGCCTTGTCTTAGTTGAAGCTTTACTAGCTGGGTTAGCTGAGCTGATTATGATGGTCTCCTGATTGCTTTGGATCTGTCGCAGAGATCTGCAGCGATCAAACCAATGCGGAACCAAGAGCTGTTCCAGAATCCACTGGCAACTTGGGAGGTTTTCTTGGGGGACGGGGGGGGGGGAGGGGACAGATAAAATTCATCCCCAGAAGACAAAACAATCACATAATGCCAGAAAGCACCTTAGCACAACAGTAGCATCAAGATTGGCTCTTTCATCAACATTTTGCCAGGGTGCCAGGAAGCATTTGGCAGCACAGGGATAAAAAAAAGAAGAAGAATAGAACTGGCAAAACGTGTAGAAGTTGAACCAAAAAGGATGGGAGGAATGGAATTGCTTGAGCCATTGATAGCAAGATTTCTATTCCCCCCCCCCCAAATAAACGTTTTTGGAAGAAAAGTTCAATGTTTTTTCCTTTTGAAAAAAAAGACAGCTTGCCTAAAATCCTTGCATTTCAAAGTTGGGGGTGGGTCAGTGGAGACCGATAAAAAGAGACACAAAATCTGATTTTTGGCAGAAGGCTGCAGGAACGGTGCTGCGCCAATGAACCGGCTGGCCCGATTTTTTAAAAAATTAAAATCAAAGTAAGCTGGTTGCCATGGCCACCCTCTCTCTCCTCTTCGCCCTCCCTCCACCTGCTTCATCTGTCAAGATTTTTCCAGAAATGAATTGCCATGGCAGTGGAGAGAAGATCTAAAAATAATGCCACCCTTTCATCTACCAAAGCATCTCTCTATCTCTGCACGTCCGATTTTATATAACAGCAGAATTAACAAAAGGACGATATGTGAGCAGGCGCGGGAAACAGCATCTTGCTGGGGTTGGATGTTTGTGTGAAATGACAGGATTTGTTTTCGTTGCGGAGAAATATTCAGCCTGTCCTTCCAAGTTGCTAGTCCTGGCTGTGTCTTCTCCAAGGGCCCCACTTCCTGGGAGCGGAACTTCCTCTCTCCACTTCCACCCCCCGTGCCCCCCACCCCAGGTGTACCCAGCTCTCATTTCTGCAAGCCACAGGGAGAGACAGATCTAGTGGTATTTTAAGGAGGGGTTCCTTTGGTTGAAATCCTTGAAATGTGGGGCTTCCTTTCACTCTGTTTCAAGTCCCAAACTCATTTTCCTTCCCTGCAAGTCCTCTGTGGGAATAAATGGGATCCTGGCACTTGCTTCTGCAACATCTCGGCTTCCCATTTCATTTTTTAAGGTTATTTCTTTACGGAAAGCGAAGCTATAGGAGGAGGGCCGAGCGGTAGTGACTGGGCACTGACTGGCGGTGCCACTCTGTGATCGGGCTTAAGCATCGTTGAGATGCTGGTGTCTTTCTTTGAAGGGCAGCTTTCGATTCTGAGACACAGAAGAGAATTTCCGTCTTTCCTGGACTAAAAGCAACGAAAGGCACCCCTGTGTTGATTCTCCAAGATGCTTCTGAAACACGGAGGCTTCCTAAGGGCTCCTCATTAGCCAGGTTTGGGAAGCAAAACGAGGGTTTTTTTCCTCATTCTCTTCCATCATTGTTAAATGCAACCCTCCCCCCCCCACTGGTCTCTTCCATCACAGCTGGGGATAATGGGACTTTTAGTCTTAACCCATTTAAAACCCAGTATGCTCCAAGCAGAACAAAACAGAATAATGGAAGGGACCTTGGAGGTCTTCTAGTCCAACCCCCTACCTATGCATCTCTTTCTGACCATTATTTGGGGGTCCTTTGATTTGTTTCTCCTCTACCAGAAATTGTCACAGGTGGCCCAAAAAGCGTGGGTTCTTTTCCCGAGTTTTAATCGCCCCACGCAAGCCTGTGTTCGAATTCTACCATTAAGGCCAAGATTCTCGACTCAACAAACTGGACTTGAACAAACAAACAAACCTGAAATTAAACTTTCTCAAGAAACACGTTTAAGTCCGCATGGAGAGTTGAGACATTCCCCTATTTAACTGAAACTCAGGATGTGCAATTTTGCTGAACGGGATCGTCCCATTTGGGTTTCTGAAAACTTCTGTTACATCACTCAGCTGATCACTTACCATTTGTTTTTTTAAATTTTAATTTTTTTTATCCCATTTTTTTTATTATTATTATTTTTATAAATAACTCATCACTTTCAGAATTCAGGGTTTAAACCAAGCTGCTTTCCTCCCCAATTTCTTTTATTTATACTTTGATGCTGTACAGCAGGGGGTCTCCATCGCTGGCTGGGGAATTCTGGGAGTTGAGGTCCACACATTTTAAAGTGGCCAGGTTTGGAGACCCCTGCTATATAACTACCAATATTCTCCCAAAATTAACCAAAACTACAGTTTGACGTTTCAGGATATCTGATTTTGGTATTTAATTCCTCCTTTGTTGTTGTTGTTTTATTGTAGGTAGCAAGATTCCGTCTGTCCCTGCTAGCATACTGAAAAGAAGAAAAGATCTGGAGTTTTGACCTCACTCCCTAAAGAACCAGAGAACGTCAGAAATCAAAGGTACTGAAAACTGAGATTGTTTATATGTAAAATTCCTGCTAAGATCCGTCATAGCAGGGAAACAGGGTGGCCTTTGGCAGTACTGGAATTTCTTTCTGGTTTTAAAGAGACTTGAGGAAAAATAGCCCAGTTGCATAACCAGCTGTCGATCAAATGGCAGCACCCCGTCATTCACCCCAGAAAAGAATAAGGAACCCTTCAGTGCTCCATAAAATGGAGGTTCGGGTTGTATGAAGGTCCAGTCCTGCGTTTACCCCCACTCCCTCTCCATCTTTGTCAGTTGGGCAGCCCAACTGTGGTAAAACTCTCTTGGTGATGCCAAGCCGGGGGGAGGGGGGCTCCATGCCAGGGTACAGCAGTTCCAGGGAGACCCTACCAAGCGAGGCAGCAACCTGCCCTGTTTTTTGGGCAGAAGGAAGGGGGCAAAAGGGCCTTGGCCAATGTCCTGGAGGGATATGGCTTGCTGATATTGTCTGAAATGCATTCCTGCTTGAGCAGGGGGTTGGACTAGAAGACCTCCAAGGTCCCTTCCAACTTTGTTATTCTGTTACACATAGGGTGATGGGTGGGGAAGCTGGCAGGAGAGCTTCTGTGCCAGGAGAGAACCGGCTGCCAACTGACTCATCCCTTGCCTTCTTTATTCCTGATTTTCATCAGAGCCTATGTGGTTTTAAAACCACGAGGACTAGAAACTTAATCACACACATTCAGTCATCCTCAGTCCCTCGCAGCTTCTTGTCCAAGGATGTGCCCACCATAAAAAGGGCTTGCTGTCCCAGGGAATGGATCCGTGCCAAGGGGGGATGGGCAGCACAGGCACAGCCAGACTTTCAGTAATAATTCAGTTTACCGGCTGAACACAGGCGAGCTCTTGGTTGCCCGTTTTTTTCTTCCACCGGGAGAAGCAAGTATTTTGGAGGACTGCATCCAGAACCTTTGCAACGTGAAACCTTCTGAAAGCCACCAGGGAAACACCCCACCCTCTTCCAGTCCACCCTCTGTTCTGCCCCATAACTCTGAGAGACCAAGCCATGCCCAAGCCACGCTGACCTACAGAAATCAGTGGGGCCTCACAAGCTCCATCAATTTTGGGGGGCTATTCCTAAATTCGGAACCAATTTTCTTGGCTTTGAGACAAGAGAGGAACCCCCGTGCCACCTCTCTTAAATCCTCTTCCGTACCTGCACAATTTTGACCTCCAAACTGGTGAGAACCAAGATAAACACAGGCAAAATGTGTTTTATGTACTAATAAACCTCTAGAGATACCCAAAGAGATTTTATTTAAAGGCATTTCTCCCTCCCTCCCTCCCCTCCCCCATTTTTGCAGTTCAGCAAGTACAAACACTCTTTCCCTCCTCAAGGCCACCAAATATGTCAAAAGCGTCTCCCTTCCCCACCCCGCAATGTACCAAGAGCCCCATCCTGCTGAGCACCAGCTCACAGGCGCTTCCTTCCTTCTGCCAGTCTCCAAAATCCACAGAAAAGGATGCAAAGCTTTTGGTTGTTCCCCCCCCTCCAGCCGAAAAAGTCAGGCTGCGATAATGTGACACCGGATGATGGAACACAGTTGACAAGGATTGCGTGATGGTTCAGAACAACATGGAAGGGGCCCCACCCCCACTCGTCTCTCCTGCCCAAATCTCCAGGAATTTTTGTTTAAAAGTTATGGCTTCGGCCCTCCTAGCGGGACAGGCAAGGGGGCTCCGGGCTAAGGTGTCCAGGAGGCCGTGTCCCCCACGGGCAGTGCACCCCTCAAGCTGCAGAACTGGAATTCCCGCACCAAAGTCTGAATCTCCGGGCGCTCCAGGCCCCTGGCCGTCTTGGCATCGGGAAGGGCTGTGTGGTCAGCCCAGAGGGCCGGGCCAGCCGGGCGGAAGCTGCTGATGGCACAGAGGACGGTGCGGGTGGCCAGCCAGTCGTGGGTCGCCCTGGTGGGGGTGCACAAGGCCGGCCGCTCTTCCTTCCTCTCCTCCTCCTCCTCCTCCTCCTCCTCCTCCTCCTGCTCCTCCTGGATGGAGCTGAGCCGGGGGGCGTTGCGGCCGCGCTCCGGGGGCGGCCGGTAGGGGCACTTGGCGTTGAGCAGCCTGCGGAGGGGCGCCAGCGGGACCACCGCCTCCCCCAGCAGCTGCCGCTGGAGCCGCCGCGAGTCGCTCCTCCGCTGCAGCCGCTTGAACTCGTTGAAGGCAGCGGCCGAGGTCTGGAAGAGCAGCCGGGCCGCCGCCTGCGCCTTCTCGGCCCGGGAGAGCAGCACGGCGTGGCAGCGCAGCGCCACCGCCTTGTTCTTCACCTGGTGCCGGTAGACCCAGGCCAGGACGCGCGGGTGGCGCCGGTCGGCCCCGCAGAAGGTGATGCGGTGCAGCAGGTAGGCGTGGCCCGGGCGGCGGCTCTCCTTCGCGGCGGCGGCCGGGCGCAGGTGGAGGCCCTGCGGGCCCAGGCTGAGCTGCATGCGGGCGCCGCGCTGGCCGGCCTGGCTGCGCGCCCACAGCTTCTCCACCGCCGCCTCGGCGCAGCCCTCGCCCTTGGCCTGCAGGGTGGCCGCGTTGCCCAGGTAGCAGACGCGGAAGGTGGGCTCCTCGGCGTTGAGCTGGGCCGTCCGGCGCCGGCGGCGGAAGAGCCCGCCCAGCGCCCCCGCCGGCCACAGCTCCGGCCAGGAGCCCAGCAGGTCGGCCAGCAGCGAGGCGCAGCTCAGCCGCGGCGCCCAGCCTTTCCCCGGCCGCTTGCGCTCCTCCGGCCTCACCAGCACCCACTTGCTCCGCCGCCAGGGCAGCAGCGCCCCCGCCATGGGCGGCAGCCCCCCGCGCGGCAGCCCCCCGGCCGCCTCCCGCCGGCCCCGGCTCGGCGCCGCTGCGATCGATCGCCCGAGCGGCAGCCGCGGCGGAGGAAGGACAAGCGGCGAGCCTCGCGGCTGCTCCCGCTCCGCCTCCCAGCCCGGCGCCTCCCCCCATTCCCATTCCCACCCCCATCCCCGCCTTTGCCCGCCCCGGGCGCGCCCCGGCCTCCCCCTCCCTCCCTCCCTCCCTCCCTCCTTTCCCGGGAAGGGCCGGATTGCGCCTCCTGGGCCAAAGGGGCCGCGGGGCAGCTCCGGAGTGACAGGGAGACGATGGAAGAGCCGGAAGAGCGAGCGGGGCCGGCGGCGGGTTGGGGGCTTCCCTAAAATCGGAGAGCGGAATGAAATGGTGATTCCAGTGGGGGGGGGGGCTTGAGATATATATATATCTCAACCCCAACCTTTCCTTATTACTTATTTTGTGGCTTGGTGGGTTCCAAAAACAACAACAACAACAACCCCCCAAACCAGCCAATTCTTCCAGGAGGATTTATAGTCCAGTGTATCGTGTATGCTCGGAAATTATATTGAATTAATTCAGCACCCAGGCCGAAGCATCAGTGATTTAAGTAGCTACTTAATGTTTCCTCTCAGAAGTTTTAAGGTGTAGAGGTGCCAGCTCTACAGCACTTTTCCCCCCTTTAAAGCTGAAAATAGTGGTGGGCTGTTTTTGTTTTTTTTCTTTCAATTCTCTGTGAATTCAGTTAGGAGAAAGTGGAAGATGGCACAAACTCTTTGGTGGCAACGTGGAGTGGGGGGTGTCCAATGAAGATTTTCACTAAAAAAGGAAGGAAGGAAGGAGTGAGAGAGAAAGAAAGAGAAAGAGAGAGAGAAAGAAAAATAAAAAAGAAAGAAAGAAAGAAAAGAAAAGAAAAAAACAAATTTGGTATCTTCTCAAAAGCAAGTAAGTGAAAGAGATTGAATCTGACAGATTTGGTACTTCTTTATGGATGGTTGCCATGACGTCGTTTCCCTGGAAACCTTCCTTCTTTACCATCCCTCCTCCTCTTCCTCAGGAGGAAGGAGCTGGTGGCTTGTGTGAATCCTAGAAGCTGAAAAGGAGAGCTTCAGGGAGGGAGGGGCGCATCTGCTCCCAGGTTACCTGGGGAGGATTAATGGATGGATTGATCAGATTGGAGGATCTGAACCCAGGCAAACCCCCTCTCTGCTGGGCTGTTGTGGGGGGCTGTGATGGGAAATACAACTCAGCAGAGGGCATCCCTGATCCCAAGCTTCCTTGGGAAGGATCTGTGTGAGAAGGCAAGGCTGTCTGCCCCCATAACCAAGATACATCCTGTCGGGGATCTGGCCACAGAAGCATGGTGGGGGGTTTGGGGGGAGGGTTTGCCCCAGAGGAAGACTCATTCCAGTCTTCAAGAGGAGAGGTTTCCCATCTGAATTGTGCCGTCATCTTTCCGAATTTCAGATTCAGATTTTCCCCCCCCCTTTTTTGTAAATTGCAGCATAAGGAATTCTGGCGATTGTCCATCCTTTGAAAATTGTCGAATGCGGTTGCTTTAAAGAGATAAATGCAAATAGTACGCAGTATACATAAAATGGAGACATAAAGCAGAGGCTGCTTTTAAGGGGGTGTTTGTGGGGGGAGAGAATACCACCCCAAGTGCTAAAGAGGAGGAGTTTGAGGGGGAGAAAACCTGGGAGAGATTTGTGCTATTTTTGAAGTGAGCTGCTGCGGCTCGTCTTCTCAATCCCCAAGGGAAGGGACATTCTTCTCCAACCCCATCCCCTTTCCCTTCCCCTTCCCAGTCCATCTGGCTGATGGAGGAGTGGGCTCTTTGGATGGGGAGATGCGGGAATGGACTAAAGGGGCCCTTGTCACCTGGGAGTTGGCAGCCAGGACGAAAGGGGGGTGGGTGGCTGCTCCAACTCCATCCAAGCCTTTCAATCTCCCAAGAGGCCCTGGAGGAGGGCTCCCTCAAAGCATTGTGGGAAAATAAAATGCCAGGGGACTACCATTGTTCCTCTCTCTCAGCCACAGAGGGTGGGATGGGTATTGGCGTGGCCCATTCCTGTGCGAATTGGAGTCCACTCTTTGTAATCCAGACCCGTCTCTGGAGGTGGATCTTCTGGGGTTCTCAGCCGCCCAGGAATTGAGGGGCTTCGGGAACGGGGTAGGTGGGGGAGGGGGTACTTCAGTTCTCAGCGAGGGGAGGTGGGGGCTATAAGGGGGTCGCCTGCCTGGCCAACCTCCTTAAGGAGCCAGTTGGTGGCAGAAAGGTGCTGAAGGAACAGCTTCCCACAGGAGCTCTCCAGGGTGCTGCAATTCTGCCCCCTTTGGGCTAGAACCAGCTTCTTCGAGATCCTTGTTGGGATATCATATCCCATACGTTTGGAGTGCACAGCTTCTTATTTCTGATCCCCAGATAGGTCCCCTAAGAACTGTAATCCACCCACGAGGAGAATTGATCAGCGAAACCCTGAAACTATGATCAGGGAAGGCCGCTGCTTAATGGAATGAGCTGATACAACTTAGGCTAACCCCACATCCCCCAATTTTGCTTTAGAGGAGGCTGTAGAGAAACCCCAATATAGAGATTGGGCAGCTTTTTGTCTGAAACGGTATAGGGTTTCTCTGCCTGAACCGGGTGGGTGGGTGGGGGTTGGGGTTGGACTAGAAGACCTCCAGGGTCCCTTCCAGCTCCGTTATTCTGTTATATAGAGGCTGGTGATGGAAGGAGAGGGAGCTAAGCTTGGTTTCTCTTCAGGTACGTTCATCTTAAGCAACATTGCTAACAGGGATGCAATTTGGTAATGAGAGAAAGGGTGGACTTCAGATTTTGTGGCGTTCAGTGTTTGGAGGCCTGGGTTATGTCATGTGTGGGGCCAACCATCTGCCAGACTGTTTCATTTACGGAAATGTGTGTGAATCCAGCCAGTTGTGGTTCACTTAGTTAGCTCAACAAATGATGTTTCGGAGTGACGTCTTGATTAGCCCTGACACGTGTATGTGCGCACATCCAAACTGGAGCCCCCCCAGCCCCCATCCCTTGCGTGGCAGGAGGATTCGGGTCTTGCAATCTGCCTCCCTTGCCCCCAGATGAGCTGGGCTCCGTCTCTTAGCAACCCAGTTCTCCAGGTTGCCATAAATTACTGGATTTTCGTAATGACTGCATCACTGTCACATCCCGTCCCTCCCCCGGCAATGTGGATTCTGCTAAAAGGAAGGCAGCAAGTCCCTCCCTCCCTTTGCGGGTCCCTTGCGGCCACAGAGATTGAGAGTCACACAATCCACCTCTCCGCAGGAACTGGTTGTAAAAATAAAGAATAGTCTGGGTCATTGTTTGCACCCCGAATAAAAAGGAAATACAGGAAAATTGAGGGAAGGAAGGAAGGGAAAGGGCAGGCAGGGAGGGAGGGAGGAAATAGAGGGGGATCAGGAGGAAAGGGAAGGGAATATGGAGGGGGGAGGGGAGGAAGGAAGGAGGGAGGGAGGGAGGGAGAGGAGGAAAGGGTTAGGGTTAGGGTTAGGGTTAGGGTTAGGGAAACAGAAACCCAGCTGGGGCTCAGAGTACAGATTAAGAGCAGGTGTGTGTGTGTCTGTGTGTGTCTGGCAAGCCTTTTCTTTCCAGTTTGACAAATGGCATCACTGTTGGGTGTTCAGCTTCAAAAAAGCTGGGAGAAGCTTCCAGTAACATCAGGATTTATCCATGTGGCACATCCTCTCATTTTTTTGCAGATGTGTTTTATTTTTGGGCCTGTACAGCATTCAGTCGTGTTGTACATACAACCTACAGTAAGTTTCTTAAAGTTGTTGCCCATCGTTGCAGAGCTCAGCCTGAGAGGAGGCCGGAGGGGGCTCAGGCCAAGGTCTTCCCTGGGCTTCTGCAGAAGAGAACACGGAAAGGGCGGGGGTGGGGAGGGGCTGATGGGCACTTGGCAGCTGGCCCAGATGATTTGACCGAGGGCAGGCATTTCTGGCAGGGCAATTCCAGCTCCCCTGGGCAGCCACCAGCTTCCCCTTGAGATTCACAGGACTGAACCCCAAATTAATCCAAGACAGAAGGAGAACGGGGCCCTTTTTGTCCTTCCTCGTAGGAAAAACAAACAAACTGCAAGGCCGTTCAGCCCTCCACCCCATGCAAAGGAGCTCTAGAGGCAGACCCCACCCCAAAAGCAGCCCTTATCCCTGGAAAATCGTCTTGTAGATCCACTTCTGGAAATTGGCCACGGCTGTGTAGATGCCGGGATACCCGGGGCTGGCGCAACTGTGACCCCAGGAAACTATGCCAAACACGCGCCCTTTGCACACCAGAGGACCCCCGGAGTCACCCTTTGGGGGGTGGGAGAGAGAGAGAGAGAGAGAGAGAGAGAGAGGAGTCAGGAAATTCGTCAACAACCCACAGACTCTCCAAGGAATCCTTCTTCCCCCCCTTCCCCTCCGCAAAAAGGGTTCAGGCCAACAGTCCTTGGATGGTGTGGCCGCTTTCTGGCACCAACCCAAAACCTTCTCTACCTGGCAGGCGTCTTTTCCTCCCCGTCCAAATCCGGCACAAATCATGTTCTTGGTGATGTAACCGGCGTACGAAGCGGAGCTGTTGCACTTGCAGGTGGAGACGAGGGGCAGGTGGACGCTGCGCAGGGTGTCCGAAGTCCTGCCCCCGACGGGCGTGGTGTAGCCCCAGCCGGAGACCTGGCAGAAGCGGCCGGCCCGAACCTTCGCCCCTTGGCGAGGGACCGGCACGATGGAGATGAAGGGGCTGTAGTTCACTGGCCGGCTCAGCTGGTGGACGAGAGCACAGAGACCTTGAGGGGGGTTGAGGCACAAGGAAGCACCCCCATTTGTTCCCCCAAGGGACCGTGCCAGCTTTGGAGGGCATTGCAGGGGTCAGAAAGAGGTCTGCCAGGCTGAGATCACCTGAAACGCCCACTTCCTCCTTCCAAGAATTGGCTCCCTCTCTGCCCCCCTTCCCAATCGGTCGCCGAGCCCCCAGCCCAAGAGGTTGGGGTCACCTTAATCAACATGATGTCCGCGTTTTTCGAAGAGGCGCTGTAGTCCGGATGGACCACCATGCGGGCCGGCCGGAAGATCTGCTCGGTACCCTCAAAAGTGGAGAGTGAATATTCTCCGGCCACGATGAGCATCTGGTTCATTCTGCAAGACGGTGGGCCGGAGGAGGGCAGGGGCGGAGGAGGAGGGAAGGGAGGAGGTAACCAATAACCAATAACCAGCGAGAGTTTTTTTTTTTCAAGATTTAATAGTGAACGTGGCTTTGTGAATTAATCGGCTGTTCGTCTGGTGTTTCTCAATCTTGGCAATTTTAAGATGGGTGGACTTTAATTCCCAGAATTCCCCAGCCAGCCAAACTCACTTTAACAAATGTCTCGCTGAGCAACAGAAATGTTGGGCTCAATTGTGGTTGTAAGTCGAGGACCAGCTGTACATTGGCCAGGATGCCTCCTTCTTACCCGGTCTTGCAGTGGGCAGCGGTCAAGACCCAGCTGCGGCTGACCAGCGCCCCCCCGCAGAAGTGGAAGCCGCTCTTCCTCTTCAGAGACACCAAGTACTTGGAGGAGTGGGGGGCCATAACGTAGCCCCCGATGATGCGGGGGGAGTCCGTCCCTCGGTCTGCAGGGAGAGGGAGATGGTCCACGGTCCAGAACTGTCCACCTATTAAGGCGATGGACAGATGTTGCAGGCCCCAAAATTCCCAGCCCCGGAGGAGTTCACAAGCCGGCCCTAGCCCCTGAGCCCACCTCACCAACTCATGCCATTCCTGCCGTGCGGGTTATTCCCCTGATCCAGCCCATTTCTGGCGCTTCCGGACTCAGTTCGGCAGATTTGAAACTTTTGTACCAATTCACTCCACCATCTTCCATTTACAAAATTATTTTCTATCTACTCTGAAGGAAAGTTCAGCTGTTTAAAAAAACAAAAACAGGCAACCCCTAAGCGTTTTTATGTGCTGGGCTTTTCATTGTGGAAATCTTCCAGCTGAGATTGATGCTACCGTAGCCTTTTCAGGTTAAAATGGAATACGCTTTTATTTTTGGCGGTTTTAATGCACTGGTTGCTTCTGCTGTTCTCTGACCCTTTTAAAAAGGATGCTGTGATCTGGTTGACCCCAACGGCAAATCAGTCAATTTATACAACCCAGTTGGAGGCTGAATTAAATCCATGGGGTTCACACGGTAGGGATATTGAATTAAATCTTTTCTTCTACCTAAAGCATCTTTCTTTTCTTTTCTTTTCTTTTCTTTTCTTTTCTTTTCTTTTCTTTTCTTTTTTTTCTTTTCTTTTCTTTTCTTTTCTTTTCTCTTTCTTTCTTTCTTTCTTTTTCTTTCTTTCTTTTTCTTTCTTTTCCTTCCTTCCTTATTTCTTTATTTCTTTCTTTTACTTCTCTCCTTCCCTTCTTTCGCCTCTCCCCCCCCCCCACCCCCCAAACACAGCAACTTTTTTTGCTACTCATAAGATTTCTTGCCCAGGAGATACACACACATCTATTTATTCATTCCGAGCTGTTTCTAGCTGTCTTTACAACTTTGCGACCTCAAGATGCTTGTGCCCTTTAATTACCAGCTACCTTCCCGCACTTCCTGGGCTTCATTACAGTCTTCTCACAAACAATTAAGCAATTGTCTGCAGAGTTATGTCTTGCTCCCTGCCAGGATGTTGCTTTTATTATTAGTTCCTCTTGGTCTTTTCCGGGGTGGGGGGTGGGGGGAACGACACCACTCCAAAGCTCCTTCCCTGGGTGGGTGGGAGGTTCAGAAATTAACTAAACGCCCCCTGGAGGTCTATTCTTCATTAAATAATTCATCATTGATCTGTACGTCATTCATTATCCCATTTTTATTAAAGCTAGGATTGAACTAGGAATCCATTTCAATTGAAGGATTCCAGGTAGCAAAAGAAGATGGACACATTTTCTCTCCCACCCAAGATTTGCACACCCCCAACTTCAAACAACTCAGGGCAGAAAGAAAGCGAGCATTAAATCTAAAGTGGGTTTCCCCATTGATTCCATTTGGGGGGAGTCCGGTGGGGACCCAAAGGAAAGCTGAATGAAAATGGCCTTTTTCTTAATTTAGATGGGGAGACAGCTTCCTTTTTCTTCGACAGCATTTGTGGTCCAAATGAGGAAACAAAACGTTCCCTTTTTTTTGTAATTCACGATACAGGCCGGTCATCTCAAGTCTCCAGATGCCGGTGGATTCCTACCTGGCCATTCCTGTCTGCCTCCATCACTGGCAGAAGGGGATCCCGTGTGGGGGTCTCCCCCAAAATCCTGTTCGGCTGCCCCGGTTTCTGAGCCAAACCATGGAGCTGCTGTAAGAGAAGGTACGTCTGAAGCCCTCAGTTCTTAGCTGACTTTTTATAGGTTTACATACGGATGGACAGAATTCTCCATTTCCCTTGGTCCCTTCGGCCACCCTCCATCTCCCTCTGCCCTGACTTCCATTCTGAAGAAGTGAGAATTTCCTCCCAAAAGGAAATTCAGAATGATTTTTTTTTAATTCATTGTATCTCCCCATGTTAATAAAGAAAGAAGAGGGGCACATTTTAACATGCGACTTTCTGAAGATACTGCACAGTGTTTTCGTAATGTACTCCTGATATGATATAAACAGACCTTTAAAAAGGTTTTATTAGGACTATAAATACAGAGAGATAATAACCTCAGTAAAGACCACATTTAACTGCCTGAAATTGCCCATTAAATCTCTATTTATCTTGATTTAGGAATATGGGGAAGATGAATCACAACCATTTTTCCCACCCCTGGCTGTAGGTAACAGTAGTAAATTTCCAATTGTTTAAAGAAGAAGGAAAAAAAAAAAACAAGGGTAGAGACTTGGGCTAATCACCCAGTGATTACACCTCATTTATAAAATAAACCTTATTAGCTATACAAAAGAGGTGGGGAGGGGGAATCCCTAAGTCCAAAAGGAAAGGCCCTTTCCTTTTGCAGGGTCAAAACAAGCCCCCCAAAAGGCCAAAAGGCCAAGTGATGGTTTTGTAAAGGGGGAAGAAGTGTATGAGCCCGTCAAGGATAAACCACTCACCGGTCAACGAGGAGAACAGGAGCGAAAGCAGAAGTCCTGGACTGCGAGGTCTCATCCCACTTTCCTTCTGAAAGCCTCTGTTGAAGAAGAGAGGGATGCCCCAAACCGTCCCCCTCTTCTCCGCCCTGGCTCTTCTTTCCGTTGCCATAACAGCCTCCATCCCAGGAGCACCGTCAATGGTCCACTGTCCTCGAGGTCCTTCAGGGCACCTGCGCCTGCCTGGCATCTCCCTTCTGGCCTTCTCAGCTTCCTTCTTGGGCTGTGCCCTCCATTCAGGGCCAAGCTCAGGTTTCTCGGCAGGCTTGGTGGTTCTGTGACATCCCGGAGGCCCCACTATCCCTGCTTGGCATGGAGAACGGAGCATCTGCCGCCAGGCAGCAGAACCAATGGTGCACAGCCTGAAAAGGGATGGGCCCAGCCCTCCCTCAAGACCAGACGTGCTCCGAGTCGGAGAAAGCCTGCAAAAGGTCCCTCGTGATGGGATCCTCTGGGTAGCTCTGAAGGACCTTCTAGGCAAAGCCCACCAAGATGGCTCCACGTATAATTCATAGGACTGTTGATTGACATCTGTCATCTGAAATTGATGACTGCTCTGAGTCTTTTCTGGTAAGACTTAGAGCTGGGCTTTTCACCAGGAGCTCAAGGTAGCCTTCGCATCATTCCCTCGGCTATTTTTTCATCCTACAACAAGAGAGGGAGAGGGAGAGGGAGACGGAGAGAGAGAGAGGGAGAGAGATCTTGACTAAACAGACCCAATCAGGGCTTGATTTAGGTCAAGGATCCCTGGAGCAAAAAGGAAGGAAGGAAGGAAGAAGGAAGGAAAGGAAGGAAGACCCTCTGAAGTGGCCCTTCACAGCTAATCTCACTTGCCTTTAAAAGGGCAGAAAGCCAACAACTCTCCTTAAAATCTTTTTTTTTCCTGAGTTGCTTTCATCTCCAGCTCTCTCTCTGTCTGCCTCAGAGCCCTCCAGCGCGCCCTCTCGTGGCCCCTCTGCATCCCAGAGCTCCTGTTTCACCTGTCACTCCGAGGACACGCAAAACAAAATCCCTGCTTACTGACCGCAACATTTAAAACAAAGCAAGAAGCTCTGACTGTGTTCAGCAGCAGGTTCGGGCTGGTTTGTAATGTGTTGATCAACGGAAACGGCCTTTTCCTCCTCCTCCTCCTTCTCCTCCTGGTTTCTGACCCTCCTTAATTTGAGCCCCCAGAATCCCACAGCCAGGGACCCCAAAGCACCTTACACCTTGGGTAGTCACCTTGGGAAGAAAGGCAGGAGGATGGTTGGGGTGGATGAGAGAGGAAGAAGGAACGGCTGCCTTCCACAGAGGCCAATCCGATGCCTCTGGCCTGTTTCTCGCCTCCTCAATCAGGGTTTGATGCCCCCCCACCCAAGAACCCTGGAGCCCTTGGTACATCTACTCCACGGCTGCTTCCAGCCCCCTTGGAGAACCGGCCAGGTTAGTGGCTGTCCTCACGCCTTTGTCTTCAGTCCAGGGAGTTTTCCAGAGGTTTGAGGGAGAAAAGGCTGCCCCTGCCCATTCCTCCATGCCAGGCAGGATTGGACGTCCAGAAAACCAACCTAGAACTAGGGAGACATTTCCTGACAGCGAGAACAAATGACCAGTGAAACAGGCTGCCTCCAGAAGCTGTGGGAGCTCTAACACGGGAGGTCTTCTGGACAGAAGAGACTGGACAGCCATTTGACTGGGTCTCCCGTTTGAGCAGGGGGTGGGACTAGAAGACCTCCAAGGTCCCTTCCAAGTCTCTTATTCAGTTATTCCCCTTCTCTCTCAGCTCCCCCCCCCCCCCCCCTTCTCCCACCCGACGCGTCCCCCCCCCCCCCCCCCCCGGGCGCCCCCCCTCTTCCCGCCCCCCCCCCCCCCCCGCCTCTCCACCACCCCTTGGGTGTCGGTGTGTGTGGGCGCCTTGAGTCTCTCTCTCGCCTACAGGTAGTGCTGGACTTCAGGGCCAGCCCGGGATCAGAATTTCTCCTGCTAAGCGAGGAGGCGCGTGTGAGAGTCATGCCTGATTTTGCAACCTTTTTCTCCATAGTTTGTCAGGCAAATCTCTGCAGGCCTTAAGTGGATCTGGCTTCCCGCATTGACTTTGCTCATCAGAAGGCCGTGAGTGGCAATTCACGTGACCATGGGGGGGGGGGGGGGGAGATGGGGATGCAAGGACTGTTTCGTGGAGTCGTGCGAAGCCCCTCCAAGGTTGGCAGCCCCTCTTTCTGTTGCACAGGGCTTTGGTTGGTGTGAAGCAAGCAGGGAGGGGAAGGAAGTCCCGGCCTCCTTGCTTAGAAATGATGACGGGCAGACGCGGAGGGTGGACCGAGGGGCCAACCACACCCTCTTCTGAGAAGGGAAGCAGGATCGGCATCAGTGGCCGCAGGGCACTAAAGAACTCGCCCCCCCACCCACGTCTTGAGGGTGCCCCCAGGCCAACCAGACCCTGCAGCGGAGGAGAAGGGGCCCCTCAGATCTCAGCCTTGGGAAACAGGTATGTGTTGTGTAGGTGGGGTGGGGGTGGGGGCGGGGTGGGGTGGATGAAGGCATCCCAAGCCTTTCAGAGCAGAAAGAGGATTGAGGAAGGGGCTGGGTTCAGTCCTCAGGGATTCAAACGAGGGTATTTCTTTCTCTGCCGGGCATGATGGGCTTGTGAACTCAGCCCTTCCGAAGTGCCACTCGCTTCATTGTTCTTCCCTCCCGTCTGAAATCAGGGAAAGAAAAGGGGCTGAAATTCTCAGGTGTGACAATTGGGGATATCTCACCATTCCAGTCCTCAGTAAGGTCTGTTCCCCGGGCCATTGGCCTCTCCCAGCTGGGAGAAGTGAAATAACAGCAGACTGCAGAAACTCTTTGCGGATGGAAGCAAAGATGGAGAAGGGGAGCAGGAGAAGGGGAAGGTCAGCGTGACCAAATAAAATTTTCCTTCGTTTTTGGCCAAGCATCTCTCCGGCAACCTTTTTCCCCCCTCCCTTTCACTTTATGCCAAGTTTTGCAGGAAAAGTTTTCCTTGTAGGGAAGAAAAGATTCATTGCAGGAGCAGTTAAACAGTCACTTGTTCCAATTCTGGAATCGGTTGAACCATCACTAGGAAAGAGATCAGGGGTCCGCCCTTCAGCCTGACTTGGGCAGAGCCCAGGGAGAAATGAGAGGTGAGCCGAATGGGGCCCCTCTAGTGACCCTTAGCCAGGCAAACTGGGCACCACAGCCCTGGGCTCCTTGGAGCCAAAGTACCCTTGAGCAAATTTGCCCTGAAGAGATCCAGGAAAAATCTGTGGGGGGAGGAGGGTCCAATTTTTCAATGGAGGGGCATAGAAAAACCTCCTGAAGCCAAGCCAGCCTCCTGCAGGAGGGCAGCATAGGGTGTGTGTCTGATTCCTCCAGGTCCAGCAAATAGCGAGTAAGAATATCTCATTGAAAAAAATGCATTTCTATCCACGCGTGACGGAGAGCAAGGAAGAAGGTCTGAGACAGAGAAAGGAGCCTCTGTCTCCGGAGAACTGTGTGTCTCCCAGGGTGGCGATGGTTACCTGGAACTTTGCATTGATGAGGGTATTGGCATGCTAATATCCCCTTTCTTAAAATGCTAATGAGGAAGCCTAGAATTTCAGATAAAGTCCACCAGGGATTGCTAGATCGCTAAGCTGCTTTTGTATTTATTAACCAAAGGAACAGCAAACTGCCCTAGAAAAGCTCTCAGCTCTTCCAGCTTTCCACCAGAATCTCCAAAGCAGAACCGGCTTGGTCTTCTCCTACCCAGCCGGCCCCTTCTCAGGTGGGATGATGTGGTGCCAGCCTGGCGCCTCCCCGGAAGTAGCCTGGGCAGAGACAGGCTGTGCAGGAGATCAGGACACCTGGGTGGCCCAGCTTCTCTCTCCCTGTGCACCGCCGGTCACAGCCAGTTGCCCTCACTGGTTCCTGTTGGCCGGAGCTGCTGGGAAGCGGCAAAGACCGCTCCTCTCTCCCCTCCTCCCACCTCCCTTCCCACAGCGGTGCCGTGATTTCCACGCCCCACTGCTTCGCTTCCCCCACCGGCCGGGCATGTGACTCTCCTTGCAGGGAATCCCTAGAGAGGTTTCACCAGCTCTCCTGGGCATCCGGAGAAGGACGGCAGCTCTGGCACGGCCGCTGGTCTCTTGCTACAGCTGAGTTGGCAAAGCTTGGCTACTTGAGGCCCTTTTATCCTCCTCCAGCAGCCAGAATTGAGGTTGGGAGCTGAGAAGGGCCAGGAGGCTGACCGGGGGGAGGAGGGGAAGAGGGGGGATGAGAAGTCAGCCGAGGACAATGACCACCTACCGCCTTGGCGAGGCAAACGAGAGGTGACTTTCCTCCCAGCGAGGGCGGGCGCAGAGAGCGGCCAGTCTCCCTCCAGAAAGGTTCCCAATCAAAGCTGGAAACTTTTTTGGGTGGCACAGAAGGGCTCCTGTGCCGAAGTTGGAAGCTCCCAGCTGGCACGCAAAGGGGGGACTGTTTCCCAAGGAGGCACCGCCATCTCTGATGCTGCTCAGGCCCCACCGGAGGGAGAGGAAAACTCACCGCCTCTGTCTCCTTTCCTTCCCCTGGTGCCATCGAGGGTAGGGAGAGCTCCTGGCCATGGCGCACAAGCAGGGAGGCAGCCCCAGGGCCGGCCTCGAGCCGGAGGGAGTTCAGCTCCTGTTGGTCGCCTGTCAAGAAGCCACGAGGTTCGCCTACTGCCCCTACAGCAAGTACCCCGTGGGAGCGGCACTCCTGACCTCGGAGGGGAAGATCTTCACAGGTAAGGAAGCCGGGAGCAGCGCCCCTTGGGCCACCTTGCCCTGCCTGGACCCTCCCTTCCTGGCCCAGAGGAGTGAGGGTGGCAAGCAGAACAGTGGCAGCCAAGCTGAACCCCCCCCCCCCCCCCCCCAACCCCTGGGTTCACCATCATTTTGCCCAGACGGCAGAGGCTGGTGAGTCAACTGTACCCACTCCGCTCTTTATGCCCAAGATGCCAAGGTGGCATCAGGGAAGATTTGGGGGGCACCAGCAGTTACAGCAGGAGCTCTGGCTGGCAAGGGATGCTGGGAGATGTGGTCTGGAGGGCTGCAAGTCAAGCGTTTCTCACCCTGAGCAGCTTGCAGGTAGGTGGACTTCAACTCCCAGGATTCCCCAGCCAGCATGGTTGCTGCCTGAACCCAGGACCCGGCCTTAGCGACCGTTTCCGTGGTCTCTTTTAAAACATCCTTGATGGTACTTTTCGCCCCTTTCCAGGTTGCAATGTTGAAAATGCATCTTTCCCGCTGAGCGTCTGTGCCGAGCGGACGGCCATCCAGAAGGCCGTCTCTGAAGGTCACACAAAATTCCGAGCCATGGCCATCAGTTGGTAGGTGGGATTCATCCTCCTTCCCTTTTAGCCATGGGGAGCGAAAGGAAGGCCTTCGTAGGGCACGAGCAGGAGATGTTTTCAGCTAGGCTGACACTGAAATTTCCAGCTGGAGACAGGCTGAAGATTGGGAGGAGATTGTTGATATCTGGAAAAAAATGGTTCCTTCCCCCATCTTGGCCGGGGGTAGATTGAAAAGCCACCCTGTAGCCCATTTCTCTTTGGAAGCGATTGGAGCAGGAAGCCCCCTCCGCTGAGCAGGGCTCAGTCCCAGGAGGGCTCAGGGCATCTCTTGTGGGGGGGGGGGGCGGGGGGAGGGTCCTGCAAACCCTACTCATTCCGCTTCATGCACATTCAGTTCATTTTCCAAGCCAAAAACTGGATTAGTTCAAGCGAAGAGGGTAAAACATGCCAGCGCAAGCCTCATCTCACGTAATTTTGGATGTCTTCCCTTCCAAAATTCAATGAGATAATTGTATATTTCCCTCTTCTTCTTCTTTTTTAACAGCAATAGCCAAGAGTTTTACGCCATTCCATGTGGAGCTTGCAGGCAGGTCCTCCGAGAGGTAAAACACATTTATTTATTTATTTATTTATTTATTTATTTATTTATTTATTTATTTATTTATTTTTTCTTTCTTTCTTTCTATACCGCCCTTCTCCCGAAGGACTCAGGGCAGTGTACAGCCTGATTAAAAGCACAAAGACAGACAAAATTTAAAATTATTAAAATTATTAAATGATAGACTCAATTTTCTTTCATCCAGAAATGCAAGCGTTTATAATATGTTCCCCAGAAGTTTTTTTTTTCCCCCTCATTGTATCCTGTTCATCCCATCTGGGAACTCCACGCAGTTCTCCACTTGCAACCGTTGGCTTAGTGACCGTATCGTCAGACTCTCTGGAGGCATCTGCTTGGCTTCTACAGCAATTTAAAAAATGGCTGATCTTTGCTTAAATTAAGCAGGATTTTTGCAAAGAGTAAAATGCTTCAAAGGTGTGTTAGGTTTACCGTTTTCAAACGGTGGTCAAAAGGCTTAGCTGCTGACAAATGCCCGGGATGACTAAGTTGCAGTTTATTTCAAAAAGCCTACGTTTTCTACCCTTTCCTCTTGAGCAACGGATGATTCATTCTTGAGGCAAGACAGCAGAAACGTTCAGCGGTGCAGGAATTGGCTTCCCTTCTCCTAAACACGTCCGTCTTATCATCATGTCTCCCGTGTGTAACGTGCAATTCTGGATATTTCCTGCTCTCGAGTGTGGTTGTGGTTGCGGGGTTTGTGCAGAGGAGTCAGCCTTGCAAACGGGGGGGAGGAAGGGGAAGTGGCTTTTTGGGTAGCCCGCTCTTTCACCGCTGCGACTTTCTCTCTGGAATTTGGGTTAGAGAAACCACTTTGTAACTGGGCACAAACCACAGGCAGGCCTCGAGCTACAGCCATTTGCTTAGTGACCGTTCGAAGTTACAGCAGCACTGGAAAAGTTTTTCAGGCGTACGACCATTGCGGCATCGCCAGGGTCATGGGGTCAAAATTTGGGCGCTTGGCAACTGGTTCATATTTATGATGGTCGCAGCATCCCATGGGATCATGTGATCACTTTTTTTGTGAACATCTGATGCCAGTGGAGAAGACAGCTTCACTTAACCACCGTGTTACTAATTTAACGACTGTGGCAAGGAAGGTCATAAAATGGGGCAAAACTCACTTAAAAGCTGTCCTGCTTAGCAGTGGAAATTTTAGCCTCAATCGTGGTCGTAAGTTGAGGACCATCTAGGATTTATGACACTTGTGGATTTCATTTTTCCAGTTCGGTCAAGAGTGGGAGATCTATTTGACCAGGATGGACGGCACATACATCCAGAAGACATTGGAGGACCTCCTGCCTTTGTCTTTTGGTCCAGAACACCTGAAGAGCTAGGCGGGAAGGAGGATGGCTTCTCTGCTTCTCCACACCTCCAGCGGCCTGAGATCTCCTGAACTTGGCAAGCCTTGACCTTCCAACCTGTCGAGTCCATGGATGTCTAAACCCTTCCCTTTTGCAAAATTTGGATATTGGCATTCCCGGCGGGTGCTGCCTGCGCGATCGGGATCGTTGGTGTCACTTCAAAGGTCTCCAGAACTTTTGACCGTGTCCTGCCCAGCTGCCTCAGGGAGGCCGGGGGCAAATCTGGACTCTTGGCCCCTGACCTGCAGCCCCCGCCTTACCCTAAGATAAACAGCTGTGTTTTGAGTCCATCGGCTCCGTATTCTTTGCACTCGTCCTCTCCAGAGGGTACCCCCAGCCCCTCCCTCTGAGGAAACCCCTCTACCCAATTTTGATAGGTAGATATTTCAGGAGGTGCCTTCAAATTAGTCTTGGCCCATGACTTGGACCAAAGTGAGAACCATTAATCAGTGGAAGGGCTTTCCTCCAGAAGTTGTGGGTGCTCCATCACTGGAGGTCTTCAAGAGGAGACTGGACAGCCACTTGTCTGAAATGGTCTATAGCAGAGATGGCTAACCTTTTTGCCATCGCGTGCCAAAAGCGGGGAGAGTGCGGGGGGGGTGTTACGCATGTACATGCCCACACCCATAATTCAATGCATTCCCCATGCATGAGCGTGCGACCCACACACGCTCCCTCTGCTTTTGGCACGCAATGGCACGGTGGGCCCAGTAGGCCCGTTTTTCGCCCTCCCCAGGCTCCAGAGGCTTTCTAGGAGCCTGGGGAGGGCAAAAACAGCCTTCCCCACCCCCCTGGAGGCCAGAAACAGCCCGTTTCCTTACTTCCGGAGGGGCAGGAAGGCCTGAAAATCAGTTGGCCGGCACACACATGGGCGCTGGAGCTGAGCTAGGGCAACGTTTACGTGCCCAAGATATGGCTCCATGTTCCACCTGTGGCACGCGTGCCATAAGTTTGCCATCACGAGTCTATAGGGTCTCCTGTTTGAGCAGGGGGTTGGACTAGAAGACCTCCAAGATCCCTTCCAACACTCTCAGTCCCTGAGGGTTTCTAGGCACTTTTTTCAGAAAGGTCTGCCTGAATCTCTTTCAAACTCAGGCTGAGAGGGTGGGACTGGCTCCAGGTCCTCCAGCTGGCTTTGTGTCCAAGGCAGAATTAGAACTCGGGATTTTATATAAGATGTCGGTGGTTCTTTCTCCAACTGGGGGCTCTCTCCAGCCATCCAGGAGTAGTTCTAAGTGGTCCTTCTCCAGTTACATACCAGGTAGCACTAAAGTGCCATGTATGTGTCTGCACACACAGCCCTCACCATGCACCGGATGAAGTGCTCTTGGTTACATGGAATGGGAAGTGTGTGTGTGTGTGTGTGTGTGTGTGTGTGAGCTACACTTCCACAGCCCCTGCCATCCATGAAATTGTCCCAGCGGGTCTCTTCCAATGATTAAATGTATCTCAACCTGAAGACCAGGGGGGTGGGGGGGACGGGACGGACTCCAGGTTTTTTTCAGTTATTAAAATACTTCTTGCTACGCTGTTCTGAATGTCGTGTGCATCAAAGAGAGGGTTTTAAAAAGGGGCTCTCCAGACTTGGCCGCTTTTTGACGCGTGGACTTCAACTCCCAGAATTCCCCAGCCAGCAGTAAAGTGGACGAGTTTGGAGAAAACCCCCGCCCCCCCGACAGTTTTTTCCCCATCACTCTGCTTAACAATTAATTCCCACAACACCGTCAAATAATGTACTGAGACTGTATTACTACTATTCTTCCCTTGCTTACTAGTATCGATCTCTTCCCACTTATCTTTCAATTTACATTGTCTTTATTTGTTTCCTAGTACGATTTGATAGCTTATTAGTATCCTATGACTATCACTAAGTGTTGAAAATCTTTTTATTCTGGATGAATGTATTCTGTTCTCCTTGTTCTGCACAGTGAGAGCGTATGGACCAAAGACGGACTCCTTGTGTGTCCAATCACACTTGGCCAACAAAAGGCATCTGTTCTACTATCAGGGGACTGGGGAATTCTGGGAGTGGAAATCCAGGCTTCCGGCTTTATCGCCCCCCCCCCCAATACCCCCTGCTCTCTTCCGGCCAAGAGCAAAGCGACCGGACCAGCCCAGCCCTGAGGACTTCAACTCCCGCCATCCCTCTGGGCTCCTGGCGCATGCGCGCTGCGCGTGGAGCGGGCGGTTGAGGGCCTAGCGGCGGCGATGGGGCTTCGGCGGGCGCTGGGCCTCGGGGCTCGGCTAGGCCGGGTCCTCCTGCGGGGCTGGCTCGGGGGGCCTCCCCACCACCACCCCGCCGCGCCCCCGCCCGCCTCCTGCTTCCCCGCCGCCCCCCCCGCGCGGCCCCCGGGGCCGCTGCTCCTGCGCCTGGCCGCGGCCCGCCTGGGCCTCCGCAGCGTCCCGCTCGGGCGCCTCCCGCCGGCCCCGCGGCGCCTGGGCCTGGCCCTGGGGCTGGGGCTGGCGCTGCTGGAGCCCGCGGCGGCCGAGGAGGAGAGGCGCGCGGCTGCGGCCTGCAGGGACATCCAGGTGCGGCCGCGTTGCTGGGCGACGGGCACCTGAGGGAGGGGGCGGGGCCAGCCATGCGGGGGGGGGGGAGGGGGGTCCAAGGCCCCCCCCCCAAGAGGGAAGCCCCCTTTCCTCCCCTGCCTCCATCCACCTGGACAAAGGGCCTCCTTCCCCCCCACTTCCATAAAATCCATGCCCGCCCACCGACATTTTTTTCTCCTCCTACGGAGTTGGTTGTGGAAACCAGTTGGTTGGGGGAAAAAAAGGGGGGGGATGTTTGTATATGGTTTATACACCTCTGACAGCAAACCTTTCTCCTTCCTACGTAGCACTAATGATGTTACCTAGCTGGGTCATGAAACGTTTGCAAAGGAAACCACCAAGCTCAGAGAGCACCAAGGACCCCCACCCCTTAGACAGAGGTAGCTAAAAGCCCAAAGGTGGAGAAGGGGGTCTCCGCTGCAGGCCTTCATGGCCTCCGAGGGAGAAGGAAGCCATGGCCAACTGATCTCTGGACTGGATCCACCAAGGAGTCCCTGCTTTTTCCCTCCTGGCCAGAAGCAGTTGAGCCCAGCGTCCCTTTTAATGCTTTTAATGCTGCTCTTTGTTCCAGACAATCTTCCACCCGAGGAACAAGCCCCAGAAGGACACCCTGGGATTAGTAGCCCGGCGAGGCTTCAGCCTGGAGGAGTATTTCATCGGCCAGTCGATTGGCAAAGGCTGCAGCGGGGCTGTGTATGAAGCTGTCACACCTGCCACACCCACTGGGAACAGAGATCGGGTGCCCAAGCGGAGGGATGGCGGTGAGGGCGCTTTGGATGCCCAGGGTGCGGCAGAGGCAGAGGAAGGATTTCCGTTGGCTATCAAAATGATGTGGAATATTTCGGTAAGGAACCTGGCGGCTTTGCTGGCTTTCCTGGCTGCTTATTTGAAAGTAAATATCTGCACTTAGAGAGACTATTTGGTGTAATGGCATCAGGCTAGAAACCAGGAGACGAGTACTAGTCCGGCCCTAGCTCTGAAAGCCAGCTGGGTGACTTTGTCCTAATCACCAGGAGACTGGGAATTCTAGTCCCGCCTTAGGTATGAAAGCTGCCTGGAGGACTTTGGGCCAGTGCCTCTCTCTCAGCCAGCCCACCTCACAGGGCTGTTGTGGGGAGAATAAGAGGAGATGTGTTAGATGTGTTCACTGCCTTGAGTTATTTTTAAAAAAGATAAAGGGATATAAATACGTAAGAAATAAACTGATCTATAGTCAGTGTTTTTATTTGATTCTGGCTTCTCCAGGCTGGTTCTTCGAGCGAAGGCATCCTGACCACCATGTCTCAAGAGCTTGTGCCAGCCAGCGGACGGGCCCTTTCTGGAGAATTTGGAGCTGTTGCCAGACCCAGGTAGGACTTAACTAATTCTGGTGGAGAAGAGTTTATAGGCACAGAGAAAGGGAAAAGAAAGGACTGCGTAGTTTTGCAACCGGACCAGAAAAAATGAGCCGTCTCTCACGTTGGCTACTTGCGATTGTCGTCTCCAACCAGGAAGCTCCTCCTTGGGAAGAAGTGGCTGAAACCTCACCCCAACATCATCCGGGTGATCCGGGCTTTCACATCTCAGGTCCCGCTGCTGCCGGGCGCCACGGTGGACTATCCGGACGTCCTGCCTTCTACCTTGAACCCCTCCGGAATTGGGCACAGCCGCACCCTCTTCCTGGTGATGAAGAAGTAAGCAGATGGATACCACAAAATGGCCGTCTTCCCTTTGAAGCTCTAATTTAGGGGTCTTTGCAGGAAAACGTACCGGCAGGTTGGAATGGGCTGCAAGAGCTAGGGAGGTCTGCGGTGTAGTGGCCAATTTGCCCTTCTGACACCCTTTAAAAGTCACATCAGAAAGGCAGGAGGGCTACGGCCCCAAAAGGTTCAAGAATTTGCCAGCATAAAGTTCAGCACCCTGGACAGAGCCCAGAAATGGCTCCCTTTCTCCGCCATGGTCATTGAAACAGGCCCTAGTTGCCTGATTTCTGAACTGGACCTGTAGGGAGCTATGGACTGGCTGGACCCTTCTCCCTCTCCCCTCATTCAGAATCCCTGAGCTGAGCCCCTCCCTTTGGAGAAAGGCACAGAGTAGGTTTGGCCTCCTAGAGAAGTCAGAAGCCGGAGGTCCAAATAGGGGGCCATGGGTCTCCCAGCCTTTTAATGCCGAAACGCCCCCCTTTGGGTGTGGGGGGGTCAGGAGTGAGATTGGCCCAGCCTTTCTCCTCTGGGTTCGATTTGGGGCGTTGATTTCACAGTGGGAAGCCTGTCTGGCTGAGGCTGCCTTCCTCTCCCATGCTCTGCTCAGCTACCCGTGCACGCTACGGCAGTTCCTTTCCAAGGGGAACCCGGACCCCCGTGTGGGGGCCGTGATGATCCTGCAGTTGCTGGAAGGGGTGGACCACCTTGTCCGACAGGGAGTTGCTCACCGAGATCTGAAGTCAGACAACATCCTGGTGGAGTTCGACCCGGGTACCTTGTGTTCTTTAATCAACGTGGGACCCTGGGAGGCTTCTATTCCCTGCTTTCACCAAGGAGTTCTGCTGCGATCTCTCCCCGCGGGTCCTTTTTTTTTTTTTTTTGGGTGGGGGGAAAGGCAGCTGTGGGTATTTGCTGAGCGGTGGTCCCCTCTCTTTGACCTTGCAGCAGGGTGCCCAGGATTGGTCATCACCGACTTTGGGTGCTGTTTGGCCGATGAAAGGCTGGGCCTGGAGCTGCCGTTCCCCAGCTGGTATGTGGATCGCGGGGGCAACACCTGCTTGATGGCGCCTGAGGTAACTTTTGGGGGGAGAGGCCCCCCTCTGTGCACCCCAGCCCAGGAGGAGCCCATCCACACTTTTTTTCCTTCTCCTAAGTCAAGGGGCTATAAAAATAGGTGCAATGGCAGAGAAGACTGTAGCTTTAAGGAATGGGAAAGGAAGGAAACAAAGCAGAACCAAGATGGATGTATTTATAAACAAATGCGTGGAAGCCATTTTAATTCAGAGTCTAGAAACGTTGAAGCTTTGAATGACGTATTTCTACCCCGAGACACATTTTGTGCAGATGGAGGTAACCACATTATAAAGCTGAATAGGCCGATAAAGAAAACAGTCCTCCATTGAAGCATTCTGTAGGAATCTGCTGTGTTTTGGCTGTGCCTTTGATCCCAAAGGACGAGGGTTCAGTTCCCCAGTTCCTAGTTCCATTCTCTGAGAGCCCTGAAGGTGGTTGTGGGGTGCCTTCCTCTGGTCTCCCTCGCTTAAGAGCCCCGAAAAGGATTCTTCCCACCCACCCATCCCCGTGGCCCCCCAAAGCAAATGCAGAAGAAGGCGGCTGCGTCTCCTTTAGACCAGGGGTCTCCGATCTTGGCGACTCAGTGCCTTAGAGGGCAGCCCAGGGGAAGGGAATTGGCCCCCTCTCGGATCTGGTTACCTTTCTGCCGTCTCCCTCAACAAAGGGGGCTTCTGGCCAGGAAATCGCATCACTTCAGCGCAGTCTGCTAGGGTCAGGGTCTGCGCGCCACACAGAGCCACAACCCACAAAGAGGATGCTGAACCAGAGGCCTCCCCTGGAAGGCTCTGCCCTGTAGGCAGCCTGACTTACGCACAGGGATAGCCTCCGGGGTCTCCGCCGGTTGTCCAAAACTTCCTTACCTCCTCCTAAATCTGAACCTGGGTCTGAATGGCTGTTCACCCCCTGCCCAAAGACGGTATCGGGAAAGCAAGCGGCAAGGCCGCCAATTACAGTCAGCCACCACCATCCCCTCTCTGGATCCCATGGTTCTCTTTTTCCCCTCTTTGACCTTTCTCAAAACCTCCCCCGTTTCCCAGGTGGCCACGGCCGTGCCAGGCCCAGGCGTGGTGATCGATTACAGCAAGGCCGATGTCTGGGCCGTGGGGGCCCTGGCCTACGAGATCCTGGGGCCCGGGAACCCGTTCTACGGCCAAGGGGGGGCCGCCCTGGACAGCCGCAGCTACCGGGAGGAAGAGCTGCCCCCCTTGCCCGCCCCAGCAGCCCCGGAAGTAAAGGAGCTGGTTGCCAGGCTCCTGAGGCGGAACCCGGCCAAGGTGAGAAGGGCGCGTCTGTCGCGGGGGCATGAAGTCAGCCGCCATGAGAGCCAGAAAGCTGAAGCCGCTTTTTAAAAGCTTCCTGTCTTGGATTCCTTCTGGTCCTTATGGGTGGAGTTCCCCAAAGGGATTTCTGAGTCCCAGCCGGCTTCCCTACGGCTGGCTGCCCCAGAGATTCAGCCGCTCCTGGGGCTGACCTCCCCACTGCTGCTTCCTTTCCAGAGGCCATCGGCCCGAGTGGCGGCCAACGTCCTCCACCTGAGCCTCTGGGGCGAAGCGGCTGTTGGCCGGGCGGGCTTCCCTCTCCCCCAGCTGGTGGCCTGGCTGCTTCGACAGTCGGCCGCGGCTTTAATGACCGAGCGGCTGGGCGGCACCCGAGGGGTCGAGTCCCGCTTGAAGAGGGGCTTCCTGGCCAGCCTGGACTACGAGGACCTCTGCGAGGCAGCGGCCCTGCTCTGCTCCTGGAGAGGGACGGCCTGGCCTGCCCCCCAGTAGAAGCGCTCCTCTCGTTAAGTACCCCTGGGGGGAGGCAGCTTCCGGGTGGGGGAGCTGTAGCGCAAAGCGGGGAGGGGGAGTTCAGCAACGGAAAGTGGCATTTTCTCCCCAAGATTTCATCAAGCTGGCGGCTGGGCAGGATGAGGCCGGGCAGTGGCCTCTTTTGAGGTGATCCACGGCCTGGTGGGACCCGGAAATGCTGGCTCCTCGCCCGTCTTTCTGGTTTCCTGCTTGGCACGAGTAGCATTCGACAGGTGTGGTTTGAGTTGCATATTATTTAAAATCCTTTGCTTGCCTGTTTGACCACGTAGGGAAGTTGCAAAAGCAAAGCAAAAATGCCTAGAACCACTTAATTTCATTCCGTGACTTAGCACCCCAAAGTGGCGGATGAATCATTGTTTGCCTTTGTGAGTTGAAACCAGGTGAGATAAATACCATCCTCACCTGCTTCATTGTGGTTCTCTGGGCTGTTTTTTCCGGTAGAAAAGGGTTCCCTCCTTAGCGGCGAAGTTTTTTAGTGGTGGAACTGCTTGTTGGGTCGTGCAAATAAATCACATTCACGTTTGCAGAGTTGTGTGTGTGGTGCTTGGGGGCGGGGGGGGGGGGGGGTTCTTCCAGTGGTTTAAAGGCAGGTTTATTTTTTTTAATTTATTTTGTTGGAAATCCATGGGAAATGCTTTCTTTCTTTTCTTTTCTTTTCTTTTCTTTTCTTTCTTTTCCTCCCTCCCTCCCTCCCTCCCTTTTTGATGATGTGTTTAATGGTGAATGCAGAAGGCAAAATCGGGATCAAGTTCCTAGCCCTGAGTGTTTTCAGGTTGGTTGGCAGCAGATCCTCAGGTTAGAAATGAAACAGACCATCTGAGATCTCCATAGCCATGGGAGGGAGCCCAGCACCTTCCCCCCCCCCAAATGGGAGAAAAAGGGCCCGTTAGGGAGGCTGGCACGGGAAGTGGAGCGCTGTGCTACCCCCGGGCCAGGGGGAGGGTCCCGGTTTGCCCCTTCCTCTCTCTTTCGGGGCCTTTTTAGGGTCCCTTGGGGGGGGTTTTGGGGGGGGGGGGGGGGGGCTCTGTTTGCTCCTGGAAAACTTAATTGGGCACTTTCCTGCAAGGAAGATCCGAGCCACGCCTTGTTGTCAGGCAGTTCTCCTCTGTGAAGGGGGCACCCACCATAGCCGGGAGGGCACCTGGGCGCGTCTGGGGAGTGGCAGCATCTTTTCAAGGCAGAGCAGAAGGGACGTTTGTTTGTTTCTCCTTTGAACCAACTCCAATCCGAATTCAGTTTGCTGAACACGGGCCGTCTGGTTCCTCTCTGGGGTCTGAATCTGTCTCTTCTGCCCAGGCATCAAACGGGCGCTTGGGAAACACCCCACCCCCAAAAAAAGTCTGTCCCCTCTCTGGGAACGGGAGCAGCTGGCTTTCTGCGGGTGAGGAAGTGCCCCCGGGTGGCCCTCTCAGATGAGACCTCAGAGGGTCAAGGTTTGTTTACTGCATCCAGATGCATCACGTCGCTTTAGACCGGTTTTTTTAGGTGGATTTTTTAAATGCCTGGTGGCCAAAGGAGGAAGAGGAAGGGCGGGCTTGATGGGCATCCAATGGGCCAGGCCTGGGCGGCTATATTATCCTGTCCCGTGGCTGGAAGGAGACACGGCTCCTGCCCTTTGGCTGCTGCAGGGGGGAGGGACGGGTTGGCACTTCTCCCTGGCAGCTGCCAAGGCTCTTCTCTGCCGCGGCTGCTGAGTGGCAACATGGCTGTTCTCTTGGCTCCCGGGGGCCAAGGCTTGCTCCGGGCCTCGCTCCTGGGCATCCCGCGCATGGCACCGGCGGTGCGCTCCTGCTGCAGCAAGACCCACCCGGCCATCCACCGGGGCATCGGCCGCAGCACTCCTGGCGGTTCTTTCCTGCACGCCCCCCTGGGCAGGAAGCTGCCCTGCCCTCGCCGGGCATCAGGCTCTGCGTTCAACATACCCCCCAGCGCCGAGGAGATAGCCAGGCCGGTGGGCGTCTGCTCCATGTTCAAGCTGCCCATGCGGGATTCGGCCGAAGGGCTGGACGTGGCCTTTGTGGGCGTCCCTCTTGACATTGGCACCACCCACCGCCCCGGGGCCAGGTAAGGGGGCTGTTCTTGGGGTGGGGGGGAAGACCCATCCAGCAGTTGGGGGTGGGGGTGGGGGTGGGGGGCAGCAGTCTGCCATTCCAGCAGGAAAAATCCTGCATCAAATTAAACTTTATTGGGTTTAATTCACCAGCCTTGCTTATTTGATCGTTTTGCTGGTCCCCTTTTCTGTGGGTCAGGTTGGCTTCCCCGATCGCTCCTCAGTACCTTAAATGTGCTCCCCCCCCCCCTCCCCCCCCCCCCCCCCCCCGTACCCCCCCCCCCCCCCGAGTGATCTCTGGCCACTTGAGTCCAACTGGCTCAGAAGGGGCCCCATGGAGGGAGGGCTGACCTGGGCCCAGCACTGCTCCCGTCTGACTTGGCAACAGAGGACTGCTCAATTTGGGGGGTGGCCAAAGTGCCCCCCCCCCACCTCTCGGACTCGAGCCAGGGTGAGTCCAGCCGGGTGCCCTTTGAACCCTCGGGGGGATTCCTTCAGCCTCCGTCCCTGCAATGACAGCAGCCGAGCCCTCTGCCTTCCCCCAGGCGGCTCAATCAAACCGCTTTGGATGGCAGCAGAGTTGGCACCCCCGTACCTTGGGGGTTGGGACACCGGCACTCAGATGCACTTGTTGCACTTGGTGCTGAATTTTTCCATGGAGGGTTCTCGGGTCTTGGTGGGCAAAGCACGGAGGCCCAGCAGCCTCTGAATCCTGAGTTTGAAACCTGCTGGAGCAGGAAGTTCTGGAGAGTTGGTGGGCCTGATCCACCAAGCTCGTCTGCTCTCGTGCCCAGGCAGGCAGGCAGGCCGTGTTTGAGGCCGAGGAGGGAGGGGGGTTAATGCTTGGCTTTGTGGGGGGGGGGGGGTTTCACCAAGCAAGCTGCTTCTCCTCCAGGTTTGGCCCAAGGCACCTCCGTGCCGAGTCGATCTTGGTGCGCCATTTCAACCCAGCCACTGGGGCCGACCCCTACCACTCGCTCCAGGTGGCTGACCTCGGGGACGTCAACATCAACCTCTACGACCTGAAGGACAGCTGCAGGAGGATCCGGGAAGCCTTTCGGGGGATCGTGGCGGGGGGCTGCATCCCCCTCACACTGGGTGAGCCAAGCAGGAGGAGGGCGGGGAGGGGGGCTTGGCCTAAACGAAGGGCTCCGTTCATCCCTCCGTGTAGTGGTGGGCAGTTCCACAGATTTCTGTCCAAGGGAAAGCTCGGGAGGGAAGGGGCTGGCCGTCACGTGCTCCATTTTTGGATTTTTGCAGGTGGAGACCACACGATCACCTACCCCATCCTGCAGGCCGTGGCAGAAAAGTGAGTCCGAAATGGAATTAGGCCAGGGCTGGCTCATCATACGATTGGTTGGAAAATATGCTCCTCTGCCCGCAGACACGGCCCGGTGGCACTGATCCACGTGGACGCCCACACCGACACGGCTGACCAAGCGCTGGGGGAGCGGATCTACCACGGCAGCCCTTTCCGGCGCTCGGTGGAGGAGGGGTTGCTGGACTGCCAGCGGGTCTTCCAGATCGGGATCCGGGGCTCCTCCTACTCTCCGGATCCGTACAGCTTTTCCTGGGATCAGGTGAGCCATCCCCTTGGGAGATCTCTCTGGGTCCTCCTTTCTAGCTGACCCAGATTTCTGCAGCAGAAGCAAAGCGGGCCCCTGAGATGGCTTGAAACCGGGGGAGGGGAGGGGGTGAAATATAGGGGAAGGGTCTCTGAAGCCAGCCCCCCCTTTTCACTCCTTGCGCAAAAGGTAAAGGTTCCCCCTGTCCAATTGCAAAGACCCCCTTTAAATTAACTGGGACTTTCGGCTGGGAGGACACCCCTGTGCCCTCCCCGCCAATAGAAGCCCCCTGCCCCCCCCCCTCCCCAGGGCTTCCGGGTGGTGCTGGCTGACGACTGCTGGATGAAGTCTCTGGCCCCCCTGATGACCGAAGTGAGGGAGCAGGTGGGGGACCGGCCACTCTACATCAGCTTCGACATCGACGCGCTGGATCCGGCCTTCGCTCCCGGCACAGGGACCCCCGAGACGGCAGGTCTCACCCCAGCCCAGGTCAGCCGGCTGCTTTAGTTTGGGTCCCTGCCCCAAGACCCCTACCCTATTGTCCCGGGAGCCAGTCCTAATGGCCTGCCCACTTCCTCATTCCGGCTTCCCCGCAGGCCCTGGAGATCATCCGAGGCTGCCAAGGATTACGCGTCGTGGGGGGGGACCTGGTAGAAGTGGCCCCCGTGTACGATCTGTCTGGTAAGGGGGATAAGCAGGAAGGGGGGGGGTCTCAAACATCAGATTCAGGGCCAAGGGCAGCCTCTCCCAAGCCCTGGCACCCGCCCAGAGGGCCGAGCCACCCACGGCCCCTGCTGCTGTCCCATCTCACAGACCGGAAGATTGAGACTGGTGAGGGGAAATGGGGGGCTCCACAATCTCCTCCCCTTCCCTGCATAAAGCTCGGTTGTGGGGGGAAGCACCCCAGCAGCAGGATGGGGGAGGCTTCAGTGGTCGTTGCCCCCCCCCCCCCCGGATGAACGAAGCATGTCCTGTTCTTTGCCTTACAGGTAACACTGGGCTCCTGGGCGCCAACCTGCTCTTTGAAATGCTGTGCGCCCTCCCTGGGGTGAAGAGGCATCCTGTCCCCCAAAAGGCCACGCAGTCTGAATAGAAGGAGGGAGCTGCCTCTGGGACTCTGGCTTTGCAACATCTTTTCCGTTTTTAGCAAGAAGTAGCTAGTCCTCATTGCTGCAGTGAAATCCTGAGGACGCTGGAGGGGACAATGGCAAGAGGCCGGCTCCTGAGGCTGACCTGAGTCCTCCGCTTAGGGGGAGAGGCTGAAGACGCATCCGGCAGCATCAGCAGAGTCCTTCCCCCCCACCACCACCACCACCCCAAAAGCAGAGGCTTTATTGAGAGGAAGATTGGCACCCAGATCCCTGGAAGAGAGCCAGCTGCCCTTTAGAGCCCCTCTGGCCCTCCCCTCCGTCTCAGCCGGGGTCCCTACACATCTTGGGGGGAACTGGCCCCCTCAGTGAAACCCACCCCAGCGCGAAGCATACTTGGTGATGCCAGTTCCCCGGAGAATCTGGAAACCCCCTCTACCCCCCTCCCCCCGTGGGGTGCCCCTGCTTCCGGTCCCTTGGGGGGGGCCAAGGGGGCCCCCCCCCATCCCCCCCCCCACTTCTGCTAATTGAGGTTATGGCTGCTCCGTCTTGTGGCCAGACATTAAAATAAGTTTATTTCAGCTTCAAACTGGTTTCGGAGTCTTAAAGCAAAGCAAACCCCCAATAAAGGCAGGGCTTGTTCACAGATACCCGGGAAGGGGAGGGGGAGAAAAGGCTGCCCAATAAATTATTTATTTCCTGACACCACCACCCCCTCCTATCCCCCCACCCCCAATATCAAAAGTGCAAAATTCATCGCTATCCCTCCAAGCGACTTCCCTGCCTGGATTGCGATGCACCCCTTTTCTTCCGCAGATGGGAGGCAACGCCCGGGGGGGAGGGAGAAAGGTGGTGGTGGGGGGGGGACCGAAGGGGGGGGGGGGGGGGGGGGGGTGAAAACAGCTGAAGGCTTTGGGTTGGGCCACCTCCTTCCTTTTGGCTGCAGGCCACTGGGGGCTGGGTGGGGGGAGGAAGCCCTATGTCAGAGTCACATTCGCCATCGCTTGGCAAGGGAGCTGCCTCGGCTTTGGCACCGGCCATTCAAGTGCCCAGGTCAGCCCCCTGCCCCAACATGTGTGCATGTGTGCATGTGTGTGTGGGGGCAAAGCCTCCACCTGTGCGCAGCCCCCAGACCCGGGCTCTGCTAAAGGCACCGTCTCCACAGCTTCCGCCCTGAAGGCATCCGGTCCAGGCAAATGCCCCCAGCCTGAAACCCAATCCCTCCGTTTGTGGGGGTGGGGGAGGAGAATAGGGGGTTGTTCCCAGACTGGCTTTGTGCCTGCTTCTCCCGCCAGCCCCTTCTGGGGCAGCACGAGGCAGACGGTGGCCGCGGGAGAACACAGACCCAGAAAAGGCATGCAAAGGTGCACAAAATGAAAGCCCCCCCCCTTCCTTAGTTCCCCCACAGTAAAGGACCACCTGCAGAACTCTGGACCGGCTTTTTTGGGGGAAGGGGCTGTATTCTCCCTGCATGGAGCAAGCTAGCACCTCAAGGGAGGACAGAGTTCCCATCATCCCCCCCCCCCCACCACCACCTAAAAAACCCCCCCCCCCCCAATGATCCAGGCAGCCTATCTAGACACACAGAGATGAACTCAAAGGACAAACAGCCCCCTCCCCAAAAAAGACACGTGCTCTGCCCTGTCCCGAGACGAGAGGGCAAAAAGAGGTAAAGAGGCAGCTGCACAAAAATTGTAAACAAAAGCAACCGAAATGGGGCCGGACGGAGGGACCCCGGCCCTGCTTCCCACAGTCCAGATCCAGGACTCTCGAGACCTTCCCTGCCCCCCTCCCCCGCCCCCCGTGGTCAGCTTTCCCCGTGGGGAGCGGGGGGGGCACAAAGGGATTTGCAGGGGGGGCAGAGCAGCTGGATTATGGCTCTAGACTAGACATCCTGACACGGACAGCCACGGAGGAGACAAAAGGAGGAAAACGGCTCGTGGATCTGCTTGGGGACCCGGCCAGGCTCATTCTGCACAGCTTCCCCAGACTGGAGGGTAGGGTGGGGGGGGGGTCTCCCCACCTCCCCATTAGACTGCCTGTCCTGTCATCCGATCAAGGGGAGCCAGCGGCTGGGGGGGGCGGGGGGACAGGCCCCGGTGCATGCAGGGGGAGGCCAGGCCTGAAACGAGCCACAGGTGGAGGGTCTGGAGAGAGAACAAAGCCCATCTTCGAAGGAACAGCAGCCGTAAGTCCGTAGGCCAAGAGTTCTAACAGCAGCAGCGGCTCCTGCAGAGCCCTCGAAGGCTGGGGAAGCGGGCAGGGGGGAGGAAGAGGAGGTGGAGGCCCCCCCCGCCCAGGCTCCCCTGAGACAGTCTGGACTATTTGGTGCCAGGGGACCGGTCAGCGCCTTCCTGGTCAGCCAGCCAGCCCTGAGGGCCACGACGCGGTTTCTAACTCACCGGGCCTAGGAGAGGTCATCTAAACGCTACAGTCTTATCGGGCCCCCGAGAGGCTCCAGGGGGCCCTCCTTCCGAGCCTGCAGTCACCCAGCCGCCTCTCAGCCTTTCTGGGAGGACTTTAATGGGGGTTCAGTCTAGGGCGGGCCAGGAGGGGATGTAAAATCTCTGCAGGGACCCCTCCAGCAGCCGCTCCATCCAGAAGGACAGCCGCTGCAGCTTGCTCTTCACGCCCCGCAGGCCGCCCGACGAAGAGGGCCTGCCCCACGCCTCTGCCGGGTCGGCCGTCTCGTCCTCGCAGGGGCCCTCCTCGGGCTGCGGGGGCCGGAAGAGGCAGAAGTACTTCTTGTGGCCGTTGAGGGCCAGGACGTAGCCGGCGTAGTCGCGCTCCAGGAAGTGCTTGTCGTACTGGTTGGGGATGGGGGCCGCGTCCTGCGCAAACTCCAGCACGTACTCCAGCCACTCCCGGTGCTTGTCCAGGCTCAGGAAGGAGAAATGGAGGCAGCTGCTCCTGGGGGGGCGAGGGGGTCAGGGGAGGTCATCAAGAAGAGGCCCAGGAAGGGCAGCCGCGGTGGTTAGGGGCCTGAATAAGGCAGCGCCCCCTCCCCCCTCCCCTCCCCCACTCCAGAGGAGGGGCTGGGGCCTTACCCGGTGAAAGTGAAGACCTCCTGAGCGAACCTCTGCAGCAGGGGGGTCTTGGTGGCGTTGGAGAGGATCAGGACCACGTTGATGTGGCCGGGCCTCAGCCGCACCAGGTTGCTGGTGTAGGTGATGTCCGTCAGCTCCGTCACTTTCACCGAGTACTTCTTGGGAATCCTGCAAGGCAGCACCGGGCGGTCATCGCACAGGGAGAAAGCGGGGGGAGGGAGGGGGGAGGGAGGAGTCTCCGCAGGCATCGGGGGAGGAGAGGGGAAGGCCTTCCAGCCGGCCGAGGGCCAGCAGGGTGGACGCAGCTGTGTGATCCTCGGTTGCGTTGTTAATACAACACAATATCCCGACCCAAACACACACCTGTCTTCTTTGGCGAAGCTCATGTCGTTCTTCTCGCTCTTGGGGGGAGGGTCCTCCTTCTTGGGGGGAGGCAAATCCCTCTCGTCACTCGAATCGCTGGAGAAGAGAAAGTGGGGCTGGTCCCAGGGAGTCTAGCATCTTGCACCTCTGACACCGCCCCCTCCCTCCCTCCCTCCCTCCCTCCCTCCTCAAATGGACCCAGGTGACCGGGGGGGGGGGGAGGAAGGGGGCTCACCTGAAGGCCTGCACGATCACCGTCCCAAAGAGGATGAAAAGTGCCGAGAAGATCAGGGAGAGCAAAGGCATCATCTCCCGCCTGGAGGAGAGAGAAGGTGCGCACGGATGAAAGCCCCTCTGCCCCACGGGCCCCCTTTCCCCTCCCCGCAAGGCTGTGCCGTAGGGACGAATGAAACCATTGCTGTGCTGTGGGGACAAACAAAACCCCGTGGGGGTGGAGACCCCAGTCTACTGCTAAGATTCCCCCCCAAAATCATGAGGGGGAGCAGAGGGGCCCTGGTTCTCCTTGGACTCTCCCTTTTCTTGGGAAAGAAGGACTGAAGGGGGGGGGGCTTTCTATTTTCTATCAATCTTCCCAAACTGAGGGCAGCAGGGAATTATGGGCTTTGGAGGCCCCTGGCTCAGTGCAAGCCGGATGCCCACAGCAAGAGGGGCCCTCTGGACACGCACCAGTTGCTGCGGAAGAGGCTCTCCCAGCTGTCCACGGCGTAGTCCACAGCTGAGTAGGCCCACCGGAGGAAGAAAACCTGCCACGGAGAGAGGCCACGGAGGGTCAAACGAAAGGCTGGAATAGGGGAAGGGGCGTGGACGGGCAGGGGACAGCCTCCAGAGGGGCCAAGTCAGTCCCTGGTTGCTGGAGCTTCACCCAGACAGGTAGCCTAGCCGAGGGGCCTCCTTCCTTCCGGGGGGCTTGTGAAACCCCCCCCCCCAAAATCAAAGCCCCTCGGCCTTTGGACTGGCGAGAATTCACAAGGGAAGAGGAGCCACACTTCTCCGGATTTTCGGGCTTCTCCCCTTGCTGACCCCCCCCTCCCCCCCAGAGGGCTTACAGGCGCCAGCTCGTCCGTCAGGTCCGTCAGGACAGCCTGGGAGGATAGGAAGGAGGCGTCCATCCTCAGCTGGTCCAGGAAGTCCAGCAGGGTGAAGGTGCCCTCCTCGGTGCCCGTCCAGGGCTCCTCCAGGGCCCTGTATACCACCTGCCCGGAGTTGGTGCGTCTCTCGAGGATCAGCACCTGTGAAAGGGGAACCCGAGGGGGTCAGAGCACCGAAGCCACGTCCAGCATCCCCTTCAGCGGGCACCAGAGCTTCTGCCCCTCTGGCACCTCCAGTGGCACTGCCCAACGCAGGGGAGCAGGTCCAGGGCTCTCAAAGGCTTCCTTCGGGGAGGAAGAGACCCTTCAGGCTGGCTCAGATGTCCCCCAATAACAGGGGGAGAGTCACTGCTGTCCCCCCCCCCCAGCAATGCAGGGACAGCCACCCCTCCATCTAAGACACAAACTCCTCCCCCAACGCCATGCAAGCGGGGCCCACCTGCATCCTGAATGACGCCCGGCTCTGCTTTTACTTCCCCAGAGAATGCAGAGTGATGTTGCCTGCCACACAGCTGGGGGAGGAGGAGTTTGGGGGGGGGGGCAGACCTGGAGCAGGGGGAGGGGGAGGGGGAGGAAGGGGAAGGAGGCAGGCTCACAGCACTCACAGCCGACTTGGACCGAAACCAAGCGTCCCCCTGGAGCAGAGTGCGGACAAAGTCCGGCTGGTTGTCGCCGTAGATATGGACGAACCGCAGGGTCTCCTTCGTGTTAGCCACAGCGAAGGCCAGAAAGGCCCCGTAGCCCTCCGCGTACTTCTCCCCCTCGCCCGTGGCCAGGACCACACAGTACCTGCACAAGGAAAGTGGGTGGCATCCCATGGAAGCATGAGGACTAGCTCCTTGGCAGAGGACAACCCAGGCCCTGTCTGAGCTGCCCCCCTCCCCCTCCCCCCAGGACTCTGGGCTCCGCTTTGCCAGCCACCAAGGTCTGTTCGTAGTCAGTAGTCCTCCACGCAGGCCTGGACTCCAGAGCCCATCTGCCTGGGACCAGCCATCTCAAAGCCAGACCCTCTCCAGAGGATTCTGGGAGTCCGAGTCCCGCTTCCCCTGTCTTCGGAATCTGAGGGGCTGGATGGAGGAGGACTCACTTGTGCTGACGGTGAGATTTCTTCACGGGACACAATTCCTGGAAGAGCTTCTGGCTGGTCAGGCGGGAGGCGAGGAGGAATTTGTTCTGGGACAGGAAGTCATCGATCAGCTGCTTCCTCATGTGGCGGGCCTGGGGGAGAGCCATGGGCAGAGAAGAGGATGGGCCGCCTTTGAAAAGGGAGTCCTCCACTTACAACCGTTCAAATTTACAAGGTCACCGAAAAAAGGGACTCTGGATCCTTTTTCACACTTACGACCATCACGGCATCCCCCGGGGTCAAAATCCGGACGCTTGGCAACTGACTCACATTTATGACGGTTGCCGTGTCCCACAGTCTCATGATCCCCTTTTGCGACCTTCTGGCCGGCAAAGTCAGTGGGGAAGCTGGATTCGCTTCCCAGCCGTCTGACTAACTTAACAACTGTGGCAAGAGAGGTCGGGCGATGGGGCAAAACTCACTTAACAACTTCCTTGCTGAGCAACGGAAATTATGGGCCCCACCGGTTTGAGAAGGGAAAGACCAAAACTGGGCCCCTTAAAACCTCATCTTCCTCCTCCTGATGCCCCTTTCTCCAGCTTCCCCCTCCCCAATACTCCGAGGCTCCCTGAGGTTCCAAAGCATCCCGACTTTCCCCCTTTGGATATAAGCCAACACCCCCGCAGGCCAGGCCTCCAGGCCCCCGGAAGCCCCCAAGAGAGAGGAAAGAGCCCCCAAAGCCTCGGCCTGTGCTGTGCTGTGCTGTGCCTCCCGTGGGGCTTACCTGGATGACATCAGCCGGCTTCTCAATCTGCTCCTTGAAGACCATCATGGTGGGCGTGTAGACATTGATGTTGTACTGCCGGGAAAGTTCCTCGGTGCCCCGGAGCCCCACGTACACGTAGCCGAAGGAGAGGTAGTCTCTGTACGCGAAGGCCGTGAGCTGGAAGGGAAGGGGAGTCAGCGCAGGGCATCCCCTCGTCAGGGCACCCCCTCCAGACCCACCCCCCTGGACCAGCGGAGGAGGGGAGAATCAGCTGCTCAGGGTCACCAGGCGGTGGGTGATGGGAGCACCTCCATCGTACCTGGGTACCCCAGGCTTCTGAGCGCCCCCTTTTGTCGTACTTGCAGCCCCATGGCCTCAATGGGCGAAGAAGAGGCACCCTGTTGAGCCCGGGGTGGGGATTGCAAAGCCTGGGCGCCCAGGCTCCTCCCCCACCTCATCCCGAAAGGGGGCTCTCCTCCAAGGCCTCCCCCTCCCCTCAAGGGCCGGCATTTCAGAGACTGACCTTGTAGAGGAGGGGCGCCAGGGGCATGTGGTCAAAGAGCAGGACGTGAGGCTTGTTCTCCTTCTTCCAGTTGGACAGGAACCGGACATAGTTCTTGTCCGTAATCTATAGGGGTGGGGGGAGAGGAGGCTGTCAGACCCTCCCCAGCTGCCAGCCAAAAGGGGGCCACGGAGCTGCTCAGGCCCCGTGCATGATTCAAAGGGGTTTCTCAGCTACCTTGGATTGGTGAATGAGCCCTTAGGCGCCAAACCCTGGAAATAGCTCTCTGAGCAGCCCTGGCCCTGGCTCTGAAGCTGAGTGCTGCCCACCCCGCCCCCTCAGCCCCTTACTCGTCTCCCTCCCCCCACCCCAATTAAAGAGAGAAACAGCAGAACACAGAGTAAACGTTTAAGCCAGTGCTTTTCAACTTTTTCTTCACCATGGAGCCACCTATAAAGACCTTTTCTTGACCCCGGACCCCCAAGATTAAACATTTAAATCATAACATTTCTCCAAGCCTTCGTGGACCCCCTGTGATGACATTAAGCCCCCCCTCCTGAGGGGACCACAGGCTGAGAACCACTGGCCTTCTCCTCCAGGCCCCTCCCTGTCCGTCGGGCTCCTTCCTGGAAACTGAGTGGGGAGGTGTGTGTGTGGGGAGGGGGCGTCCCAAACTGCCTGAGAGCCGCTGCTCACCTTCTCCACCAGCGCCCCAGGGAGCAGGCTCTCCACAAACTGCCGGAGGTTCTCCCGGACGACGGCGTTGTGGAAGAAGGTGACCTTCCCGTTGATCAGGCCCAGGATGGACGGGGTGCTGTGTGCTCCAAGGTGCTGGGCCAGGCGCCGCTCGTAGCCCGCGTGGATAACACCGATCCCCACACCTGGCAGGTGACGAACAGACGGACCCCTCAACATGGAAGCAAGCCGGCCAACCCAGAGGGTGCCAGCAGAGCTTCAGGCCTTCCCTGCTCAAGAGGAGCTGAAGCCTTGTGCTACGGACAGGCTAACCTCAGATGACCTCAGACCCCCCCCTCTTCCCCCCAGATCAGCCACCATCCCCCAAAAGTCAACGCCTGGCCTCTGCCTCTCGGGGCGAGCAGCTTCAACTCAACGGGCCGCTGCTGCCCAGCCCCACCCAGACGGACCCTCCCCCCACATGCGCTCCCTCCCTCCCTCCGCCTTGGGCATACCCAGTGCCTCCAGCTCCTGCACCACCTCCTTCCAGACGGGCTCGATGTGGATGCAGCTGAAGCACCAATCGGAGGTGATCTTGATCAAGTAAGGCTTCCGGAAACTCTCGGGAACGACCTCGTTGACGTAGTGGGAGAAGTGCAGCAGGTACTTCTCGTCGATGGAGTCCTGGTGGCGCTCTGAGTTGAAGGGGAAGTGGAAGAAGGACTCGTCGAAGTAGAAGCTCTCATGGAAGGGGTGTGCGTGGCGATGCGGTGCCTGCTGCTGCTGGTGCGGGAAGCCCTGGTTCTCGCCCACGTCGCCGTAACGGTCAAAATTCAACCGCTTCTCCTCGTTGGACAGGATCTGCGCAGGAAGAGCCGGTCTCTTGTCCCCTCTTCTTCTTCCAACCGGCCTTCTCCTCCCCCCACCCCCTGCAGCTGTCCCTCTCACATACATCTGCACTTTCGGACCCACAAACTGTGGCTTCCATACCTCGTAGGCTTTGCTGATTTGTATAAACCTGTCTTCCGCTCCTGGGTCTTTATTCTTGTCCGGATGCCTGGAAGGTCAAAAGATGATCAACAGGAGCTCAAGAACTGACAGCTTCACAGAGTTATGCACGGGGTGGGGGGGAGCTCTACTTTTAATCTGGTCATCTTTAATTGACCGTCATTTATAGTTAGTGAAATTTGTTTTTAAACAAAAGAGTAACAGGATGCGAGATAGTGAAAAAGGTTAAGTACTTAGGAATCTTTATTACAACGTCAAATGGGAAATTATATAAATATAATTATGAATTGTTATGGCATAAAATACAGATAGAGATGGATAAATGGAAAAAATTACAACTGTCTTTGTTGGGAAGAATAGCAGTAGTTAAAATGAATGTTCTGCCCAAGTTTTTATTTCTCTTTCAAATGATACCAATACTTAAAAAGGATGTAAATTTGGAGGAATGGCAGAAAGGCATTAATAACTTTGTTTGGGCAGGGAAGAGACCGAGTATTATATCATTTCAAGAGGAAGACACAGCTAGCAATCTAAAAATGTGTCAAATACAGCAAATGGACAATAAAAGCAAAAAGAAAAAAGAGCTACAAGAACCCTCTGGCATGTAACGAGCCGTTAAGCATCCTGATGTGCTTTTAATGGCTTGCCTATTTTCCCATGACTGGAAATTGGTCGGAGCAGAAGCCCTGAAAACCTCAATTCGTCAGGCGAGTGGTTTGGATATGAATCACTTTAATTCTCATCAGAATCAGAATCAGAATCAGGTTACTCTGAATTCGATATACTCACCACTCCCGGGCGAGTTTCTTGTAGGCTTTTTTAATATCCACCTGGCTCGCAGTCCTGCTGACGCCCAGGATCCGATACGGGTCAAAATCGACGGCCGACAAGATTTGCAAGGCCAGGACGAGGAAGAGGACCAGTACCAGGGAGAGGCTGAGCCGTTTCATCTCCATCTCCTTTCCTGCAGGGAATCTGGCCAGGAGCCTCCCTGGGGACAAGAGGAGACGTCAGGGCCTGTGGTGGGCCCTCCCAGGTCAACCACGCACCCCGTCAGAACCCGGGAAGGCAAACCACCACATTTCCGTCCCTCTTGTTTATTTGGAGACGGTTTAATTCCTGCAGCTAAAAAATATTGCTCAAGTTCTTTTTAACCACCCCAAAACAAGGCTGGTATTTTGCAGCACAACCCAGGCGGAGCCATCCAGGGGAGCAGCGCAAGAGGGATAATTTTTGCATGCCAGGCAAGGATGCCGCAGGAGGCTTCTCGGGCGTCTCATCTCCCCTGTTGGGTCCCCCACCCCTCACGGAAGGAGAAGAGCCGCCAACCCTTTAGAGGCGATCCAGGGCTCTGCTTGGAGGGGCCTCCGTGCCCGTCTTCCTTGCCTGGCTGGGCAGGGGCATGGCGTCCTCCGCAGGCCGAGGCTTGCCGGGTCTTCTGCCTCCACCCAGGGAGGGTCTTTAGCGGGGGGGGCTTTGCTGCCCGGGAGCCCCTTTTTGGGGGGGGGGGGGGGGGGTTGGGGGCCTCGGTCACATTTTCTGGGGGGGGGGCATCCAGGGACCCTCAACTCTCTTCCTCCTCCTAGGAGGGGCTAGGATGCCCGGGGGCCCTTGGCGCGCATGCGCAGAGCCTGCCCCCCCCCATCCATCGGCCCGTTCCCAGCAGGGCCCGTTCCTGGGCGGCTCCTTCCCTTGCCTGGCGCCGGGAGCAGTGCCGGTCCCTCGGGATCCCCCAAAGAGGAGGGGGCCCCACCCACCCACCACCCCACCGCCAAGGCTTCCCAGGCCCGGCGCGGCCCTCCCTCCCCCGCGGAGAAAGATGGGCTACCGCGTGCCCCTCCTCCCCCCCCGGGCCAGGCGACGACGTGATGCGCCCCCCCCACGGAGGAAAGGAGGGGGGCGAAGGGCGGCCGCGATACCCACCCTGGGCTCCTCCTGTCTCCCCGGTCCCCACTTCCGGCTCGGCGGCCTCGTCACCATAGAGACGGCGCAGCCGGCGCTGACTTCCGGCGTGGGGTTAGCCCCGCCTTCGCGCAGGGACCCTGGGAGGGAGGGAGGGAGGGAGAGGTGCGCGCATGCGCAGCAGCGGCGATTCCACCCCCACCCCCACCCCAGCCATGGAGGAAGCGGACCGGCGGCGGCTGCTTCGCTCCCGGGTGAGGCTGGTGAAGGAGCTGCGGCTGGAGCCGCTCTGGGCGCCGCTGCTGCGCCGGGGCCTCTTCACCGCCGACATGATCGAGGAGATCCAGGTACTGATGTGCGGGTGGGGGTGGGGGGGAGAGGATGGGGGGTTCCCGTGCGGCCATCTAGTCGTGCCCCCAACGCTCTCCCCCCCTTCTCTCTCTCTCTCTCTCTCTCCCTGCGCCTGCGCAGTCGGCGGGGACCCGGCGGGACCAGGCGAGGCAGCTGGTGGGCGACGTGGCGACGCGGGGCCGGAGGGCGCTGGGGGACTTCGTGCTGTGCCTGCGGGAGAGCGGCCAGGAGGCGCTGGCGGAGCTGCTGAGCGACGGACGCCGCCCGGAGGGACCCCCCGAGCAGCCCCCGAGGCACCCCGAGGCCCATCGTCCCCTGCCCGGGAAGGCCCCGCCCCACCAGCCCAGCCAGCCAGGTAAGTGAGGCAGGTCGACCCCCCCCACACCGGCTCTGTGGCTGCTTGTGGGCATCATCCCCCCCACCCCTCGCAGGTGGTCCTGGGTTTCATTGCCTCTACACAACACACACACACACACACACACCCAAGTGCCTTCCTGGGCCAGCTTCTGTGGGAGGAGGAGGAGGAAGGAAGGGCGGAAGAGGGGAAAAGTCCAGCTTTCCTGGCCTTTCGGCCGGCCGGGGAGACAGTCAAAGTCCTGCTGGGCTTTGCTTCAAGGTGCGGCTTGGCTCCAAGCGGGACTTTTGTTTTCCCCTCCGACCGTTTCCCCTTCTCTCTCTCTCTCTCTCGCCTTCTAGACCCCGTCGGAGAGAAACCCAAAATGGATTCAGAAATGGTGAGTTTGCTTCCCTTCCCCTCCCCCACCCCCAGCCGTTCCCAGGGGCTGCGTTTGACTCCTGGTGCCCACATAAAACTCCCCCGGCCAGTGGTGGGGGCTGCCTCAGGAACACCAGCAGACGGGATGGAAAGCCTGCAACTCCAGCGCTTTGCTTCTGTCCGGATGAGTGTTGGGCCGTTTCCTCCCCTGTAAAGGAGATTTCGGTTTTTCTGCCGCTCTCCTCACAGGGTGGGGACTCTTTCCAGTTTCTGGATTTTTATTTGTTTACTTCTCTTGATTGTTGAAATCGGGAGAGAATGTCATTCTGTCTCCCTGGCTGCCTTCACTTTCCCACGTGAAAAACTGAGAAGGAATTCCTTCTCCCCTCTTGAGAGAACACTCCCCAGAGTCGGAAGATGGGCTGCCTAAAATCCAAGATTTTAGGTTCCATTCGGAGGCCGCACTGGGCTAAGGGCCGGCTGGAGGTCACTTTGCAGTGGTGCCAGGCTGGTATAATTCTTGACGTGTCCTGACAGGTTTACCCTCTGAATTCTGAGCCCTGCGGCTACTGTCTCATCATCAACAACGTCCATTTCGACAAAGACACGGATTTGAAACGTCGCCTGGGCTCCGACATCGATCGCCAGAGGCTGGAAAAGAGGTTCCAGGCGCTGCATTTCGAGGTCTTGACCAAGGAAGACCTTACAGCTCAGGTGAGCATCTCAAGCTGGGGCTTGGAGGGCGCCCTCTAGAAAAAGGAAAATCGCTCATACAGAACGACAGAACTTGTCTGGGGTCCAGGTGGTCATCTAGTCTCACCCCTGGCTGCACACAAGGACCCACACTTCAGAATGTGGCTGTAGCACCCTGGGCAGCGTGCAGGGTCCATCTCCAAACTGACCTCATCCAGCGATCAGTGGTCCTTCAGAGGCAATTTATTTTTAATTTATGACTTGAGTTTTCTGTAAAACAGAAACAATATAAGAATAAAAAACCATAAAAGGGTTTGGAAAAATGGACAAAGTTAAAAGCTGTATTTCTAGAATAGCGATGAGGATATTGTTTATAAATAAACATAAAAAGATACCATATAAATAAATAGGTGATGATAATGGATCGGGAGCATCTGGCCTGCCAGTGGTGGCCTAGTCGAGACCCCTTTCAGGATCTGCTGTACAAATTCCTGTCTCAAAGGGGAAAATATTTCCCCCCTCCCCAAGATCTGGATTCAGCTTTGAAAACAGTCATAGGGCAACTGTTCCTTCTTTCCGTTGCTTGGCAGAAAGAGGCCGAAAGGAAATGGGTCTTGCTGGGTGGGCAGGCTGCTCTTGTTGCTGGGCGTCCTCAGGGTCTCTCTCTCTCTTCCCCCCACCCTCAGGAAATAGCTCAGGAGCTGCAGAGCCTGGCCGGGCGCGATCACAGCAGTCTGGACTGCTGCATGGTGGTCATTCTGTCGCACGGCTGTGAGGTAGGCAGGCGCCTAGAGCATGCTTCGTGCAGGGTGGCGGCATGCTTCCCCCACAGCATAACATCAACTCAAGATCCCACCCAGAGACCAGCGATTAATCCGTCTGGGGCAGGTGCGAGGGGGGCAGGCCTGAAGAAGCCGGGGCTTTGATACTTGAGGGGCAGCTGCTGCTTTTCTGAACTGTTAAGCCTTGCTGTGCTCCGAATAGATGTAATTCAAGTGCTGCTGCTGCCTAGAAACCAGTTTGGCTCCTTGTAAGACACACACTTTTTTTTTTTTGCAGCAGTTGTTAAGGGAACTTTGTCGTAAAAACAATGCCGCGGTCATGAACCCAACCCAGTGGCAGCCATGGGGCCCAAAGGCATGACATGATGATGGGGGAGGGGGCCAACCACTGGAACTGGGCTGTAACTCCCCTTTTTCAGGCTAGGTTGTAACTACCGCCTAAGCAACTTGCTCCTTGAGAGCTTCCCTTCCCTGGGGGGTCGCTCCTGAGGGTCTCCTGGCTCTTCCAGAGCTACCACATCCAGATTCCGGGCGCCATCATTGGGACGGACGGGCAGCGCATTCCAGTGCAGAAGGTGGTCAGCTATTTCAACGGCTCCCACTGCCCGAGTCTGAGGGGGAAGCCGAAATTGTTCCTCATCCAGGCCTGCGGAGGAGGTGAGGGGGGGGTGATCTTTGAGCCTCAGAGGGGCCACGGGGCCCAAAACATCACCTGGGAAAACAAACCTCTTTGCCTTCCCAGAGGAAAAAGACCAAGGCTTTGAAATGGAGGCCGACACACCGCCAGGCCGGCGTGAAGGAAACGCCATGGAGTCAGACGCCACCCCAATGCCGGGGCCGGGAGGAGACTCCGATGAGCTTGATGCCACGGCTAGTCTGCCCACGGACAGCGACATCTTGGTTTGCTATCCCACCTTCCCAGGTAAGGGGAAACCCTCGGCAGTCACCAGGGGAGTCCCCGTCCTGTGCCACCGATGGGCGCCACTTCAGCTTTCATGACCACCTTTCAGTTGTGAGGACGGGCGAGCTCTGACACGTGGCACTTCTGTCCCAAAGGCCACGTCTCCTGGCGGGACACCCAGAGCGGCTCCTGGTTCATCGAGGCTCTGGATCAGGTCTTGGCCGAATATGCCCACCTGGAGGACTTGCCCAGCATCCTCACAAAGGTACCTTCGTGGTCCCCCCTCTTTGCCCTTCTTCCGGGCCTCGGGCGGTGGGATCCAGGAAACGCAGCTGCTTCTTTGGCTTTTAGTCTTTCCCCCGACCCCAAACTGGGATAGCAAGTGTGGGGCGCCTTCCTCATCCTCAAGCCATGAATTCCAGCTTGCGGGGGGCAGTTCCTTCCCAGTGAGATGGGGGCCCACATGGTCTCTGCAGGAACCCATTTCTCACCCCATCCCACCCCTCTTCCTTCGCAGGTGGGAAACATCGTCGCTGCCAAAGTTGCAGGACCTTACAAGCAAATGCCGGGTCACTTCAACTTTCTCCGGAAAAAGTTTTTCTTCAAGGCATGACAAAATTTTGGCTGGTTCTTCGCCGGTCTTGGGACGTATTTCTGGAGATGTATTTTTTTCGGGGGGGGGTGGGTGAGATCTTTAAGGCCCCATTTTGCCACCTGGTGCCTGTCCAGTGCTGTGTTCCATGGGAAAGCCCCCAACAGCAGGCAGAGACCCCAGACTCCAAATGATCCCCGCCCTCCCCTATCGGCCAGCCTTTGGAGTTGCATGGGAACCTTGGCTTATGGAGTTCTAATGGAACAAATCAATGTGAATCAAGTTTCTGCTGTTTACATTTCTCTTCTTCCTCTTTTTGAGAAATCAAGATAATTACAATGAGAAGGTGCTCTTCGAAATTGTTTTTGAGCCACAAGCGTTAATCTTTTAAAAAAAAAAAAAACCCAACCCTTTAAGGTGCTCCTTTCCCTGAGAGGGAGGCCTGGTCTTGCCAGGAAACATCGGGCAGTTCTGGAGCCTCTCGTGAGCTTAGAAATGAGGGGGGAGGGGGGGCGCCCTCTGCCTTCCTTTCTCCACCCAAAATTGTCGCCTACACAATCCCATCACACACCTGAGCTGTGAAAGCATCGTACGGGGTGAGTTACCAGAGTTCATTTAGTACCATTCAAATTTACAACCGTACTGAAACAAAGGGCCGTGGAGCGATTTTTTGCACGACCGTGGCAGCCTCCCTGTGGTCACATGATCAGAATTCAGACGCTCAGCGACTGACTCATACTTGACGGTCACCGTGTCCTGGGGGTGTGTGTGTGTGTCACATGATTCCCCTTTTGTTACTTTCTGGCAAGCAAAGTCAATGGGGGAAGCTGGATTCACATAACCACCGTCTGGCTAACTTAACTGAAGTGGTTCGCTTAACAAAGGTGGCAAGGAAGGTTGTAAAATGAAGGGGGGGGGGAAACTCACTTAACAGATGTCTCAGCAACATGTATTTTGGGCTCCATTGTGGTCATAAGTCGAGGACTCCCTGTACCTGCTAGAGCTTGCCTCTTGCCTCGGTTGCCTGATGGTGGCGGATTCCTTTGCCTTTAGAGGTGCAATTGTGCAGTTTCAGTTGTGGTTAACAGGCGAGGTAAAGTCACACACAGACCGACCCGGAGATGAATGAATGGGGGGAGGGTTTTTTTTTTTTTTGAAGAAAACCCCCGGGTTTTTGGGGGGGGGGGGGGGGGGGGGGGGGGGGGAGGGCAGGAAATGCTACAAACACACAGCCCTTTGGGAGGTTAAAATGTTTATTGAGCCTTTTCCAATCTCGGTTTGCCAGGCGGCACAGCTGCCTCCTCAGTCCTGAGTCATTTTCTATGGGAGGGGAAAAGAGAAAGCAAAGGGGTTCTTGTTCACCGCTCAGCAGCTTCTTAAAATACGTGTTTTTCCTGGACAAACCCTGATGGCAGCTGCAGCATCTCCGCCCTGCGCGACGCTTCTCCAGCATTAACCAGGCACAATTCCCCCCTTGCGGAAGCAGAGCTGGAGGGGCTCCCCTCGGGGTGAGCTACGTAGCCAAACCACCCCTTCGGCAGGAGAAGGCGGGGGAGCCGATGCCTGGCTTTTCGGGGGTCTGCACAGAACCCAGCCTCAGAAGGATCAGGGCCAAGCCTATTGTTGAGGAGGCTTCCTGACCTCATGGCGATAGAATCAAACGTTGCTGGATTTCCCCAATTATCAGAAAGGATGTCTGTCCATCGCTCCGGATAGGGGGCCTCTGAGTCCGTGGGGAAAGGATCCAGGGGGGAGCCAGGACGGGGTCCCTGCCACTGCACACTCACCTCGTTGATCCAGGTGATGAAGGCGGAGACGCGGGTGAAGACGGTGGGCTTCTTGGCCGTGTTGCAGCCGAGGGCGGACCCAAAACTCACAATGCCGTGGACTTGCCAGGAGTCGCCATTGCGGCAGTTCAGGGGCCCCCCGGAGTCACCCTGAGGACAGAGGAGGGCAGGCCGGTTGCAGGGACGGGAGAGCGGCAACCCTCCAGAGGCAGGCTGGGTGGCTATGTCCCCGTCCTTGTAACTACTGATTGTGAGAAACCGGATTGCACTGGGTTGGATCCCAGCTTTCTGCCAATCCAGTCACGAAGCCCTGTGGGTTCATGCAGGATTAGAACCCAGACCGTTGTGGCTGATCATGAGTTCAGCTAACCACAGTTTGGCCTTCGGCAGCTCCCATTTGTCGTCCAGGAGAAGCAAACCTACATTGCAGCCCGAAATGACACCGTCTCCCCCCGCGCAGACCATGCTGGGCTTGACCATGGAGCCCCACCAGTCCTTCTGGGTGCAGGTGGCGTGGTCGACCACGGGCAGGAAGCCCTGCTGAAGGGTGTCCGCGATGGGCCCGTTGGCTGCAAGCGAGGAAGAGGGGGAGGGGGTGTTAGGAGCCCAGGTTGCCCACCTTTGGGGCTACTCCTCCCCACTTTGGGGGGGGGCAGCCGGTGACTTACTCCAGAGACGGCCCCACCCGGTGACGTAGCAGGGGAAGCCCTGGGGCAGCAGAGACTCCGGGGAGGGCAGGCAGGAGGGCTGGATGGTGTCGCTGAACTGGACCGGCTCCGCCAGCTTCAACAGGGCGATGTCGTTGCTGCAAGAGGAACAGCAGTGTTGGGGGGGGGGGTGAGGCAGGAGGGCACCCCGGGAAGGAGAGGGTGAAGCAACCCCCCCCCCACGGTCATCTGGGCCATGGCCGTCCCCTCCTCGGCCAGCCCTCCAGAGAGACCTACATAATGAAGAGTGAGTTCCACTTCTCGTGGACGATGGCCTTCTCCACTGCCACGGCCACCTCCCCAGCCTCGGCCGCTTTCAGGTTCTGCTTGCCCAGCAGCACTCGGTAGGTCCGCTTGGAGCTGTGGGGACAGGGGCAGGGGAAGGGGAAGGGGGAGGGGGGGCAAGAGTCCCTTGAGAAAGCTGGCAGTGGGGTGGGCAGTCCCTCTCCTCTCCCCACAAAAAACACACGGGGGGGGGGGTTGTTCAGTGCCCTTCCAAAGACACCGCAGGGGTGTTTTGGGAGACGAGGTTGTGGCTTCGCTTGCTAAATCCAAGGAGAAGAAAAGCCTCTTTCTCACAAATTCCGCCTCCCCCTCAGAGCCCCTTGGAGGGACGCAGGGGGTACCTGATGCAGTGAGCCGCCGTTAGCACCCAGTTGGCGTCAATGAGGGTCCCGCCGCAAGTGTGAGCCCAAACTCCTTTCTTGTCATACTGGAGGGAGACCTGGAAGCAAAATGGGCCCAACTATTACCTTCAAAACCCTCAAAATTTCCCTTCCCTCCAACCTGGATTTTGCCCTGCGCCTCAAACCCCTGAAGAAACAGGCAAGAACCCCCCTTTCACAAAGATCTCCTCTTCCCCCTTCCAGTGGCAAGGAGTCCCCCAGAGCAACACCGGCAGTCAGCCATCATTCTGCCCTTCCAGACTGTGGCAAGCAAGGATCCCCCCCAAGCACCCCTTACCTGCCAGGGCCAGCTGTGGGGCCAGACATCTTCGCCCCCAACCACACGCGAAATGTTGGGCCCGTAGGTGGGGTGGCCACAGCCGTAGGCTGAGAAAAGCACAGAGGAGGAGAGCGAAGGAAGGAAAGGAGGCCTCTCAGCGACTGATGTCAATAACACACGAGCCCTCTCGACAGCTTTCTTCTTCTAAAGTCTGGCCCCCACAAACGGGGGAAACTGAGGCACTTCCAAGGGGAAAATGTCGCCTTTTGAAAGTGCATCAGTGCAAGAAGGGGTGACCAGATTCTCTTTGCATTAAATAGCCAGAGAAACTGACTAGTCCCTTCACTGAGCAGTTCCAGGCAAGGCTAGCCCTAGCCCTAGCCCTAACCCTCTGTTCCCAGAGGGGAGGCAGGGCAGGGCTCCCTCCCCACAACCACTTACCATGAGCCACGAGCAGGAGGGCACAGAGCAGCTTGAACATGGTGGCAGCCGCTGAAGTGGGCTTTGTGGGAAGCCCCTCCCGTATTTATAGCCAGCTGCAGCTGAGCATCCTTGGAGTCCCGACCAGGTGTGATCGCCAGGCCTCTTTGATCTTGCCAGGTTATCGCTGGGTCGATAAAGGAGGAAGGCTGCCCCTTGGCAGGGATCGCAGTCATCGTCCGCTCACGGGGGAGGCAGAGCGGCTCTTTCTGCACCCCCCCATAATCATCTTGGGCCCCCCTCCCACACTCCCGTCAGGAACCTGGCTTGGCTGTGGGTGGTGCTGCCCAGAGAAAGCCATCCCGGCCTTGGTACTAGGGAGCCAGACCAGTGCTGGTGATGCCAGCTCCTCGGGGGCCCCAAGGGCAACTCCTGGCCTCAACGGGTATGGCCGGAGGCCCTCTGGGTAATGGGGGTGTGTGTGCCCTGGCTCAGCAGTCCCAGCCATGGGAGAAGCAGCAGCTGCCTCATGCAGCCTGGCACGGCCGATGGAAACCTCCCTTTCGCGCGTCCTTCCTCACCTGTCCGCTTCCCATGGGGGAACAGGAGGCACCCCGTGGCTTGTGGGATAAACCACAATCAAACCTTTATAGGACCTGGCCGGAAGAAGCCCGCACACCAAGCCCAGAACCATGGAAATCAATGTCTTTGTCGCCTGATTCACACAACCTCAGCAAGTCCTCACTTTGGCTTTTTTCTTTGGCTTCTGGCTTGCCCAGGAATGGCCTCCATCCTGAGGAGGCTAAGCAATGCCATCTGGCCTTCTCGGGGGTGGGGGGGAAAGCTGCTGCCTCCACTTGGGGTGGGGTCTGAATCTGACCGACTGGCCCATTTGGCCGGCTCCGTCCTACCCACCCCACCCCCTCCTCTGCAGCAGACCAGAGAGGTTGCTCGAGTCAGTAAGCCCAGCCACAGGAATGGCCCAGAGGCATCAGCCGCACTTCCTGATTGAATTCCTCCCCCCACCCCCACCGCCACAAGAGAGAGAATCCGGATACCACCATGAGCTTTATGAAATATAGTTCTGTTTTAATTATATTTGGGTAAAAAAAATAAAACCATACCACTGAAATGGAGCAGCTTCTGAACCCGAAAAAGGCCGCCGCCTCCCAACCCGCAGACCTTGTGGCTTCCAGGGCAGGCGGAGCACAAACCCTCCCGCGGCCCCAGGAAGGAGCCAGCCAGCCTTCAGGGGCCCAAAAGCACAAATTCAGCACAGAAGCAAGCAAGCAAGCACGGAGAGAAGGGGGGGGCGGTGTGTGTGTGGAAGGAGCCCCCCCCTCCCACAACTACAGCTAGACGGGGCTCTGCAAAGTACTGAGCCAGGTCTGCCTGGATTGTGGCTTGTTGAACAAGCTAGCATCAGAGTAGTTCACGCCTCACACCGCCTTCTTAACCATGTTCTGGCTCAGACGCTGCTATTAAGCCATGTTTCAGTGGGCTGTGGGGGTTTTTTTGGCCATCCATGGCAGAGCTCACACAGCTGGCTAAGGGGGCCCACCTAGGAAAGAGACCCCCTTGTGGGCAAGTGGCCCCACTGGAGGCCCCTTCTATGCTCCAGTCAGCCTAACCCTCCGGCCGTCTGGGGCAGTGGAAAAGGAGCTGGGTCCCCAACTGCCCCATGTGAATGTCTTCCTCGGCTGTGGGTTGGATTAGATGACCTCTAGGTGCCACTCCCACCTGGGGGATTTTGACACAGTCCCATCCCTCCCCGACCGGTGGAGCTCCCGGGGCTGGAGGGTTCACCGCTTCAAACGGACCCGGGGCCCCACCTGCCCCAAATCTCTCGGGAGGGCCTGATTCCGGCACCTCTCCTCTCCTTCTGTTCCTGCCACCAGAACACTTCTACACAACAACACAATTCCAGAACTTGGAAATTATTGTCTGGACATAAACACACACACACAGAAACACACGCACAGACACACAAACTATAAACTGACCCTGTCCCGCAGACGTGCCAGACTCCAGCTCCCATTATCCCCTGCCTGTCAGAGAACAGCCGGGGACGCCCCCTAAACGTTTTGCTGAGTCTAAACTCCAAAGCCAGGGTGGGAAAGGAGAGTGACGGGGGCCCTGAGGGAAAGTGGTATAAAGGGCTCCCTCAAAGGAGACCCCCCCCAGCGCCCCCACCTGCCCACTTGGCTGGGGACCCCCAGGAGCTGGAGCCCCCAGTCCGAGCACATCTATACAGCCGAGGCAACGCACACAAAGACAGCATTTCGGCACAAGCAGCCGGGGGTGGTGGGGGGAGTGGGGAGACCTCCACCCCGCCTTTAACAGCAAGCCACATCCATGCACCACAACCCCAGGGGGAGAATGGAACGATTCACACATCGAGTCCGCAAACCTGGGACCAGGAGACACGGAGAACCACGAGACCGACGGACGGGAGACGAAACGCCGCGAAGGAAACACCGAACGGCTGGCTCGGGGGAAGGGGGGTGCAAATCAGGCCCAAATGGGTCTGGGGGCTCCAAGGTCTGCCTTCTTCGCCCACCAACCACGCTGGGTCGCCAGCTGACTGGGACCCCTCGGGCTCCTGCGCCTCTAGCAGCCACCTGACCCGCAAACACCGGCTGCGGTGAGGGGGGCGGATGGGTGTGGCGGGGGGATGGGCTGTGTCCGGTGGGGGGCTCGGGGAGGGGTGCTGGCTACTGCCTGAAGGTGGACTGCAGCTCCTTGAAGGCCTCCTTCCGCTGCTTCAGCTCCTCTGCCTGGCGCCGCTTCTCCTCCTGCTCTGCCTTGATCTCCTCTTCGAAGCGGCTACCCACGTTCATCGCCTGCACCTGCGGGGACGGGGCGGCCAAGGAGGGCGGGGGGTGGGTGGGTTTATTTATGTTTAGCCCTCCTTTATTCTTCTTATAAATAACTCAAGGGGGTGATCCTCTCCCTCCCTCCCTCCCCCCTTTTTTTCCCACAACAATGTCCCCATGAGGTGGGCCAAGAAAGTGGGGGGCCAAAGCCGCCCAGCTGGTTTCCAGGCTCAACTGTGCAAGTGAACCTGCTCCCCTTGACCCCCCCGCCCCCCCCGAGGCTGCCCTCTTCCCTGCTTACTTTGGCCTCGAAAAAGCTCTTGGCCCCCTTGACGCCCTGGGTGGAGACGTCGATTTCCGAGAGGCAGGCCAGGGCGTGTAGGCCACTGTCTTCCTCCAGCTCCCCGGCGGCCGCTTTGCGGAAGATGAGAAGGAACTGTGGTGATGGTGGGAGGGGGGAAAGGGTTGGAAACAGACCGGAGCTTCCGCCAGATTCTGCCCCAGCCCTTGTTTAAGCTGGGGGGGGGGGGAAGGACTCTCACCTCCCGAAAACTGAGCTTGCTGTCCACATCTTCATCCACTTCCTTGATCATGTTCTTCAAGCCCAGGTGCGTCTGGGGAGCCCCCAGTTTCTCCATCATCAGTTTCAGCTCCATCAGGTCGATGAAGCCGTCTTTGCCCGCGTCGTACCTGGGGACGGAAACCGGAGCGGAGGGCCCGTTAGCCAGCTCCCCCCCCCCCCCCCCCCCAGATTCCCCGGCCAGCTGATCTCCCAGGGAGACCCAGATCCCTCTTGCAGGGGCTCTGGATGGATCCGCTGCTGAGGGTGGCATGGTTTGTTCCAAGGGCCACCTTCCGCACCGAGGCTGCCAGTTGCTCCCCTCACGTGCACACACACACACACACACACGCCCTAGAGAATGGCCTGCTTCCGTCAAGAGCCTGGACTCTCCAGCACGGGAGGCCTAAAACCACTGGAACTCTCCAGCCTAGGGGCTCCCAACTTCTCTGAGACTTTTTGGCGAACGTGGCCTTCGTGTGGGTTTCTTTCCCCCCCCACCTTTATTCCTGGATAAACAATGCGGGCTTCGTTCGCCTGTCGCTTGGTGGCATTTTTGGGCTGCTTTTATGGGCCCAAAGGAGCGCAGGGAAAGGAGTGCTTCTGGTTGTGCGGCTTTTCCTCTCCAAGAGCTGCCCGGCTGCCACCCAGCTGGTTCAGGAGGCCACAGCTGGCAGGAGCGAGGCTGGCAGAAGACATTCCTGCATGCCCCTCGCCCACCTCCCCTTCTCCTGGGCAGGGAAATTCCCAAAGCAGAATTTCCTTCAGGAAGGACAGTGTTGCCTCTGCCGGAATAAACAAGCATTTCTCTTGCTGGACCACTGTGCCTGCTGGCGGAGGGATCCAGTCTGAGCAGAGGTGGGGGCCCCAAAGGAGCAGAGTGGCAGAAGTTGCCCATGGGGGGCAGCTGGAAGGACCGGCTGGAAGCAGCTGCGCACTAGAGAGAAGGCAACCCGAGAGGCTTGGTGCTTTCCTTGCAGATGTTATATGACCCAAACCAGGTAATATTACCAGTGGCACTAATGGTGTTACGAGACGTCTGCAAGGAAACCACCAAACTCAGAGAGCACCAAGGACAAGAAAGAAGAAGGAAGGAAGGAAGGAAGGAAGGAAGGAAGGAAGGAAGGAAGGAAGGAAGGAAGGGGAGAGAGAGGGGGGGGAGGCTTAAAGCTAGCTTTGAGGGGCCGGGTCTCACAATGGGACCATTATTAGAACTATAAGGGTGTCATTCTAATAATCTACAGATTATTATAACAGCTTGGTAATGTTGGCTGGGCTTCCCTTCTGTTCCCCCATCATCTGTGCACTGGGGCCTGTCCAGGTGTGATCTGCCACCCGCACCCTTTCCGTTTAGTGCAGAACTGGGCGGGCGTCTAACTGGTTAGATGTGGGGTGCCAGGAACAGGTCATGAGGTGGGCCAGTAAGATGCCTATCAAGAACCGGGAGGGGCTTCGGGTTCCCAGGTGATCTGGGAGGGAGGCAACCTGGAAGCCAGGAAAGGGTGGGGGTGGGGCTGCAAGTGACCCGGGTTTCTCCCCACCTTTTCTCTACCGGAGGAGTCAGAAACTACAGCATGGCCTTTGGACGCCAGGTTTCCCCCTTTTTCCCCACTCAGGGAGCTGATGAAACGCTTCATAACTGTGTGATAGTGCACAAACAACCCTTGTCGAGAATGCAACACACGTCTGCTTTGCTGGAAATGGAGAGAGCTAGGCCAGCCAATTTTAAAACCCCACTTCCCCTCCTTGCTGCCCCAGCCCAGCACCTACAGGTCAGGCAGCCCCACCGGTCAGTTTCAGCCCCTTCTGCACCCAGCCCCAAAAGAAACATCCCCAAAGTTCCAGTATTCAGGAAGACTATCCCGAACAGTGAGGCTCCACTAAACCTCAGAGTCATTATAGCCTAAATTTCTTGGCAAACCAGCCCATAAAACAACAGCAGCAGCAACCACCACAAGCCAAGTCCCTGGCAGCCTTGAATGAAAAACAGGCTGCTGCATTTCCACCTGGCACAACCTGCTCTCCTTGATCTGCCTTGCCAGCCCCACAAGCAGAAGGCGGGGAGCTGCGGAGCACCTGGAAAGGGGGGGTGGGCACACACCAAAATCCCTCCTACCAGAAGCAGATCGCAGGCTGGAATCCCAGCCTCCCCCTCCCACCAATTCACAAACGATGCCCTGCCGAAACCTGGGGGGTGGGGGTGGGGGGGACCCGGCTTTTCGGATCCGCGTTTCTCTTTGGGACCAGGCTCCAGACTGGGTAGCCTTGGCCTTTTCCGCTACTTTGGACTCCAAGTCCCATCGCCTTCACCAAAGCCAGGGCGGCCTGCAACCCCGTCGCCGGGTCCTCTGCACGTGCCCAGAGGATGCTTTCCCCAGGATGCGAGCGGAGGCGGCCTCCCTCGCATCTGCCCGCCGCCCCCTCCTCCCTCTCTCTCTGCGTCGCTCCGGGTTTAAAGAAAAGCCCCCAACTCTTCCTCCCACCCACCCACCTCCCGCGCCGAGCAGGGCATCCCCCAGCCAGCTTTTCGGCAGGGCGCAAGAGAAGCGGGGAGGGGGGCGAGCAGGGGGCCTTCCTCTGCAGCCCCCCCTTCCGAAAAGACCCCGCGAAGCCCCCCGCCACTCACTGGCGGAAGAGGCGCTCCATGTCCTTGATCTGCCGGCGGGAGAACTCGCGGAACTCGCCGTAGGGGCTGAAGACGCGGTGGGCGCCGCCCGGCGAGAGCTGGCCGGCCGGGGGGGCTCGGGGGCCCGGCGACCCCTCCGCCTCGCCCTCCTCCTCCTCCTCGGGGGCCCCCTCCACGCGCAGGCGGCGGCTCAGCTTGCCGGCCAGCTCCTCCGTGGCCATCCTGGCGGCAGCAGCGCTGGCAGCCAGCGCGCCTCCCCTCCGCCGGCCAGCCGAGCCCGGCTCCGCCCCGACGGCCACGGGAAAGTGAGGGGGGGTGGGGGAAAGAGACGGGCGGCCGGGTGGCGGCCCCCGAGGGGCAGAACCACAGCTCCCATCATCCCGCGCCCCGGCCGCGGGCTGCTGGGAGTCGTAGTTCGCGCCGGCCCCCTCCCCAGCCTTGCGCACACCGCGGCCCCGCCGCTCCCCCGCCCGCCCTGCTCCGAAGCGAGAGGACCCTGGAGCGGAGAACTTCCTCTCTCATCATCCTGGCCCCGGAGAGGAGGCGAGCGCAGGTGCCCCCCCCCCAATTTAGGCAGGACCTGGAGATACACGCATCAGCGTAGCCCAAACCCCAGCAGACCCAACACGGGGGCAAATCCCCCTTCTCCCGGCAAGAGAGCCCCCCACTCTGCCCTTCTCCCTCTCTCTCCCGACACCCCACTCCAGGGAACTCCGGGGGGCTGCTCTCCCCACAAAAGCAGCCATTGTCCCTCCGTCCCCCCCCCCGCGGAGGACCCACAACACCGCCAAGGCAGTGCCAATGGCCCCCGTGGGGAGCCCAGCCGTTGGGGGCTTTCGGGGACCAGGAGGGAGGGAAGGAGGGGGGGCTCCGCGGGGTGGGGGCAGGGACCACAAGTAACACTTCCCAGCCGTTGCTAACTTGGAGGGAAGGAAGCGCCAAAGGGGGTGAAAAGACCACCGAAAGCAAATGAGGCAGAAAAACGGAAGCCTCTTTCCGAGAGCATCTCTGTCCCTCTGCGCCAACCTGGAGGGGAAGATTGTGGTTCCCCGAGGAGGGCCAGGCCCCGTTTGGGGTGAGGGTCTGGGGCGTGGGCTGCAGATTCAGCTGCAGAGACCCTCCTGGCTGCAGGGCCAATCGCTGCCTTTCCTTCCAAAAAGGGTTCAAGGAGAACATCAGTGGAGGTTGAGAACCAACCCATGCAGGAGGGGGGGCACAGGGGGACCCTCCGATAAGCACCTGCCCGCTTTCCTGCCAGCCTGAGTGTGTCCCATCACCTCACAAGAACAACACACACAACAGGCGGCACCTTTAACCAGAGCACAAAGACAGGTACTGGGTGGGATATTGAAAGGAAAAACTTGGGCAGAGATGCAAAACTGGCAGGGATTCTTTCTTTTTTTCTCCAGTCAGGGAGCCCCTTCCTCCTCTTCCTCCCAGGACCCCTTGAGATGGTTTCTGCCTCTCCCAGAGCATCGCCTGCCTGGGCCTCTGCCCAGAGGGGTGAACGTGGGTGGCTTTGGATGGGGCTGGGGGATGCTGCCCTTGCCTCTGGGTAGCTCCCAGGCATTTGGGGTCCTCCTGCCTTTCCACCTCTGCTTACATCCCAAGGGAAGGCCTGGGGAGCCCCTGCCCCTCGGCTGGCTGCCTTCATGATGAAGGGCGAAGGCTCCTGCTGGGCCCCCACGGTCCTCCTGGGGGAAATTTGGGGCCTTGCCTCCCCCACGGAGGAGCTGCTGGGCGTTGGGGAAGGATCAGGGAGGGAAGGCGGGGTGGGGGTGGGGGGCTTGGCTGTGGGCTCTAACCCATCCCAGGCCTGACCTTGCCAGGGGCATCTTGGGGAGGAAATAAGGCAATTATCCCAGTTGGCTCTGAAGAGCGGGGGGGGGGGGGGGGGGGGGGGGGGCTTCCTACACAGACATCCGCACCCGGTTCCCCAGCAATCATGTCAAGCTTAGATCTGCACCCACACAGATCCCTGAGACAGATGGAGGTGACAACCAGGGCAGGCAGCGGCTGCTGCAAAGCTTTCGTAGAACGGGCGCAATCGAGGGGAGACAAGATCAGAATCCCGGCTGCCCCCCCACCCTCCCTTTTCCCTGCTTCGGGCTGGTGGTAGCTATGTCGACAGCCCCATGGGGCGCTTCAGGAAACAGAATCCTGGCTGCCACCCCATCGGCACCTCCCTTTGGGCAGGGAGAAAGGCCCTCCGTGGCACAGTGGGGTGCCAGGCAAGAGGAGGGCGATCCTCTCCCCCCCCCCCCCATGTCCAGCAAAGGAGGCCGCACGGGAGGGGGGTGTCAGTGGGAGAAGCTGGCCAGAGATGCTCCCGGGGAAGGTCAGCTTCCTGCCAGGCTAGAGCGGGTGAAGTGGGTGCACAGCTATTTCGGGAAGGGGGGGGGATGGCGAGAGCAGAGCCTCCAACACAGATGGTCGGTTGCTGCTGCTGCTGCTGCTGAGCGCTCCCGGCTCAGAGGCTGCCCTGTCCTCGAATGACCCCCGTGGATGCTGCAGAACAAGGATGCCACGGAACGGCCACAGAAAGAGGCGGGCGGGGGAGGCCGGCACCTTCAGCGTGTCCTTCTCCCAAAGGCTCCATCAGGAGGGACCTGGGCCGGCCTGAAGCACAAACCTTTTCATTCCAGGGAGGGGATCTGATGGCTCTTTGGGGGAAAAGGGGCTTTAATGGATCCATTGGGCAGAACCAACGTTAATCTTAACTGAGGGGCGGGCAGGGGGGGGGGGGGGGTCAAGTCCCAGAAGGCAGGACAAGAAGCCACGGATGGAAACCCCTCCAGGAGAGAAGCCGCTTTAGAACTCGGGGAAGGGTTTCCTGAACAAGCGACCGGTGGAAGTTGTGGGCCCTCCATCGCTGGAGGTTTCCAAAAAGAGATGGGAGAGATGCTTGTCCAGACTGGTCTAGACTCTAGGGCCGTGATGGTGGTAGACAGAGGTGGTATGCAGAGCCCTCTCTGTGGGGCACGTGTGCCGTCGCCAGCTGCTCTTATGGCTTCCGGCGCAGGCATGTGCGCCAGCCAGCGGATCTTCGCGTGCGCCCGGAGCCCCAGAAACCCAAAGTCCAGCTGGCTGGTGCGCAGGTCCAGGTTTCCGGGGCTCTGGTGCGCACACACGCGCACATTCCGGTTTGGGCACTCGGTGCCCAAAAGTTTCGCCCTCCCTGGTCTAGGGTTTCCTGCTTGAGGGGGCCGGGGCTAGAAGAAGTCCAACGTCCCTTCCAACTCTGTTATTCTGCTCATCACTGCTATTGGGCACCTGCTTTTTAAAAAACTTATTTTAACATTTTTTAACTTAAACTTTTAACAATTTATTTGCAAACTCACACGTGTTTTTTGAGGGGCTAAATGAGAGGGGGAAAAATATTATAAATACTTGAAACCATCCTAATTAGCACCAGAGTCAGATAAAATAATGGTGTAATTTTGCTAGGAGAAGCCTGGAGGGTGGGCCTTTTTTAAGAGTGCCCCCCCCCCCCTGCAGCCTGAAACAACCCCGAGGCCTAAGGAGAGGTCTCTTCACATGCTCCGAAACCGGAAACGTCCCCCTCTGGAAAACCCAATGTCCCTCCCCAGGCACGGTGTGTAAAATGCCGTTTTGCAGGAAAGTTTCACCTGTTTCAAATAAAATCCTTTGCAAAGGGCATCACCCAGCAAATTTATGGAAACACTGTGTTCATATGTTCAAGCAGACAGTAAGGTAGTTGTTTATTATACGCAGCTACCAAAAGTGCAGGATAAAAGAGGCTTGTTGACAGTTTCTCAAAAATCTAAAACTCAAACATAAAACTTGTGAAAAACACCCCCTTCCTAAGAAACTAAGAAAATCCAAAACTTGTTTACAATAAATCCACATTGATTCTTCTTCCTGGGTCATTTCCTATTTTAGTATTAATAGTTTTACTATTTAGCCTAAAGGCCTCCTGAGCACATTTGATTTCTATCAGTGAAACTGAAAAATAAGTATGTGGTGGTGGGGGGAAACCCCCATTTCTCTTACCTTTGGAAGCTGGCTGGCTGGCTGGCTGGCTGGCTGGCTGGCTGGCTGGCTGGCACATTTGGGACGGAAAGCACCGGCTGACGTGCCCAGGCCAAGAAGGGCCGTTTTAGCCACGGATCCCGAGACTTTTGTTTGCAGCTGGGGGGGGGGGGGGGGGGGAGTGTCCTTGAAGGGAAAAGCTAAGAAAACAACACTTGGCTGAGATTTTTTTTAAAGTGAATGCTGTAGAAGTGGGGAAAGAGAAGAGGGAGGGGGGAAAGCAGGAAAGAGGAAGGAAAAAAGGATCAATTCCATGACAGGGCCTGTTTCCTTTTTTTTTTCTTTCTTAAATAAAGATATTTGTGGGTGCTCGCATTTTGCCCCCGAACGAAAAACTGGGATCTTTATCAGAAGAGGCTCCTGTTCTGTCTTTCCCGTGGAGTGGAGTGGAGAGAGAGGCCTCTGCGGAGCCTTTCCAGAAGCTGCGTCCTCGTGGGCAGTGTGACAGCCTGGGTCCCAAACACCCACTTGCAAGCGCAAGAGCCACAGTGCAACTTGAGGTGTGAATTCTGCCACCCGGAAAAGGTGCCCCTTTACTTCGGCATTCTTTCGTGGAAGAGGCAGAGCGGCGCTGCCAGCCATGGCCCGCTTTCCAGGAATGAGGCAGCCCTCTGGGCAAAGGTGCCAGGAAGGTCCATCTCCTGGGACAGGTTTTGCAGAGGTTCCTTCTCTGCCTCCCGATGGTTGGCTGGCTGGCTGGCCGGATGGAGACACGGGAGAACTGGCTGGCTGACCGGCCCTTTTGCCCGAATCAGGTTTGCCTTGGGCTGGAGAGGGCAGCCGCGGCAGCAGGGCTTGGGTGGGCATGCTGTGGGCCTTGGCCTCCTTCCCAACCAACCTCAGGCGTTTCCAGAGGGACCCACAGAGTCAGAATGACAGGCAGGCCCTCTGGGGGATGCTGGGACGGGTTGCAGCAGGCAGAGCCTTCTTTTCACTTGCTTGGCCTGGGTTGCCCACCGACCCGCACTACCTTCTCCTTCACAGCGGGCACAATCCCCCTGGATCTTCTCCTGCCATCGGCCTCAAGTCCGCTGGAGAGGTGGCCTCTGCGCTAGCTGGGTCCTGGTTTCCTTGGGAATCCGCGTCTGAACCGAGCTCGGCCATCCTGGCGCTCCCAGATGTCAGCTTTCACCCCATTTTAGGAACAAAGGCAGCCCCTTCCCCCTCCCAAGTGTCCAGGTGAGGGTTGAGCAGACCTTGGTTCATCCCAAAAAGCCAAACTTAGCAGGGGGATGTTGCTTCGGCCTGGAAGTCAAAAAAACGTTCTAGAAGTCTGTTCTTTCACCCAGAAAAACCTCACGGAAGTCCCTGTGAAATGCCATCGCCTGCCCCCAACTCGGCTATCATGTTACCCCCAAAGTCCCCATAAAACGGCCCCCGAGCCCCACTTGCTCATTGCGGATTAGGGTCCCATAGCCCCCTCCCCATGGGACTGAGCCCCTACTCGGCTGAAGCCCACCCCTCTTTCCCCAAAGATGCCAGCCTGACACGGGTAGCAGGGCGACAGAGCCTTTTATCCATCCTTGGCACTTTTGGTGCTTTTCTCACAATCGAAGCATGGCGTCTCCAGAGGGGCCACTGGCTGCCTGGACGAGGCGCCCACGTAGTTACAAAATACATCATTTTTCCACCGTTTTCTCCTATTTACAGCGGCAGGACCGTTCCTACCCCGCAGTGCTCCAGAAAGGGGGCTGCCTAGGCCCAGCCGCTGCAAGGCACTCGGGGTCTGCAGGCCTCCCTCGGCCCTTCGGCTGCCTTCGGGCTTTCGGAGGGCGGCTTCCTTGGGGCCGGCGTCTACAAAAGGCAGGAAGGGAGGGGAGGCGCGTGAGGAAAGGCAGGACGGCACAGGCCTTTTGACCGACGACGAGTTGGCGTTGGCAACCGTTTGTTCCCACGTCCTGCCTGAGGGTTGGAGGAGGTCTCCCTGCCCCCTGGCCTCGAGGGCCCAGGGGTGCCCTCCCTCCTCTCTCTGCCCTCTCCCCAAGCCTGAGCTGGAGGTCCTTATTCAGGGTGGTGGGTGGGGAGGATGGCGTCACAAGTCCCCCTGATGGTCCAAACCAAACTGCCTGCCTGCCCACCTCCCTGTGCTGCGGCTTGCACAGCGCATGTTCCTGGGCCCAGGCACAGGGTGCTGCGTGTGTCTCAGCCACAGAGGGCCTCGGGTGCCCCCCGAGAAGTGAAGCCCCGGGCCAAGCAGCTCTGGAGTGTCAACTACTTGGATGGGGATGGGGGTGTCAACTTGCAAAGCTTAATTAATTAATTAATTAGGGCATCTTTTGGAAACTTGACAAGAGGGCTCTTTTGCCTCCAATTTTGGATGGTGAGTTTGGGGAGGGCCATCCGCTGGCATCTTGTACCCCTGCCCACCCGGCCTCCCCACCTGGCACCTCAGATCTCGAGATTCATCCCACAACAGCTGCCGCCTTTCAGGTTTGATGCCCACGACCCCTCAACCCCTCTGCCCAGTCCTTCCCAGGGGGAGACTGGCACGACACTGGCACACAGCCCCCGTCAGACGCCACAGGCCCGGTTTATTGTCGCCTCCTCCAGTCCCGGGCGGCCCCTACTACCTTGGGCTTCTTGAGGGCCTTGTTCAGCCTCTTCTCCTTGCTCAGCTGCAGCCGTGTCCTCTCCAGCGCCTCCTTCAGCAGCGCCTTCTCCTCCGCGTCCCGGTACACCTGGTCAGCCAGCTTGGCCACCTCCGACTGGTAGGCCTGCAGGCTGTGCCTGTTGCTCCTGCGTGGGGCCAAGGGGAGGGGGGTGCGCTCTGAGCTCCTCCCTAGAAAACTGGCCTTATTTAGGGGAGACACTCCCCCCCCGCCTTCCCCCAAGCTCTATGCTCCTGGTCCCTGCTAGCAGACCGCCCCCCGCCTCCTTCCCTCCCTCTCCTTCCAGGGCCGGTACCTGAAGGGCCCGGAGTCCCCCTCGTACTCCTTCAGCAGGGACTCCTTCCTCTCCAGGCGGCTCTTCAGCTTGCTGATCCTGTCCAGCAGCAGCTCCAGGTTCTTCTGGCGCAGCAGGCTCACCTTCTCCCGCTCGGCCTGGGACAGGTGCTTGAGAGTCCGCAAGCCCATCAGCTGCTCTACGTCCATCAGGCTGGAGAGGCCCCGGACAAGGCTGAGGTACTGGGGTGGGGGGAGGAGGATGCGGTGAGTCCTCTGAAGGGCCTGCCCAACGCACGGAACCGAGGCCTGCAGACACTGGGAAGGCCCACACTGGCAGCTCCCCTCCTTCCCTACCAGGTTCTCGCTGAGGTCCAGCGCATCCGCCATCTCCAGCCTGGCGGTCCTCTCAGTGGCCACGTTGGGGTCGATGCAGGAGGGCCCAGCTGGAGGCTCCAAGGAAGGAAAGACACAGAGAGCTCCTGAAGCACGGCCTGCAGGCACTTGCACCTGGAGCCTGCTTGGCACCTCTGCCCTGCCCGTCTCTTAAAAGGAGCCAAGCCCCACGATGCCCCCGAGAGCTCGGATTACCTGGTGGGCACCCATTGCTGCCGTCAGCACCGCCACAGGGTCCTTCTCCCTCGCCTGCTCTCGCTTCTCTTCCGGCCCTTTCCGCACAACCAGAAGCGGCTCTGAGTTTTTTGCGTCTACAGAAGGGAAGACGTGGCCACGTTGAAGGCAAGGCAAGCTTTGAGTGAAGGGGAGAGCCAGGCCGAGGCCTTGCCGCCACCTTTCTCAGAGTCCCACTGCCATGTCTGAATGGGACGGCACTTCGGGGGTCAGGGCTGGCATTTGCCGAGCTCTCAAATTCTTAGCTTTTGAAAATGACCGATCCATTCAGACCAGAAGTACACAAGGAAGCGTAAACCGGGAGCCTGGACGCTGGAGGCCAAGCAGCCGCCAAGACCAAGGGATTTCCATTGGTGGGAAGGGTCCTGCACCCTTGTACTGTTCTGGGCGCACCCCTGAAAGCACTTGGTGTGAGGATGCCCCCCCCCCAAAAGCAGACTCCATACTGCAATAGTTAATGTGAGCAAGGAGAAAAATTAACTTAGACCAGGGGTCTCCAAACGTGGCCACTTTAAGACTAAGCTGGCTGAGGAATTCTGGGAGCTGAAGTCTTCCAAGGGGCCAAGAGCCCCCGTTTATAGACCTAAAGGCAGCTCCTGCCTGCTTGTGTTCTAGCGTGCCGTCCAGGGCACCCCACCCAAAAGACGACCTCGGCCGTATCTCAAAACAGTGGAGCATGTCAGTTCCCCTCGTGCACCAGCCAAGCTCCCGACTCACCCTTCTCCAGTTTCCGGAGCTTCTTGCGCAGCTCGGCCAGGGTCTCCTTCTGCCGATGGATGACCTCCTCGTGGCGGGAGCCCTTGCACCTGGCTCCCAGGTCGGCTAGGCACAACAGCGGGGGCTCCTGGAAGCACAGAGACACCCCACTGGCACTCAGCATGCCCTGCTAAAGCCAGAAGGCATAAGGGGGGAGGGGGTGCTTCCTTGGGCAAGCTGGCTGCAGGATTTGGGCCAAGGGGCTCCTGCAGCTCCGTCAGCCCACAAGAAGCTCCCCAGCCATAGGGTCACTTTTATGTTTCCTGGGGCTGAAAAAATACCTCTGTGATAACCCCACCCCCCAACCACCTTGTCAAAGGAGAAGAGTGGTGCCTGGATCCTCCAGAGTATGTGTGTTTGGGGGGGGGGGGAGAGGTGGCAGGCAGAAGGAGCAGCCACATGTTGCTGTTCCCTCCCACAAGCTGCCTTGACAGCCCCTCCTCAGCAATTAGAGCAACAATTAGCAATGACAAAACTTGAGGCTCCCATAAAGGTGTGATGAAAACATTGGCTGCTTGCGGAGAGCTCCAGGCATCCCTCTGGCCAGGGATACGAGCAACACACACACACACACACACCCCTGAGAACTCCCATCAGCCCCACCCCACTTGCCTTCGCAGCAGGGGGGGGCTGGTCCTGCAGGGCCCCCATGGTCTGCACGCCCTTGTGCTGCACAAGCCTGGCCATCTCCGCGGCCTTCATCTTTGCCAGCAGCTCCTTCACCTGCTCTCTGGCCTTCCTGCGGCAGAGGCAGGGATGACGGAAGCAGAGGAGACCCTCCCGGGGGGCCCCCTCTCCCTGCAACTCCCGGTTTTGATCAGGTGACCGCAGGGGTGCTGCAGCGGTCGTAAGAGTGAAAGTCCCTTTTTTCAGTGCCTTCGAATGGTCACTAAATGAACAGTTGTTAAATCAAGGGCTACCTGCATAGCCCGCCTGCAGCCCCAGGCGAGAGATCTCCCAGGGAAAATGGGGTAGCTACAATCTTGGGAAGGCCCCCTTACCTTAACTCCTCGGTGGTGGCTTGGAGGTGGGTTTCCCTCTGGGCCAGCATCCTGGAGGTCTCCGACAGCTTCTCCCGCAGGAGGCCGAGTTCTCGGGCCTGGCTCTGCACCAGGCTCCGCTTCTCCTCCAGCTCCGCCTTCTGCTTCTCACTCAGCTCCCCTGCAGAGAGGAAATACGGGGGGGGCTCCCTTAATCCCTGGAGCCTCACCTTCTGGGCTCATTAGGTGGCTGGTTAGGGTGGCCCCCGGGAGTCTCATCAGCACCCGCCTTCGACCCAGCATTTTCTCCCTGGGCTGTTCTGAACTCTGATTTCCAGCCCCCACCCCCAAAAGGACGGAGCTGGTGGGGATGGCAAAACCCTTTTGCTTAAAGAGAGGAATTTATCTACTTCCGTTTCTACTTGGAAAGTGACTCTGGACTTTCCGCTCGAAGCTGAAGAAGATGGGAAACTTTGATTTTAGGTTTTGATGTTGAGCATGGCTCTGTTGTTAGAGAAATGGCTTGAAAAACCGAGAGACACAAAGGAGAAGGTTGAAGCTTATCATTTTTTTTGTGCTTGCTGCACTGGAAAAAGTCAGAGGCCACTAAGTTTGTTTTTGTCTTTCTTTTTCTTTGTACCCTTCCCTCAGCTTTCTAACTTTCTGTTTCTTTCTGTGTTTTTGTCTCATCATAAACTTTAATAAAAATTCAAGCACAAAAAAGGCAGCGGCCGGGCGGGAGACGTTAAGAATCTGTGTCCAAAACGACACGCGTGTCACAAACCGATCACGTCGGACATCGTGGCTCTGGCTTGGCAAAGCTCCTTCTTGAGCTCCGCGATGACCGCCTGGTTGGCCTGGATCTCCTGCTTGGCAGCCGCCAGCTCCTCCCTGAAGACCCCGGGAACAAAGAGGGGGGAAGGGGGAGAAGGGCATGATCCGTTTTAGAGGCGTAGTTGGCAAGGCCCAGGCTTCCTCTGTTAAGTGAA